CGGTTCCCTCGGATCTCCACCCTCCATGGGACCACGCCAGTTGGCGGTCCGAGATGGCCGGGCGCGCGCCCTGACCGGCAGCAGGGGCCCGCGCGCGCCGCCGCCTGGTGACGAAGGGCGGTGGCCAGTTGGCCGGGGCACATGGCCGCGTGGGAGGCGCGCGGTCTGCCAGCGAAAGTGGGCCTCCCCCGGAACGACTTTCGGACCCGGGAACGTTTGCCCGCACGATGGGGGGCCGGTCGAGGTCGGTGGGTATGTGTAAGGGAAGGGCCGTCGGAGGCGCGCGCGCGGGGGTCGAGGAGGTCGAGGTCGAGGGGAGTTGGGCCGGGGCGCGCGCGCTCGTAGCGAGCAGAGAGCCGCGCGCGCGCGCACCGTCATAGGGACCGGGGGCCGGCGCCGGCGAGGACCGGCAGGGGTGCGCGCGCGAGCGAGGGGACGAGGAGGAGGGAGGGAGGGAGGGGAGGCGCGCAGGTGGGCGCGCGGTGGGGAGGGCGGCGGCCAGTTGGCTGGCCGAGTTGGCGTCCGATTTGGACTGTAGTTCGTTGATGCTAGGCAGATCGCGAGTCTCGTAAGCTCGAGCACCCAGCAGGCCTTGCCCGCTAGGGCCGCTACACAAGATATTTTGTACTTCCTGTTTCGTTTATCGGGAGCCAAGTGTGTTACTGTTGTTTGATAGCTCCAGATATTATCGCTGATGGCTGGCCACAGTAATCTCACTACAGGACGTCTTCTTCTACTTGCCAATAAGCGATGAAAGCAAATAAACGCCACAGCGGCCTAATTTTGTATCCTCGAGCCCAGCGGCCATGTTGATGGAACCTCTTTATATCTTGTCAGACCCAGAAATAGCGTCGAGGTATTGGCAATTGATGACCAGCTGGCTGGAGTAGGAGGAGGCTGTTCCATAAAAGTTTGACGTACCGTGTTTCGCTTAGCGCTCACCGTCCTTAGACCGCTGTTGAAGCCACTAGGAAGTGCCAATTCCACCCAAGAAACAACAACTTCGACGCAGAACAAATTTTTGAAATCTCCCGCCCAAACCACGTTCTTTTGAACTGAAAATTTGCCCAGTTTCTTGTGACGACGACCGCTATCGATTGATCCTAAATTCATAGGGTCTCGATGCCATGTCGTCGTCGAAACCCGGGTAGCCGCCGCTGACGGTCTCCCGCGACGGGCCACGGAAAACTCTGCACGACCGCGTCTTGGACCTTTACCACGATACGAGTGTATATCTGAGCCATTTCAAGGCTCACAATCAAGGAATCCCAAAGCCTATCGTCGATCTACTCACGGCCACACAAGACATCACCGGGGAGCTTATCAAAAGCCCCTTTGGTGAGGACTGGAGGAAGGCGGAAGGCGGTCGCTGACCTCCGCGAGGTCACCCTCGACATTAAGAAGACAACCCATTCCACCCAGAACGTCCTGACTACTCAATCTCTTCCACTTTCTAACAAGATCCGATCATACGCGCAGGCAGCGGCAGGGAACCCCCCCCCCCCCACCCCCCAGCCCACACAGTCTCCTCCCATGGTTCCTCAAGCCCCGGGGCCACCCCCTCGGAGCTCAGCAAGGACCGTGAGGTGATCGTTAAACTGCCTGACGCAGGCGCAGTCAAAACCTTCCGTCGCCTACGTGCGGTGGAGATCAAAAACCGCACTGAAAAGGCCCGTGTAAAGGCCTCCAAAACCGCCGTGGCCGTGACGCTCGCCGCGGTGCAATTCGTTGCGGCCCGCCGGCTGAAATCTATTGGCGACCTAAAGGACCCCCAGGAGGCGAAGCGGGTGGCTGATCAGATCTTAGCTGAGAATATATTTGCGTGGGGAGACGCCGCCCAGATTGTTCATCTCACCTGGCTGACCAGCAAACCATCTAAGAAGTCCTCTGCACTAGTGATTGAGTTTTCAACCCCTCAAGCCGCGAAGAAGGCCATTAACGAAGGCACCATCTGGGATTCTACGATATTGACCACAGTCCTGTACGACCGGTCCGCTCGTATCCGCCGGTGCTTCAACTGCCAACAATATGGGCACATAGGAAGCATCTGTTCCAATAAAACCACCTGCGGCCTCTGCGCGGGCAGCCACGAGACCCGGGACTGCTCCCAGCGGGCTGCAACCACCGGTCAGGAGCCGCGCAAGTGCGCTAATTACGGGGATGCGCATGCTGCCTGGTCCAAAGGGTGTAAGAAGTACGCGGAGGAGGTGGACAAGGTGCAGGCAGCATCCTACTACCGTCAGCGATACCACCGCATCCCACCCTACCTTCAAGACTTCCAAAGGGACTCTGAGAGTAGCGGCTCAGATTCCACCGCCGTACAGAGCGCCACCCCGGTGGGCAGCTCACAGCAATCAGAGGGATCTGGGGGATTACGCACAGCAAGGAAGGAGATATCCAGGCCATCCAAGGGGCCTAGGAAAGCAAGATCAGAACCATCCCAACATCCCTTCCATGTAGCCCAGCGAGTTGACGGCATTGACTTTGCACCTGCAGCCAAAGCTCCCACCAGGCCTAAATCAAAATCAACCACCACCAACGCCTCAGGGGGCTCCCACCGCAGCACCAGACTCATCAATCAACTCAACACGCACGTTAACCCACCCAGTCAAACTGATGAGGCAGAACGCCCTGCGAAAGCGCTCCGCAATGATCAAACTGCAACAGCCCGTGGAACCCGCCTACATATATACCGGGACGACCACGAGGGAGACGACAGCAGCGACGAACTCTCAGAGCCACTAACTATGAGCGACTGGCAACCCAGCTCAGTCCTCCAAGATAAAGACACGAATACGAATCCCAACACCCAGGCTCGGAAGAATAAGCGGAAACGAGACAGAGAGGAACCAGTGCAGATGGAGATAGACCCGCAAGTTGACTTTGCAGTGCAGAATCAGATGCCCCAGTTCATAGGGGGCCGTCGAAAGAATATACGGAACAATCTACAACGACCATCTAATGCATAAAGCATTCCAAATCTTGCAATACAACGTGCACCGCTCCAGGAATGTGGCAATGGCTCAGTTCCTGCGCGACCCTAAGGTCCTAGAAGCCGACATCATCGCCATACAAGAACCCTGGGATAATCCGTTCCAGGATACCACCCATCACCCTGCCAGCGCCACTCACCAGTTGCTATACCCAGAGATGACTGAGACTGGAGGAGAACGCGCGCGTGTCTGCCTCTATATCTCCCGCCGAATCGACCTCACTAAATGGAAACACACAGCCCACTCGCGGGACTGCCAGGAGCTGGAGATTTAATATAACACTGGAAAACTTCGCCTCTTTAATATATATAACCCGCGTCTCGATACCGACACCCAAACTGATACCCTCGACCTCCTGGAGCGGGTCCTGAACGACAAGATAGCAGCTGCCTGCTCCTAGGAGATTTCAACCTCCATCACCCAGCCTGGGGCAGTGACCACGTCCGCCATACTGATCCCAGATCTGATAAGCTACTTGAATTAACGGATGCCTGGCTCCTAGACCTATGGACGGGACCAGGCGCCATTACCCGAGACGAACAGGGACATCAGTCAACCATCGACCTTACCTGGGGTCCATGGACCTGACGGCCCGCCTCATAGCCAGCGAGGTAGCCCCTGACATCCACGCTGACTCTGACCACCTGCCTATCCGCCTACTTCTTGATATCACAACACCGCCGCCGCAGGCCCCGAAGCGGCGAAACTAGAAAGCAATGGACACAATAAAGCGCTGCGAATTTGCAGCTGCAAATATAAACCCGGATCAGTGGTCCAGGGGACTTGCAACGCCCCACCAAATTGAAGATGCTACCAACCACCTGATTGAGATCGTCCAGCAAGCCATCGCCTACTCTACGCCATGGGCCCGCCCTTCTGCGTGGGCCAACGCTAACTGGACACCCAAATGCACTGAAATGATCAAACAAACCCGCCGATACCGACGCGTCTACACTAAAACACACACTAACAATGATTGGACCGCGTACACAAAGATCCGCAACCGAAAAGGGAAGGTAGTTGTCACATCCTGGGATCCGTCTCTGCTGTTCTCTGCTAGTCAACTACTTTGGGAACGGGGTGATATAGTCCCTGGGCTATATCCAATACTTGCCTAAGGCCTACCGACTGGGTAGCCTAACGATGCAACGATACAATGATCCGAATAGGATCAAGGACAACCAAAGGTAACACAAGAACAATAACAGTAGAGATAGAAGCAAGGCCTATTGAGTACGTATACTCAATAGTAAAAGAGTAACTGACGAATCGGACTAGTGAACTTGTACTCAAGTGAATAACTTGTATTGAACGCGAGGAACTAAACTAAGAGTGCTAGATACAATGATAATGAATGTCCTTATATAGATCCTCCCTATCTACCATTTCCACTACCATGCCGTGGTAGTCCTGGATGGTAGTTGATCACGTGATGGCGTTCTCGTAATGGACGTTCAGTAGTGCATAACTGAACTGTTTTCCTGACATAAGTTCATCCGGATTAAGCGTTCCTCCGGATCGCTCAGTGATCAAGTCAAGGATCGATTGGTGACTGATGATCTTCTTGATTCTGCCTGTCACATCCGCCTTGCGCTAATGCGGCTGTGTTGGTGTCGTAACAGTAGTAACAGTAGTCTCCAAGTTCTTGCAACGCGGCCACCGTAAACGCGTCCAGCAGGCAGTTGACAACGGCCCCCAGGGCATGTGGCGCATTGCTAAATGGGCCCGGAACCGAGGCGGCCAGGCAGGCATCATACCTACATTCCACCAGGGAGATCGGACAGCAGAGACTGCGGAACAGAAAGTTGATATGCTCCGCGAGGCCTTCTTCCCCGCCCCCCGCCTGCCGATCTCTCTGATATAGAGGGCCGCATGTACGACCAGCCCTATATCTTCTACAACGCGGGCCTAATGGGGCGGGTGGCCCCAGAGTGGGGCACAGATAATATCGGATACATCGACGACACAACGATGCTCGCTACTGGAGACAGCGAGCAGGCTAATTGCCTACGACTCCGGGAGCACTACCGGCGCGGATGCCTCCACTGGGCGGCCACCCATGCCTCCCGATTTGAGCCATCCAAATTCCAGCTGGTTCACTTCCATCCCCGGGACAACGGGCCCGGGGTCAGGGAGCCGGCACAGAGCAGGGCGAACCACTAGACCTTGGCAACGGGCAGGTCGTCCAGGCCAGCACAACAGCCCGGCTCCTTGGCGTCATACTTGATCAACACCTCACCTTTGAGGCGCACCTCAAGCATGTCGACAACACGGCAACCCGGCGCCTCCAGGCTATCAGCGCGCTGGGCGGATCTAAATGGGGCCTGCGCCTGCGGGAACTTCCGCATGTCTACACAGCCTGCATCACCCCAAATCATGCTGTACGCCGCCTCAGTATGGTATGCGCCGCCAGCCCGGGGCCGCAAGCGCCTTCATAGCCAGCAGACAAAGGTATCAAATCGGATTCAGCGTCGGGCTGGAAAGTTGATCGCAGGGGCCTTCCGAACGGTTAGCGGGGCCGCGTTTAATGCTGAATTGCACCTTACCCCAACGCCACTACTTCTCCGACAGCGCCGCATCCAGACCTTTATCCGAATCGCTACCACCCCGGCCTACCGAATGCACATCCTGGATCGTCGCCGGCACCACCGGAATGCACTATTACACTCACCACTGGAAGCTGCAGAAGAAGAAGTTGAATTAGCGACCGGCTCCCCGCGGCCTGCGGAGTCGCTGGTAATGAGCTTGCGGACCGCAAGGCGAAGGAGGCAGCAGGCTGGCGTAAGGACATCACTGATGGGAGGTGCATGCCCCTGCCGCCGGTCATGCTCCCAGATCACCCCACACGCGGGCCCCTGGACGCCTGGATCAAGCAACACACCAAGGAGCAATGGGAGGAGGCCTGGCGGCAGTCTGAGCATGGTGGACATCTCCAGCGCTTCCTCCCCGAGGTCACCAAGCATTCAATCACTATCTACGACGACCTCACCCCCGTGGAACGCAGCGTTCTGGCGCAGATGCGAACTGGGAAGATCGGGCTGAACCACTATCTCTCGACCATCAACCGGGCCGAAAGCGCCCTCTGCCTGTGCGTGAGAGCCTCGGAAACGACTCACCATGTGCTATTCAGCTGCACCCAATACAATGACCTTCGCCGCGCGGTGTGGCCGGAAGGAACCCCCCGAGACCTGACAGAAGCCTTAACGGAGAAGCGGCACGTTCGGCGGGCCGCGCAGTTCATGCTGAACACCGGCCGGCTGACGTATCTGGTGGAGGCCACGGAGCCGGCATGGCTCGAGCTGAGCGCCCCCAGCAGCGCGCGGCTGCTGACAGCCCCAGCAGGCGATGGCTGACAAACCGTGATCACACACTATCGCACACTAATAGTCACTCCCACCGGCGCGGCGCCACCACCTGCGGACCTAACCCGCGCACATGCGCGGCATCAGCATACCGCCTCGGCCCTGTTGAGCCAAGAACGGCACCGTTTCGGTGGTGACGCCCCCGGCCCTCGCAGGCCCGGGAATCTGCGACATCCGAATGAGTCGGCGGCTATCTACGAGGCGGATCGGGCTTGTACGGGCACCTAGGCAGGCGTGAGGACATCTATGGAGGGAAGAAAGGTAGCCGGCACTCACTGATTTCGGCCCCAGCCGAGATGGACCTACGAGAGGAATAAGGTAGCTGGCACTCAGTGATTTCGGCCGGGGCCGAAACGGGGGCAGGTATGAGGGAATCTACGGGGGTTCAGCCTAATCTAGTGTCCGAGAGAAATATTCATGTACGCCGACGGCGTCAGTCTGCAAAGACGGCCATCGGTTAGATAGTCGCTGCTCGCTAGGAGCCTCCGACATGGCCCAGCTCGGTGCCGAAACGGAGTAAGGAATCAATCAATCAATCAATAAGTCGTGAACAAATGAACATCAAGAGAACATGTAAACACTAATCACCAAACCACAGTATCCAAGCATCCTAATTCTTCTCCACATCTCCGGTTCCAACCACATTGGTTTCGGTGCTGTCGCTGTCACCCACCACATGCTTCGCTTCCTGGTCTGCCGAACCGAATCCGTACTGGATCGCCACCCGCTCGATCTCTTCATCGGACAAGCGCGGAAGCTCCTTGGCGGCACGCACGTAGCCCATGTTCTCGAGATACCCCTTTGCGAAGATCAGGTCGATTTCCTCCAAAGAGCGTCCGGCCGTTTCCGGGTAGAAGAGGTAGATCACTGGGATGAAGAGGGCGTTGATCACAGCGAAGAAGAGGTAGGTACCCCATCCGATATCCCGGATCATGATTGGGGTGACCATGACAATCAGGAAGTTGAAGAGCCAGTTCGTGCATGTTGAGATGGCGTTGGCCTTGGCGCGGGTCTTGATTGGAGAAATCTCAGCAGGATACAGCCAAGGAAGCGGGAGCCAGGTGGCACCAAATGTTCTGCGGATGTTAGTCGTGAGTTCACTTCACTGGAACGGCATGGATGACACTTACGCAATGAAGGTGAACAGGCCGACGGCGGCACCCTTGGCCGCCTGCTCGTTGTCGGGTATCAAGCAGGCAAACGCGATGACCATCGACAAGCTTTGTCCAAACGATCCGACGAGGAACAGCTTGCGACGACCAACACGTTCGATGAGGAACCAAGACGTAGTCGCAAAAATCGAGTACACAACCATGTTGACACCACCGAGGATCATGGACATGAAAGGAGTCTGACCTAGGGACTTTTCAAAGAGCACAGGAAGATAATAGATGACGGCGTTGCAGCCACCTATCTGCTGAAAAAACTGGGACGATGCTCCCAGAAGCATGCGGCGACAATGCTGCGTTTTGCCACCAGTAAATACAGCGGACATGGGAGTGGATTTGCCAGCTTGGCCAGAACTGCAACCATTAGCGACCGGCGTCAACCATGCGAGGAAGAGGGGGGGAAACGAACGCTCGGAGGGAATCAAGGATCAAAGTCTTTTGCAACTGGACATCACGATCGGTAATCTCCCGGCCCATCAATGCGGCGATCACACGTTCGCCTTCCTCGTACCGCTCCCGAGCAAAGAGCCAGCGAGGGGACTCGGGAAGGAACCACAAGCCAATTATGATGAACAGGCCAAAAACACATTGGAAAGCAATCGGGAACCTCCAGGTGAGATCAGGGGATCCGTACGAGGCACCGAAATCCACCCAGTAGGAGATCAAGGTGCCAATCGCGACCGTACCGCCCTCGATACAAATCAGGAGACCGCGGTTGGACGTCCGAGAACATTCGGCCTGGTACGTAGGAATGGTGGACGTGTTCATGCCGTTGCCGATGCCGGTGATGACGCGTCCAATACAGAACTGAGCCAGTGGGACGTGACCAGGGTAAGCTGTGACCTGGAGAATGACTCCGAGAATCATGACGGTGGCACCGAGCATGATGGACCAGCGTCGGCCAAGCCAGTCACCGCATGCGAGAATGAAGAGAGCGCCGGCAAGGCAACCTGGAATCATCGATTAATCGAATGCCGCCATGAGACTCTCAATCTGAATGTACTCACCCAGCTCGTAGATGGCGGTGACAACACCTTGCATGGTTGAGTTTCCTTTTGTTGCCGTAAAGACGTCATTGAATGGGTCAGCGTCAATGATACTGCTCATCACGCCCTCTGGAAAAGGACATTGAGTCAGCCTTCGTCGAATTGAGGCCTTTTTCGCCCGAAAAGTTCAAAGCACCAGGTTGGAGTACATACGGTCATAACCGAAGAGTAAGAAGCCCATGGTTGCACATGTTGTGACGGACCACATCAGCTTCTTACCGGACATGCCGGCGAATGAGGGGATGGACGACATGGTGGGATACTTCCACTGTCTGCAGGGTGGTAACCTGACAGACTTTGCCGCGACACAGAAAAACCGTAAGGAAAGGTGAAGGTGGTGCTTGTTCAAAAAGAAACAATACGTCTCAAGACCGGCAACATTGCACTTCGGTGCAATACGAGGTCGAGAACGGAGTGTTTGCACTTGATTCCAAAGGAGAGGAGGCACAAATCGAGGAACGAAGACCAGGACGGAGGAACCTTTTATAATCCATTCCCACCATCCAAACATACATGCAAGGTCATGGACATGTGGAGGTCAGAGGACTCCAAGAACTGCAACATACTCCACAAGAACCCTCATGATTCCAATATATGGGGCACGTAAAACTCTTCGGCGAAGCTCATCCAGTAGCACAAATTGAGGCATTTTGGATCTGTCTCGGCAGCGACGAGATGCCGCAGCGAGGAAATCAAGCCACAAATAAGATTTCCGCCAGGAAGCACATAGATTGGGAAAGCGGAAGCCCGTGTGAAGATCCTGGCAGGTGGCTGTGGCCGGCGACTCTTGGCCCGTCAGCCAAGACCTGGGCGCGTCGATGCCGAGATGGTAGGCTGGCCCTCTTTTTCCGAGGATTTCAAACAGGAAAGCGAGCCGAGCCGCTGATGTCATGCCTGGTCGCCCTTCGAAAAGGACGCGAGCAAGCAAATTAAGGCTTGGTCGCATCGGATATGGAACGAAATGGTTATACTTCCTGATTTGCCGAAGATGATTCCTCGGAATCAAGGAGATTCTGAATCTCGGGGAAGAAGCGCGAACGGAAAACCCCCACATAACCTGTACCTGACTTCCCAACTTCTGTCCTTGCCTTATTGTATCTTAGTAGCGAGTGCGGAGAATTATGTCATGGCTTTCCCGTTGCATGTCGCTACAGGGAACTTCCATTGCATGCGACATGACGCATGTGGTTCGAGGAGCGCAATCAAAAGTATTACAAAAGTATACAGCCACATCCGAAGCAAGTCTGGCGAGTCCAAAGTGTTGAACTGGTAAGATTTACACGGCTTGCATCAACTCAGAACGCGAGACTTGCTGTTGCTTCGGCATATGGAGAGTGTTCGCGTCCGCACTTGGTACTCCCCAAGGAGTGTGGTCGTTCAGACTCAGGAAGCCTGTATCCGTGGGGTTTGAAGTGACGGTCAACACCGTCAGGTAGAAAGAAGCAATGTGGCTTGACATGCACTTCGGCCTTTGAGAGTGCTCGCCACGACCGTGGGCGTTTGCTCCGCTTGTCTAGTTGGAGACTGTTTGAGAGACAGTGTGTTACTGTGTTCAGACCCTCAGCGCGGACTCGGCAGTCTTGGCAGGCTTGGCGCGGAGACGGTCGGAATCGCCACTTGAGTAGGCCAAGTCCGGCACCAAATACGTCGCAATCACACCAGTATCGAGAGAGAGAGAGCGACGTACTAGTTAAGGAATGGTTATCACAGTTTCTGGGCCTCCTGCCACTCGGGCTGTGCCCTTTCTACATTCATTTGCGGATCTCTAATGCCGATCGCTCCAAGCGTCAATTGGCCCGTAAAACCTGTCGTTACTTCCTGCGCAAACATCAGTTCAAATGTTCGATAGTCTCGAGGTATGACTCAAGATCGCAATGGGGCTCTTTTAAGCTGATGTCTGGCCCAAGTGGGCATGCAGTCTGCATTGTTGTTTCTCGAGAATTTGTTTAAAGGTTTCCAGGCTATTCGACAGAGAACATTGAAGGCGCCGTTGAAGTGCCGATGGAGAAAGACCAGCAATAACCATATCCGAGAGTCTCGCAGTCGCCAGCAGTCATTGACTGTTGCTTGTGCATCGGTCATTTTATCGAGCTGAAGAGCTTTAAGTGGTAGATGGTACGAAGCACACTAGAGTTCTAGTGTATTCGGACTCGAATTCATGTTCGCATGCGGCATGATTGTGTCCTTTTTTGTTCTTGCTTTCTGCAGACACACCGAGAAGACTTAGTAATGCTGTAGGGAAGATGGTTGATCCGATCGCATTGCGTCTCGACAGAGAGATCCCTTGCGCAGCAATCAAGTAGTTCTATACGCTATCAGGGTCTGGTTTCGTCTCTTCTTTAGACTTCTTTGCTTTACAATGCAACATCATGGAGATGCTCTTTAGTCTTACCGGAAATAATTGTTTCTTGGGCTGTCCAACTCATTCGCCTGGGAGTTCTGGCTTGGTCATTAAACATGTTCAACGCTATGGCTGTGGACTTAAACTCTGCCAGCCCACGACGATAATATCCCCCGAAACTTTTGTTATTCGGACCTCGAGACCATCTGCGGAAGGCAGATCACGCCACGAACTTGGCAGCTTTTGTTCTTGGAATCCATCAGTGTAGCTGAATCGTTATCTAATCCGACGGGTCCACGAGCTTGCGCTGCACTCGCATTGATTCAGTACGAGACTGCGACGAAGAGCTTTAACGGTTCAAGCACCCGACTCAACTGAAGAAGCAGGAGTTTCCCCACTACCGACAGGATCTCAGTTGGTAAGTTGGTTCGACGATGTCATAAATTCAGACTACGTAGCAAGTCCTTAGCAATAACGGCCCAGATGCCAGTTCCTGTATCCATCGACTGATCGACTCGTGTTATTACCCCCCTGAGCTTTCACTGATGCTTCGCACTATGTAGGTACATCAGCTACAAGAAGGGAAATGGTGCATATATACCTCTCATCTCTAAGCCATAGCAGGCTTCTGTTCGAACTACATCATTGTATGTGATCGTACTGTTTGAAGGGGTTGTCTTCTAAAGAAGAACGTAGACTAACAGTCCACTGTGGAATCGGGACGCTGTGACAGGAAATTAATCTTAGGTTGTGTTTGCAGAGCACTTTAATCTCGTATTCGAACAGTGATTACTCGTTAGTAATAAGACAGACGTCTCTTCTAGTACAAGGACGAATGACGATCAACGGTGAGCTGCTCACCGTGCGACGTTGATTTTCAAGATTCTGATGGGAGTCCGCCTAGAAAAATCAAGAACCCAGAGTATTGATTAACATCGGACCCTGTCATGACGCAGCGATGTGAGTGTCGTCTTAACTCCTCTCTCATCATTTCCGAGAAGTCGAGGCCCTTTCTAATGCCTCAGGCATGAAGCACGGTTGGCTCTCGGTGAGTGGAGGAGCCCCACGGCGGGGCTTGGCCAATCAGACGGATGTTCCCCAGGCGCCCGCCTGGTGCCTGAGAGCTGGTTTCCTTTTTGGGAAATATCCCAGGCATCAAGGACGCCACAACGGGAAGCTGCCTGGCGCGCTCCACAACTCGTGTTCATCAGCATCAACAAGATTGGAGATTGCAAGAACTTAAAAACGCGTGCTTCAGTCATCTTCATCACTCCTTATTCTCAGTGCGCATCATATTCACAACCAGACTCTCTGTATCCAACCATTGCAATCGATCTCCTCTCTTTCTCAATTTCTCACCAAGCAAACATGGCTGACTGTTACACCCTCCCTGCCGTCCCTGCGAAGCACTCTACCTTCATCGACCACGTCAACTCTTGTCCTCAAGAGTCAATCCCCGATCTTGTACAGCCGTACAACGAGTACGATGCAGTCCTTCGCAAGATCTACGCCCAACAACCATCCCACCCCGCGGTCGCAGACAACCTCCTCAATGTGGTGCCGCTGTTCGATGCCAGTGGCTCAGCAGATCTTCGGATTCGCGCACGTGACCTGGTTTCGGAGCCGGAGGAGCTCAAGGCCAAGTATTTGATGCCACTAAAAGATGAGGATCGAAAAGCGAATGGGTCCCCGGCCGTGGTATCCTCCTTCAAGCAGTTCCAGACGAACTTCAACCTATTCTCTGAGAGCGCGCTCAGTGATCTCGACTGGAGCAATGTGGTTGCAGCGGGAAGTGCAGTGACCACCTCTTTATTGCCCGTTCCTGAGGAGTACCGCGACTCGAAACGCGGCCTGCGCGAATACTACCATCAGAAATTTGCTCCTGCCTCGGATGTCGATCTGTTTTTGTATGGGTTGACGGAGGAACAGGCCATTGAGAAGATCAAGCAGATCGAAACCCGCATCAAGGACTCGATCCTGGCCGAGACTTCCACCATTCGCACAAAGAATGCCATCACGATCGTGTCGCAGTACCCTACACGCCATGTTCAAATCGTCCTTCGCATCTACAAGTCCATCGCCGAGATCTTGACCGGGTTTGATGTCGACTGCTCGTGCGCAGCTTACGATGGTAGCCAAGTGTATCTGGCACCACGTGCGGTCGGTGCGTTTGTCACCCAAATTAACCATGTGGATCTGTCCAGACGGTCGCCGTCGTACGAGAATCGTCTTTCCAAGTACGCCCGTCGAGGATTCGAGGTGTTCTGGCCATCGCTGGACCGCTCCAAGATTGATCCGGTATGCCATGTGACCAATCATTGCGAGTGATACTGACTTTCACACAGACGATTTTTGAGCGCAGCTTCACCAGGACGCTCGGCCTTGCCCGGCTTTTAGTGCTGGAGAAGCTCCCAAAGCCTTCCGACCGGGATGCATACATCGATAAGCGGCGTCGAGAGCGAGGCCGACCGGTTCCCATGCGAATCTCGAAGCAGCTGCGAGGAAACATCAAGAATGACTGGGACGACGAGGTGCCTGAATGGGTCGACGAGGAGGACGTGTCCGACTACCATACTTTTGTGAGCAGTGCCTTGTTTGACGGCAAGCCAAATACTAATCACATCAGACCATTCCTTATGGCGAAAGATTCCACGCCCGAAAGATTGAGAAACTGCTCTACACTAAGGATTTGCTGCTCAATGCGGAATGGAACAAACCCAAAGATCGCGAGGTCCACCTGCATCGCCATCCGGCTTTCTTTGGCAACTTTGAAGACGTGATCGAGGATTGCTGTGGCTTTTGTCCTGTCCCCGTCACTCCCGAGGAGAAGCAATTGGCCGAGGAGGAGAGCAAGATCTACGTCTCGGGAAGAATCAAATTCCTCCAGGACAACCCCGGCCGCCAGGAGATTGGCAGTTTCAATCCTATCACCGAAACCGATTGGACTGGTCAGTGTTCCCTGATTTTACGGTGTCCGAATGCTAACTTGGACAGAAATGGCATACGTCGGAAACACAGCAGGCTTGTGTCAAGCGATCGTCGACAACGACGTGGAAGGCGTGAAGCAGTGGCTGTCACACGGCTTTGATGTGAACCGTCGCGATTTTACCGGTCGCACTCCGTTGCATCTGGCGGTCATGACCTCCACGCGCGAAATTGTTCAGTGTCTTGTTGACCACGGAGCTCGTTTGATCGCTCGACTGGCCGACGGGCGAACGGCCTTACATCTCGCTGCAGCTCGAGGCCACGTCGAGATAATCAGGATCTTGCTGACGAAGAGCGAGGAGAATGAGGAGGAAGAAGCTCGCAAGGAGCAGGCGCGCAAGGGAGCCTCATCCGATAAAGAGGCCAACGATGGTGAGGAAGACGCCGAGCTCATGAGTCATCCTTCCGCTGAGAGCGAGGCAGATGCTCAGTCGTTTGCCACCGGTTCTTTTGTGAAAGTCCAAAAGGATGCAGATAGCGCACAGGACTCGATGCCCGATGACTCAAGCGACCAGGACCCTGACGTCTACGACATCAATGTGATCGCTTGGGACAGTCACGCCTCCCCTCTGCATCTCGCGATTTTGAACGGCCACGTCGCTGCTGTTGAGGAACTGGTATCCTCTTTCGGCGCGGATGTGCTTCTGCCGGTCAAATTGTTGCACGAGTACAACAACAGCCCGCGAGCTGCCATCCTCACCCTGGTCTTGGCGCTCCAACTGCCAATAGAGCAGGCGAAGGCGATGTCGACGAAGCTGCTACAACTGGGCGCCTCGCCGGCACAGGCAGACCTTGATCACAAGACTGCCGTGGCTCACATTGCGGCTTCTCCGAAATACACTGAGTTGCTGGACTCGTACCTGCAGCATGACCGTCCGGCAGTCGAACGGACAATCAACTACATTGCTACTAGTGGTTGGCAATTCAGCCCCAATGCCGAGACTGCGCTGACAACGGCGATCAAATCGGGGAATGTCATCGGAGCCTTGAAGTTGCTTGAAGCAGAAGCGAGCCCGACTATTGCCTTTGACGAATTCATCAAGTCAGCACAGGTGCACATCAATGGAATACGGAACGACTCCTCTGAGGAAGTGAAGAGAAGATTCGATGCTAATGTGACCCAGCCTATTATATTGAGTGTCCTCAAAGATCAGCCATCCGTGGCCCTGAAGCTTCTGGCCCGAGGCGCAGATTCCAATACACTGACTAAGGAAGGGTACCAGATGCAGCATGATGTTCACGCTAGAACCTACCGACAAGGCAGATCACTGCTGGATTGTGTGCGAGAAAAGCTGAAGGCTCTGCGTGCGTACAAGCCCGAGACTCACACCCGGGAGCCGCCAAGACCCTTGGAGCACGAGGACAGCTACTATCTCTCCCCCTTCAAAGAAGACACATACCAGCTGTGGACGGCCAAAGCCGCTCTCCGCAGTGCACACTCCCGTGTTGAATCAGAGCAGAAGCGCTATGACGACGACGTGAAGTGTGCAGCGAAGCGCAAGGGTGTCGAGGAGAAGAAGGCGGCCGTTCAACTGGCTCTCAACGAGTTCGAGAAGCTCGAGGAGGAATTACTTGCCAGGGGCGCCAAGGAGTTCAAGCAGTTGTTTCCAGACATTGAAACGTCTTCTGATAACGGCAGGAATCATTACGGATGCTGCGTCACCAAGCCTGATCCGTTCAATATCACCTTTGACTTCAGAAGGCCGGATCTCAACGACATCACAAGGGAAGGTTATATCCAATTGTAGGTTCTCCTTCGGTTCCTTCCGTGTACTGCACTTCGGTTATGCTGACTGCGTTTAGGTTTGAGGCAGCGTGGTGTGGTGACCTTGAGACCATCAAATCACTCACCCTCGGGACATGGGGTCCAGACAAGCAGAGACCGCCGCTGGAAATTGCGACGAAAGACCAGAGAAACTTCCACCCGTTCAACATCGCCGTCCTACGTGGACATTTGGACGTAGCGAAGGCGATTATCGCCATTGCACAAGTGCAGTACAAGCCTCAGGACGAGCAAGAAAATGTGCGGTATAGGTTGCGAGCAACAACCAACAATGACGATGATTATTCCTGCGACGAAAGCGACGACAACAGTGACGGGCTCGATATAGAGAGGCAGATCCTCGATGAAGAATTCACTATTGACAACATTGGTGAGGTGAAGATGCAGGTCGAGAGCAGGACCTCGCCTCTTTCTCTCTTGAAGGACGGTTGTTCGGTTGAAGACTTCATGGGGACAACCCTGCCGGATGAGCGAAAGCCTTGCAATCTTGTGCAGTACGCAATCTATAAGGATGATGTTGGGCTTCTGATCTTCCTTCTGGATCTCGGCCGGGAGCTGTCTGCGAAGTCCGGAAGTTCCGAGCAGACCATCTTTACGGTTGGACAGTGGGATCTTACTGTGGCAATGCAGCTGGGACGAGTCCGCTGCCTGGCAGAACTCATCAAACATACGGGGGCTGGCATTCAAATAGATAAGCTGGCGGAGCAGAGCGGAGTGGAAATCAAGGAGAAGCCCAAATACTACCAAGGACTGTCCATCCACGGCAAGAAGCGAGCGGACTGGGCGGCTGCCGGTCGCGGCATCCTTCCCGCACAGCCCGAGGAGGAAAAACCTCCCCTTCTGGTTGCTGCGCGTGAAGGGAACCTCAAAGCAGTGGAGTGGTTCTTGGGAACTGCGCCTGGCCGATACTATTTGGAGTTTACCGAGTCACACAAGCATGATAAGCGTATCAAGAGGCTCGCCATGGGAAAGTTGGGTGTCGAGCGTTCCATTACAAACTGGTTGAATATCAGACGTAGGTTCCCTGCATGGTGTGTTCGAGACGTTACATATGATGCTAACTGTCACCAGGCGATCTTGTCCTGCACTGTGCCCTTTTCGCAAAGCCAACGGTCGAGTCAGAACGACTGGTCAAGTACTTGGTTCGACATGTCCCTCACTGTCTCGAGGTCAAGTCCGTTGATGGATATACCCCCTTGATGATTGCATTTTCACTTGTTCGTCCTACTTATGCCAAAATCCTCATCGAGGCGGGGGCCGACCAGACCGTGCGCAACAAGAAGGGTAACAACATCCTTCATCTTCTGTTCTGCAGTGTCAGCTCCCCCTCGGCCGAAAAGCTGGATGACTTCCAGAAGATGCTCGAACTGGTTGATCCGTCTTTGGTTTCCTCCCTGCTCGTCGAACGTTCGTCACACGGGCCCGGCTCTCTGACACCCTTGGCAATGTGGATGGTGCAGGCCTTGAGCACCACGAATACCTACTCCGCCTATGGCAATGGAAGCAACTGCGAAGGCGATAATCAAATGAAAGCTCTTCGAATGATCTTGGACTTTGCCCAAAGCACGGGGCAAAAGCATCTCGAACTGTTGGATGGGGCTGGCAACACCGTTATACACGATGCCGTGCGGTGCCAGCTCCTTCAAACGCTGGAGATCTTGCTCGAACGCCGTCCGGATCTCCTCCATCGCGAAAACGCTTCTGGCTCGACGCCTGCTGAACTCGCCGAGGCCGCGTGGGTCACTGAAGTTACATCCAACCCTCCCGGATTGGAGCGTCGAAACAGGTTCATGTACGGCAGCAATCGGTATGGAGAGAGCCTTGTGGATCGTCGGCCCGAATCCTTCGTCGAGGAGAGTGATGAAGCCCCAACGATGAAACGGAGGATCTACGACTTCAGCCGCGGCAAGGCAGAGACTTTGAGAGGACCCGATGCGAAGCGTAGATTGGTCACGTTGTTTGAGGCCAACGAAGTCGCCAGAAGACTGGCTGCCAAGGATCCGCAGGAGAATCGCTACATTGGCCGTGCTGCGAGAAGGAGAAGATGGGACGAGCAGGACGAAAGAGAGTTTGGCGATGAGGTTCGGGAATGGCTTCCGGAGGTATATTAACAGTATTCTTCGACTCGTAATCTCCGAGGATTGCCTTTCCTTGCATGGTCGTTCATATATTCTGAAGTATTCATCGTCCAGTTATATTTCAGGGTTGAGAGAACCTAGAGCTAAGGCAGAACGTACTATGTAGCCTGACCAATCCCCCGAAGACAGCGATTGACAAAAAAACAGAGAAAGATCTTTGGATGAACTCGGAGTCCTCAATTTGGCAGTGGAAGTCGCAGCGACCATGAACTTTCCCACGCCAGTTGTCGTACGAGGAAGCGGCTATCAGCCATTCGGTACCAACTCTGTATTCCCACGATCCATGCTTCAGAGGTTTGTTTGCTCAGCGTTTCCTTTGAATGTTCTGGTGTTTGTATGTATATTGTTTGGGTTACTCCTTGTACGTCTACGAGATTGGACGAAACTACAGCCGGAGACTAGGGGGATGGTCGGTATATCAACAGGGCCGGTAGAAGTGACTTTGCAGTATCTTACAGCAGTCAGGTAGCAAAAAAGGAAAATCTCCTTCGGGTTGCAACAATTGCGTAGTTCCGTTACAGAAGAAGACGAGGGGAAAAAAAGAACGTCAGCGATAGGACTCGAACCTATGCGGCCGAAGCCAAGTGATTTCTAATCACTCCCCTTAACCACTCGGGCACACTGACTAATGATCGAATATAGGACTTGTTGATTGTCTATTGAGGCAGGATAACTATCATCATTTTGTGATTGCAAGGGTGTCAAGTATTTTCTACATCTTCTTGCAATTCGTCCAGTCAATCAGGGACACTCGGGGTTACAAGCACACTTTACTCATTGGACGGGATTCAGCACTTCACTGGATCAGAGGGTGGCCTTATCAAAAGACAGACATCTTTACGTCCCCGTCAGGATTCTGCCTGATATATATTGTCCACCTCCGAATGGACATCAAGAAGCATAATCCGTGTATCATCGTACAGGTCATCGGTGAAGTCTTCGAACACTACCTGGTCGAGTCTAGTGAGGGACCGGAATCTGCAACCGTGGCTTCGATTCGACATCAACATTCTGGAAGACTCGCTCTCGAGCATCGAGTCGATGATTGAAGTCACATGCTCCCGTCGGTGGTAGTAGCCGGAAAATGATGGCATCAACCAGGACAGTCCACGTGATGACTAGTCCTGATCAGGCAGCCACAATTATCACCAACTTGAGCTCCCTGAAGTCATCGCGATGAGCACTGCAATACAACATGAGCCAGCCAGAATATTTCCCCCTCGACGCGCTCCAGCTCCAAGATCAACCCTCATTGACGTTCCATCCGACATCCAAATGCTCCGCGCAGAAGTTTTCGCCCTCGATGCGGCCGTAACAATGCCCCTCTCCGAATCGAACGCCTCCTGCCACTTCCTTAACAACATCTACATGAAGGATCAGATCCGCCGCACGTAACCCCGCGTTTTATCGAATAATACAGCGCGCCGAACTGCGGAATAGACCTTCCAATGAATCGCGGGTCGAGGGTCGCGGGTCGCGGCGAGGAGCGCAAGCGCAAGGGAACGTTCCGCGATCCGATCGGGTATCCCTGGCGCCGGAAAGACGTTACCGACGGTGCGATGATTACATTTCCCGTCTCGGGGCGCACATAACCACGAGTACTTCGCGCTGGAGCACAAGGTTACCTGTGGGGTCCGGGAGCTGGCGGCCAAGGTGAGCAAAGGATACAAGAGGCAGGAGACGGAGACCGATGAGCGGACACAGTTGCTACGGCGGGAGTCACTGGAGCAGGTCAAGTACCAGATACAGCCTACAGGGCAAACGCACAGTGTAGTACCTCAGCCCAGCGCATTTTGCCCTGCTGGCACTGTAGGCATCGTAGACCCTGTAGGGAATCGCGTAGAAGAGAAGCATCGAACATGAGGGATTATGATACACTATCTCTACTGTACATGTGCCACTGGATGTGGCCTCTAAAATCTATATACAGCCGTTAGGCATTATTCGCACATGAGAAACTGACACTGCTGGGGTCGTCGTGCAGGGCCTTGCCTGACACATAAAGCCCCAGACCACACTGTCAAGATAATCAGCAATTGTATCATAGAAATGTCAGCAAGAACGTACAATGCAGCATGCGATTCCCATGATGAAGATGTTGAGAAGAGTAAGCGCAGTCTTCATCGGAGTCGAAAAGAACCGGCCCTTATTGAGATACAGCCAGAAAAGAGCGCTGAAGCCGTCTGCAATCGTCAGCGAGATATCAAAATAGAAGGAAAGAGCTTACAGGTAAACCAGCTTGCAAAAAGCGACGCCTGCATAACATAATCATCAGCTTGACCCATAGCCAACCAGCAAGGAAACATACCACCAGACTCAACAGATTGTTGAACACCGGGATAGCCTCGGCAATAATCCAAGCCACGATCCAAGTCGCCAGCCCAATCAACACCCATGACCCGGTCGCAACAAGATCGCGCTTATGCATGCGGTCGCTGTGGCGCCACATCCGCACGTAGATGTACTTGCATGCGACGTGGCCGTTCACCACGCCTCCGATGATGATCTACTCCTCGTCAGCTGGATCTTGAGAGGAGTACAAAAGACTTACAGTCGGCAAGGCGATTCCGTACGCCACCTTCTTCACGATAGTCGAGGCTGAGCCTAGCGCCGGTGAGGTCACGTCGTCGCCGGCATAGCAGTAGATCACAACGGCGGCGACGATATACAAGCACGTGTCGATGCCTTGCAGCAGGAAGAGCGACTTGGGGTAGTCGCGGGGGTCTTTCAGTTCGGCCATGAAGCCGAAGAAGGCGACGTGTCCGGCTGTTTTGTCAGTGATCCATGAATGGGATGAAGAGGGGAAAAGACCTACAAAATGAAAAGACGATATTGCAGACAGCAAGAAAAGCCTTGTATAAACTGGTATCAACAGTGGCATTGACACTGCCGTGCCATGGCCGTTGCACACCAACGGCAATCATGACGATCAGAACGGCTGAAAAGACGCTGATGAAGGCTTCGAATTGTCAGTGGCATTCTACATCGTCAGAGACATACGCACAAGCAACTGATAGAAACGAGACCTTGGCCAGCGTGCGTGGCAAACACAGCACGAACGAAATGACCAAGCCAACCACTCCAAAGACGATCGAGCACGTCCCATGATCTGTAATCGAGTTCATGGCGACGGTAAAAGTCAGGATATGGCTAGCCATGATGAAGACAACCAGGAGCAATTGGCCTGTTCCGAAGAGCTCCCGGCCAAATCTGCCCATGATGACCTCGCCGGCATCCCCCATTGAATGGATGTGCGGGTAAGCCCATTTAAACTGCCCAATCGTGTATCCAGTGTAGGTGGACATCAGACCAAGCGCTACAAGGAGAATGATGGCTCTACGTTCGTTAGAATTGTCGGCGGAGGGGAATGGATAGACTTACGGAACGAGGCCTAAGGCAGCCACCACCGCGGGCAGGGAGAGAATACCCAGCGACACCGTCTCGGCAACCATGACTGCTCTCGATCAGCTACGTCCTTGAACTCGTGAAGGCATACTCACGGAAACCACATTGCCTGCGCGGGTCAGCAGCAGCTCATCTATCAGATCATGACGACACTCACCACCAACTCAAGGTCTTGTACTTCACCTCGGCATACTCCTCGTCTCCGAATGCATCCTGATACTCTGGTTTCGAGTCCTGCTTCTCAAAGTCACGCTCGCCATCGGAAACAGCGTCGGGATGTACACGATCCGTGTCCATCTCAGCGTCGGCAGCAGGACGGGATCCTTCCTCGAGCATGGAACCCATGATTGCGACTCTAACGAGTGACGAAAGAGACGGTTGAGGTCTGATCGAGCGGCTCCCGGACGAGTGGAGCTGGAACGCAGATTTTTCACCGTGGCAACCCTACGATCTCACTCATACAATGCAATCACGATACTGTTGTCGAGGCCGGGATGTTCTCCGTCGTCACAGATACAGTGTGTCACCAGCTCTTGATACTAACAGGTCAAGCTGCGAGCTCCGGGCTTCCAACGGCGAAACAAAACTGCGACAGCATCATGATGACTCAACGGCCAGCACGCTCAGTCTGGGGCCCAGTTCGTGTGCTCCATTCCTCTCTGCAGCCGTTGATATTGGTATATGTTACCTAATGCCGAGATTGAGTAGGTCCCAATCAGGATAATTGATCCATTCTTGAAATTGTTGGCCAATCAGAAGTAGTAGTGATATGGGTTCCGAGAATAATATAAGTGTCTGATTGGCTGAAAGAAATTTCTAGTCAAAGTGGGTCTTGATTGGTTGGTCTGCAGCCAATAAGGATCATTCCCGCTGTTGATCTTCCGTCACCATGTACTTCGTCCTGATCGGGAAACAGGGACGACTGCATTAATTGTAAGAAATAGCATGGCATTATCGCTACAAAGTGGTTATAGAGCAATTATCGAGTATTGATCAACTGAGACAGCAAGACCGAGACAGATACTGCCATAAACTAGGCCAACAGCACAAAGTCAAGAAATATATCCCCGCACTCACTATCCACAATCCACACATACACCATCCCTAATAATAATCGTAAAGCTGCTTCTGCGCTGGCACATCTCTCCGAAGCAAATACTTCTTGACATACCACGGCAACATCGCCCGATAGTGATTGATATGCTTGGTCGTCGGAACCGAAAAGACCTGATCCAGCTCCTCCAGCGAGAGCGCCTTAGTCTCCGGCAGACAGAAATAACAAAAGATCCAGCCGAAGAAGTTCCACGCCGCGTACCATCCAAAGGCACCGGTGGGCGTGAACGATTTATTGAGCGACGGCCAGGTCAGCGAGACGATGAAGTTGAAGCCCCACGTTGTGGCTGTTGCGAAGGACATGCCGATGTCTCGGATGTAGAGGGGCTGGCATTATCAGTAGACCGCGACGATAGTAATTGAAGGAGGACTTACGAAAGCTTCTGCAGAGTAGGTGAATGGTACCGGGCCTTCGCCGGGCGAGTACACAATCATGAAGAGGTATATGCCAGTCGCGACGCAGGCTGTCCGAGAGGTTTGATCGGGGATGTAGAAGGAGAAGCCAGTGAAGAGCAGGAATATACACATCAAAGGGAACGTGGTTAGCAGCAGATTCCGTCGTCCAAAGGTGTCGATCGTGTATACGGCTGGCAGGGCGAAGATCCAGTTGGTGATGCCGCATCCGAGAGAAGTGACGAGTGCCATACGGGTGTCAAAACCGGCTTCTCGGAACATCGACGAGGAATAGTACATGATGGCATTGACACCACAGAACTACGACAGTTAGATCTTGATTATAGGACGGAAAGAGGTTGATTTGCCTGCTGCATGAACATGACGAAGAAAGATGACTGCGCCGCACGTCGGTTGCGCGGGACGGTGAACATCTCGCGGAACAAATGCTTGCCCTCGCGGAGCTTCTCCTCCACCGTTAGAGCAGCATGGATATAGTACAGGTCTCTCGCAGCTTGGAACGTTGACGGACGGAATTTGCAGAGCGCCTTGTACGCATCGTCGTAGCGGTTGCGCATCATGTACCACCTCGGCGACTCGGGACAAAAGTAGACCTGGATGCAGACGAAGAAGGGCCTGATCCAAGGTCGTTAGCACATGTATATGCAATCAATGCAGGAGCCTACTTACGGAATGGCGGTAGACGCTAGCATCAATCGCCAGTTGAAGCCCGGGATTGTGGGATGCGTCACATCCATAAACGCAACAGAGGCAATATACCCCAGCATAATGCCAAATGCCGTCCACATCTGCCACATCATGACTAAAGCACCGCGGATATTAGCCGGGGAGCACTCGGCGCCATACACCGGCGTGGTTGTGGATTTGGCGCCCACGGCAAACCCCAGGAGGAAACGGCCGAGCAACAAATTCCACCAGGTATGCGCGGCCGCCATCCAGAATGAGGCGGCAAAGGAGATAAAGCAGGAGATGAAGATGCATCCGCGGCGACCAAACCAGCGATTCAGGGGCGCAGTGGTCCAGCATCCGATGACGGCGGAGCACAGATAGGGAGCGCCGTTCAGGAGGCCTTGCATCCAAGTGTCGGTGACATTAAATTCAGCAAAGTAGAACCTGCCCTACTTAGTATAGCTCAGATGGAGAATGGGCGAGTACGTACTCCTGTGCACCGTTGACGGCAGTCTGATCCATTCCCTGCACGATAGCAGATCCAGCACAGAGGACTGACAGGCCGGGTTAAATCCAAACCCACCAGGAGGATCGCGAGGAGACTTACTTGTCATGAAATACATCATAAACGGCTGACTCCATCGATGCGTCTTCTCCCGTCGAAGTAGCTCTTTCTCACTCTCCGTCAGCTCGTCCATCTGCTCAAACTCTCTGGGATCCTGTGCGACAAGAGCTCCTTTTTGCAGATCGTCGAGGATATGTTCGAGATCTTTCTCCTTCGCGAAAGCCTCGACTTCACTCAGGAGCTGTTCTCGAGTCAACCCGGCAAGAGGATTCTTGAGTTTAGTGTTGGTCGTGGTGCTTTTGTTCACATCATGAGCCCACTCTCGAGCAGTAGCTGCATCTCCTCCTTGCTTCTCAATAGATATGGAAGACTCATGGTGGGAGAGACTTGGTGCCTCAGGGTCGGAAGTCTTCTCCCCCATGGTGGATGACAAGCGGTTGAGGTTCAGGACGAAGTGGATATGCTTTGCACAATATCGGCCAACGAAAATGAAACGCGGAGAATTTGGGGAGAGAGTTGGGGAAGAGACGGGGGAAGTGGAGGTCGCCTTTTATGGTTTCGATCGCTTTAGACCCCCCTTGTGGCCGAGAAGCGGCCCTCAGGCTAGCCCAACCTCGTGCTCGAGGTGCGGCTTCATTATCTCTGACTCAGTCTCCAGTATCTACTAGACACCTCCGCTGACCGCATACGTCCCAGCCAAGACCAGCGGGGTCAGAACAAAGAGTCGGATGGCGTAGATGGCTGCCTACCAACATCTCTGGCGTAGTGATCAGGCAGCTCCTCATGCGGGCCAGGGAGTGCCAGGACAAAAGGAACAGGGTTGCAGCGGTGCAATGACGGTGATTAATCTCACGCTCCTCATGGATGTAACGCTGAAGCGGCTTTGGTAGGTAGAACCATGGCTGGAGGGTGGCGTGATGCCAAGGGAATTAGTTTCTAATGTCCCGGAACAGGTCTCTAGCAATTCGGGATGTCTGTTATCTCAATGTCCGTGCTATCGCAGGGACATAATCTGGAAGTGGGAGGATCAGCATAAGCAGACCTCGGCGTACTTGGCGCCGAGACCGGAGCAGCCAGTGAGGGTGGAATAGCCGGCGGAGGCCAAGGGGGCGGTGCCCAAGATCGCCCACAATGATGCAGCTGCGTGGGGAACCAAGAATCTAGGCGTGGACTGGTCTGAGCGGATGTACCAATGCAGTTGAATCTCGCAGGATTAAATGAGTGCGAGAGATACACCTTATTATCCCGAAAAAAAGTCCATGTAATGAAGTCCCAGTACTATATTCGTTCGTCTAGGTCCAACAACGCAGGCCCCAACGGAGGCATTTCTTGAGAGGATCGCAGGAATTAGAAGAAGGTGCTTTGTGATAATGACGTTTGGGATATCGGACTCTATGATGCGAAGATCGTCTTTGTGGCGTTGAAAGCTGGAGTGTCATTGACATGATATAGGCTAATCTGCGTGTATCATCGAATTCAATGTTACCGTAAATGATGAGATCGTAGTGGTAAAGACTGTGCTGTCCTCCAGACTTGGACCGCCTTGTAGGCCATGTCTCAAAGTTGAAGCAACAAGTCTGCTATATACCAAGATGGGAAAAGCCATATTGGTATGGTCAGCGCCGAGAAATTGGACGATCCCAGCCAACGGTATATGGCGAATACTATGGTGAAGGTTCAGAGACTAGGTGGGGGTGGTCTACCGCCGTACACTGGCTTAAGATATAGTAGTTCGGCACCCAGGGAACCTAGTACGGCATATGTCTACGAACAGTCCATCCGATAGAGCATAGAAGAATGACTCTTGAGACTTGAATGCCATAAGGGGGGCGGGTTTGTCTGGCTCCCTAATGAGGGCTGGACTACGTACACAATCCATAATTTACCAAGAGGAAGGCCTCGCTCCTGGTGTATTCTAGAACTATATGAGAAGAAGTATGTCACTAAAAAGGGCAGCAATACTAGAGGGATGACTCCACGGCTGTAGTGGCTGAGATACTAAATCCCGATCCATCCTTCCGTCGCAGCCATCCCTCAGGCTTCATCGTTGAGGAAGATTTCCTCGTCAAAGTGGAGCGAGACGATAGTTCATAAACCAATTGACTTGTGCCATTGAGGAAGAGTATCATCAATTAGACTCGGCATCCAGGAAAGGGATGACTTACCCCACCGGGGATATAATAAGAACCGAGTTGCAATCCGGGAGAACCACGCGAGGAAGCGGCAGTAGCCTAGGAAGTGCTGGCCAGATTCGATGCGCCAAAAGAAGAGACGAAATCATCAGATAGGGCAACCTTTAGACAGTATGTGAAGGCTCAAATCCATAAAGATGGAAAAAAACATACAGCAGCATGTATATGTCGGTGCTCACCCACCCCATCGTCTGTTCCCTCGCCGCTTTGCCGCCCACGTTCCGGCGGCCTTCAGGTGAACATTCAGGCACCTGAATATTTTGCACTCGACTACCAAGAAGCTGCATTTTGACAAAAGCGCAGAGTAGTGCCCATGTGTGAGAGAGAACTTGTTTTAAACCACGATGCGTCCGTCTTACTCCTACACTACACCTTGATCCCTAACTCAAACTGATCGGACACTATGCCACAGAAGCCAGCAGCAACTTTTACGTGCGTCATCAACCTTGACGAACACGATGATAAAGAGATCAAACGAGCTGTTCTTCCACGAACGGCCGAAAGGTATGAGCGGAGTGTGGAGGTTTTTGACCAGTAAGTCTTTCGAATCTACGGAGGCTCGCGTCTCATCGTCTCAGATTCCTTGAACTGCACCCCGCTGCCCGCTCTCCCCCGGACATCAAAACCTACAAAGGATTTTTGGAATTTTACGCAAGAAACACAAAGGGTCGAATCGAGGAAAGGCCTACGACGGAGACCGTGGAGAATTTCCGCCGGGACTTCGAAACAGCTCTTGCTCAGCTGAGGGGCTTCTGTGTCCCAAAGAATATGTCTAATACCTTGAAGGAGGTATGCATTTTTTGACCCCGATATAGTCTGTATACTAATAAATCTCAAAGTACATCATATCGGATTTAAAGACCAAACTCAGTCTTCCAGACGTCGAGATGTCCAGAGATGGACTCTCTCCAAATGATTTGACCATCCTCCTAACATAGCTCTGGTGTCGGGACTTTAAGGAATACCGCGGCCAGTTTCCTGACCGGAGTAGAGCACAGCTTTCGCGCATTCAAACTCCATCAGCATATCCCAGTCTCCCCTTAACCCCCAATATGTTGCCTGTATTTCACGCTGATAATCTCAAGACATGGAAACCCCCTTTCCGCACAAGATCCTCCTCTAAGCGCTCACGCCTACACCCGTCTTCCAATGACTCCCCTGCCATCAAATTTCCTCAGTCACCCCTCCCCCAAGCATTGCCATTGCCCAATCATCAGCTCCCGGCGCGGCCCCCAGCTGAGGTTTGCGTTCATGCAATTTCCGTAACACAATCTGGCACCTTCTGGGGCCCTCAGTCTCCGTCTCAGAAGCCATCCAGGCTGCACTCTGCCACCACGCCCGCCACATCATCCGACATGCAGCACGCAGAGCGTCTAGAACAGTCTCTGAGAAACAGAGCTGGTCCATCATCAAATTCGGACCTGTCCACGTCACCCGAAGTTCACAATGCCACTGATGCCTCAATTGATGTGCCTTTTTTCCCAGAGGACGCCTTGACTTATATATCATCACCCAGTGTATCCAGCTCGGACGAGAGCTGGCAAGAGTTTCTCTAACTGGCAGACCAACAAAATGGCATTCCGATCGACCCGGTGATCCTCACCAACAATGGCCCCTGGGAGGCAGAAGATGAACGACAGCATATTCATGCGGATGTTGATGCCGTCATCTCACAGACCATTTATTAATATCCCGACCCTCCACCACTTCTCCGCGTCACGCGTGCCGAGAATAGAAACTCTAACGCATATCCTGAAGCGCAGGAAGGAAGCTCTCGGTTGGATGGCCCGCCGCACAACCAGTCACACGCACAAGTATCTGCCAATAACAACCCTGAAGCCCACATTCGTGCGTCCAGCAACCCCCGCGAGGTCCCAACCAGCGGACAACAGTCGAAACGCCGCAAGCGGAAGTTACAACAGTTGCATGGACAACCACAACAGTGCAAACGGGTCAGAGGTTCTTCTGCAACCGCCTCGGAGGAGCATTCTTTCTCATTGCTTCGTTCTCACTTCACATCTGTATTAGTTGATGAATGCTTACAATTTCTTACATGGCTGTTTGAAGGCGCACTACCACGCTGTATGTCTGAATTCGACCTGAGAGTGTCTGAGTGTATAGCACAACCGACACATTACGTATCTCAGCCAGCTGATTCCACTGCGCTTCCTGAAACCTCTCGGAAAGGCATGCCGTGGTCATCCGAAGAAATAGAGCTCCTTCTGAGGCTGAGGAGAGACGAGAAACGAGCTTGGTCGGAGGTGACAAGGTTATTTTTGGACCAATTTCCAGGCCGGAGCCGGGGCTCCATTCAAGTATATTGGAGCACGACCCTCAAGAATAGAGCACGTTAATACGATATCCCTTTCCGTCTCTTGCGTCTTATGTCGTGGTAAAGCCGGGCCTCGTCTCGAGTGATTCTGTGAAGTTAGTTCAAACGTGTCTTGAAGAAACTGATATTGGCAACGCTCATTTGGCTCTGCGCGACACTGGAGCGATCCAGATCATTCGCAAATATGCTGATCAAAGGGTTTCGCATGCTGGTCACGAAGCGGCTTTGGTCTGCACCATCCCAGGCCAAGTACTTGTACCCCTGTTCTTAAAGGACATACATGTGATGACTGAGAGGATTAACTGTGTTAGCAACAGGGATTCTGTCAGTTGCATGCAGAAACTGACCGCAGTACTCCTTTTGCAGGGAGTACTCCAGGAAATTGCAAAGGAATGGTCAAATTGCAACTCCAATAATGACACAACCATCCTCCAGCATTGGGATCTATACGATCTAGTGGGCATGTCCATGATGCTGGAAGACCGCCTACAAAGGAACTAGGGTACCTCTGGACGCTGTCTCACATTACTAAGCAATTGTGTGGACAGAGCCAGGTGTGATATCAAGAAAGATGTGAAACCTGCTGCAGTATTTGGTAAACTGAGTCCTCACCCGCTACGCAGTCCAGATTCTGTTCTCCAACTGCGAGTGTTAGAAGAATATATCATGTATCTCAAACATTAAAACAGCCAGAAAACGCAAGCTCATATAATTCCGAGAGGCATGTGCGATCCAGACCCTTTTACAGTGAACTTTCGTAACCAGACACTGCAGTGGCCAATTCTCCGAATCTCTGTATATTAATAGGAGACGGACATATGCAGTTCTACACTAGTTATCCTATTCGATAAATGTGTCACTGAGAGTAAGGAGCCAGGCTGCAAGGGCCAGGGGTCACATTGCGGAAATGGCCACAAGTTCTATTAACTACTATTCAGGTTTCCGATATCCCCAGATGCTGAAAAGTCCGGTGCTATGCTACAAGATATCTCCCATCACCGGCCTCCTTTTTTCGTCTGTCTCCTGACCAACCTTCACCTGTACCAGATACAGCATTGATACAGCATCCCACACTTACATCGCTTTCCATATATGACATCACGAAGTGTTTCTAGATTGTGTGGCTACTGTCCCAGTCAGCCGGGATCATGCTCAAGGGCGGAGTGGGTGGGTATTCCTGAAGTGGTAAGGCCCACCATTTAGCGCCATCCAGAACAGAATGCCATGCACACAATCGGAATAAGACTCCATGCGGGGTACTTCGCCACCATGCAGCCTCAAAAACTTTGATCGTCCTCAACCTCAATCTCATGTCTTCCCCTAGACTCCGTGTCTCCCCTAGACCATGACCATGTCCTCCAAAAGAGTACCCTGTGACCCTTGTCGCCAACGACGCGTACGCTGTGACGGGTCTTCTCCCTGCACCTCCTGCCAGCGCTCCCAACTGGCCTGCAAACGCGAGTACATTCGAAGACCGCGCAGTCCAAAACATGGCAGTGGAAAGAAGATAGCGGCTTTGAGGGCTGCTCAATCACAAATCGAAATCAACCAAGACCATACTACCGCTGCCCACCAATCACCCGGGAATGATCTTCTATCCCCGGAGAATCTGCCTCATCTGATGGAGCGCTGTATTGACGTCTACCTTCATCGCATGTACCCAATAATGCCACTGTTCAGGCCGTCTACGCTATATCAAAGGCTCAATAGACCACAGGAGCCAAATGAGAGAAGCATGTTATACGCTCTGTGTGCCCTGGTCACCGCGTTCATGTGCGGGCGCAGTGAATCCATCATTAGATGTGGTGAATGGGCCGCTTGTGCTCGTCGGATCATAGAGAAGTGTCTTTTAATGCGGTCAGAATACAGCTTTGTCAAAGACAACACTGTGCTGACACTGCTTGCATCTTTCTTTGTCGCCATCACATACTTTGAGTTGCATGACATTCGAAAGAGTTGGTTTTATCTCCGCGAGGCGATCACATTAGCACATGCGCTGGGCCTGCACACGGATGAGTACTATCGTGGCATGAATCATGTGGACGCTCTGTATTGTCGCCGGATTCATAATATTCTCTTTGTCACAGAGAGATCGTTGGCGATAGCGAGGCACAAACCGGTCCTTCTATCGCAACCGTTGCCTCTTCCTACTCCCGGACCTGACGAGGGACTTAAAGGTCTCGAAGAACAGCCGGAGATTGACGCTGGATTCCGGCAGTTTGTACGGGTTTACTCACAGATTGATATCGACTTCCTCGAGTTCTGGAGCCAGAGGGGCTCGGTCTGTTCTGGTTCGTTATAGGAACAAGGTGGACCAAACCTGCTCCTGGACGACGGTGTCATGTCTGATGCTCAGAGAGCCGATATATGCGTGACACAGCGCTGGCTCGATCTTGTTCTATGGAGAGCCGCTCTCCAGCAAGGCTGACTTTCAACCAAGGCCGAGTCGCGATCCAGGATGTTTTCTTATCCAGAAGATATAGCTTTATCCCTCCTGCGGATATTGTCCTCACTTCCTAGCGAGTCTGTGGAAGTGCATGGACTCGGTATTGTGAGCTCTACGTTGCAATTTTTACGTGCTTTCTCTAACATTATCGCGCCAGTTCGAAAAAATCAATGATGTGGGGAACACCCTGGCAGACTTCATCCATTGCTCAGCAAATTCGCGAGGCTGGAAAGAGACCATAAGCACAGAACTTGGACCGAGTGGGTTCAATAAGGAGACACCTTTCATTGAGTCCCAATTCTCATGTGAAGTTCGCCGTCTCCCTCGGAAGACGCCTAGCCGAGTTTGATCTCTGCTACAAGAGCCCTTTGACTGTCCTTCGTGCAGCAGACTACGGCAGCGAAGACTTGACTACCGAGGACCAGGAGGAATAACACGCTCTGATATATGCATCGCCGTTGTCATATGTAACACTAGGTAAATGCAGGGCCACAGTGCTCAACCGCCTAAACATGCCTCCTCTCAATTCACGTAGACCTCAGATTTGGGGTCTCACTCTGCAACAACAGCTTAAATAGACAGAAGTGCGATCCGCTCGTCGGCCTTTCTACCCAATCGGTTTGATCTGATGGTAGCGGCTATCTACTACGGTGCTTTGGGACAATTCTACAAATATGGCGCGGAGGGCTCGCCATGGGAACTGCGGTATCCGCTTGAGTGGCTTGATTGACCTGATGTGAGGATCCCGCGGGGAGGTATTGCGATTGTGCCGGAGGAGCAGAGTGAGAAATTTGTTGCGAAGGCGCGGGAGGTCATGGAGGGGAAGTCTGGTGGTGATAAGATTGTTTTGACGCTGCGAGAGGGAGATCATGGGTTTGATGTCGAGGTGCCGCTTGAGCAGGAGTGGTTGTCGAGTCATCTCAAGATGGCTGTAGAGGCCTGGCTGGAATAGATGACAAGAGAGGATTGTCAAGTAAATTGGCATATAATTGTACAGCTGAATGTTGAATCTGGCTTTCGCCACAGTGTCCCAGATGTGCTTGGATCATATTCAGATATACATATATTACAGGACACGCAAATTCGAACATGGAATACCACTGCCGGTAGCGTACAGAGTTAAATATAAGAGACCATACTCTCAAGCCTTGCATACCTTCTGAATCGAATGTAGCAAATCACTTTTCTCCTTGAACGATGAGCCCAGTGCTGCAATCTCCTTGGAGGTCATGCCCCTTCTGACCTCTGCCGCCTTTGCAAAGCCCATTTCACCACGGAAGCCAACAAGGGCAGCAAACAGAGCCATGATAGCACTCTTTGGATCATCAACCAAGCCATACACACCAAACGCAGTGTCCCCCGCGGCTCCAGTCAGCAGAATGATACGCCCGATGGTGGCAAACCCAAGACCACCAACCGCCTCACCCACAGCGGGCACAATCATCAAGAAAGCCATAACAAAATTGAGGATCATCGCCTTTTTCTCGGCGTCTTCAATGTCATCTGCCGCCTTGACGATCTTCTCCATTGACTCAACCGCGAACTCAGTCATGAAGACGGGCAGCTCAGAAGCAGCAACAACATCGCTTGTTGAGCCGACATACAGAAGGGTTGCCGCTTCTATTGCCGCATCAGCCAGCATGTCGCTAATAATGGTCAGGTTTGTCATTGCGGTGGCGATCACGTCTTTAGGATTTGGCACCGATATATGGTCTTTTCGGGCCGGGTATCCGAACCACCAGAACCCGCACTCATAGTCGTCAACAGGCTTGCATCCCTGAGAGCTCGACGCTCGCCGCGGCTTGTAGGTGATCCATGAGGGATCGACGCCATACTTCTCGGCTATGTCCTTGAGGAAGGCGTTCTCATCCTCTAGCTGCCAATAGATAGTGGGCCCGTCGGATCCAATGCCTGTATTAGGGCGAGTCACAGGGCATGAGACGGTCTTGTTTTGGTCACCTGACTCCCCTTTTCCGCACGACCCGTCGCAGCCATCGCGACATCCTTGCCAGCCACAGTCAGCGCAGCAGGTGATGTATGACTGCGCAACATAATTGAAGTGGTCGTCGCCGTGGGCCATCATGTACTCGTTGATTTGAGACCATACGGAATCCTTGGTGTAATTGGAGTATGTTTTGAACTTGTCATCGTACCCTTGTTTCAAGAGCTCGTTGTACTTGTCCAGGGCCGACTGAAGGCGCTTACCTAGGATCGGAATGGTATATGTGTCGACACAATAGTCCGGGATATTCTTAAGATCATCTGATATGGCCTGCAGTGTGTCGTATGTTTTATCACAAGACTCGTAGGTAACATCTGGAATGGTGTAAAATTCCTTCAGATCCACGGCCCAGTCACTCCAACCCCCAAAGCCATAAAGGATGACATAGTTGAACGCCCGAAGAGCGAAGGTGTCTTTGCTCATATATCCAACCCATTCCGTCTCGTTGTAGACCATGATGTCACTCATTGACTGCTCGTCATACCATGTCTTTGCTGTTGGATTCTGATCAAGGATCTCCCGGATCTCAGCAAGAGTAATATAGCCAGGTGTTTCCGTGCAACGGCCCGGTGCAGCCGCGGATACTGGTCCTAGATATGGGCACATAGGTCCCGTGCAGCCCGCTTGAGCCATTTTAAAGGAGCGGCTGTATGATGCAACACCCATGATTACTTTGTTGGTCGGCATGCCAGCCTTGGTGATCATGCTCATGGTGGTCATGGTTTTGGTATTGTTGACATGGCTTTGCAAGCAGTTCCCCTTCGGACAGCCTGGTGTGGCCCACTTATTGTTGTAATCCCATTGTCCGTGCAGATCATAAGTCATATAAACCATGTAGTCCAACAGAGGCTTGAAGTCGGTAATTGGATTGAAGCCCTGCAGATACCAGAATGATGCTGGAGCCGCAATGGAAAGGCTTTTGTCCTTGGGGAGGATCTCATGAACCATCTTAAGAAACTTGACATAGTTGGGACCGTCCTGCTTGCTCCCCGGTGGAATCCCAGGGATATCTGGAGCACTGGGATATTCCCAGTTAAAGTTAACGCCATCCAGCCCGTGCGCTACGATAAAGTCAACAACATTTCTGGTAAATGTTTGACGGTTGGCGTCCGTCACTCCTTCATGGAAAATTGGATATGAGTCGGCTTCTGTAGAGAAAGACCAGCCTCCGAAGGAGAGGATTTGTTTAATGCCGGTCATGCCTTTGAGCATGTTAAACTGCAACTCCACCGCAGAGATGTCCACCTCGAAAGTAGTCGTAATGTCGGCAAACGCAAAATGAATGTGCGTGTAGAATGAAGTGTCCACTGCAGTGACATCCCAGTTCAGACATGGCTGGTTGTAGTTGAATGCCTCAAAGTATGCCACCTGCATGACATGGTCTGGTCTCTTTTGGTTTACAATGTCTGTGCCGCAGTGGGAGATGCAACTGTTCTCACCTGGTGCCGCAGTTCCAGGAGCACCAGTCTTTGACTGGGACTTGGTGCAGAAATCAGCAGTCACGCTGCACTGGCCCCAGATGTTACAATAAGCATTCAACTTGCACGGGTTCAGATCAGCGAGTTTTTGGCCGTTATTTGGTTTTCTCATTCTGGGAACCTGTGGGCCACACACGGCATTGGACACTGCTTGAGGCATTGGTGGGTTGCCCTTACTGAGACACATTCTAGTCCCAACCATGAGATTGCTGCAGCCTGCCCATCCCCACGTCTGCTTGTTGAAAGATTCTAAGTTGTTGATAGTAAGGCCGTTGGAAGCGGATATCTTGTAGCAGCTATCATCAGTGACGACTGTGTATGAGGAACAGGTGCCATCCGGATTGGGCTTTGGTCTTAGATTGGGAAGATCACCCGGTGAACAACACATAATCTGACTGATAGCTAGTGTTGAACACAAGTTGGCTTTTCTCTTATTGTATTCCTCAAACTGAGGACTGGTGACGCCGCACTTGGAGGCCAGCGATCCACATGAGTCACCGGACACAACCTTGATGTAGGAGCAGGTGGCTTGTTGGTGAATGTGTTGATCCATGTGGCTTTGCTTAGCCTTCGCCTTCTGAATTGTAGTTGGAGCAAATTTGAGAGACAGTGAGGCCTAATTGGATGTCTTGGGGTAGTTGGCAATGCATTGCGAGTCACTCCATTGCTTTACCATGTCCTGAACTTGCCCTAATGAACCAGTGGTATCCACAATAAGACCGACTGTGCTGTCTGAGTCTGTTCCGCATAGCTGCAACACCACACGGTCAGCTACCCCATTTGTTCGGATGTGGTCCAGGAACTTTGAGATCATAGACTTGATTATGGAGTTGTGCTCAATATTGCCGCTGACATATAAGCCCATGGCTGTCTCCTGTGCATAGCTAAAGCTGATAGACTGCTGGCATTGGCCTGTGCCGCCCAAGCGACCTTGGACCTGCTGAAGTGCCGCAATGATGCTTGGAATAGTCTCATGTCTTTCTATGCTGAACGTGATGAATTCCATGTCCACTTGAGACTCGTTTGTATCAGAGTAAACGCTGGCTGCAGCTTTCTCCATGGCTTGAGTGGTAGGATTTCCATCAGGCACGCAGGCATATAATTTTGTGTTTGTGTCGGGGCTTTTGAGAGGATTATAAAGAGCAAAGTCCAGTAGCATGGTTTCATTGCAGGCACTGAGACGGTTGACTCGGTCATATGTTGTCTAGTTGATTGAGTTATGTAGACTGTCACATGGCGCTGGACGAGTATTGAGCGAGGATATGAAGGAGGAATTGATAAATGAGATGGTTGCCATGACTGAGGGAAGGAGATATTGCCACTGCATTGTGTATGATAATGCTGGTTAAGCAACGACATACAAGCACAAGAAGTGACTGAAAAACTGAGCGCATACGCGGTGACAAAGAGGTATTTGAACTCAAAGGAGGAGACTAGCTGGCCAATTGCTGGGCTAAATGAATGGGCTCAGCCAGGACCTTGACCTCCTAAAGGAATGGAAGGTACAGTGAAAGCGTCTGCAACAGTAACTACCATCTTAACAACTACTTGTTACAACATTCTAAATGCATGTAATCGCGTTCAGGCACTTCCATACGGTGTGGACAACCGATGGAATGTCTCTGATTTTGAAATTACACGGAGCACTGGAGGGATTATTGACGCTGGTCTTATTTCAGGAACCAGGAAGATATTAACTGAGGCAGTGCTATACATCCCTGTACTGTTATATTTAAACAGTCTCAAGTGACTGAGAATTGATGGTCAATGTAACAATTTAATTTAATGAGCATTTAGTGTCTATATCCTACTCACCCATCTCCTAGTTGATAACTGTTTGTTAAATAACGCATGTGAGAGAAACAGGGGCATCGCAACCCATAACCAGTTAGTGGATGGGTTGATCAGTAGTCTGTACGCACGACAGGGTTGTTATTGTGGTCACAGCTACGGAGTAAGTAAACAAGATTACAGCTCAGGATGCACTTCCGCTTTGCCAAGGACCGAGTCTGTATTTAGGGCCTCGCCAAGTGCTCCTTTGCCATAGTCTAAGCATCTTTCCGTTTGGTCTTGTTCCAATCAAATAGTGACTCACTTTGGTTAGAGAAAGCACTCCTACTCCACCCCCATATGGAAAAGCTGTGATCAGCCCATTAACCGCCGCAAAGCTGGGTAGCGTTACATCGCCTCCATAGGTCCGTTCGTTTCGTTCAGGCCTTCAGGGCAATACTCGAGGCGAATGTGATCTCATCGATAGACAACCCACTGCCGAGTTGCCCGGTTGTTTACCAAGAAGGGCGACGAACTAGGAGTAGAGACCTTGTGGAACGCAATTTTGGATCCGGACTCATGTATAAGCCCAGCGGGAATGTCAACTGACGACGAACAATCACCCCGTCCATTAGAGTCGGAGAAATGACGGTCTCCTTCTTCCAATTCCAACAGCTCTAACCTCCATTCATGCTGTGATTGGACTGGATAATATTGGTACCTTGCAGTTCATTTCCGCTCTACTGTCCCAAGGCCGCTTGGCGTACAGATAGTGCAAGGTTTAGCAAATATAATGAGATTGCATGGTAGTATCAGTATTCCGATATAGCCGTAGAACAAACTGGGCGCATAAGGGGCCATGGCTCGAGCTGTCGCAGGTGTCTTCGAGCAACTCGCATGAGTTGGTCGCTCGTGTCCAGGATGATACTATGTAGCAAGGGTGCAGTCAGTTCAAGCGAGTCAACGTTTGTTCATGATTGTAAGATTCTCCAGAATAAATAGCCAGCCATTACCTTGGACAATGGCTAGATAGTGGTCACCCAAGGAAGTGTACCGTCTGGAATTCTCCTCTTATACATAATTTCCCTTATCGCGTGACAGTTCCGGCCCAATGAGACTATCCCTTATTACCTTGCTGGCATATCTGGTATGCTGTGCCAGTTGCTTTGGTGATCATGGGGCGTATGAGCGAGCACTCTTCTGGTACATGTATGAACTAGATGCTGCACTCCATGACAGACCACAGATCATTGCGCCAAGATGCACCAGGGGGATGCCAAACAGGGTCAAGAAATGTACTCTCCAGCAATTTCTCAACTCTTTCGACCGGAGCGAGAAGGCGACGCCGATCACAGAGGACGTGAGCCGAAAGACTGTCGATGAGCTGGCGCAAATACTGCAAAACCATGGCTACGTTGGGAAGTACGAGGCAAAATTCCTTTTCAACGGAGTTGATGAGTCGACGACAGGGAACATGCCCAAGATCATCACAGAGGTAGAGCTGTCCTGATATACCCTTCCTCGTGCCTCTCTTTCTTGTAGTAAAATATCCCGGCCCGTCTGACGAACGATATAGGTTGCAAAAGAACTGAAAGAGTTGAAGAAAAGAGCGAGGGATTCGCAGGACCCCTCTGTTAACCAGCTTGTCTCAAAGACACTAGCCGCGTACGATACAGTTGAATACATCCGTCAGTGGAACTATTCAAAGGGGTTCGCGGGATTCCTAAAAGATAACTACCAAATTGAAGTGGTCACCAAAAATGAACCTTGGCCGGGAAGTGCAACCGAAACAGAACAATTCATAGACCAGGGAGCCACTAAAAAGAAATATCCAGACTATGATTTTGGAGTACTGCTTGGAGAGTATAGAAAGAAAGATAAGATCCATGGGCCCCTTGTGCAAGCAATGAAAGCGGGGAAACAGAGATTTGAGTGTGTATGATGGCCTGGGTTCGGGTTTTGTTTTCATGCATTTCTCCATATCTCTTATCTAGTTTTATTTCCTAGGAAAGATGGAGACAAATGGAAGTTTGGCAGTACAATTAAATTGATTTGATTTGCCATAGTTTCAAAGATCGCTGGCGGGGCTCAGAGCGCTTTGTTCCGGTGTCCTGCCACCACCAAGTCAGCCCCTGCCAAGGTTACATTCGCAATCACGGCCGAACTCTGCTGCATATATCATAGGGTCTCTGACATCTTTCCCGCTCGTTGTCCTTTTGTTTTTTAGTTTTTTTTATATTTTTTTCAAAAACGGTCTCCTTACTCCAGGTCATCTATCCATCATGGGCCTCATCTCCAGTGACAGTCTCTTGAACAAAAAGTACAATGAACAGGATTGTCTGCTTGCCGTACGTGGCCAACGAATCCCAAAAGCTCTGGGAGAAGAAATCACTCAACTATGTGTTGTCCGTGGAATTCGATACCATCCAGGCTTTGCCACCGAACTTCGTGGACTATTTCCTAAATTCACCCGTGCACTGAACGCCAGGGACATCATGAGCGATAAGATCCCCGATATGAGCGACCCTGACGAGTTCCCTTACTGCATCTGGTACCCAGAGACGGCGAAGGAAGAAACCTACCGGGATCTTGCCCGCCGCTATCCGCAGATGAAGTATCTTGTCGGTCGAGCATGTGCTGTAGCGGGTTATGTAAACCTTTTCAAAGAGTTGGACCTCCTTCCCGAAGCGCACATTGCAGAAGAGGCGCGCGAGAACAAACAGTGGGTGATCTATGAAGTCATCATGGCGGCAGATCGACGCTACAACGCTATGGACGATTACACAAGGGCTGTATTTCCAAAGCCAGTCCCAGGGTACCTCAACGCAGATACTGCAGTACGGTCCTACCTGGATATCAAGACGAAATTTGAAAAGCCGCCCGGCTGTGACGAGGACTGGAGTATTTTTGATGTCTTGAGTATACGAGACCGCGGCATTTTTGACATTACAGAAGATGATCGGATCGACGAGTTCACTTCGGAGCCACTGCCACCGCAGAACGACGACGTGAGTCACCTACTGTATACCCCGCTGCCAGCCGACTTGCCGACGATGAATAAGGACCTGTTGATCCTCATGGCGGCATATTACGGTAATATCGAACGGTATGCTCGCCTGCGTCGTCCGAATAGTTGGGTCACCACTGAGGTGGAATGTGTCGTGCGCGGCGTCTACCACAACTCCATGTTCGCAAAATGGTGGTCCCTTCAACCCGGGCCAGGGCCAGCACCAGACCGTATCGAGAAAGCAATCAACGCACGCTTCATCATGAATAACGACCTTTCTCGGATCACGCCAGAGACCAGACACCTTCCGTACTGCATCTGGTACCCATCCTTTCCCCACGTCGCGACTTGCAAAGAACTGCTTCGACGCGTGCCATCTATGAAACCGGCTGTTGCGAGGGTCTGCATCCTGCGCGATTACAGCGACTACTGGGACGAGCTTGACGCAGACCCGGATGTGAATCTGATGGCGGAGGCTCGGGAGAGTCCTAACCCAAAGTATCTCCGTGATCTGGAAGCAAGGATTCCAGAGCGTGGTTGCCGCGACTTCGAACACGATTCGACGTATTCAACTGTGACACGGGACTTTATGTACGAGCCCACCTCCACCCTTGTCCTTAACAATGTGCCCAACGAACCGTATGCGGACATTGAGATGGGCGTGCCTTACAATGGGAGAGGTGCCAATATGGCCTACATCGAGCTATGTGTCTCTGTACCGGATGAAGTGAAGAAGGTTGCTCTTGAAGAGCTCGAGGAAACTAGAAGCTTCGACGTTATTGAGTATTATAACTCTTTGGGGGAGAATAGACATTCTACTCGATCCACCGAGTCCTAGAAAGACACGTTTGATCTCATGGTCATTAACTGACGGTAGTGGTCAAGAATGGCGGATCCTGCGAGTTGATAACTGCATGTACAATTGGGGATTTCTATTTGAGCATTAACCTTAACAAGCTGCTGAGCTAAACTCACAACTTCTCATGCTGGTAATCTATAGTCCGCTGAGTGGGTCTGGCTCGGCTATCAGAGCAAATCTCCGAGCTCGGGCTCACGAACCATGAAGCCGGAGGGGGCAACACCGGAGGAATATGTTTCTATTGCCTAATATCCCCAGTTTTAGACTTCTAGCGTACCCTAGCGTCGCGGGGCATGTCCCTTAGTTTTACTCTCCCTTCTCTTAATAGAAAGGAAAAATGTACTTCCCAGGGCGTAGACTAGTCCTCTGAGTCATATTTGATCTAAGCTATATTAATTAGGTCCCATATAAATAAAATGCCCCGAATCTTAACTGCAGCATTACTTCAGCAGTCGCCAACATGTCGACCACTACGACTGCAACGATCACACCCATCAATTCTCTCGTATTGGAAGCGACGAATCTTCGGTCCCCAAGGGTCGTGATGTCATATTCAAAAGCCTCTGAAGTGTTGCGTTTCAGTATCCCACGACATTGAAGCACTGAGGTGGGGAAAGATGTGACGATCCGTCACCATATTCCCCGCTGGCCTCCTTACACTGAGCTTCCTGCCCCCCTTGACCGCTTACTGCTTCAGGGTTGTTTGACTAGTTTGCACTGCTCCACCCTCTGTTTACAATATCTCCCCACCATGTACATACTTTCCTTCTGTCAACCATATCTTACAAGCTATCGAATCCGGAGAGTATCGGATATCGATATTTAACCGAATTCTGGCTGGGCCAATCAGATCGCTGGATTCTACCATGGATTCAACTCGCCGGATTAAGAAGATTTTACAGAGTTTTCATTTAGTCGATTATAAGTAGTTAGTTAGATATCTAGATTGCCAGAAATCAGACCTTCATTCATCCCGAATCATACCGTTTACTAGCGATTACCATAGATTCGCTATCAACGGGGATCGGTTGACAATATACTAGCCAGCATGCCGGCAATTATCTTCTTATCCTTAAGTAATGTCTCTGAGGGCTGCACTAATTTTAGGTATTATACCTAATTACTTGTAGCATAGTTTAGCATGACGCTAGGGTCCTTAGGTTTCTCAGAAAATTCAGTATTAGTGAGAACCTTAAGGCATATCTTGAGGACATGGGCTTTGGCATCATTATAGATGACTCTAGTAGGTAGTCTGTCCTTTACGGCAGAGACCTTGCCCTCATTTATATTGCGGAAGAAATCACCTAGGGAAGTGTGGCTGAAGGTGACAGTTATTAACTCCTTGTTTGAATCAAACTCTATAATGTTCTTAATATCTTTAAACACTTCCTGCTCATTGCTCTCCTCCTTAGTAATAGGTTTATCATCAGACTTATATGCCCTGCCTGCCAAGGCCTGGAGCTCTATTGTGGTTAGACTATCTTTATGGTTAAGGTTAAAGAAGGCAGTGAATTGCTTGCAAAGCGCACCTTTAAGGTAAATCATCCCATCCCCCTTAGCTGACTTCAACTTAAGGATTGCCTCCACCTCACCAAGGGTCAGTAGATGAACTGCACAGGTGGCCTACAGCAAAAGCTTATTAAGAAACTCTAGCTCTTCATTGTTCAGACTGGCAGAGAAGCTTATAAGGACATGATGCAGCATTTCCCTCAAGCCCTTGGGTGCCTGCTTGAGGCTTTTATAGATACTGGACTTGTTGTGCTTCTTAACCAGCTCCTATAGTATTAGGTTCACCCACAGAAACATGCCCTCAGCACCTGCAGATAGTTTTTCAGTAATCTCCTTCTATAGAGTTAGTGAGACGTGTCACAGGATCACTAATTTCTGAATGCTGGTTTTAATGTACTAGTTAATATTAGCAGAATTTTTCAGTATTATCACATAGATTATTAGGATGTTGGTTTCGAGCGCTTTAGCTAGCTAGTCACTAATATACAGCTATCCAACCATTACTAACTATAAATGGCTGCAATTTAGGGAGTCCAGAATGTCCTTAGCAAGCTGCAAAAAGGTGAGTCTTTCCTCCTCAAAGGCCTCATTAACCATATTAAAGAGGAGATAAACACTGCTTATGATTAATTCTTTCTTTAAGAAATAGTTGATAAAAAGGGTCTGCCACACACTTTCTAAAGTGCTAATACTCCCATGATCTCTAATGGCTGCAAGGTACTTCTTATATGCTATATTATTACTGCTGATCTGAAAGGTAAGATCCTGCAGGGCTTGGTGAAATGACCTCATGGTGGGGTTATCATCCTTAAAGAAGAAGTACACTATAGAGACATGTGAGCAATGTTATACCCCCTGTGAGTATTAGTCTTTAAGGAAGGCAATAATGCTGGATGAAAGATAGGATTTGCCAGCTCCAGGATTACCAGAGATCAACATGATGGGGATCTCTTAATACAACCAGCCCTGGAATATATGTTTATGCTTAACCTAATCTCCTGTGCTAGGAATACAGGCTTTACTAATCCTATTATACCAATCCTGTGCTGAGTCTGTTGTGGATGGTTGCAGAATCTTCCTTATAAGATTGCGCTGTGACTTTGCTGAGTCCCCATAATTTTCATCCTTGCTGTTCACCACAACCAAGAGGTTGCCCAGCATTTCATGTACCTTAGTGACCTGCACAGTCATCTGATTAATAGCCTTTCCCATCTCTTGCACTGTGACATTTATTAATGTGATAGTGGTTTGGACTGTGTCCACTACACACCCTACCGAGCAGAAAACTACGGCCACCAAGGCCATTGCCCTTCTTGTTTTAGTAGGTGAGCAGTGCCGCCCTGAACTCGCGCGACTTGGGTGAGCCGGTCTGTGGCGGGGCTGAGCGAGGTGAGCATGCAGGGGTGACCCTCACGCGATGGTCGCGTGCTCGGGCGCGATTGGTGGTGGCCAAGGCGCCATCCATCCTTCGCGCTGGAACTAGTTTCAGATTCCCAACAGGCTGCCAAACGTAGCCATTTTTATTGGGCTGAGAAGAATCTATTTCTTATTAGCCAGTGAAGAGGTGAGCTTCTCTTCCTCGCTGTTTTAATGACCAGATATCACGTGAGCTTTAAGTAATCTGACAACGAGCCTTTCCGACTTACGTCATGAATAGAGCAACCCTTCACTGCTACCTGACCTCATCCCATCGCGAGACGGCCTTCAATGTTGCCCTCCCCTGCAATAGTATCCATAAGTTAAGCCGAATCGCTATTGCATTTTGCCAAGCATTCGAAAATGTGGGATTATCGGACACTCCGCTTTCTTCCTGGACAGGGTGTGCAGGGAAGTGCGCGGCCACGTGACTGTACTAGAGCAAGCCCAGAACAGCTCAAAGCGCGGAAAACAACAAGAGAAGCCGCTATTGCAGTGTGGTGGACTGCACATAGCGTCACTGTCTACTGCCCATTCTGCCATAGAACGCATAACTACGGGATACGACACTTTGCGAATGATGAGGAATCAGGGCGTTTAATACTCGGTGATCGTGGCCAATACACTTATCGGGGTCCTTCACTTGAGCGTTGCGAGTCTCGTCGAGCGCATTGCAACCATGACATTCCCGTGGATGTCGAATATACTATCCTTTTTCCCTTTGAAGCGGACCCAAGAGTAGAGGGGCTTTCCTTTGAGATCGAGATACTCTTTCCAAGCCCTCCGGACGGGAAGCCCTGTTTTCCACACCCTGTGGTCGTATGTGCTAGATTTCCCCAGTCAGTGCATGTTACTCTAATCATGTATGCATAGATCTCTTGGGTCGACAATTCGAGAGCACTCTTCATAGTGTGAGTTCCATGGAACTGCCACAAGAGACTGGTCGCAGAGAAAATAAGCTGGTGCCTACTATAAGGATAGTATTTACCATATCAACCCATTTGGTTTTGTTTTAATGTGGAGCATGAACTATTAAGCTGTTACCTTTCCCTGAGTCCTGCCCCATATAGCTAACATCATAGGAAAAGTGCTAGGCTGACTGCCCTGGGCTAAACACGGGTAAGTACACTGTGCGGAGTATCAGATCTGCCTACCGGTCAGTGACCACCATGACTATGGTAGCCAGCATCTAACAGGATCGGCTGCTGCGTGGTCGTCTGCAAGTCCAGGGAAGTAGCTGCTGGTGATAGAACAGCATGACTCAATAGTTCAGCAATTGGGACGCGGACGAGGCCACATGTGCCCATCTCTGGCGGGATATTGTGTCTTGCGGTATGAAGAGTGCAGTCGTGTTGGACTGCTTGGATTCACGGGTATATGTCGTATTGCTGAACAAGCTACGGCAAGACACATGACACCAGTCTACATCAGTTTGAAATTGAAGGATGTCAACATATTCATCGCTGCTTTCCTCATCATATTCGTTGGCCTAGGCACCCTCATGGTGAGGTGTCCTGCTGCAAGGTCTATCTACATAGCTCTCTATTAATGACCGCCAACTATGTCTTACAGAGACTAATCAACCCCTGAAGCAGATCATCATTCTCTTTAAAAACCTTCCCAAACTTGGCCAGATCTTCCGCCTTGATCCCGCGGCGTACACTGGCCACTTTGGCGAAATTCCCCGCCGTACGCCCTGTCCCTGCAAACAGGATATTCAATAGATCCATCGGCGCTGACTTTGGGTCGGTGACGAGGTCGTAGCCCACCATAGCCAAACTGGCAGATACATCTGCCAACAGGGCCGCATCGGTGATCCAGGCGACCCCTGTGACGGGGCCGACAATCTCGCCGGCAAAGGGGAGAATGAGCAGGACTGCAGAGATGATCATGATGATGAGGTTCCTTTTCTCTTCTTCCTCTTTTTCCTTCTCCTTTTCGCCGATTTCCTTCACCGATGCCATGCTTTCGACGGCTTGGAGGAGCATGAAGACGGGAGTGGAAAGGGCCTCCACTGCGTCTGCGTCCGCCCCGTCCCAGAGGAAGAAGGAGAGATCGGCCCATGTCGACACAACGTCGCGCTGGAGAGCTTGGAACCGGGGCAACGCATTTGCAATCGAGTCTTTGGGGTTGAGTATGGTGAAGTCGGTCTTGGCGTGGGGTATATTTTGGTTTACCTGTTTGATATTGTGGCAGACGATACCGCCGCTCCGGGGGTTTGGGGTGCAGAGTTTGTCTTCATTGACGACGTCAGAAACCTCCACCCAGTCCCGCTGGATGCCGTATTTGGATTGCAATTCGTCGTAGAATCCTTGCTCGTCGACGAAGGTGTACTTGACGGTCCATGCGTCGGTAACGAGCGGGATAAAGCATGACCTGGGTTCAGACCACCCCCCTTTGATCGCCTGAGAGCATTGGACGTATTTACCGTTATCTGCGATGACCTTATTGATAGACTCTGGTACCATCTCGCGAAGGTATTTAACGTAGTAGCCGAACTTTTCGTCGTAGCCGTTGTTGACGTCCGTGTAGTTCTGCAGGGCGGTGTTGAGTGTGTCCATGAGAACTTGCATGGCGTACATGGGCATGCAGAGCTCCGGGATATCTGTGGCTGCCTGGAGAGCTTCCCACGATGAGAAGTAAAGACTGGTATCGCAGGGGTCCGGGGTGTCTTCTTCCGCACAATCGGGGCTGTCGTCGTCGTCCTCGCAGGACAGAACTTCGCCTTCTGTACTAGCGCAGGCATCAGGGCAGTAGCCGCGCTGACAGGCAAATTTGCACAGGCCGGCGTCGTCGCCATCGCCTTGGTAGAACGCGGTGAAGGTGGAGTTGCCCGCAGGGGGCTGGTGGAGGGCGCCAGTACCTGTGCAGGTGCACGCGTGGATGGGGCAGAAGCCGTAGTTGCAGGCGTACGAGCAAAGTCCCGCCAGATCGCCCTGGCCGGTGCCTGCCGTGCATGCAGACGGTAGGAAAGGCGAGACTGTCGGCTCAGTGACGGGCACCTCCACCGGGCCACAGGCTTCAGGTGGACAGTATCCGTAGTTACAAGCGAAGCTGCAGAGACCAATGTAACTGGATCCTTCACCAGCAATAGGATATCCCTTGATGCCTGTGGCCTTGGGTTTGACTCGGGGGGCACCCATTTTGGTACACACGCAGGCTCCAATGGGACAGTAGCCATATTGACAGGTAAATTTGCACAGCCCCTTGAAGTTACCTGGTGCTGTGCCCTCAATGCAGGCCTGCTCGTCGATAGCAAGCTTGGGGGAGACGGCGGAGATGCTGGGGCCCTCTGCACTGCCAACAACGGCATTCCAGTTGGCGTAGCCGTCAGTGCAGCTCGTGGTAATAGTAGCACTGCTGAATTCTGCAATGGTACTTCCAGCGCGTGAGATAGAAATCTTCACATCGCCATAGAAAGTACCATACCCAACGCTGCCGTGGTACACACCCACGCCTCCGTCAGGGATATCCTGCCAAGTAGCGGGGATAGACACGCCCCCGACAGTGACGGTGACAGTGGCCATGGAGGTCAGCAGTGCTGAATAAAAGACCTTGTCCTGGACAACCTCTGCAGGCCGAAACTCATATTGCAATTGACTGGCGGTGTTGGCTGTGGTACCGCCATCGTTGCATGCTGCAGTAGGATTCGGGCGGTACCAGCCCACCACTCCTTCTTTCGTGATAGACGCCTTCCCACTCTTATAGGTATCAATGTAGTAGGGCAAGAAGAGACGCCAGCCATCGTGTGGCATGGCGTGGGCATAGTTGAAGGGCGCCTTGCCCACACTAAACGCCTCATATTTATCAATTTCGTACAGGGGGCCGATGTAATGGGATTCACCATAGTCGTTCCAGCTGATGATTTGGACGAAATCGGGTTGCACCACCATAACTTCTTCCCAGCGGTCTCGCCAGAGGTCATCTCCTATATATTTATTGGTTAGCATCACCGCTCATCCCTCTGTTTCTTTTGTTCTCTGGTATACATTACCTCGCCATAACCAATTCTTTTCATAACCTGGAAGGTTCGTGTAGAACCATGGGGAGACTGGCATCATATACGCCTTTCCTCCAGCCTGTTCTAAGTAGTCGAGGTAGGAAGCATCAACGTACGTATCCATATCCTGGTTGCCCCACGGCCAGGCTGCCCAACTGAAGAGCCCATCTGGAGTGCCCAGCTTCAGAGCTTCCTTGGCCCCAAGGGAGGACCACGAAGGAATGAAGAAGCATCCAGTTTCGGATTTGATGTCTTTCCAGTCCGCCGCATTTCCAGGACCCTCGAAAGTCGACACAAACGGTTTCCCTTGGTATGTATAATACGCAGGCGACGACTTGAACTCCTTAATGATCGAAATCACAGTGGCTTTGTCAAAGGGGCCAGCACCCGCATAGTCAAAGGAGAGAAAGAGTTGAAATCCTCTTGCTTCTGCCACTGCAAAGGCTGACTTTAGAGGCTTTAGATCTTTGAGAGATGCGGCAAAGTTCAGTGCAAATGCATCCAGGTGTGCCTCTTCGGCCACTGCCATATGGAACGCCCATTGTAATTCGTTCCAAGAACGGGCATTTTCAACCTGAGCTTTGTCAGAGTTGCACAGTACGATGGATACGATGGATTTCGATGCCTACCATGAAATGCGCGAAAACCCCCTTACTCTTCTTTGGTGTCGCGACCTTTGAGTTCAGGAGCATCATCTTTGGCGTGGCACGAAGGAATGTCTGATTCAGCTGTTCGCTGGGATCGGTCACCTCAGGTGTTATAGCGAGGTCTGTGAACCCATCAGGTACAGAAGAGTTCGTTTGACGCTGATGAAGGTGGGCATGGTGTAAATGGGAGCGAGACCCCAAGGCGAGCCCTACAAGGGCAGCTTTTATGAGAAAGCCCAACATTGCTGCTCAGGCGAAACACAAATGACAACAAAGAAAGATCGGTAATGAATGCAAGGGTCTGAAATGAATGTGATGGCCCAAGGCCTGCAGGGGTAAGAGAATGGAGAGAATGGCACAGGCCAGGAAGTGCCCTTCTGCTAAAACAATATTCGCTCCCTGGGACATCCATGGCAAGGGCCACCTTCTTATAGTGTCACAGTCTGTTGCGACATTGTAAGACTAAAGAATAATAAAGACGTAACAGAATCTTGTACCAGCATGCTATTACTTTATCATAGATGACCCCATCTACACATTCGGACTTCACCTATAGCCCCAAACCCTGTCCTCGCCTGTAGGTCTGTTGAGGTCTGGAGGTTTACAGGGGTCCGGAGTTGCTCGACAAGGACAAGCTAGCAGAGTGGATGCTGGAAATTTCTGCAAAACTATTGAGTACTACTCCCAGCACAAATATCCGAGCTGGTATTATCCAAGCCTCTGATCTTTTCAGTCTCTCCGGGTAATCGGCAAAACTGCCATCTGGTGACATACAGAGCTCCTGAGCTAAAAAGGTTTTCTAGCAAGTCGAAATGATCTGGCAGCAGATGTTCAACAGCACGTGATACGAGAACGAGCATTTTTACTGGTGGCAGCTGTAAATTAAGGCCTCGGCTTTTCAGGAACAGAATTGATAGAGTGACCACTTGACTCGAGAACAATGCAGGTTACCATGCAACTAAGGGGCCAAGTATCCGGTGGACGTTTACAAGCAAGATTGAGCGGAAATTAGCATTGAATTAGGAAAATGCAGCACTCAACGGGGTTACATTCGGCGCCGGTACCAGCAGTCTCGAAGAATATGCCTGTTAGTACGGTCTTAGAGACACTCCAGCTAAGTTTTATAGGCTAAGGCACCAGACTCAGAGCAAGCTCGGGCCGGACCTGTACACCAGAGCTTGGATCGCCAAGGCCCTTAGGATGTCGAGCCAATGAAAAGAAGAGAATAAAGGATGAAGATTGGACCGGAAAACAAGACTACTGCCAAGCCAAGAGAAGCTAATCCCAACTGTACCTTAGTGAAGCTTAATCCACAACGTCTACAGTGTCCGATTATTGCTCAGGTCTCAGATCAATAATAAGTGGTTTTGTCTCCAAAATGGGCCTGGACTAGTGTAGTGGTCTCAATTTCGCGCATCTATTGACGCGAAGCAAATTTTGGCTAGTATTCTTCCCACTAGTGGTTTGGAAAGTTATCTGTTGCTCCGAGTCTAAGAGCTGTTTACTGTTAGCTTGGGAGTTTATGGCCTAGTTCTTGGCAATGTCTCAGACGACATGCACTAAATTTTGCAGTGCATGAGCCATGGGGTGGTAATAGCACCGGGTCAGTCATAGCAGCTTTCGCGATTAGGAGGCTCCTGAACGAATGAAAGTGAACATGAAATTGGTCAATCAGATCCCGTCAGGCTACAGAGGAGAGAAGCTGTACATGATGCATCTCGCAGTACTTGAGGGCGGACGGCCGTGGATCCTATCTGGACTGCTCTCCGATATCCCCGACGAGACGGACCCGGCCATACCCCTTTGACTGCTACACTCTCGGTAGTAGTAGTATAGTGTTGTTTGAAAATCCCTCATGCACTTTTTCAAACGGTCGAACGCTAGGATGGTCTCTAGTCCGCGTTGCGCCTCGATTAACTGGAATGTATCCACCATAGTTGGAGAATAGGAAATTACCCGAAAAAGGGATGTGCCTGTATTGAATGATACTTGGTGCATATACAGGGATCTTAGTTCGGCTAAACCTCAGTATCTCTCGCCAAACTGTTCTCGTTACCTAATGCGATGGTCTTGCTTGCTTGGTAGCAGAACAGATCTGGTCCATCAGTGACCAGTAAGACCATTGAAGGATTGCCAGTTTGATATCAAGCGTGGTATATAACAAGGTCTATGCTGCTAGATATGGGCATTTCCCCGTCGTTGTCCTTCCAAGTTCCATTATCCTTTGCAGTCATTATAACTTCATGAGTAGAATCATCCGGCTACAGTCATGAAATACCTTCTTTTCTTTCTCCTGTCGTCTCTCTTGTTTCTGAGCAAGGCGGTTGTGGCACTCAAACAATCCAAACCCGCGGAGACGCTCTACTTTTACCAAGCCTATCTGGTCGAATTCAAGGCAAGGGATTCCAAACGGCGAACAATTGCAAAAACATGCTCAAAGACTGATACTCCCTGCACATACCCAGAATTTCTGAAGCATATTTTGGCCCGAGACTCATCGAACAAAATTTTCAAAGACGCAGATTTCAAAGCAATCAGAACAATCATCGAGACAGCCGATACGACCGATGTCATAACCATATCTCGGAGACTAAGGGAGAAGAATTTTGACCCTACATACGATCTCTCCAAACTTCTCGAGGGCACAAGCAAATCATCAAAATTTGGTCCTGTGTTCGAAAAGATAGATGGGCTGATCAGCTATCAGCTAGCTTCTGACAAGGTCGCGGAGCACAGAAAGCCTATGGCAGACGCGCTAAATCTCATTCAGCAACACCGCATCGCCAACAACATGAAATATTTTATCGCGGAGCTCGGGAAAGAGTTAAATGTCGACTTGGCACCTCGGATTCCGAATCCGAAAACCCCTGATGGTCTCTCGTATAAAGCCTACAGTACAGAAGCCACAGTCAAGAAACTGAAAGATTCGGTGAAAGATGAGGCCGATCCAGAGGAGAAGGCAAAGGTCGAGGCGAAAGCTGACGGTCTGGCAGCCGAGATGCAGAAGCTCGTTATAAAGATGCGTTCGCCAAAATATAAAGAGGAAGTTAAGAATGATGACGATCTGGATACATTCAAGAGGCATCAGGCTGTGATTGCCCGAGCGAAGGACACCTTGAAACTATTGGAAAAAATAGAAAAGCGTGGAAAATGCTGAGAGTCTGGATGGCAGTAGATCGGTGTGACAGTCCCTGTTGAATGCATGTATATAGGAGCCTTTCATTGTTTCTTCTCAGAGTAAAAGAGTTTTGACAGATCAGACAGAATATAAGACTTTATGGATTTACTACTCACGTGCCAAGGTGTGGTTTTTCTCCAACTCTTTGCATCCAACCAACAGCTCATCAACTGGCTACCATCATAGAATTAAAAATTCGAACAAAACTCCGATGGAAGGACTAGCATCTCGGATCCAGAGATTAATCTCCAATTGCCCTGTGATTACGGATTCAATTTGTGGATGAGCGAAATGTAATTACAGACGGTTACGGCCATCCACCCGTTGCTTGCCACGCCTCATCGGACTCCACCCGATGAGAAGATTTATTTCCAGGTGTCCTCATGGCCCCCTTATCAACCCTCGCGCCTTACCTCACAAATCTCCTCTCTCAGCTGCCTTCAGTAAAGCGATCTGCATGATGAGTGACGAGGTCGAGTTCAACAATACAGGCGATGGACCCTTGATGGTGCCAGGATTCAATGGAGTTCCCTTTGATATCATAACATCATCACGCAGAGTTTTTGTAGGCTCTGATCGATGGGGCTGGTATCCGTCGCCTTTCACCGCCCGCGAGCTGGAAATGGTGAGGCTGATGAACTCCTTGACTGATCGACCAGGCTGGGAGGAGCTGGTCTTTAATGCTTCAACCATGCAGACTTGGCGAAGCGAGGCCATGGCGCAATTTCCATTGATCAGCCCCAAGGCATGGGAATGGTGCGCGGCTGAGCTGCGTGACAAAGCGCAGCGATGGCAGGAGACTGGTCTAATTGTGGTTCTGAACGCTGCCAGTGGCGTGTGTAAATCAAACGACGTCATTCCTCCTGCAGTGACCGCGGAGATCCAGGACTTCGTCACTTCCGCATTGAAGGAACGTGCCGGGCAGATGGACTGGGAACCGAGTTCAAACCAGCAGGTTTGGAACCTGATTGACCCGTCGCTGTACCCGCTGACTCGCGAACGCACGAGAGTGCTGATCAGTGGCGGCAGTGTTCCGCTTGAGCAGACTTTGGACGCTTACGGGCAAGGAGAGGCACCGCCGCCGCTCCATGATGACAAAAAGGACTGGGAAATTGAAAAATACCTCTACTCACTGCGCTATCAATGGCTGCCTTGCGAAGTTGAATTCCGTGGGCCGGCTGGATCGACAGAAGTGCGGATTACTTCCTACATCAACAATCTTCACCCCCGTGAGCAGCGGCCATTCTACAGGACGCTGGAAGGTGTGATATCCAAAGTTGTTGAGCCATGGAACGAGATTCTGATTAGGTTTGGGAAGGGGAGGTCACGGGGCTCTGTCGGTCGGGAGCCCATGAGAATCCGCACATTCGGGGTCGCGTGGGATAATCGTTATCCTCAATGGGCCGAGGAGCTCCCGACCACGCTGGACGTCGATAGGTCAACTGAGGATTACCAGCGGGCGCTTGCTCGCGTCAAGGAGTACCTCTCTTTACCAGAGTATGGAGTAAAGGTGCAATGGTCGTACAATACAACACGCGAAATCCCCGCAGACTGGGAGGCAACATTATCCTTGCGTGAAGTTGTGAATATCAAATACAGTCGCATGTTTCGGTTTCAGCACTCCGAGCCTGGCACCACCTATTCCTACCAAGACTGGAAGGCAGGACGAACGGCCCGAGCAATCGTCGGTCGTGAGGATTACGACAACATTGATCCCTTTACGAAACTCTGGCGGAAGCGCTCCGAAATCATGGATCCCATGCTCCATAATGAGATGCGCAGAGCAAAAGACGAGATCGATCATCAGTTCCAGACCGTGAAACTCCAGGACGAGTTCCGCGAAAAGGGGCTACAGATTATCGTCAAGCTGGGGGGCATTGAGCTCACTCCTGATAACCCGTCCTTCTTGGGCGAGGATTGGCACGCGGACGGTCTGCTGAATGAGCATATCGCGGGGGTAGCCTTGTATTGCTTTGATCTTGAAAACGTGGCAAATACCCGCATCTCCTTCGCTCAAGAGATTTCCATGCATGGCGAGGAGTTCTCGTTTAATGGGGGTGGTTGGGACATTCCGTACCTGGAGAAATTGTTCGGTGTTCAGAATGAGAGACCAGCGTTTCAAGAACTCGGTTCTGTGTCCATACGTCAAGGGGGTCTGATCACTTTTCCAAACTGCCTACGCCACCGCCTTGAATCGTTTGAATTGGTGGACAAAGCTCGACCTGGACGCTGTCGCTTTTTGACCCTGTGGCTTGTTGATCCTTCCTACCGCATCTGTTCAACGCGAAATGTGCCCCCACAGCGTCTCGATTGGTGGGAACAGGAAGCACGATCCCATCTATCGTCAGCCCATCCACTTCCCCAAGAATTGGCGGATCAGATCATTGCTGAGACTGGTCCGTGGCTTATGGGCTTACCAGAGGCTCAGCACCACCGGCGTGAACGAGCCAAGGACGAGGCGGTGGCTTGTGAGAAGGACAAGGAGCAGATTGAGTATAACACTATATGCCTTGTGAAGGAATGAAGCTACCTTGACTACATTAGCCATAAATGAAACTAATAAAACTTTATAAATAGGATTATTGAGAGCCTGTGCACACATATGGTTCTTTCCAATCAGAATACATGAGAAAGGTCGCTGACCTGCGCAAAGTATAGTCACCTGCTGTGGCAGAGAGGATGAAAGATCCGATAACCTCAGTTCATGGACACAATAGCTGTCAAAGCAGGCTCCCCATTCCCGATTCTAACCTAGTCTGCCTGAGCAATAGAGCATACAAGAAGGAATACTTTACTTTCAAGCATCTTCTATATCAACAGCTTAATCGCAGAGAGGGCCCTTGGACCAGAGCATCCCTATACTCTCAGCGGCATCAACCACCTTGGTGTGGTGCTGGAACGACAGGGCAAGTATAAAGAGGCTGAGGCCATGCATCACCGAGCACTAGAAGGCAGAAAGAAGGCCTTGGGATCAGACCATCCCAACACTCTTACTAGTGTCAGTAACCTTGCTACAGTGCTTGACCGAGAGGGCAAGTACAAAGAGGCTGAAGCTATGCACCGGCGAGCATTAGAAGGCTTTGAGAGGGCCCTAGGATCAGACCATCCCGACACTCTTACTAGTGTCAGCAACCTTGGTTCAGTGCTTGAACGACAGGGTGAGTACAAAGAGGCTGAAGCCGTGCACTGGCGAGCATTAAAAGGGTATGAGAAGGTCCTAGGACCAGAGCATCCCTATACTCTTAGTGGCCTCAGCCACATTGGTTTCGTGCTTGAACGACAGGGCAAGTATGGAGTGGCCGAATCCATGCATCGACGAGCGTTAGAAGTCTATGAGAAGGCTCTGGGAAAGGAGCACCCCTATACTCTCACTAGTCTCAACAACCTTAGTTCAGTACTTGAACGACAGGGCAATTATGGAGAGGCTGAGGCCATGCATCGACGAGCATTAGAAGGCTATGAGAAGGCTCTAGGACCAGAGCATCCCTATACTCTTAGCGGCCTCAGCCACATTGGTTTAGTGCTTGAACGGCAGGGCAAGTATAGAGTGGCCGAATCCATGCATCGACGAGCGCTAGAAGGCCGAACGAAGGCCCTTGGACCAGAGCATCCTTATACTCTCACCAGTGTCAACAACCTTGGTTTAGTGCTTGAACGGCAGGGCAAGTATGAAGAGGCCGAATCCATGCATCGACGAGCGCTAGAAGGCCGAACGAAGGCCCTTGGACCGGAGCACCCCGACACTCTCACCAGTGTCAACAACCTTGGTTCAGTGCTTGGACGGCAGGGCAAGTATGGAGAGGCCGAATCCATGCATCGACGAGCGCTAGAAGGCCGAACGAAGGCCCTTGGACCGGAGCACCCCGACACTCTCACCAGTGTCAACGACCTTGGTTCAGTGCTTGGACGGCAGGGCAAGTATGGAGAGGCCGAATCCATGCATCAACGAGCGCTAGAAGGCCGAGCGAAGGCCCTTGGACCGGAGCACCCCGACACTCTCAGCAGTGTCAACGACCTTGGTTCAGTGCTTGAACGGCAGGGCAAGTATAGAGTGGCCGAATCCATGCATCGACGAGCGCTAGAAGGCCGAACGAAGGCCCTTGGACCAGAGCATCCTTATACTCTCACCAGTGTCAACAACCTTGGTTTAGTGCTTGAACGGCAGGGCAAGTATGAAGAGGCCGAATCCATGCATCGACGAGCGCTAGAAGGCCGAACGAAGGCCCTTGGACCGGAGCACCCCGACACTCTCAGCAGTGTCAACGACCTTGGTTCAGTGCTTGGACGCCAGGGAAAGTACGAAAGAGGCTGAACCCGTGCGTCGACTCAGGAATAATGTAGTGCCCACGAAAATCCCAGGCCGCGCATTCTTACGAAAGCGGAAGGCGCACTCATGTCACCAAAGGAGGTGGTGGGGCATCGGCGCCGGAAGACGAATGGCGGTGGAGGTGGGAGAAACGGAGGAGGATCCTCCCTGAAGGATAAACCCGGTCCCCGTGGCTTTCTGGTTGAAGCCGAAGAGTAAGACGACAAACCGCGCATACGTCACAGGATGGCCGACTAGTGACCGATGGGAGATTCGCAGAATCTCTCCATCATACAGTACAATGCCGGACGAGTAGAGGGCCGAGCTCTGGCCACATTCTTCTGAAACACGCATGTGCTCGACTTGGACAAAATAGCCATCTAAGAATCGTGGATCAACCCGTTCCTGAATGCCACGTCATTACCCTAACAAACGGACTCAACGCCTACTCTTTCCTGCGTTTCACTTGAGCGTCTACTTCTTCCTGCGCAAAAGAATCCACAGGCGTGGACACACCGGCGTATAATCTTTCTGATGTTGATATCTGGACTCTCTGTAAGAGCACACTAACCCGTCAACCTCCACAATATATATGTTACCAGGCGCGACGCTCTCCGGTGCAGACCTAGACTTTCCGCACAAACGCTATGATCCATCCGCGTCCACAACGTATATTTTGACCAGCGTCGACGCTCCCAGGAAACACGCGGCATCGAGCAAGCGTTGAATGAAGCCGGCGAAGGGGACCACATCATCCTCAAGGAGCTCAACCTCCATCACCTGGCACGGTAAGGAGAAGAAACGCACGCAGACCAAGAAGCGAACTCCCGGGGCTCCTTGACTTAACGAGCTGCTGAGAGCTCACGCTCACCAATGGAAACGCAATTCTGTCCCGAATGGATATTAATCCCAGTGGGACAGAGTGTCCTCTTCGACGGCCCGAAGACCATGATGTTCAAAAGCACGGAAAGGATTCAGCATCCCTTGTCCTCCCTATTGTATTTCCATTATTGTACGCCCGTGGTCAACAGCAAAGAATGTGCAGTGGTGACAATCTTCACAATGGCTAAAAGTTGATTGGCCATATGTTGAAAACATACATATCGATGTACTTCAGGTTTCCGATCAGACGCTTTTTAGTCCAAAATCGAAGCTGGTTTTTGCGTTTAGTCCTCTGATCGAGGTAGTCTTGTGGACAGAGTGGGCCAGCCTTGAATCGTCGAGCGTTATTGCTTCTGAGTGCGGCCAGTGTAGCAGTAACAATAGTATTCCCTGTGTTTGAATGGAGCACACCAGATATCTGCTAGTTTACACACGAGTTTTATTCATGGACTGTCTGCTTTTGTCTTTTTCTAGTTTTCTTCTCCACTTTTGAAGCAGGCGCTTTCAAGGCCATTCCATCATTACTCTTTAGGGGGCTTGAGATTGAAGTTGAATGCTTAGCAACTAATTCAGTCACTTCTCCAGTCGCGAACTTAGGTCGCAGAGCTGGAACCGAAGTTTTGCCGCTGTCAACCTTTGTCTTCGAAGTGTTTTTTCTCCGGCGTTTGCTGGTCAATTCCTGTGGCTCTGGTTGGAGAATCCATTTGATCAGATCCTCGTCCAAATTGCCTGGGCCGAGCAAGCGGGCCGGTATGGTTCGCAAGGCTTGATCAGCCCTAGCACCCAGGATTGGTGCGCCATTACTATCATTGTGGAGATCAGCAACGGGAGTTGTGCCTGGTTCGCAATATACTTCGTCAGCGGTTGGCTGGCTAGAATGGGGCCCTCCATTCTGACCATCTACCTCAGTTGGTCCAAATAGCACTTGGTCTGGCTGACAGAGTTGCAACAGCAAGGCCTCATCCCAAGCTTGGACATTCACCAGCTTCTTACACCTTTTGCGGGCTCTTTCGAAAAGTTGGAATGCTTCCATAGGGGCGAGGCCGGATAGTATATTGACAAGGAGGTCGACGCAGAGATCCACCTATAACTCAGCAAATAGTAAAGCACTTGTGATGTGTCCTGCAGACGAACCTTCGGATGTCTACTCAGCAAACACAGATAAAGAAGATCATCAGGCTGATCTTTGATACTAGCGTAGGCCTCCTTCCATTATGAGTATATCTATCCTCACGAGTTGCACTCTGTTGACTTACCAGGATTTCAATGTTCAAAGTGACCATATCTATTCATTAGCATTGTAATGGCCCGACATATCATATATTGTGAGCACCTACTTATATTCCAATCACTTGAGAACTGCGTTACTGTATCGAGGGCTGTCAGAGCTCCAGCCAGAGACTGTAGCCAGTGAGAACAGACAATCTAGCAGTGACAAACCTTGTGAGGTAGGAAAATATTATGATAGAATTGATTCAGGCCACTTCATATATACCGCATTCCGGGGTAGATATCAAGGGTTTGCGCTTCAATGAAAATACCGAAGAGCTGATAAGATAAAGTAACAATCAGAGGGTAGAACTCCCACTGATGATACACCATATGTTTACTATGGAAGCTCTTCGACTTGTAATTTATAAATACCGCATCAGCCAGTTTCTTTAGCGCACTTGCTACTGCGTCACATAGAGCAATTTCGAAGCTGTAATTTACCAGCCAGACTTTTGAGGTCAGACAAACATCGACTTGATGAAGCTGGCGGTATTAATAAAGGAAAGTTTGTGATCCTAGTAAAATACCACAGAATTGATCAGGATAGAACTACCTCCTTTGCACTAACCAGTTGTACTGTTGTATCGTTTGTATCGCGTTCCCAGCTCAGCAAGTGATCACGCTAGTAAGAATAACCTACCAGAACGCAGCAAAGGCCAATCACCTGTTAATTACGATGAAATATACCAAAGCAGGTCGTGGTGAACCGGTAATCTCACGTCCTCTAATTCTACTGGGATTACAGACCCTTGTTCAGCAGGACAAGGAAATCGGAGAATATCAAGACCGGCTGATGAACGGATATCAGCCGATTGAGGAAATGCTGCAGGTATAGTCCTCCCTGCTACTATAGGCTCGGCATCACGAATCTTAATGTGGCAATAGAAGTAAGCTCACTTTATTGGTTATTACACCGTTCGTGACGGGGTTGCCATGAATATTCTATTATTTGTTTAATGAAACAGTTTAACTTGACATATAGTGAATATAAAGCAATGGGGGCATCCTAAGCTTCACGGATGTAGTTCATAGTCCGTCCTTCCGTCGATCCCAGGAGATCTTGACTAAACTTTGTCTATCCATTCTACAAGCATGCGGACTCGTCACTTAATATTTTGTCCCTTATATCTTACTACAATGATAGCCGTCTTCACTTCTGCCATTATGAAGGAAGCCAGAGGACCGTGGATGACGATTAATTCAGACTTCCCAGACCCTAGTTTTGTACGGAGCACGGATGGGACATGGTATGCCTTTGGCTCCAATGGCAACGGCAAGCGCGTCCAGGTGGCTAGATCGACAGACTTTAACACATGGACTCTTCTCAACAAAGAGGCCTTGCCAACACTTGCAGGGTGGGAGACTGAAATAGATCACTGGGCACCAGATGTTATTAGGCGGGTATGCGCTCTAGCTTCACTATACTTATCAGCTGCTAATCTAGTTCTCAGAGTGATGGTCGTTACATCATGTACTATTCAGGCGAGGCTAAAGAGATGGTGAGGCATCATTGCGTGGGTGTTGCTGTTTCCCAAAGCACAGATCCCACAGGACCGTATGTGCCAAATGAGACACCACTATCATGCTGATTGGACCAGGGAGGCTCAATTGACCCTGCAGGATTCGTTGACAAGGACGGTAGCCGCTATGTTATTTTTAAGGTAGACGGCAATAGCATTGGACATGGTGGAGACTGTAACAACGGCATCACTCCTCTGGTACCCACCCCAATTCTTCTACAGAAAGTAGAAGATGATGGCTTCACGCTAATCGGGGACGCTGTCCCAATTTTGGACCGTGGTGATAGTGATGGACCTCTGGTTGAAGCTCCTAACCTCATCCTGCATGGTGATACATACTTCCTCTTCTACTCAACCCACTGCTTCACGGACACTAAGTATGATGTGCGCTGGGCGACCTCAAAATCGATCACTGGCCCATATATAAAGTCTGGTCGGAAGTTATTCAAGACTGGCGACTATGCGCTAACTTCACCTGGCGGAGGCACTGTTTATGGTTGTGGCGATAAGATTCTCTTCCATGGGTTCTGTGAGCCCAATAAGCGATGTACATATGCCGCGAACATTGCCATTGATGGTGATGAAGTTACAGTTCTTTAATTTAAAGTTCTTTGATGGCATCAATCAATTTCAGATCAAAAAAAGCAGTCTGGCGTTACAACCTAGCTGATCCTTCATCATTTTCTCCTCAACCGATTTGCAAAAACAAGGACCAACACATCTTTCCCGCGATCGGACTGAATCAATACTGTTGGGCACTTTAAGGGAACTTCATGTCCGAGAATTCGTGTACAGCCATCCCGAGCAAGGAACCTAGAGACCCATCGTGCTTATTTAGTCGCACTGTCTCCAAGGAATACTGTACTAGGTTGAATCCTACTCTGAAAAGCCATCCTTAGCATTAAGACTATCTCCACATCGAGCTTCATAATACTGGATATAGCCGGTCGTAAATGGAGTGATTCTGTCGATGGAAGGGTTGAATTAAATCACATTATTGGCTGACAGTACCGTACAAGACTTTTTAGTGCGGGGGAATTAGGGCTTGTACACGGGACGGACGAACGAGGCTTTAATAAGCATATAATGACTGTCACTATTGCTGCCCAGAAAGATGGAATCTGACGGGCGAGCAGGCCCCCCAACTTCCCTTCAAGTAGAACAGGATAAGGTCTCTGGAAGCGGCTTGTCCAGGCTAGCTCATATGGTATAGACTCTCCCACGGACCCATTTAAAATCAATGGGATCATCACTTGGACTGAACCCAACTGTCAGGGGGTTGTAGCTTCAACTATTTTTAATAGCAGCACCATGTTTAAGAATATAATAAATGTGTATCTATCATGCAGTTTTAAGCTGCTGCGGCCCCTCTAAGGCCAAGAACAGCTGGATATCTCAATTGCTCAAGAGTCTGACTTACGGCATTCATATGACCATTAATCTTTTATGAATGATTTATCATGCACGTCCTTCATCCAAAGCTACTTCCTGGTAAATGAGACTGAGGGCTGTTGCAACACACCTCTGTTCACTTGCCACTGGCTGTGGGTGAACTATGGGCTTAGCCCTGTATTAAGAGGGCTAAAACTGTCTAAAAGTTGGATATTACCCTCACCCTTGCTAACTATCCTCCCTTCTACCTGTTTCCAGCCCAGTTCAGCACTTAACTTAGCCTCTTTAATCAATTCCTCATCATGCTTCTTGCCATCATTGAGAGGCCTAATAGGAAGTGTGGGCACTGAATAAAGTCTGTTATTGAGTATAACTTCCTGGCAACTAAAACCACTCCCTTCTTTACTAGTTGGTACAACTACTATGCATCTAAGAAGCAGTTTCACACCTTTAGTAATAAGGACACCTTCCACTTCGGTAATTTATATTCCATCTTATGAGTTAGCATCTAATTTTATGACTATAAGAACTCTATCATCACATATAGTAGCTATAACTAGTAGGAGCTTCACCCACATGGTCTGCGTGGAGCCTGGTGACAGTCTAGAGTTTGTCTCTGGTAACAAGGTAAAGTTTGTTCCTCGGACTCTTGATGTTCCTGCTGGCAATACTATCTGGTTTTACTCTTTGAATGGGTCCTTTCTACTCCATAACACTACCCTCGAAAAGCTGTGTGGACGCCTAGTCAGATATGGAGATGATGCCTATAAACATGTCATTTTCTAAGTGAATTCCATGGACCCATTATAGCTCATTAGCTCTTAGAATCATGATGCGTACAGCTGTTGCCTGTTAAGTTATTTTGCTTTAAACCCTGGGGCCTAAAAGAATCATTTTTTTCATTCAATTGAAGCCTATTGCACTGTTATCGTTGTCAGCACCTCTACTCTTCCTGACAGGTATCCCCCAATGACTGGAACTATCGTGGTCAACGCTAACAGAGATGTTATTACCACCTTGGGTATTTGAAACAGATAGATGAAACTATGCATCGCAGTAATGGCTGAAGAGGAATGCTCAAACTTTTCTTATTCTGTTACATTTTCCTGTTGTATCATTAATATATTCCTAAGGCTTTTATGACTGTCATGCTCAAGTCATTATTACAACTGCTCTATTCATTGCTGAACCTTCTTTCATAAGAATTGTGCTGAAGTAATGTCTTATTCCTGGAGAGCCCCATTCAGTGCTGTTTTGCGGCGCATAGTGGATTGATGAAGCTTTTGGTTTATGTTCTGTGAGTGTACGCTGGTAGGTTCCTATTAGTGATTGAAGACGGCTATTGTGGCGGTGTTAGTGGCATATGATGCTGGAAGCAGCCTTGATACTTGACAACTATGGGGGAACAAAATATTGAATCAACTGGATATAACATTGCATATTTTACCTTGCAAACCTCTTGACTTCACATTTAATAGCTTACTGCGGGCCGTTCTCTAGTTCAGCAATTCTGAATTGAGGCAGCGAATAGCAGTTCAGCAATGTTGATTGGTCTGAGAGCTGGGATGATGTATTGTCCCGGATGGAAGGGGTAGAAGTCTAGAGTCTTAGTTGAATTCCGATGCTAGCTCCTTCCCCGTACTAGGTCTCTGAAAACTAACAACCACCAGCAGGAGACTGTTCAGAGACACGATTCTCTCCACCACCGCCCACTGGTGAGGGGAGAGGTGATCTGATCTGTATGGATTGCCAGGCGCCATGGTTCATAGTTTGCTGATGCATGTATACAGTAGCACGTCTAATGCTATTAAGTAGTGCTTTAATTTCAGTTTAAACCAGGAGAACACATTGTTGGTTAAACTAACATGGTATAACAACATCTTGTTTAAAATACATAATGGACTATTAGATAGACACTGGTGCTAGATCATGCTACCTACCGCACCAGACACACCTCCTGAGACTAAACAACCATTAGTAAGAAAAGGCTTCAAAGAGTTATCCGCACCATCGACCTCGGGCGAGCAGAAAGATGATATGGCCTGTCTGGGTGGGCCAAACTAAGTATCCAGGAGTGGGAGAGCAGGAAGCTCAAGGAAAAGCTGGGTGAAAAAGCAATGGAGGACCACAGAGTGGCTTAATAGATATCCTGGTCAAGCTAGGGCTCTCCATCAGGCCCTAAAAGTATCTCAGTGATATGGCTTATGTGCTCCTTTAGATGTTTTTGTAGGCCTTTCAAAGTGTGAGAGAAGTTGCTACAGAAACAGCACAGTCCTTTGTCTTTATCATTGATGTACCTGTGTTCGCTGTTAGTGTCTAGCCAGCACATACCTGTATGCTGAAATAGATGTAGACACATATTCTCCTTCTAATAAGTACTGAAAGTGCAGCCAGCGTGTTTGCATACCTACTTTCTGTCTGATTGATGATGCACTTCAGAGACATGGTGAAACCACTGCGTTTGATTTAAGCAGCTGTTATAATTTGGAAAAGTGCAATTGAATAGTTGCATATCTTCACAAATGTGATCCCTCCACTGCGATGTTGACTTGAATACTTGAATCTGCAAACAGTATGGGCATTTGAAAACGGTGGGCAATTTTGCCAGGGTTGACAAGAGAGAAGGTGTGTCAATAATGGCTTTACCTTGGGAGGCCCCAATGATCAGAGAGGGAAGGCTTTTCAGAAAATAAAGATCCCTAGCCTAGCAACTATTAAGTTCAAGCGCTTGTGCATGCTCCTTCATATTTCTGATGACTCTCCTAAATTAATGAAGCTGGGAATGAGCTAAGCATTAAATAAGCTTATGCACAAGTCCAGGAAATTCCTGGTTGATTTAGGAAATGAAGGATCCCATAATGTTCTCAAGTGTACAATGTTGTAAGTCTAAGGCAACCTAATATTCTGAGTCTTGCATGTCTTCTCCCTCTGTTATGGTGTGGTTGGCCTCGTCCATGCAATGGTTGCTGAAGCACAATAAGTACTTGTCCTAAGAACAAACTAACTGACCACAAACACAAGTTAGCGGTAATGGGTCGGGTAAATGGCCATATTTAACATGCTTCTTGAGTACATTGCGGTAGTGATACAGCTTGGAGCACTTGATACATCTATAGATTGTGGGAATGGTTTCTGCTGTTGACTTAGGTGGAAGTAGGAGCTTATCAATTGACTGCAAATCCTGGAAAATAGCTTCTAAGGGTAAGCTATTGGGTTTGTCTTCATTCCCCTGCGCAAAGTCTGTGTGGTATGCTGAAGTTGGGAGATATAGATGGCTCTTGTTTAGTATGTTACATGTGTTGCTTGGCTGGTCGTTAGTAGGATTTAAAAGAAAATCGAGCGTAGGCCATCTTGACTGATTGTCAGCTGGGGACTCCCGGAAAGTCCCTGTTTAACCATGTTCGTGACCGGCATGATCAAAGGCAATGTGTCTAAGTACGGCCCCTTAGTCTATGAACGTAGAAGAAGTGAACTCGCCGTACCAGACTGCAGTAGTAAACTCGCTTAGCATCTGAGGGAGTGGACATAAATTGGTGTCAGTGTTAGGTTTCTCATGCTGCTAGGTATAATATAGAGTGTGTGGAGGAGAGGTAGAAGATGAATTAATTATAGACTGTAGTGATAGTGTTCAGAATAATTAGTTTGATTCATGGCTAACTTAGGGTAAGTACCTTTGCTTTGCATGGCATGCTTGAGCTGTTGCTGTGTGACCTATTAGTGCGCCGCGGGAAGGCTTGGGTTTGTTCCTGCATCTGCAAAGAGAGCATAGTGAAGTAAAGCTGTAAGAGAAGTGATTCAGGATCCTCAACCCAAGTGAGTGGAAATGGAAGACTTTAGGACAAGGATGGGTGTATTTATACCTGACTAGCCTAAACTCCATTGTTGCTCAGCCTTATCCCCTGATTTTTTCCTTAATGTTTACTTTTTTATGTTTTCTGAATTTTTCTCTCATTATGACAAGGATTTTGCTCCCTTGACACTGGTAAATCTGCCCTCTTGGGTTGCAGACAATCCATGTTAGCAGAGTGGGTCTACTGATATTCTTACTTAATTATTGGTTGTCTCCAGGCAGCATACATAGCACATTATGCATGATGGACAAGAGAAGCAACTATTCAGACTCTTAATGATTTCTTACACTTTGATTCTTTTTACAGCCAGTCGGCTGTTGGCTAGGGTAGTATTATGATTGCTTCTCCTGACCCTTCTACCACTCTTTAAAGCTAGCAAAGATACGACCTTAACTAAATTTATTTTGTAAATCCCTACGAGCAGTGCAGTTGCAAAGAGGTGACCAGGCGGACGCACTAAAGAGTGCTAGAGAAGAATGGTTAAACTCCATGGAAGAACAATGACTATATAGATGGGGACATAGAATCTGATGTAGCAGTCCTAGAAACTAGACATACCTAAGTCTCCTGATGTGACTCTTAAGATCTGTAATTTCTTTCTCATACTAAAGCATTAACGCCCTATCAATCTACCTTAAACCACGTGCCTCTTGAAATTGCTGAAGAATGTGATTGTATCTGTTGAATGTTCTTATGTGAGGGTCACCATCTGGTTATATCTGGATTATTAGGTCGCCTTCACTCAACTTTTGGAATTTGACTACCTCACAAAGGGCGCGAACCCTTGAGATACCACTGGGCTCAACAGCAAGGTTAACTTGAACTGATTCTTGAAAGATTGTTTGGACTTTAAGAGGAACTGCTTCTCTGATAATATCTCCAAGGCCTAGCTTTTGGATAATCTCCTAAGGGTGGCTTTGGTATCTTAGACAGTGAATTTATATGGTCTGCAGAGTTAGCATATATATAAGAAATAGGGAGGCGACCCACCTCTAGATGATTTGGATGAATGACTGATAGTTGATTCTTAATTCCAGCCAGCTTTTCAGCAACCCAGACTTTGGCTATTGGGCTAAGGAGACAGCATTCTTTATAAAGATATTAAGAATACCTCTTTAACATATTCTTATAAGCAGCAACCTGCTTATCTTCTATTGTTTCACTGGGTTGTGAGAGAACCACAGGATCATCATCACTCATGAGAATAAAGTCGATAACTCTGTACTTGTGGAGAACTGTGCGGACACCCTCCTTATAAACAGCTAGGTCTACAAGGATAGCACCGTCTGGATGGACTGTTTTGTCTTTAGCAACCTGTTAGTAGTTGGGATCCTAGAGAGGGACTGCTGCCCTGACCATATTGTGAAGGCCATTGGATTGAATACTTGCTATAGGATCTTCTTAGTAACTGTGACACCATACATATATGGTCTATATTGTTAGTGTTTGTCATATAGAGGTCAACATAATGTTACCTTGCAACTATAAATTACCTTAATCCGGCCTTTAAGCTCTGTCATGTGCTTACTGAACCAGTTATAGATAAGCTCATTCTTAGGTCCTGGGATTTGACCCTGGGACTGTTGGATTCTCTGTGCCTTATCATATCTTGAAATAATTTTTCTAAAAGCTCGAGCTCTCTTCAGGTTGATATCATTACCTGGCTCTGAGCAGACCAAAGGATCATTACTGCTGAAGGGAGCAAAATACTTAGAGTAAACAGTTGCAGCGTGTTCTGGCAGAACAGCTAAGTTGACTAACATAGCACCAGCTGGGCGATGAGTTGGATATGCTGGAGCATACCTGTTGCTAGGGTCTTCCAGCTGAACCTCTTCTAGGATCATATGTCCTATGCCCTTGTCTTTGGCATCTTGCATCAGGGGTCCCTGGCAAATGGGATACTATATTTGCACAGTCTCTAATATTAGTATACTCTGCGCAGGCGGGAGAGGGAACATACCTGGATGCTGTTTTGAAGGTTATGTAGGTCCCTGACTATTAATTAGAGTCATTGTTTAAGCCAGGTTCGGCCTTGATCATTGAAGTTATTTTCTGCTAGGTGATCATGGTAGGTGTCACGTAGCTGCTTACAGGCCTCAAATCTTTTGAGAGTTAAGTCTCTTAGTTTCTGAGCGACAACCATTGGATCTTTGCTGCCTAACGGCAGAGACCTTACAGCTTTATATCAACTGCAAATCCTTTTGATACCATCCTTGTCCACAGCAAGGTCTGCTAGCTTTTTGTATTCTATATATCCACCCTGGCATGGGACAGGCACCTGGCATGGGAGAGGCACTATGAGTTTGATGACATTATCTAAGGCGTGGTGCCACACGGCAGCCTCTGGGGATAACTTGGAATTAGGGAACCAAACTCAGATAAACTATACTATTAGCAGATTGCTAGAAAAGAATCAGTTGTAAACATACTTCCAGGTCATCTATAATAGTATTCTCTCACTTAGCATCACCCAAGTCTGCCCCCCAAACCAACCTGACTTGTGGTGTGAAGTCTGTGTCATAGGAAAGTAATGCTGCACCTTTGAAAATAGCTCAGCTAGCCACTTCAGAAAAGGGATGGATCTTGACCAGCTGGAGAAGATTATGGCAATCACGTCTTTGGCAAATCTCAAGGTAGAGAAGTGTCGGGATCTAAGGGCGCAATATGGCCCACTTATATGTTAATTATATCACATGCTTTGGATTTTGGTGGGCTTCATTTTAGTAGGTTTATCTCAAGATCCGCGCTTGCCTTCATCCATGAGGTTAATGTCACATTGTCTCATGGAGCACCAGGCCTGCACTGCCAGTAGTGTCCTCAGGCATTGTTGGGAAGAAACCACACTAATTATTCCTATCAGGGTAATAATTGTGTTTGTGGAGGGCCGTCACATGACGGCCCTTGCCTGCTTAATGGAATGGTCCTATCTTCATTGATTAAGAAGACACTGCTTGCGGATACCTTTGAAGGCCAAGGGACTGAGAACCCTGACCCTGGTGAATAGGGGCTGGAGCCGGCATCGTCAGGAGCGTGCATTGACTATGTGGTATGGAATGGGAGCTATTGACAGGTTAAATACTAGAAATATTTTGTTCTCTGGATCTATGCTAGCCATATATTACTCTATGGGTAAAAATATCATGTCTAAAAACTGAGGTTGCTAATTATCCACTTGTTTATAAGTGGGGCTAGTTTTCCCAGTGCGGTTGAACTTTCTTTAATCATTAAAAAGCATAGGTCACCTACAATGATACTATGTGTGTCTTAGTCCCACTGAGAGCTGGTCTATTCTCTACTTAGTGAAAAGCACATGGGTTAGAAAAGGATTGTATTTACTGGTGTATAACTAACCTGAGTTGGCCATGAGCCTAGACCATTGCAATGCAGCATTTATAATTGCTGGGTATTTGTTATGTAACAGGGAAGGGATTAGATACACCTCTGACAGAGGCATCAGGGGGAATCTAGAGAGGACTCCCATTAAAACAAGCTAGATCCCTAGCTTTTTAAGTGCTAGTTCTTCCAGATAAACTTTTTAACTGCATTTGATGGCGCTATGCACCTAGGGTTTATCTGGCAAACCCTCCTCATCGACAAAATCGCGAATTGAGTTCTGCGCCTGCCAGTAGTGCTTGATAAGGTACTGTATACTCACTGCATAAAGAAACCATTTCTGTGGATCTAAATCTCTTCCCATGGTAAGGAATGCCGTCCTAGGGTCCTCAGCAGAGCTATAATCAGTGGAAAGAATTAGCTTAGTTAGATCACTGAGTTCTGTAATGAACTTCTGGAGCTCTTCTAAACCTTCCTAAGCATGGATAAGGATGCTTTCAGCGGTTTTAGTGCGACCGTTGCCTGACCCTGTATGTCTGTCTTATGGAGTAAAAGAGAAGTCTACTTAGGCAAACTCTGCTGTTTCCTATTCTACTTTGCTGAGAGATTGGTGTTGAGACAGGAAATGGGAGGCGCCACAAGCCAGTGTAATAAAAAGCAAACTGTGCATATTAATATGCAAGCCAATGCTCTCCTCTAAAAACCCTATCTACATTAGTAGGCCAGCTCCACTTTGCTCTTTTATCCAAAGACCCCCATGTGTAATAAGTACCTGGTTGGCATGGATGTGGATGATATCCGCACAGATACCACTCTCCCTTAACTTTTGCTCAGATTCAATCCTATGGGACTTGGGATAAACTTTGAACAGCCTGTCTTCTGGGCCAACACCCTTTCAAATGGGCCGCCACATGGAGACACTGTCATGACAGGGGTGGGATCGCCATAGTACTGTTGTTGTTCTTAGAGGTGAAACTATCTCGGACACAATGATTGGCCCCTGATGTTGCAAAGTGGAGGTGTCCTCAAACAGAGATAAGAGAATAACAGGCAACTTTGCTTATTAGTCCGAACTGCAGAGTCAAGGTTTACTTCTAAAGAGTTGCTTACATTAATGCCGTAGTTGATAAAGCTTTTCCACAGTTCTTTCACATTCTTTGGATAGTCAGCGGAGTCAAAGTACGTGGTTAGTGTTGTTCTAGGTTGAATGTGAGATCCCACTGAATCTTTAACATCCTGGAGAAGGGACTCTTCGGGACTTTGGGCAATGGTATAAAGATAATATCTGTATTCTTCCATATTTATCATATCTATTACCGATTCTTCTTTCAGCAGCTCTGAAAACAACAGGGCGTCCATCGCCGTGGTGGGGCTACCTTGAGCTTCAGCTTAGGTAATAGGAGCTATGACTAAAATGATCCTTGGAAGTATACAGAGCCTTCAGTATAACCGCAGAGGGATCAGGTCAATTATGTCACATCTCAGGCATTTTTCCCTTAAGATACTGTTTAACCCCTTCCCTCTTTTCTTCTCTGTTTAGTCTTTGCAACAATAAATCAGTTTCGCCGTATGGACCACAATCATAATTCAACCACTAATATATTTTCACTCTTTAGAAGACGACTAATAAACATATTGTTTTTTCCTTGCCCTCCTGTCCCATTCCTGCCCAGCTAACGGCATTCATCTCGCTTGCATCTTAGCTAAGCGAACGGATGCGTCTTTAATGAGTCAAGGGTGGTGAAAGTGGTGCTCCAGGGCTTTTAGCCCTGGTCATGTCATATTTTCCTTGCGCCATCTTAATTCTGACCCGTGCATCAAGACAGTGAGGTAGTAATGCGAAGTTGAAGATTACGTGCCTTGCAGGTATGCAGTGAATTGAGAGGTCATGGATGGTTCCAAGTCTTTGCTTGCCTTGTAAGGCTTCATATATGGATTAGGAGCATTACAGTAACCATAGCATGTTAATAGCTAACAAGCCTTCCCTCATCGCGATGGCTTAAAAAAGGACTTGACGTACATAGTTCAATGAACCTAGTGCCGAGATAAACGCGTCTAAACAAAGTACAGGTGCCACCCATTACAACTGGATTAAGGGTTGCTTCTGATTACAGCAGAAGTTGGCTGACCTAGTACGAGATTTTGACCAGTAGGTGAGTCTGATACGGTTGTATTCAAGCTGGAGGTCTGATTCTGGTGAATAACTTCAATTGCTAATCAAGCATGTGTACTTAAGAACATAGTCATACTTCATCATTCTATACTACTAATAATAGCAAATATCAGTTCAAGGGAGTAGAACAGGTACGTTTGTGCAATGCTCAAATTTCTTGAAATAGTTTAAAGCTAAATGGGTGTACAAGTTTCGGCCATATTAGGAAAGGTATTAGACGCTACAGATGACCTTAGCCGCCCCGCTACGTTCTACGCTGGTTGTTGATGCCAGCTGAAGGAACATTTGTTATTGTAAATGAGATTCCTAACACATTGCAAATGGCAGGCACTAACGATGGACCTTGCAGAAGAAAGAGTTTTAGGTAGTTACCTACACCCTCTAATCAGTGTACACAGTTATCTGGTTTCCTCAAACCAGAATTAGGAGAGCATATAAAGGCTGTTCCATAGCCATATATGGCAAGATCTCTGAGCTCCTGAAAACACTCAGTCTTCATACCTCAAGTGTGTCCTTGTCGTAAAACTTGCCTTAATAAATTCTTTGTCCCATAATGTCTCTGCAGTTAATTCGCAACATCTCCTCCACTGCTAAATGCAACATCCTCAGTTTGCTTGGCAAGGTGACCATTAATGATGTCCGCAAAGAGAATGGCCCTAATGGGGAGTAATGGGTCAAATCAGTGCAGAAGATAAGAGATAATATGGAGACTCAGGTGACATAGACTTTCCCCCATCTCTAAATTAGGAAGTCTAATATTAACTAGTACCGCGATGTCACCAGATTTGAAATTTAGTGCGTTTTTCTCTCTCTCTTACTACGCCGACTTTAACATGCTAGAGCTAATAGATGATCTCAGGGGCGCTAAGGCCCATACATCTTCCAAGGATCCAACAGACACAGATAATGTGATTACCATTGGTTTTTATAGCCAGAACGGCACCTGACTGCTTAGCGGACACGTGCATGCTGATGGCACATATAAACTTGCTGAGAGTCGCGCAGGAAAGGGCAAAGGGAAAAAGCAAGAAGGGAAATAAGTGTTTTCTGGACTAGGTTTATGTACTTATCAATAGCCTTTATTCCAGGTTTTGCTCAATGTGTAGCTATAAGCTTGATTTCAACACCTCTTTAAAGGTTCTCCACTTGGTCTCTAGTTTGCTAGACTCTCACGTTCGATAAAAATCGCAGTAGACTTCTGGAATCATGAGAATATATGCTACTGGAATTGGGCACTATCCTGGGTAAGAATCAGCAATCATGCTTTCAATCTAGCGCGGTAAGCTGTATGAGGATCTTATTAGTGGCCAAAAGATCACAAAGCCTTCCTGAGGCTCTATTTACATTCAATTTCCTTGTTTTGGGAATAATTGGGGTTGCCGCAAATCAACGACGGATTTCACGATCTGATTGGTCCGCGTCATGCAGCGGGCTATCCTTTCGGTGACCATGAATGACACAACATTAGGCGGTCACCGTGTTTCTAACTCTACACAGGTACTTATATTAAAGGCGCGTCTAGTCTCTTAATAGCATTCAAGATGATACTCCATCTCAGAAGAAATTGGCCGCCCCGCCTGTTTATTGGCACCATCATTATCAACGCGCGGACGGAAGGTATTCTCTGCTCACGCTGCAGATTAAGGATGCCACCATGGACAGCAATCACCTCTTTGTTCAAATCATTTTTGACAAGGGTGCTGGGAGGAATATAAGTATCAGAAACTTTAGAGAATGCCAGGTCGTTCCCTAGCAGTGGATTCGAAATAATTGAAGCTGATCGGTTAATTGAAGAGGAGGAGTTGCCAGATTATCAAGCTAATTAATTCTACCCTATTCAACTTGGTGAGGTGTTCCAGGATCGTTACTAAATGGTAGCTAAGCTCAGTTTTAGTACTTCATCAACATCATGGCTAGCCCGCGATCTTAGGTGAGTGTGCTTGAGGGTTTATTATGCTATGCTAAAAAGGTGTAGAGGCCATCAATATATCACCCTAAAGGTGTATGTTCATACCTTGTTGGTCTACTAAGAGCTACTGTTTTATCGTCATATTGCCAGCTGTATGGTAGGTACCTCACACCGTGGACAAGGAAATATTTGGAGACTGTTAGATTTGTTTGAAATTACTGGCGCATATGGCAGACACCTTGTGCTTATCTTTGAAGCTGCTCAAATGAGTCTGCGCGACATGAAGATGGTGTTCTGTCAGGAGGGATTTGAAGAAGACTTTGTTTGGGGTGCTATAACTGAGCTTCTTAAGGCTTTAGACTTTCTGCATACACATGGGAATGTCATCCACACTAGTACTGCCTTTGTCTTCCTGTTCTCTCTTAGAACATTAGTGTGAATTCCATGGCTAATATACTGCAGATATCCACCCTGGCAATATGCTCCTGGGTACCTACAATAACCAAGCCTTCTCAAAGTTTGAGGAAAAGGAATTCGCATCACCAGTTGCCCGCAAGCTGATTTTATCTGCTCAAACAATCTATCTCTCCTGCTTGATGCACCCCTAAGAAGGCCCAATACTACTATCTGATTTTGGTGAGGCCAGGATTGGCCCCAGCCTACATGGGGGGATATAATGCCCTTGGAATATTAAGCCCCAGAAACATTGCTTTATATAGGTTGGAGCTACCTAGTTGATATCTGGAGTGTTGGCCTTATGGTATGTCCCTAAAGTACCCAACAGTTTCTAGTGAGCTTCTAACTTGATTAGCAAAGGCGTGGGATCTCATGGAACCTAGAAAACTTTTTACAGCATGTGATGATGATGGCGACCTGTATGATGCTGTGCATCTTGCTTAACTAATTATGGCATTAGGCCCTCCCCCTCCTGATTATCTAGCTAAGAATCCAGAAAGGAGAGCTGACTTTTGGGATGAACATGGTATGTCGACATCTGAACAAAGTATGCGCGTGGAAGGAGCGTTCTAGACATTATTAATGTCTGGAGACTATTTATTGACTATACTTATAGGGAATTGGCTGGGCCTTGCGCCCATTCCACATGATAGGACCATGGAAGCATTGGAATCTTGCCTGGAAAATAAATCCATCTTCCTTTAATTTATTAGAAGGGCTCTAACTTGGACTCCTGGGGAAAGAGCAACAGCTAAAGAACTCTTGCAGGACCCTTGGCTGATAGGCGATGCATCGCGCAATTACGTCCGGTGAATAAGAAGCTCATATGCCTATGTAATGCAAATGTGGTTCCATATGTTTCTTCAAACAGTACCAGCAGGTGGAAGCCGCTCTGCTTTTAAGATTCCTCTAACATTTCCAGTTGATGTATGGGCCCTGTATTTACCTGGAAATAGTACCATACATTTTTAAGGGCAATAATCAAGTCCAGAGTGATCTGGTAGATCGCTCGCAGCTCCATTCTTTTGTCTGCGTAGATTGCTGGATGGTCATGGTTGATAATCCCAAGTTTAGATACTAAAGACTGCCAGAAACTGGCTTGCTTATTCTCTCTGGGCTAAGAATTTATAACCATAGGGACGTTGTCTAACACCGTGGGAAGATCTACAAATCGTGTAAGCGCGGTGTTGAAAGATGAACGCGAAGCAATATCTCAAAGGTTAGGAGTATCTGGTCTTCCCGCTCGGGTATATCGCCCATGCTTACCCCAAACCTAGCTCATCTTATCCACGTAGTGGCAGCATTCGACACCTTGACTGTTTCTCACCAATTAGAAGCTTGAAAATACAGCTATTTCCCACTTCTTCTGCCGCCCAAGGTTCAGAAGCATCACTGTGAACACTTTTAGGCTACCATACTCCCTAGATGGTATGACCGGCTTTTGCAGGGTTGACATTATCATTAGGGAGGGCCATTTCTTGGCGTGGAGCTTTACGCCTCCTTCATGGAGTCACCATCCGCACATGACTTTCTGCCTAACATTCTCCCCCTCATTTTCTTCAGCCCCTCCATGACACAGCTTAAACATTGTTAACGCGCTCAGCATAAACCAGCTTTTTTGAAATCCTATGTTCTCCATTAATCTGAAGACTCACGCCTAGTCTGCATAAATTGAGCCAGCAATATCGCCATGAGTGGTGCACTGACAAAAGACGCTGAAACACTTTGACAAGAAATCAAACAGCTGATTGCGAGCGCGGAAAAAGGGGACAACATATACAGCGTGGATCGCCTCAAGGCTTGGGATGGAAGGGTGGTATATATGGGAGATTTACTCAGACGCAAGATTAGCGCTCTAATGCAAATTCTGAAAATTAAATTGGTCTGCTTCCTCACTTTAATTGCTTCATGGTGGATCTAATATATGGATAGGGCTGGGGATGGACCCTTTACCATTTTCCTGTGGTGAGATGCATTCTTAACAAGCACAGAGATATGCAGCTTATTTTGTTATTGGAAAACTCTACCACATCACCAGGTGGACCCTTAACCAAAGGCTTTCTTATACATATCACTGAGGCAGAGCCTATGCTTAGTTCAGGATCAACAGTCATTATTTTCAGAGAAAGAACATCCTAGAATCACATATGTGTTTATTAGCTGGTCTTGCCTCAGTCTAAGTCAATAATATTTACATATTGTCTTCAGTTGACGTCAGCACGTCACTGAACCTTGATGTTAAGTTTTTGAGAACGTCTAGCAATTTACTGGCGGAGATAATAGTTGTGAACCTTGATATTACCTGTAAAAATCATTTATCTGTGCCTGAGGGTCAACTTCCTCAGTGCTTTCATAATAAAATCTGTCAGGTTGTATTCCAGCCATGTGTGCCTGATCAAGCAGGATCTCTTGGTATTCTGGCATGTTGCAGAGGTCATGTGTTTCTTGATTAGTATCCATATTGGTGTCTATGCTGCATGATTGTGTCACATAGCGCTCTGTGTTAAATATATCTAGACTAAGTTGTACTGTATGTTGAGCGTGGCATTCTTGGTTGGGGATGTTTTAAGTTCCACCTGAGTAAGAAGGCGGCAATATATAGGGAATTGGATTAAAGATGTCCATATAATAAAGCTCTGGGTTTTATCCTGAAAACTGGTTGCATGTGATACCCTGACTTGTCTCTAGGTTGGACTGCGGTAGCATGTAAGGTCTGGGGTTAAAAATATCTAGACTGGTGTCTATCTGCTCTCCTTCAATCTATAAAGTTGGTTTAGTCTGACCTGCTCGCTGGCCACAATGTCGCAGATCAACAAGATTCTGAAATTAACTTGCCTGTACTCAGAGTGATTGTGCAATATAAGGTTGTTAGTTAAGTGCATCCTAAGTTGGTGGTATCTGCTTAAAAGTTTGACTCTCGCCGGTCCTTTCCTGTTCTATGGTAGAGCCCAAAACTTGGCATGAGGTGAGATTCTCAGAAGCTTGCGTAATAGTTTGTGGATGTATATCCAGCGCTGATCTGTTGCTAGGGAGTGTGGTTACTATTTTAGCCTCCCTTGTAGAAGTTAATATTCCACTGAGACTTCCAAGCCTCTCGCTTATACCACTTTGATTAGCAGGTTTGGGTGATGGTTGACGGTTGTTTGTTTATCTGTCTTGCAGTATGAAGTCTTCTTATACTATGCACAATTCAATTAGTCTCCACAGGTAGTTGAACACTTCACAGGCAAAATCGCCAATGGCAGTAGAATAGGGATTTATGGCCAGGCACCTTTCTTTCAGGCATGTGATCTCCTGAGCTTATTTCAGACCCTGTAAAGGGAGCTTCCGCAAGCTTTACTTTGGCATCAGATATAGGAAGTGAAGAGTCTAACAAGAGAACTTACTAGTTGTCCGTCAAATACTCAGGCAGGCAGAATAACAAGCTGAGATATCTAAAGTCATTAGTGCCTGACTCCCCTGTATCACTGATTTCTTAACAGAGGAGATCAAGCCTCCGCCTAATATTACTCCAGGTGGTAATACATGTACCAACTAGCGCAGGGTCGTCCTAGACAATCCCTGACTTCCTTGTAATTGCTATGGCTCTTTCAACATGATTTAATTGCTTATAATGAATGCAAAACCTTTTAATAAGATGATAAAACACAACCTTCAGTAACTGGATTCGCCAAGTGTCTCTCTCCCCACAATTTTCCAACTGTAAAAGAAACTCATAGGATCCCGCTATTGGATGACGTTGGTCAAGTTGAAGGCTGTTCTCCACATTAAAAAAGCCCTTGATATCAGCTCTCCATTCTAGAATGGAACCCAGTAGCGTGTTTAAAACCATTAGTGACGTGGACTGTAATGGAGCCTTTCACAACCTTCTTTTCTCTACTTTCTATATCTCTTTCCTTGATGCTAAAGGTATTTATTTCCAGACAGCACTTAACTAAGTCATAAACTGTCCATGTTAGTTATCTTCAACTGTAAGAGGTTCTCGCCTTACTTCGCCATTGGAGAGGAGATCCTTGACTTCACTATGACCCTGAGAATCTGCCTCATAGTAAGCAGTGTTCAGTTTCATTATAATAATTTGACTCTCTGCGAGACCCATAATACTAGCAGTTATGTGAAAGAAGTTTAGAGCCCTGATCAGATGAGGGAGTAATATTAGATGAGCTTGACCAAGTCTAAGCTAGCAAACCCCCGCATTTACTAGACTAATCACCGCAATCATTTCAACATCATCTTGCGGTCTGTTTTAGTGACCTTAAAGGTGTGGAAATTCAATCTGGGGAATATATAGTGTCTTGCTGTAGGTTTCCTGTATCATCAGTTTTTCCCCATCATAATATGAATGCAAGGCCTCTTGCTTGCTAGTATGTGAGTTACCACAATTACTGATTCGAACTGTGCTGACGTGGACACTATGTGGAGGTAAAAGGATGAGCTCAGCATTATATGGTTATTACCACGATCTGTAGAGCCCTGCCAACACTATTTAGCAAAATGCCTTAATATTGCATGTCTTAATCAGCAGTTTGGACCTTTGTCAAGAAAGACAACCATGTGCAGGGGGTTCCAGTCTCTCCTACCCCTAAGGGGCAGCTTCGCGGTGTAGTTACAAAGCGCGTGGGTGATCAACCCCACTCTATACAACATTATACTTTACTCACTCTGTTCATGGTTGATTTGGTCTGGGGCTTAGAAGACTGACTCCTTTTCCCCAGTGCATCAATTAGAGGAAAGATGGGCGTTGTTGGGGAGACGCTCCTTATGAAATCCTCTCACTGCATCCAACGGGAGCCACCCCGAAGATGTCTATTATAGATCCTAACTTGATTTATGAATTCCTATTTCGCGCCTCTCTAAGCTGATAACTTATCCCTATTCCGACCCACAATCAGTCACCCTTTAATTGAAGCTGCGCGCTCCTGATATTTTAATTATATTACTATTCTCCCAATCCACTGATTGCCAACTGATCCATTTCCACCACACACTATCGACTGTGACAGCATGCTGGTTTGCAGGAGACGGCCTGACCGACGCTGAAAAAGCGTTGGTGGAGCAGGATCCTAAGTTGCAATCCACCATACAATAGCAAGTTGAGCTAGAGGACTGTTGTGCTCAATCCAACAATCCAACGTTGTGGGCCTTGTTGGAACAACAGAAGCATAATATTAATAGTACGCATCGCGGTCTACAGGAGAAGCAGTAGAAAGAGATCCGCCAGGATTTTAGCCGGAAACAAGCAGTCATTGATATTGCGAGGCAATTAACAGGCGGTGGCGTTACTCACGAGCCTGCCCGAGAGGTGTTATGAAAGGAGTTTACCATAACACTAGAGCAGATCCGCCTTGTGAAGCCCATTTTTACTCAGCCAACTTCAGACTTATTGGATGTAGGGCTCTAACGTCAGAGTAATCAAGATACACCCATATTTTTCATGGGTAACAAAGAATCCAACTGCGCGACGACAATCCTAAGAAGTATAAACCTAGTACTGATGTCAAATAGAACTGCGCCTGGCATTAGCACCCAGCTTATAGCTAGAGCTTGACTTACTACTAAGTAAGGACTGAGCAGAAGCATTAAACCATTGCTTGAACTTTACAACTTTTGCTTCCGCAGACATCTCAACCTCAATTCCCTGATCCTCGATGTCCTTCATATACTGTTGTGCTTATTCTTCCATTTCATGCATGTACATTCGTGCCTGTTCTTTGATTTCATCCATACATTTATTAGCTGTATTGCGTACCTCGGAGTTACCATCATCGACCTGTTCACGGAATTCGGCCTCATTTGTTTTGCATTCGGCGTAGATCTGATCATGACACTCGCTGACAGCACTATCGACAATCTCGTCAAGAATGTGTGATTTAAGGCGGCGCTCAACCATCTCATCAACATAACGTTCGAGGCGACGCTCAATCGTCTCGATCTCGGCAAAGCTGATTTTCTCTATGTCACAGTCTATGTCTTTTGGCATGGCCAGCAGATGTTGGCGTCCTGATCAGATTAAGAGTTCGCGAATCAGGTCATCAGAAAGACCACGGAGTTCATGTTTAAGACGTGTAAGTCTCTTACACTCTATGTGGCCAGGAGAGGAAGCATGCGTAAAGTAAGTTGGGCGAATCAAGGACGGTGACAGGGAGAGAGTACTCAGCATATTCACTTCAGTGGGAGAGCCTATCAGTTGAGGGGATGGAAGGAGCAGTCTTTTTTGTCTTTCATTATTAGGTGACATTAACCATGGGTCTAGATACTATTATTAAGCTATTGAACAACAGAGTACCTATAACAGTAAGAGGAGAAGATACCTCTGCGCCACTTTCCAATGCCCTGCTCGGACACAGACTCCTCACAATATAAGGGTGGATCCGCCTCCTTCGCCTGCTCGGACAAGGACTCTTAACAATATGGAGGTGGATCAGGCGACAGACTAAAGACACGCCAATCTTTCTGGACCACGCCATGGCGAGCATGGTTAAATGACACTGTCTGAAGACTTCTTTTTCACAGGGCATAGGAGAAATTCTCCAGCTTATCAAGTTCTTTATTCACAAATTATCACTTAATAAAATGTAGACGAAGAAATTTAGATTAGCAAATCTTTCTAAATGAGTGAAAACCAACGTGTCCTGGTGTGGCTGGGCTTAGACTCTCTATCTCTGGTAGACAAAGGACAATGCCGGTCATACTGAGGCTCAGGCTCAGTGTTAAGACGTCCAAAACATTATTAACAGGTGCCGGGAGAAGGGAAAGGAGATGAGATGGACAGAGGTTATCGTTGCTTTTCCGAGCTAAAGCATATTTTCCGACTCTGTCTGGGGGGATATTCAAAGTGAGCACCTGTAATCTGCCGCTCAAGTTAGCAAGATCTGCTGTAATCAAAAGGGATATGGATCCTTGGTTAGCAGTTTGATCATGGATAATACAAAGGCGAGCACAACAAGAAACGTTGAGATTGGGTGCATAAACAAGAATTGACTTCTTCAAGACCCAGGGCGAGTTTTGCAAAGTGGTGGTCATTATGTTATTGCAACATTCGCTGGATTAAAGGGTAACCCTCAATGAATTGAGTAGCCCTCCCACCCGGGCTTTGGAGCAGGGTTGAGCAGCCCTGACTCACAGAAAATGCAGGTGAATAATAATAATGAGTACATTCGTAAGAGCTCTTGCGGCCTGGTCACGAGTACGTACCCAATCCAAAGTCAACAAGTGAGATCGGAGAGTCCTATGAAAACATAGGAATGGCAAGACTAGCGATGAGGAGGCAAAGAGCAAATCCATACTCTAAAGGATGATGCTGGTAAAAGAAGGTGAAGAAGAGATAGCCAGAGTAGGAAAAGAGGAGGCTGGGGTCTTGGCAAATTTAAAAGTCTAACCACATGAGCAGACACCTATGGACAGGGTGGGGCTTAATAATTCTCAACTCAGACAGAGCTTAGGTTTCCAAATGGTTGACTAGTTGTCAACATGAGTAGAATTCATGCGGCCAGTGTATCAATGTGAATACAGAATTTCAAACAAGATATGCTGCAAAACTATGCATGCGCACTTTGTCTATTAAAAGAAAATAAATCAAATAGAGGCCGGTTAAGCATATTTAGACAGGGTAAGTGAGTGTTGATCAACAAGGAGCTCATCACTCTTTGAGGTGATCTTTGGCAAAGTCACGAAGGTGCCTAGAACTTTTTCTTGGGGCATGTGAGCAACAGCTTCCTCAAGGCTCTCACTAAAGGTACAGCCAATGATGATGATGATGATGAATTCATACTCTGACCCCTCGCCTAGGGGATATGCAGGAGACAACTATCTAGTCCTTATGTCTGTCTATGTACAATAAACCATTACTTCCCAACGACTTTGGAGCCTCATCACGGCCTGTGGTGGCCTACATGCCTGGTGTTCTGTTCAGCGGCCCTGCGGCGCGCGGCTTTGAAACCTCTGTGATGCCTCTGCGAAGTCCAGTACTGCACCCAAGATGCTACTATCTTGCATATCATCCTTCTTACCTTCCTTACCTTGAGATCCCCCTCCCAGCAGACCTGAAATATCATTAAACGCAGTCCCAATTTGCCTTCGTAGTTTGCGCCGTATGGCCGTTAACTTTGGGCAGTCTATCAGAACATGGACCACTGTTTCTGAGGCCCCGCATTCGCACTTGTCATCTTCCCTAAAGCGGTGTAGCTTGCCATGTGTTGCTAGCCACGAGTGGCCGGTTCAGAGTTAGGCCAAGAGACATAACTACACAGCCAAGTCTGCCCGTGGCTAAGCCTTAACGAGTTCTTGTAGCCGATGTAAGCAGCTTCACCAGGCCCGCTTGTTCAGGCCACTGCCCTGGTTTTCCACCCTTCACCTCGCGATGAACGGCTTCAAGATATTGAGGCCCCGGCAAAAACCTCTCACCCCAGGTGTCTCCAGGTTTGCTCCTTAAGCATGCATCACCGGCCTCTCCAGCTAGAACAACATCACATCCATCGCCCAGCCGCAGGTTCTCACTGCGAGTGAGATAGTGAAGGCGACCACAGCCGTTTCCACTAGGACGACACCACTTTGGCTGTTCAACTTCAGGTCCCCAGTGCGAGTGAGGTGGCTAATTTCCGTGTCTATGCACACCGACACGCGCGTCCGTCCTCTCGGGCCACATAGACAGTCTCATCAAGCCCCTGAAGGCTGGTCCGTCACTGCCATTATGTGCCACGCCCCACGGTGAAACGAGACACATCTCCCCACTTCGCGTTACCAGCCGAGATCTCTCTCTGCCGGCCGACCGTGTCTTGCAGAGGCAGCCAAGGAATATCCCCAGTGACCCTGCGGGACATCCCGACCGTTCTCCACTAACCAAGCTTGTGTCCCCAGTTTCGCAGACCCCTCAAACACCCGTGGCCATGCCTTAACGAGTTCGTCGAGGCTCGTCGCTAGATCGTACGCCCCTAGTGGAATGGACTGTCAGCATCTTTGATCAAGGCTGCCCGTGGAAGAGCCTTAACGGGGGAACTTGTAACCAGAAGGGCTGCCGTCCTTCCCTCAGACTCGTATTATCCACTGCTCAACCGGTTGTATCCTCCCTCGCCGCTCAACGCAAAATCAAATTATGTTCAAGTTCTGTAGGGCGTCTCGCAATCTCAGAGAGTTTTCAAGCTCAGAGGTGTCCTGTCTCCTGTCTAGGCGATACCACATCCACTAGAAAAACAAGTCTAGCTTCGGTCTCGAGTACGAGTCGAGTAGACAGTCGTCGGATGTTTTTCATGACCCTTTTCCTCTGATTTTGTGTGGGTTGGGGGTGGGCTCGGTAACCACGGAAAATTCTGCGGTTCGGCCCTACCCGCAACCCCCTGGATTCTTTTGGCTTCCCCTCTGCACAAGCAGAGGGTACTGACACCGGACACCGCGAGAAGGTAGAAATCCATCGTCCTAACTGCTTGACGGTAGCAGTTACCCAGCGTGCTCGCCAGGGGCCTAAAGGTACAGCCCTTCTCGAAATCGGCTTGACCAACAAACATTTGATTATTATTTTCGGGACCCACTGCCAAGGACTTAGCTTGAATTTACTATTGGGGTTTCCGTCTTACACAAGGGCTTGTTGTATTTCTCGTATGGAATATGCTACCGCTTTGTGCTTTCGCGTTCGCATGATTAGGTAACGGCGAACAAGCCATGCATAATTTAACCGTAGACGAACGGATGGAAACTTGCCGTCTCTTAGTCAGCAGCCTCACTAGGAATTTGGAGCGAATATCGGTCGGCGTCGTCGAATAGTTTACCTGGGAATGGCACAAGAGTAGCTTCAAAGTGGCTGGTATTGCTGCTATTGCTCACTTAACTCAAGAATAACTACAACCCGACAACTTTAGGCGTAATATCAACCTGCCTTGCAGGTGTCATAACAAGAAAGTCTTTTGCATACGCAGCAGCGACCGCAGCAGCGTATTTCTGCCAGGTTTTGTTTTTGTGAGAGTCTGCGTAGTCACAGATGCCGCGAATGACAAGACATGGGAAATTATCCATTAATCCTGCTGCCTCCATCTCAAAGCAAATAATTCCGAATTCTTTTGCGAGCCGATCTCTAGTTAGACCATGTTTCATAACCTGGTTCCCGGACGCGATGAGCCCATAATGAACGACAGGTGTGTCGATGTTCCGAGGTTTGCGAAGGATGCATTTACCAGGGTCGCAAGCTTCGCAGGTCAGCGCAGATGCTGGATGATCATAATCGGCGCTAAAGAGTCGATCTTCCTCTTGACCACGGTGTGTAAACTCCTGCATTTCTGGATGTTTCTTTGCCATGTCAGCAAGACAACGGCTTAACCGGTCCCTATTGACCATGTACTCAGCCTCCATCCTGGCGACCATTGTCAAGAGCGCCTGCGGTGGTTTATTCAGGGCTCCCGTCTGGAGAAATTGGCCGTTTGCAGTGGTCTTGCCATAGTCATATTGCACTACTCCCCCTAGGGTTCCGCTAGGCTTGCTGACAACCACATCGCCTAGCCGGATATCGTTGTCGCCTCCGGGTACTCCTCCCCCAATGCCCACCAACAAGCTAAACCGGATGGACTTGAATGTAGCTTGCATTTGGGACGCCACGATCGCTGCTGATGTCGTACCATATACCCCATCAGGAAGACAGGCGATCACTATATTATGGGCTCCAATGCTACCCAGAACGTAACTGTTGTGATCGTTCGGATGGGTCGGCAGAGTAGTATGGACATTAGTATGGACATTATCAAGCATCGCGCTTGCTGCAGCCATCTCAAGGGGCAATGCACAGATCCAACCGATCGTATAGTCATCAGGGCCTTTGTTGGCATCTGCGCACACCTTCCTTAAGCTCTCTGTCTTCCGGCCTTCAAGCCTGGGTCCCTTCATGGGTTCTTCATGAACTGGGAGATGGGCATCCCATGACGTTCTATTGTGGGACGTTGTCTCTGATGAACAATGACCAAGGATCATATTTGTCATTTCATCATTCAGCCGCTTTGCAATCTCTTCTACTGATGTTTCGAAATTGGCAGGTGGGGACACGTGGACTGAGAGACATCTGATTGAATCGTCAACCGAACGTCCAAAGCGAAGCATTCCCCCATAGGTTTCTTCAAGTTGTCCTTCGATGCGCACTGTAATGAAAAACGGTTCTGTATCGTGGGAGATCACAAGGCCAACGCGAACTTGGTCATGATGCAGTATTGTCTGATAGGGCGGTTTGGCCTCCCTGACGACCCATTCCACCCGGCGATGCAGCCCACTCTCCTCCCCTTCTGCTGGCCATGTATAAGCACGCAACGACCATTGGTCATCAGCATGGTTTCCACTTCTTTTATCTTCACCAAGGATCGATCGAAATTCAATGACATCCTTAGATTCCTTCGACCCTTCCGTATCTCGAGATCGGACATAGCTGGTGACACTTTTAGGGCCAAAGTATTCCGTAAGAACCGGGCCGAGTTTTGACCGGCCGACGGATTGAAGTTTTTGAAAAGATAGCTCGATGTTTGCACTTTTGAGCGTGCAATCTGCAGGCTGACTGAACTGTAGTTGAAGATAGAGCACCCAGGCCGGTTGACTGGGGTCATAGCCCAGGGTCCCCCATTTCGAGCTCGGCATAAATGAACAGTCTATTTTCATTTTTCCCAGTCTTCTATACCCCAAACTCTGACTATGGGTCTCATAGAGATCTCTAGAGCTCTGCTCTTGATACTTGGATGTCCGCTGAGAGAGGTATCTGGAGAAGAGGCTCCACATGGTGGTTGCTGATCACAATCATTCGACATTCGACAGATAGCTCAATCGTAGCATAAGACTAAAGCCGTCCGCGCGTAAAAGCTCGAAACCGTCGTTTTCCGAGGGACGAGGCATTTGGCATCTTCAGGAAGATGCAAGTTGGTGGCATTGAATTCCACCTAGCTGTGAGGCTGAGCCCGCTCAGCTGCTGCACAAACCCCGCACTAAAATCCACAAAGCAACCAGAATATGCGCTCAGGGAGGGATTTCCGTCATATGGATTACTATCAACTAGTCAACTAGGGCTGACCTGATGGACTCCATCTCACTACCTTCCTTACCTTCCGACGAGAGACGGCGTGTCAAGGCAACATGTCACCCGAACCACCTTCCAGGTATGAGCTTCATGAAAGAGGAACAAACTTGTCTTTCGCGTTTGAGCTGGAGGAAGACCTTGAAAGCGAGATACAGCACTTCGCCAAGCTCAGCCGGACAGGCAACTACGCCAAAGCCCATGATTTCTTTAACCATGTCCTGAGAAAACATATTGGCTTTTTCCCTGTGGCTGTAGAGTATGCAGATATGCTCCATGAGCAAGGCTGCTATAGACAGATGTCGATTTTTCTGGAAGAGCGTCTTGGCACTACACGCGATGAATGGGGAGAAGATGAGATGCAGCTTCTTCGATTAATGAAGGCCATGGCCGATATGTACTACCGAGGAATGCTCGGGATAGCTCTTGATGAAGCTACCAGAGCATGGCATTTCCTGGCATCAAAACAGCAAGCACGGGGTTCCTGCAGTTGGGTTTACAAAGTCCACAAACCACCGATAACTTTCCCAGTGATGTCGATGTAAGCGACATAGAGCGACTGTCGCTTCCTTAGGGTAATTGCTAACTAAGGCCAGATGTACATCTTTGAGGTCCACATGAGCATCATTGCGTTTGCTGTTGAAAGGGCATCGAGGGTGGATGAAATTTGGACAAGCTGCCCATTCTTTTCCCCAGGGGTACGCGACTTGTCAGGGTGTTTTACGTGGTATACGATATTGAAAAGTGCGGGCTTCTTGTGGCAAGCGTCCAGAATTCTGCGAAGTCTGCTTCCTTTGCTCCCTTTCCGTCCCCAGGAGATCCGCAGGATAGGTATTAGTAGTCCAGATGACTCTGAGACACTTCATGACTTGGGAGGCACGGGACTTCTAGGCTCTGATGTGTGGGCTTTATTTGAAATACACGTGCTCCAGGCCGAATACTTGCTGAATGTGGCGATCCTTGCGAATGCTGCGGGAGCTAGCCACGACACAATCCGAGAAGTGTATGAAAGCGGCAGAAATCAGCTAGAAACCGCTGGAAGTATCTGGAGAAAGCTTCCAAAAGATGGGGACACATTAGCATCGAACTCACGGCTGTCCATGGAACAGATCTGTTATGACACTGGGAAAGTCCTCCTCTTTCCAGACTCCAATGTCAAAATTGCCGACCCGTCTTCAGACCTTTCGAAAATCCTATTGGAAGCAGAATTATTGTGTGATTTCCGTACTCAGATACGGTGTCGCTTTCAGCTTCTTTTAATCACTCTAAGGTTATCGGGAGACTGGCGCGACCTTTACAGCATGTTAAAACTGCAAGAGATCGATTGCGGTAATTTTATTGAATCGCTACATACTTGGAACTTGTTCGCTTCATGGACCCTTGGGGTTCCAATTTCGGGATTCAACCTGTCAAAATTGAACTCCTCGGAAACGCTAAATCTCGACAGAAATATTCTTTTCTTATCTCTCATAAAGACCCTGGGATGGCCCGATCAGACTTGGATAGAACTATTGCGGTCGCACTATTCAAAGACGAAGCCTCTCGGCTTGCATTTGGCTTGGGATGTATATGGGGATGGTAATGATTTGCTCATCAACATACCTAACTGCACCTTCTGGTCTGAAAATAATAAGAACCAGCTTCTGGCGTATGAATGGGATAGCAATACGAAACGGAAAACCCTCGACCTCTTAGGGCTTTCAGCTGCCTTGAAATCAGAGATACCCGACTTCGTTCAACACAATCGACGACCCCGTTCCGATTCCTTTCCTCCCAATTTTCTGGAGCGAGACTATGAGCCAGAGGCCAAAGCGATGCATCGACGGGCGCTAGAAGGATATGAAGAGGAGCTGGAACGTGAGCATTCTGACACGCTCATCAGTGTCGGCAACCTTGCCAATGTGCTTGAAGATCATTCCAATCGAGCCGGTCAGTTGAGTAACCTTGGAAACCAGCTCAGCCGTCTATTCGAACGAACTGGCTCAATGGACGATCTTAACCATGCCATTGAGGTTGCAGGTTTAGCAGTGGATGCTACGCCTAAGGACCACCCTGACCGAGCTGCCCGGTTGAACAACCTCGGGATCTGGCTCGGTCGTCGATTCAAACAGACTGGCTCAATAGACGATCTTAACCGAGCCGTTGAGGTTGCAGATTTAGTTGTGAATACCACGCCTGAGGACCACCCTGATCAAGTTGCTTGGTTGGACACCCTCGCAAATAGGCTCGGCTGGCGATTTGAACTGACTGGTTCAACGGACGATCTTAACCATGCCGTTGAGGTTGCAGGTTTAGCAGTGGATGCTACGCCTAAGGACCACCCTGACCGAGCTGGCCGGTTGAAGAAGCTCAAGCACTGGCTCGGCCGAAGAGACCCCGATGATTCTAGTGATCAGACCATCAATCTCTGGGATGCCCAGACCGGCGAGCCCCTGCAGACCCTCAAGGGCCATTCGGATTCTGTTTACACGGTAGCCTTCTCTCCGGACGGGAAGCGGATTGTATCAAGCTCTAGTGATTACACCATCAAGCTTTGGGATGCCCAGACTGGTGCTGAGCTGCGAACCCTTAAGGGCCATTCTAGTATAGTTTCCTCGGTGGCCTTCCATCCGGATGGGAAGCAGATCGTGTCAGGTTCTGATGATCATACTATCAAGCTCTGGGATGCCCAGACCGGCGAGCCCCTGCAGACCCTCGAAGGCCATTCGGATTCCGTTTACACGGTAGCCTTCTCTCCGGACGGGAAGCAGATCGTGTCAGGTTCTGATGATGGAACCATCAATCTCTGGGATGCCCAGACCGGCGAGCCCCTGCAGACCCTCGAGGGCCATTCGGATTCCGTTTACACGGTAGCCTTCTCTCCGGACGGGAAGCGGATCGTGTCAAGCTCTAGTGATTACACCATCAAGCTTTGGGATGCCCAGACTGGTGCTGAGCTGCGAACCCTTAAGGGCCATCCTAGTTTATTTTCCTCGGTGGCCTTCCATCCGGATGGGAAGCAGATCGTGTCAGGTTCTGATGATGGAACCATCAAGCTCTGGGAAGCCCAGACCGGTGCTGAGCTGCGAACACTTGAGGGCCATTGGGATTCGGTTTGGTCAGTGGCCTTCTCTCCGGATGGGGAGCAGATCGTGTCAAGCTCTAGTGATTACACCATCAAGCTTTGGGATGCCCAGACTGGTGCTGAGCTGCGAACCCTTAAGGGCCATTCTGGTATAGTTTCCTCGGTGGCCTTCCATCCGGATGGGAAGCAGATCGTGTCAGGTTCTGATGATCATACTATCAAGCTCTGGGATGCCCAGACCGGCGAGCCCCTCCCCTAGAGGGCCATTTAAATTTGTTCTCGAAAGTCTTGTCAGACTATACCTATATTAAGCCTGAACAAGGCCTTCCGATATCAGTTGACCATTCTTGGGTGTGTCTAGAAAAAGTTGTATGGCTTTCTCCTGAATTTCGTCAACCTCTGTCATGATATCAAACATGATATACTGGCTATGGGGTGTGGGATATTATTGGACCTTCTGCATCTTTCGGTTGAGTCCATTCTTTGTCACCAGTCTTGAGCAAAACATCAAAGTCGACGTCTTCCTCTATCTCCATGCACTGTAGACGGGTGTGTAGCTGCCTTTCCTCTTCTGGCTCATAGATAGCAGATTTGCCTGCGGGAGCATCCCCTTCCATGTCGAGGCCGATAGTGCGAAATCGTTCCCTTCTTTCGTTTAGAGGGCTTGGAAAGAGTATCTCGATCTCAAAGGAAAGCCCCTCTACCCTTGGGTCCGCTTCAAAGGGAAAAAGGATAGTATATTCGACATCCACGGGAATGTCATGGTTGCAATGCGCTCGACGAGACTCGCAATGCTCAAGTGAAGGACCCCGATAAGTGTATTGGCCACGATCACCGAGTATTAAACGCCCTGATTCCTCATCATTCGCAGAGTGTCGTATCCCGTGGTTATGCGTTCTATGGCAGAATGGGCAGTAGACAGTGACGCTATGTGCAGTCCACCACACTGCAATAGCGGCTTCTCTTGTTGTTTTCCGCGCTTTGAGCTGTTCTGGGCTTGCTCTAGTACAGTCACGTGGCCGCGCACTTCCCAGCACACCCTGTTCAGGAAGAAAGCGGAGTGTCCGATAATCCCACATTTTCGAATGATTGGCAAAATGCAATAGCGATTCGGCTTAACTTATGGATACTATTGCAGGGGAGGGCAACATTGAAGGCCGTCTCGCGATGGGATGCTCTATCCATGACGTACGTCGGAAAGGCTCGTTGTCAGATTACTTAAAGCTCACGTTGAACGCCGGACGAACCTCGTCGAGCTTACTCTGCGGATCCTTTCTGGCCGTTGCTGTCGATTAGAGCTTTGCTGGGATGGACGGGATGCTTCACGTTCTACCGCAACGCCCCCAGAGCCTTCCACATGCGGTGGGTCCGGCAACGACGTGTCTACCGGGCCGTCGGGTACGTTCGGAGCTTGCGTGCAGGGCGTACAGTAGAAGCCATCGAACAAACGATCCTCACGGCTGCTCGCTTTTATCAGTGTCATGCCAAGCCTGAGAGATAGAGAGATTCGTACCAGTGAGGGCAGGTAAATCCAGCCTGCCAAGGCCCGTGGTTGAGCCAGGTTTCCATACAACGCCAGTGAAATTCGCCAGAACACTCTTCACAGTTGAGATAGACTGTATCGTCGGAACGACATTCTCGGCAGATATCACATTCCACATCGGAGAGCTGACGACCCTTGCGGAACGTACGGAGCGTTACAGAACCGACACGACCATCTACTCGTGGGACGGATACCACAGCTAGCCGGGCAGAGGAGACATGAAACGGAATTTGGTTCTCTCGAACCATACTCGGAGTGACTGCTTGAGAGTACCGGCGGATAGATGACAGCCTTGATGTTGGAGGACTGTCTGCTTGAGGAATAGACGGCAGCGCTCTGGCCGCAACCCCGTCAGACCCAGCATCCACTTGAGCTCGCCGACCGGGGCGGTATAGCAGGCCTTATTGGAAAGCCGAGTGAAGGGCGTCTTTTCAGCCAAGATTATCATTTCTCGCCGTGCACAATTCCTGTTTCAGCAGCTTGGTGAAATTGTCGGATCCGACATACAGTGGTGATCGCTTCCGACTTATGCAAGTACAACATTTGTTTCTGGGGCTAGTTCGTAGTTTCCCCACAGAATGAAAACCTCGTGGGCTATTGTTGAGTCTGGAGAAATCTGCAGAAATCTGGAGACTGAGTCCACTGAAGAGGACGTTTATACTTCTCGTCTGAGCTTTGATCCCAAGAGAAGAATTACTATTTAGGCTGTTTGCTGGATGGTGAAGTATATGTATCCGTCCTCTGGCCCTGCGGTTCTCATTTCTGCTTTGCAACTTCGCCACAAAGAGTTCGCTTGCCGTCCACCTGCCTATGCGATTCACCCATACCCCTCCCTCGCTGATCTGAGACTTCTTGCGTAAAGCAGATGATCATGCCTGGCATCGTTCGTTACCTAGCAGTCGCTGGCTTGGCAAACACAACGTTAGCTGCCCCACTTGAGACGTATAATATTGATCCGAGCTCTGTGTCGGTCTCGGGCCTCTCAAGCGGTGGCTATATGGCGGTACAGCTTGGTGTTGCCTACTCCGGTACCTTCCAGGCGGGTTTTGGTGTTTTTGCCGGTGGTCCATATGATTGTGCTCGCAACCAATATGTAAGCCAGCTGCTTCTTGACGATTCATGAATACCAGAATACCTTTACCAGATGAACTAACAGTAAAATCCTTCTGGGTTTCCCTCCGAATTTAGTACACCAGTTGCATGTACAATCTGAATCCCTCCATCACCACCCCACTGCGAATATGGAATCCTGGAGCGGGAATCAAATTGACCCGATCAGCAACTTGAAGTCCCGCAGGATCTATATGCAAGTCGGCTTGGCTGATACTACCGTCGGCCCCAATGTGATGGGCAGGCTAAAGTCACAGTTGTCAAATTTTGGTACCTCGTCCTACATGACGTATATCACCACGTCAGGTGCTGGGCACACCTTTCCGACTGACTTTGACGCATCGGGTGGTAACCACTGCAGCGACTCATCTTCACCTTACATCAGCAACTGCGGCTATGACGGGGCTGGAGCGGTCCTACAATGGATGTATGGTGCCTTGAATGCTCGTAATATGGGTCCATTAACAGGCGACGTTATCCCATACAGCCAGACTTCCTCGTATGGTGCAAATGGAATGGCTACCACAGGCTACCTTTATGTTCCAGCTGCCTGCAAGGACAGATCAACTGTTTGCAAACTGCATGTGGCGCTTCATGGTTGTCTCCAGAGCTATGGCCAAATCGGTTCCAAATTCATCAATAACACAGGGTATAACAAATGGGCTGGTATGGGACACCTTCCTATATGTACATTCATCCGTCTCTCCTGCTAACGATTTCATCCGCAATCTTACAGATACAAACGACATAATTATTCTCTACCCTCAAGCAACTACTGACAACTCGCTCCACACGGTCTGGAACGGTGCTTTACTCTCGAACTCTAACGCCTGCTGGGATTGGCTCGGTTGGTACGGTAGTAATGCTGACCAAAAGGGAGGTGAGTTGTCGCGTGTTTCCGCTGTCAGCATTATCAAAGTGATCTTAACGTGAGGACTTTCTTCTTCAAGGAGCCCAGATGACTGCAATCGTGAACCAAGTCAGACGGATCATGGGTGACAATTAACGTCCAAGAAAACCTCCGCCCACGCCTCAGCCTCACGGAAGGCATCTGCAGCTAAGCCTTGTCCCTTTGTTAGGGTCTGAAATAAGGTTTCTGGTGCAGGAAAAGTTGTCAGCACGCCCGATTGGCCATTAACAGATTATTCAATCTTAATCTGACTTATCCGCTTTTTAATATTCTTTCCGGCAGTTGTAGGGGGGGAAAGGCTTAAAAGTAATCGCCGTACGTCGGCGTAGATATATCACGTGAGGAGACATCAGGCACCCAATAAAACTACTCCCTATACACCACCGTTTCTGCAACTAGTCCCTACGTTCTCAAAAGACGTTGTCATAAGGGTATATTGCCTATGGCTGATAATTTAGGATAAAGCCCTCGCAATAACAAGTACGAGCAGATCGAGTCTTACTTTTCCCAAAGCTGTTGGTCGAGCGGCAAAAATTAAACCTGTAATCTTTGTTATGAGCGGTCTTCATGTCTGGAGCTGAACCCCGAGTTGAAACAGTAAGGACTTCTGTGTTCGGGGTTAAGTACTCATTCTCCCTCCCAGCCTATCATAGTCGATGGCCGTGCGGGAAGTGCCCCGCTACTTGTGGGCGAGTAGTTACAGTAGATCTTACGGTCACCATGGGAAAGCATAGTGAAAACTGAACGTTCCGAAGCAAGGCACAAAGTCCGACCCGTCGACTGGCGACTGGACTGAAGAGTGCGAACAAGTGGGCTATCACAAGATGAGCACGGAACTCGGTTGTTAAAGTGATCCGACACAATATAGACTTTCTGGGATAAGGGTCTTCCACATGACTATCCTGGAATATCACTTCAAAGGTAGATAGACTAGGATATCGATGGCCCTGCCCTGCTGAAGCGCCTGCTCATGGAAGAAGATTTGGAGAGCCTGTCTCTCGTGGCTGTTGTCGGATCCGACGTGCAACAGAAAACAGCATCGGAAGCGACCCATCGGAAGCGACACGAAATCGGGCAAAAAGCGAGCATTGCGACCATCGTGCCTCAGAACCTTGGCAGTTACAATGGACAGATTGAGACTCCAGCCATACACTCAGTGGTAAGGAAACTACAATATTATTACCATATGTCTCTTGAAAATCCAGACCAGTGATCATTGGCAGCATGATGTATCCTCAATGGCCGATCTGTCTGAAGTTTTGTCACTTTCGCAGGTCATCAAACTTGGAAGAATATATTGGTCCCATGCTGGAACAGGCAAATAGGTTTCCTGGTTTGACAATTGCCGACATCTGCTTTGGCACCGACTTCGACTATCATTCCGTCTGCTGTTGCCGGAGCCTTACCAGGTTGGGAAGCCATCCTAACCTTTATAGCTAACCGATTCGTCCAGCTATCTTCACTTAGCTTTCTACAGCTAAGTCTTATTAATCCCGATTAATACCTACAGCAAGTACAATCAATATCTCTCGGATAACATGTCAGCCATCCAAAACCAGCTCCAGCAAGGCGCCGTCCCGAACTCTATATCCAACGTCTGCCCCCAAGGCAGCAAGTTTCACGTCTTGGAGGTCGGTTGGCTTGAGTGTGACGAAGGCTTCGTCATCCGAGGTGGCAACACCAGCCTGAAGAGCAACGAGGGTGAGGCCTTCGTCAACAAACGTCGCCAGATGCCTATGTACTGTATCCTGGTCGAGCATCCACACGAGGGCCTGATACTCTGGGAGACAGGGTGTGGGAAGGACTACCCACAAGTTTGGGGTCCTGCTATCTCTGATATCTTCGCTCGAGTCCGGTATGAGCCTCAGCATGAGCTCCGTGCCGCTGTGGAGGCCACCGGGAACAATATTGAAGATATTAAGAAGATCATAATCGGGCATCTCCATATGGATCATGCCGGAGGTCTGACAGAGTTTGCAGGTAGGAAGGATGTCGAGATCTGGGTCCATGATAGGGAACTCCGTGGAGCATTTTGGTCTGTCGCTACAGGGGCTGATGTGGGTGTCTACCTGCCGCATTATCTTGATTTGTCATTGTACATGACCCTTGTCTCTTGTTTTACGGGATTGAGGAATAGAAGCCTATCTAACAGATGTAGGAACTGGAAAACTTTCGACGACCAGACCTTCGACTTCTGTCAGGGCATCACTCTCCACCATTTACCCGGGCATACAGATGGCCTTATCGGAATGCAAATCAATATGCCTGAGACAGGAACATTTTTTTTTATCAGTGACCACTGTCATGTCATTGAGAATGTAAGTAAATTGTTCTTTATCTGCCAAAATCGACTATCTTTCGACACTGGGCTGACATGCGGCAGTGGCGAGACGGCATCCCACAAGGATGGCTTGCCCGTGATCATCCAGCGTGGTTCAGAAGCACGCAACGACTTAAGCATCTGGAGCGAATTACACGGGGCCAGGTTATCCCGGGCCATGACAAGGAGACATTCCTGGCGCTGCAGAGACAGGCAAAAATATTCACTTAGCGCTCTTCTAGCTAGCTACCTATTACTTGCTTTTCTCCAAAGCCCGTTACTGTGCCTACTGTGACCCCTGCTTTGGATGGTCGTATGCGGCAGCAGATTTTTTCGTGCATAGCAGCTGCAAAGGTGTCTTGAAATGTGAAGCAAGGCGCAACAGTATTTATCCGACTGGACGTAGAACTCCGATCTTGGGAAGCGCGTTTCTAACGTTCGTTATCCAGTACACTTCCCCTATACCAAGGGCCCTACACACAAGCAGCTGCATTGCTACTTCCCATGACCTTTGATGATGGCAGCCAGGAGGGGTGGCAAGTAAACACCCAATCAGTTATGATGTCAGTAAGCGACGAGGTACTACACTCAAAGAGATAGTACTGGATACGCCAGACAGTCGCATCATCCAGTATCCGGACGAGTATGGGCTTTCGAGTAAGCTACTGTACTAGAGTGGCTAGGAGAGTCCACTTGCGAATTCTTGTCACGGACGTAATACCGGCCTTTTGCGGAGGTTCAGACTTCGATGGAGACAACGATTTTCCACCTCGAGGGAACGATCAAATGGAAATTTCCCAAACTGTCTCGAAACCTTGAAAGCTAGGACAAAGAAATAGATAATGTGAAATGCAGCAGAACTAAAGAGGCTTTTTCTGGCGATCTTTACCTCCTCCTCCGGCACGAATGACGTCTACAGTCACGTGAACTTTGGAAAATGGCAAGGTGAGGGAGCTTTCTCATCATATCCATAGTATAAGCCAGCCCCTAAGTCCAGCAGATGGTCAGGCTGATGATATTATCATTAACTTTGATGATATTTTCATTACCCGATCTGCGTCAGAGGACTGTGAATTGATGATGATGATGATGCTTGGGAGCCACTTCCGCAGATTTCACCCGCAGATGCCTTAGAATGCCTATATAAACTTCGTCTTTTTGAGGAGCAGCAGGCAGATTATGATGAGCGCCTTATCCAGCATCTTATGAGGCATGAGAGGGTTCATTTGCAGAGGATGATGCATAAGAAGCAGCAGACTGATATCCGAACGTCTTTAGGCGGTGGAAAAAAAGTTGATATCAGCAATACAGATGGCCTGCTGAATTAGTTCCTTATATTTGGGGCCTAACTTGAGACAAAGACCAAATCTCCAAAAATGGGTTCTAGAACGGGCTATTTCCGAAGGCCACCCCGCGTGGCGCGCCGACCAATATTACCTATTGCGACTACAGCCACAAGCTTACCAGGACACACTTGAATGACGGCTTGACTCCTTAACCATTGCGTGGAGGGTCTTTGGCCCGGCTATAAGGTAGTTTCTGCCGTTCCTTCGTTGAACTTCCCTTCCGCGGTTTCGCCTTTTTGAGTCGCTAACGTGTAAAACGTTGCTAATATGACGGATCAGTCGGGGAAGCGGGATATGCTAGGCAACGCTCTCTGCTCTCGGTCGGATCTCAGCCAATACGACATATCTCCATTACCTGGAGTTTTCAGAAAGGGATTGGTCGCCATAATCCTCATCGCAAGTCTTTCAGCAGTTACGACGTTTGCGCTTTTAATTTTCATCACGTACCGGTTGATCTTCTGGCGGTCGCATTACTCACGATACCTTGGCTACAATCAGTACATCATTCTCATCTACCAGCTCATTCTTGCCGACCTACAACACGCATTGGGCTGTTTGATCTCAGTGAAATGGTTGATGGAGGACAAAATAACTGCGGACTCTTGGACATGCTTTGGTCAAGGGATGTGGTTGCAGCTTGCAAACCCTGGCAGTGGTCTTTTTGTGCTTGCAATTGCCGTCCACACGTATCTGGCCGTCATGCTGAACCGAAAATTGAGCTATGGAGCGTTTGTCGCTTGCGTAATCAGCATCTGGACCTTCATGGTGGCTATGGTGATCATCCCAATGGCGATACACGGACGAGAGGCCATGGTCCCATCAGGTGCCTGGGTAAGCTTGTGTTCCTGTCGTTGGGAAACTGGGCATGTCTTCTAGACTAAAGCGGTTTTTAGTGCTGGATCAATTCGAAATACGAACCCCTTCGTCTCTGCACCCATTACCTGTGGGTCTTCGCTGCCGAGTTTGGCTCTGTGTGTCTCTATGCCATCGTCGCCTTTCGTCTACGTCGAACAATCACCAACTCTGCAGTCCTTGCGAGCAGACGCACTGAGAGTCTACGCCGGGTCGTTAGGTGCATGGTTATTTACCCAATCGCGTACATCATTCTCTCCCTCCCGATCGCAGCGGGACGCATGGCAATGGTGCGAGGGGTCACGCCAAGTCCCGCTTATTTCTGCGCCGCCGCAACCGTAATCACGTCCTCCGGGTTCGTCGACGTCGCCATCTACGCGCTCACCCGCCGCAAACTAATCATGGACACAGAGCCGAGCTACGGCCATACCCGGGACCGTTTCGGCATCAGCACGCCGCGCAAGCAGGTGCATCACCTTGCTACCGTCACCGCAGGGGCTAATTCCAGTGGCGGGGGTATGATGATGTTCAGCACCCGGAGTTATAATTCCATCCAGCTGGGCGAGGCAGCTCTACGGAAAACATCGTGCACGACTTGAGCGAGGAGTCTTCGGGCTTGGCCCAAGCGTATAGGTTCACGGCGGTTGAGGTCACAAGTCAACACGTATATCCATCCCAGGCTGAAGCGAGCGAGCGGTCCAGCAAGGATTCGGAACGAAATTCCCCTGCTTTGCCACCTGCGACGTTCAGGATGTGGGGATGGTGAGACCCAGCCAAGAGTGCGACGAGGGCTTACGTTATAATCTACATAAATAGAAGGACCTTAGTGTATCTCTGTGATACCAAGGCTGCAATGCATTTGTATTCAACCGGCTGTATGGGAATGTGTCTAACTGGCTGGACAAAACGAAGGAGACCACGGCCTCCATCAAGCTCAACTTGTCGCTCCACGCCTTAACATTGCATATTAATAACTTGTTTTTCTCTCTTTTCCCAGGTAAGGTTGCTTTCAAATCAAACAAGTCAAATTCGGCCATTGATATTGCAACGAGGCGAGGACGAGGCTGACGGCCTATGACTGCCCTAGCCTGCATGAATACCCTGCCAAGGCTAGAGAACACAAAGGTAAGGGTTGTCTATATTGAAATCTGTAACTAAAAGACTGGAACCAAACAATCCGCGGCTACTGCCATGCTTGCGCGAGCCATCTCGTCCCCATCACGCGTACTTGTTGAAAAACGAAACTGGCGAGAAAACCATCCGTCGCAGATTTACTGTCAACCTGAGTAGTTGCTGTTGAACAGGGAGCCCCTATAATTAGGCAGATGATCTGGGAGGGTGGTACTTGGGATATGCACCTGTATATCATCCGACAGACGAAAGAAGATTGGCCACATCGTATGCTCATGCTTGAGTTCTTACATCATTCGCAGTGAGAAGATGCCAGCCTGTTTTACAGATGATATAGTTCTTGCCAACTGGGGTCTCCTTTCTCTTCCTATTGCATGTACACAGATATATGTGAGACCTCTCCAGGTCATAAAATTAACTCCCTATCTGGCGATACACAGACACTTTGTGCTTTGCAGAAGAAAACTGATATCCTTGTTCCAGATAGTGTGAGACAATGGATGTCTTAATATAGCTGCAACACATCTGATTTCAGCAATACCTGGACCTTCATTTACTTTCACCAACAATCTTGCAACATCGGTGGGAGGAAATCCATAAACTTGAGCTTCAACGGAGACCGCGAGACCGCGCCGCGTTCACAAATCTGACAGCATATCATACCGAAAACTCTTGTCCACTGATTAAATTGTATGGGAGCACACTAGTAACATGATCAAGAACATGGAAAGCTTAAAGTGACATCAGGGTGATCAAGCACGATTCGTTTGGAATCCTCCTAGGAACCATGTTATTTTCCTCCCTCGAATATGACCTTCTGAGTCTTGGTCTGGTTGAAATCGTCGTATGACTGGAGCGCCTGCGACAGAGGTCGGATATCGGTCACCATGAAGCTATCCGCTTAGCCTTCCAGCCGGGGATTCGATAAATCAAAGAAAGGACAACTTACTCGAATGCATCCTGCTTCTTGATCAGCAGTGCGAGGGCATCCTCGAAAATACTGCGAACAGGACACCGTCCCATCTGGATCTGGAGGTTCTTGTTATACGCCTCATTGGCCGTCCAAGGAATCTCGCCATTGTGCACCCCTACGCTGGAGATGCGTCCCCAAGGTCGCAGAAGATCAAACGCCATCCGTAAGGCACTGCTATGTCCCACTACTTCGATAGCTATGTCTGCTCCGCGTCCCTCTGTCAGGTCCATCACCCTTTTACGTAGACTCTCTCCATCAGTTTGGAAATTCCACGGTTCCGCCCCGAGCGTCCGGGCGAGCTCCAATCGGGACGGTACGCTGTCGATGGCAATAAGGTGCTTCGGGTTGTATTCAAGTGCACTGATCAGAGCACAGATGCCAACTGGTCCGCATCCAAACAGGAGAACTGTACTGCCTTGTGCCACTCCAGTAACTGTGTCCTTAAAGGCATTCTGAGCTGCGAAGAAGCCTGTTGGAAGGATATCGGCCATCAACACAAGTTTCTTTTCGTCAACACCTGCTGGGGCGGCGATCAGAGTAGTATCCGCCAGAGGCACTCGCACATAGTCGGCCTGGGCGCCATCCAACGCCACGGTGCCATATAGTAGGCATAAAGCACATCGTGACGAGTAACCCTGCCTGCAGTAGAAACATTCGCCGCAACTGATGGTGAAGGGGGAAACGACGCGATCACCGACACGGAACCTCCGGACTTGACATCCTACAGCTGTGACTTCACCGGTAAATTCGTGGCCCATCACAAATTCGGATCCGGAGGGTTGATGGCCGCGGAAAACATGAAGTTCGCTTTTGGTTCGTTCGGAAACCTCAGTAGATGAAGTGAAAGGGCTGTAAACAAAGTAGACAAACTCACCTACCGCAGAGAGCAGTATACTGGACTTTGACTATGACATCGGTAGGGTCGACAATCTCGGGTATAGGGCGCTGCTCCAGTGCAACCTGGAGGGGACCTTTGAAAATAACGGCTTGCATATCTGATAATATCCAGTTTCCTTTCATAGATGAGCTGTTACGATGAGAGGATGGCGTTGCGAAGGATGGTCGCCTTAATAAACTCTAGGACGGCAGTGGAATTAGATGCTCATCGGACAAAATCCCGAGAAGGACGTTCTGGGACTAAACCATACAATTTGCATTTTTATGTAAGGCATCGAGGTGAAGCGATTCAACTTCAGCATCCCAATTATCGGACAATTTTGCGAGCCATAACCTAGACCGTAAGTCGCATCCTGGCCAGTAGAAATTATCGAAATTCTTCAGAGCGGAAGTCCTGTTCTGCTCCGACTTGAGAGAGCGCAGAAAGCCGAAGCCACAATTTTAGTCGTTTCTCCTAGCCTACTTTCGACCTATGGTGAACATCAATCCTAGTGGCTCTTAACCGACAAAGAGAGAGCAAGCATATTGCGCTGTTCGGTTATGTTCGCTTTCCCTGCTTTACTAAATGACCCGGCACACGTCATACAAAGTACGGGTCGGATCCGTTTTCTCACTGGCCCTTCTCGCTGGCAAAGACCGGAGCCGTCCAGATTCGTCGGATCCGTCTGCTAGTGGTTCCAATGTAGAGATGTCTCCGCGACAACGGCTCCGCGATTTCTCGGTTCTAGGTAACATAACTCGGGGATGTACTGGAGGTTAGGATCTTCTGTGTTAAGACGCTAAACATACGACTGACTCTGTGACTAATTTAGTGCGGACGGAATAGGAAAGCTGAACAGGTCTTAAGCCTCGAGCAACAACTTTTCGAATGGCCTAGGAAAGACATAGATCAACTACTGAAAGCATATCCATCGGAATCCCTTGTATCATCGCCTCGCGCCTTCCATACGAAATTGCCAGCCAAAACTACCCCGACAGTACCCCACTGCATCCTGAATGGGCCCAAATATCTCGGAGCCACCCCGTGCGCTTATTTCTGGTGACACCTTGTTGAGTATAAGTACGCCAGTCGGCAGAAATCTGATTATCGCTATGCCACAACGAGTTGTTGGAGACATTAGTGACTCGATCATTCACTCAATTTCCGTGACCTTGACGCTTCAAGGAGTATACCAAGATGAAAAACGGTATCCAGAATCTGCCCTTTGTGGTAAGTGTGTGTACCTGGACAGCGCTTCAGGTCTCCAGCTGTGGGATGCCATGCGCTAATAGGTATATGTATTCTCAGTTAAGAGACCCGTCACTCTTTCACACCCGTGCTTACTCTCACGGCACGTGTATTGAGGCCAAAGGAGGCGGAGTATTTGATGTTGAAGGTATGATCAAGCTCTGCCCCTCCTTCTGATGCCATTGACGCGACTGCATATAGATCCAGGAACAGGCAAGGTCTTCGCGTCATGCCCAGACCTCACGGTTGAGGATATTGAGGACGTTGTGCAGTCGTCCTGCAAGGCATTTCAATCGTACCGCCTTGTAAATCCCAGAGTCCGCGCCCAGCTGCTCCTGAAATGGCATGAACTCATCTGTGCTAACCGTGACGATCTGGCTACCATTCTGTGCTGCGAGTCTGGAAAGCCACTGGTAGAAGCTTATGCCGAGATTGACTACGCAACTGGCTTTACATGGTGGTTTGCTGGAGAAGCAGAAAGAATCCGTGGTGATATCAGCATACCATCCGCTCCAAATCGACGAGTACTGGTTGTGAAACATCCGATTGGAGTCTGCGTTGCTCTGGTCCCCTGGAATTTTCCTGTTGCGTCAGTATTCATTTGTGTGCAACTATGCGTTTGGCGCTCACCGAGGAATCTGACAAACATGTCGATAGGATGATCCTGCGCAAAGTGGGCGCAGCTCTCGCTGCGGGGTGCACTATGATCGCCAAACCATCTCCGGAGACCCCTTTGACCGCGCTGACCCTTGCTTACCTGGCAGTGAAGGCAGGGTTTGCTCCCGGAGTGTTCAACGTGGTCACAACATCAAACAAGAATACCCCTTCGCTGTCGGAAGCACTATGCAAACATCCACTGGTCCAGAAGGTTTCTTTCACTGGGTCAACCAAGATAGGAAGCATAATCGCCAAACACTGCGCTGAAGGCCCGAAAAAGTTATCCCTGGAACTTGGTGGTAATTGCCCTTTCATTATATTTTCGGACGCAGACCAATGCCAGGCACTTGCGCAGCTGACGGCGCTTAAATGGCGCAATGCGGGTCAGGCCTGCGTCACTGCGAACCGGATTTACGTACAGGAGGAGATCTACGAAGAGTTCCTCACCAAGTTGGTTGGCCACCCAAGAAGTATCAAACTTGGCCACGGTTCTCGGGATTCTGTCACTATGGGTCCCCTGACCACCATTCGAGGAGTGGAAAAGGCCCGACGTCAAGTGGAGGATGCCGTCCAGCGAGGTGCTAAAGTGGTTCATGGTGGGAAGGCTCCTGTGGCCAGCGAATTTGGATGCGGATACTTCTTCGAACCTACCATCATTCGCGACATGAATTCCTCGATGCTAATCACTCATGAGGAAAGCTTTGCTCCAATTGCCGCCGTATACTCGTTCAAGACAGAGGCGGAGGTGACAAAGTTAGCCAACGATACTGATATGGGCCTCGCAAGTTACGTTTTTACCAAGGACATCGATCGTTGTTGGCGCATGTTGGAGAATCTTGAAACAGGCATGATCGGTCTCAATACCGGTAACTTCTCGGCTGCTGAGATTCCATTTAGAGGTATGAAGTTGTCAGGCTACGGTAAAGAGTCTGGGAAGGATGTCGCTGTTGCAGAATATCTTGTGTCTAAAACGTGTACTATAACTATCGAGAAGGAGGTCAAGTAAACATGGGCTGCCAATCTATAACACTTTGCTTTTTTTTATGAAGAAAGAACAATGAAGTTTCGTGACATAGTATATCACAATGGCAACCGGTAAATGCACGGCAGGAGATGAGTGTTCATTGACTCCCGAACTTGCAGTATAACCTTCCATAATATATCAGCTCTCAAAGCGCAAGTAAACCAGCTTGAGTCTTTCTTTAGGAAAGCTGACAGTTTACATATTCGGGGTCCGCGGACGGAGCGGTATCAGAAAGTGGGCCAACCGTCTTGGACAGCGGATCAACTTCCCTCCGCTGAACGTTCTCCGTCGGTCTAAACTCGCCCGAGTCTACTGTATAAAATACATGTAACTGAAAGTTAAAGAAACCCCAGATTCCTCAGCCGGCATTCTCATACAATTAATAATCCTGATGAGTGTTAAGGCGGCATTCGTTGGGGCTTCCGGAGCTACACTGAGTCATGTGCTAGCATGGACATTACTGGCGGGCCATCGCGCCGCTGCCCGTAAGTCACTCAGCCCATTGTTTACTCTACATTGACTTACATAGACCGTTGTAGTCGTCCGGGATGAATCCAAACTCAGAAAGGTCTTGTCAGATCTCGGCGTATCGAACGAGATTGTCGAGTCGCAACTCATCGTCACAGAAGGTTCATCCCGTGATGTGAAGACGGTCGTTAGGCTTCTTCGCAGCGATCCCGAACTCATCTTCAGTGGTGTTACAAGTCTTCCCAAATTCTCAATTAATCCGTTCCGCCCAATTGGCATGCAGGATGCCACCATCACGGGAGACACTGCTATTGCAGTGATTAATGCTCTCCGTGAGCTGAGATCCACAGGCGGAATCTCAAATACGCCCCTATACATACCGATATCGTCGGTTGGTCATGGCTCGCAGCGAGATCAGCCTCTTCTATCGATTCCACTTTACTTGTGGCTCCTGCCAATCGCCCAGGAGGACACTGCGGTTTTGGAGAAGGTCGTACGTGAAGCAGCCAAGGAAGCTGATTCGCCTCTTGGTGGCTACGTTATGCTACGACCGCCGCTGTTGACTCATGGTAAAATGAAAGGGCGTGGATCTGTCCGAGTAGGTTGGATCTGGGAGGATGAGGTCTTCAAGAACCAAGATGAGGAGGAGCAGGGTATCAAGATTGGATGGACTATTAGTCGGCTGGACTTGGCAAAGTGGATGTTTGAAGAGCTTGTTCAAGGAGATGCTCACAAGTGGAAAGGGAAATGCGTCTATCTTACATACTAGACTCCTAGCGCGCTGGAATCCAGAATCTCCTGCCTTATCAGAATCTTGCATCCTCCCTAGGATGTGAAATTTGAAAATTTCGCAGAGCGGTAGAGGATAGTCCTCGTTTAAATCACGACAGCGGATGCCACAGCCCGATAGGATGATCGCACGGCATAGGAGGAAGCAGAGGTAGTTCTATAATATTTTTAGTATAGAATGTCTCGCTTTAGTTGAATGATAGGTTCTCGTTAACCTCGATTTATGGAGATAAGTTTACATATAACGATACAAGGCGAGCCATTGACTACCTCCATCCGGTAAAATTGAGTCTCGGTTCTACAACATGTATTTGAACATAGGTGAACGATCACCTCTGCGTACCATCTGATAGACATCATATTGAGACAAATCAAGCCTCTCGCGCTTGCGGTTGATGCGCTGATACTTCAGGCGCAGAATAACGACAGCGATGATGCCCATCATACAGAAGCCCAGCTCCAAGGTATGGCCCAGGATGTAGTTGGGTGCATCCTTTGAGCGGTAAAAGTTGGATGACATTGCTAGAGAGGAGCTGACAGTTATCACCATGGGAGAAACGGGACCGAGGATCCATACCCCGGCGAAATTGCCCGGACCAATGTGCAGGGCCATTCCGGCCGCACGCTTATAGTCGCCGGCGAGATTGACACTAATCCAGGTGACATTACCAGGGAAAGCAGGGTAGATCCCTAGAAGGAAGTGTGGGGTCAGAATACGTAGTCCGCGGTCAAAAGGTGTTGATTGCAGACTTACCAACCACAGCAATGAAGGCGCCGAGGTAGACGAGCCCGGGAACTCCACGACCGGTAGAAGAAATGACGATGATGAAACCAATGGCGATCAGAGACATGAAGAACAAGATGAAGGGAGAACGCTGCTTGTGGCGATCAGAAAGCCAGGCAGCGCCAACAGCAACCCCAGCGGCAGTAATATAAATGGGAACTGTGAGGAGCTGAGCGGTTGACGAGGTGTATCCAAGATCCTTGATGATTGAAGGCAGGAAAAAGGAGATACCGTATAAGGGACAAGTGATTCCCCAGTACACTGTAATTGAGATTAGTGACGTTCCTGTTAGAAATACATAGTCTGCCTTTGGATGTGTGGTTGTGATACCTCATGGCTTGTATATAAGTTAGGTCCTTAGCTCTACGAAAATTTGATACTTCATTTCATGAAAACAGCCAACCAGATATACGCTGAGGCCGGGCGTGGGCGCGGGGAGGGTTGATTCGAGGGCAGTCCATTCGTCGCTGGGGCCAGTATATTCCGAGAAGTCTGCCATTCTATTGCGCTAAAATGATTGATATTGGACTGCCGTTATTACTGGCGACTGCGGTATTATATATTGACGAGAACGTGGTCATCCAGGCCAGAAGTCGGATGTGCCCAGAGGAATAACGACAAACCAGGCATTCTGCTACCTCTTATCAGGCTAATTTACTCTACCCCTTCCGGTATATTCCGTGGTCCAATGGACTAGTGGAATTACAGGGGGTGACAAGACGCCGATTTTGCTAGGTCGAGGCAAAGTTTAATTGACCATTCTCAACAAAGTGGATGTCCGTCGCTCCAGATGTGAGGTGTACCGAATATGCCTCAATTGGGAGCTGTGTTTGTGACAACATCAATCTTCGGTGATACGTGATGGAAGACAGTAGCATCATGTTAGAGTCAAAACTGCATTCTTAGAGCCATGACCGCGCTGACATGACATGTCATATGGAACTTTTCCAGTAGTGGACAATGTCGTCTGAGATTGGTTGGTTACAGGCATCGAGTGGAAGCAATTCCACTCTGTCTGCGCCTAATCCTGCAAAGTTTCTCGTCAGCTACCGCTTTATTTGCTCAATAGTACCATCATACCAATGACGGATCGTGCTAGCGGACCTTCAGAATGCACTGGATCTGTGGGATGGATGAGAACGGCTCTAGAGATTTTGAAACCCCACCACTCGATAACATACATATCCTACTGTAGTACTTCGTACTACGCTCCACTTGTCTGTATCCCAACAAAAACCACATCAAAACCCACTGATAGGAATGTTTTCAATATCCGCACGAGTTGTAGACTGCACCAGTGGGCAGGCATGGGTGCCGCAAGCATAAATACCTCATCCATTGGGAGAGGACCATTGGCAAGACCGAGGTAATAATCATGGTTGCTTTGTCGATATAGCAAAAACCACTACTACAACACCCAGCAACGCTCTGTATAAGCACATGTTAAACGGAGTACGGCATTGGCGGTTCTCCCCCTTCGCGTTGCAGCCCCTTGGAGAACGTATCCCTGAGTGCTTTAACCGATTTAGAACTCTGCGGAAGATGTCCCAAAGTCCTCTCCAAAACAGCTCGCAAGTTTTCATGAGCACCTTGGCTGATCTTCCCCCGCGCCAGCTCTCGGTCAGCGGCCTTTTGGACAAGCTGCACACCAGCGACGATATGGTGCGGATAGGGGTCTATGGAGATGAGAGGAGCGATGATGGACGTCTGAGTAACTCCTACATCATCGTGCGATTTAGATTCCACCTTTACACCCAACTTAACGGTATTTTGAAGACCGAACATTAAAGTGTTCACAACCACACTCTCTGCGTCCGCATAGGCCTCTTCTATATCCGCAAGCAAGTCGAAGCGATCTGTAGCCTCTATAATGTTGGCCAGCAATAATATGCTGAGGTAATAGTGGAGCATTAGCGAGTCTATGAGTAGGTCAGTTCAATAAGCATACGCCAGCGGGTTCGGGAGTAGCCACTCACACCATCGGAGCTTGGTGTGCTGCCCAAGGAACGGCATGCGCCTTTGGCACGCCTCCAAGGGAGGACGGTATATAGTATTAAATTGATGTATTGCCCCGACCACCAACGAAAATACTCTTTGAACCTCAGATTCATCATGACCATCCCGTAACGCTTCCTTAAAGACCGCAGTTAATTTCCACGCGAAAAGCTTCCATGCCATCCCACTTGCTATGATCTGGTTGGCCTGCTCATCCGTTATATTGTGGTGGCCGTGGGCCTGTTTGTTCTCTAACTTAGTTTGAAATATAGTTGCGCCAGCCCGGACTAGACGCCACGGTAACTCGGCCTCAAAGCCAAAAAGTCCGGAGGAAAGTAGCGGCCGGCAGTTAAGGGTGAGAGAGGCAGATGTGTCAAAGGTCAGTGCCGCCCAATACGCTATGTTCTCAGCTGTAATAAAATCAGTGGCCCTGATCAGCTCCAAGCTAGGCGGGCCTTCGGCCGATTTTATGGGCTGTGAAACTCTGGTCCCATTAAACTGCAGGCTTCGCTGCCGGGCCCGAAGAGTCTGTATATGCTGTAGGGCAGCATGAATACAAGATTGGCCAGAAATCCCATCAGCCTCTTCTTCCTCCGAAATTCCTGCTGGAACCGGAGTCAAGGCGAACAGGAAGAGGGCAAGCATTGACTGGTAAGACGGTCGGTTGATCACACGGACAATATCCCGTCTCGCATGGCGCCACAGCGCGAGTATGATGCCCTGGTATGCAAGCGTCGCATCTCGAGTTTGAGAGGCAAGTGGTAACCACCTCGCTGAGAAGCGGCAATGGTGCAGCGGAGAGACTCGTCTTCAAAACTATCTTCGAGGATCTGTTCTTGGATGGAACCATTCCATGCCGGCTGCCGATTATGTTGCGACATCTCCGCCATCCACCGATCCAGATTCTTACAGACATCCGAGATGCTGTTGTAGTCCTCTCCAACACCACTTTCGGAGCTATTATACGTTAGGCAGAGGCGCCTTGGAAATGTGCTGTAATGAACGGTGAACTTACAGGAACGGGCAGCCATATCTGCTCATCCTGGAGCTAAAGATTGTATCAAAGCCTGCACGATAAATGGCTAGGAGCAGATGGCAGTCCAACGGGCTCAATTCGTCTAGTGGAGACGCCGTTAGCGCTGCACGGCTTTTAAGCGGCAGCAACTGGACGCTGTCTGGAGCAACTCCACCGTCATTATCTGCGATCCATGGAAGGGTGTTGAGCATGCGTTTGGTGGTTTCTCCTAGTACTGAGACGTTTTCAGGGCCGGTATCTTGTGATGTTGTGTTATTACTCGCTGTCGAAGATTCTGATTGGTGGCGAACACTATCCCTTCCGGCCCCGAATCCTCTCTTTGGCCCTCGTAGCCTCATATCGTTTATCCACTAAGACAGGGAGAGGAGGCTGGCTGTTAGCAATCGGTATTTCTGGTGCTAGTCCTGAGATAGGGTTACCTTAAACGTGCATTCTTTATGTCGTTTCAGACATCGGGTGCAGGGGTCCAGCGACCCTTCGGCATCATCGCTTCGGCTCGTGGCGTCACACCTCACTCGCAACCGGCGACATTCATCGCAGCTCGAGAATTGTGTACGGCGTGTGGTTGTATATCTTTGCATGTTGACTTATAATGGCTGTGCTGGCGTTGCTGCAAAGTACCAAGATCGAAATGGTGTACACTCCCACTCAGTTTATCAAGCAGGGAATGAATGCGGGGTAGCTCGTTCTTTCGCTCGTTCCTACTCCGGTATGTTACCGGATGGACTGGGGTTAGAGTTCGCCGTAAACCCCGCATGAGCTTCGGGTCTAGCCCGAAACTCGAAGGGTAAATCTTAAAATCTGTTACAGGAGAATGTGGAATAGAACTGAATGACCCACCGTTGAGAATGACGCCAGCTGTTCTACGGCACATTCGAATGGAATCAGCGTGGCCATTCGAGGACTTGCGGGGCAACAGAAAATATATGGCTTGGTCAAGCCAATGAGATGCGCTGACAATTGAGAAAGTTCTAGATTAATCCCAAAGTAGTAATTCGTATACCCCGTAATGGATGTGGGGTGGGGAGTTATTGAATATGTGGGTCTCGAGAAATTGAACAAATCGCACTAAGCCTTTCTTGGATCCAATTCACCAGGTCAGCTGGCGGACGTAGACTAGCGCCGTTTAATAAATAGGTGATCACACACAAAAGAAGTGTTTAACTAACTAACTAACTACCTTTTGTCAGGATGAGTCGAATTCGTTCTTGCTTCAACTAGGGACGGAAGATAGACGAAGAAATGCAGAATGATGAACCCATATTTTGCCGCAATGTACTTATCCACCATAGGCCAAGTTGTTCCCAATAATAGTTGATATCTTTTATGACAGTAAACGATAAGTTCAGGGAAGATCTCGTTTTGTGGAAGGTCTATTGTGTCAATGTTCAGTAGTAACAGCCTCGTGGCTCCTGGTTTCAAAGACAAGTGACAATGGTGCAACGGTCATAGCATAGCCATCTTTCCGCTGACACCAATAATCATCCGGATTTTGCTCAGGAGCAAAGCGAACTTCATATCTCCGCACTAACTCCACAAGAATATGCCTTAATTCAATAAGCGCAAATTGCTTACCTACACAGCTATACGTGCCCGACAGAAAAGGCGTGAATACACTGGGTTTGAGGACGAGCTCTTTCTGGGTGGTCCACCTTTCGGGTATGAACTCTTCAGGTCGTTCGAAATTGCGCTCGTCTCGGAACAAGGTATGAAAGGGTACCTTGACTAGAACATCGCCTGGTATGTACTTCTCACCTATATAGACGCCCTGGGGAGGTGTTTTGCGCGGGAATCCCGAGGGTCCTGGATAATGAAGCCGCAGGCATTCGTTGATAAGACCATTAAGATGAGGAAGCTTTGCGAGTGTGTCGCTGTCTATTTTCCCATCCAGACCCATCTGGAGTTCGTCGATTTCCAATTGAAGTCGTCTCAGTTGCTGCGGCATACTAGCGAGAAAATAGAAGAGCCCGGTCAACACGATAGCAATCGCATCGCTGGCCAAGTAGGTTAACTTTCCGTACACTTCTCTAGTGAATGGTACTACTTGCCTGCCCGCGAACACAATAAGTGATGCATCAGATGTCAGGTTCATTCTGGCCTGCTTGCTTTGAGGACCCTTCAGGTAATCTTTCCACAGCCAAGAAAATACAAAACTGTCATCTTGGTCTTTCTGTTTCCACGGTCAGTAACTCTGAGCAGGCAGAATCAGTTGTCCTAGTTCGAAATGCGTGTTTACCTTTCGGGCCTTAATAATTTCGTCCTCCGAATACTTTATGAAGAGTTTTACTTGCGAGTCAAAGCCAGGAATTGTCTTCATCCACGATACCAACCAAACCATATTGCCCAAGATCGCGCCCATTCGGCTTCTGTGGAGCGCCTTAAGTATATAATGAACATTTCCGTCTCGAGAAGTGTGGGGAGTGTCTCCGAAAGCTAAGGCGCTGGCGACCTAGAGCAAAAGCTCAGTCAGGATGCTGCAACGATTACAACTCACTGTCATGTGACTCACATCGAATGCTAAGCAACTGAACCACTGAGAGACATCTACTGGCATACCCTCATGTATTTTGACGTTCTGTAAGAGTGCATCCATACAATTGCGCAATCTGATTTCGTATTTCTCGAGACCTGTAATATCGGTTAGATGCGTCTTAAAATCAAAAAGCATAACTATAATAAGCATGATTGTGGGAGCGAGTTTATCACTTACATCTCGGATGCATGGCCATATCCCACACCCGCCGACGCCGCACATGTTCCTCCTTTTCGCGTACTGCAAATAATGACTCGTAAGGGCGACCTATGCCATACCATGGAGCCTTCATGCATTGCGACTTAGCGGAGTAAATTGCACCGACTGCGTCGGGGTGATTAATTGATATCTCGCACGGCCCTAGATTCATTAGCGCTTGCGATATCTCCAACCTGTAGCTCGGCGGTAGTCTCGTCCTTACCTAGTCGAACATAATCGCCGTATCTCTTATGCATGCCCTGCACGACGTTAAAGCTGTCGGGATGATTTGCCATCAAGTATGTCTGGTAAAGCGTCGAGAATCTGGCGCAAAATGGCCCCGGAAATGCTCGAAGTCGATGAAAAACTCCTCTGTAAGTGAGAAGACTAAACCATAATCCAGCAAGCAAACCGCAAGTTACTTGTATGATTATGGTAGCAGAAAATGAATCAACATGATCGTCTAACTTAGACTGAATGACCATCTGAAGCAGTAACAAAACTTCTGCCACCATAAAACAGCGAAGAACTGAGGGCGTCTCAAGGTCCCATTCTCCGTGACGAAATACGAGGTAGTGTAATCCAACACCAGTGACAAAAGCCTGCAATGATGCTGGGACAGACAGAACTGTGGAGTATATCATTTTGCTGGGGACCTGTAAACGAGAAGCGTTGCTCTATGTGTCGCGTCAACTGCTGAAACTTCCTTTTATTTCTCTGCGGCTGCAAATTTCGACCATTTTGCATAGCTCACACCGTTGCTTACAGTACTGTCCCTATAATTAACGACAGTTGTTTAAGACCCACTTAAAGGGGAATCCCTTGACTCCTTGGCAAATAGCAGGTTACCAATAATAAATGCATTTATGAATGTCGTAAACTGCGTACTATGGACATCTTTGCGGGCCACATTCCCAGTCTACCTAACGCAAACATGGCAGCAAGGGTGACTGACTCGTCAGCAATGAATCACGAAATCTGTACTAATATCTAGAATACTAAATACAGTCAAGCGAGGCGTACAGAGGGAGTGGAGCGAGCACAGCTTGACCGAATATTACATAGGAAAAGTGGCCAATGCTGAAAGAACTTGCTTATGGCTTCCGTCAGTCTATTAAATCCAGCTGCCTACTGAATGCAGGGCACAAAGAACCAGGAGAACGGACTTCAGCCCGTTCATCGCATCATATCTGATAGGCAAGGAAATATAACCTAGACCCCGTCATCAAGGGACGGGTATCCTTGCAAGGGAGATATCAGCAGTGCTATGAAGCACAGTTTAAGAATTAAGGGTGTCCGAGAAAAGGGGTTGGGAACGCAAGAATGCAGCCAGAAAGCGCTTAGCCTGGGGTGAGCTTTTTATGGGACAGTTACAGCCCCTTGCATTTGACTACCATCGCCTGCTCCCTAGACCCTGGGGTAAAGGAAAAGTGTGCATGAGCAATGTTGGTCGTGTGCCGAAGCTGACTGTTGGACAAGCCATGATGCCAATGACCTCAACTGGACCCATAGAGCCAGCAAAATGGATCCAAGTCCCTTTCGACCGCCTAAGCTGTGTAACCAACGAGATGCGTCAGGCATTCCAAGAGACGTCATTCCTCACAATTATTTGCTGTAAACAACAACTGCTGTATGGAATTTCAGATTAGAAATCGAGTAACTGGTTGTTTGTCGAATTCTGAAAGAGATCTTTGGAGTCATTTGACGGTACCTAACGACAGAATACAAGAACCTGGTGCTGCTCCTGCAGCTGGGCGTTATAAGTGTACCTGTACCTGAGAGTGCGGCAGGCTTGTGAATCAGCGAAACCACCAACACCCATCGGAAGAAAACACCAAAAAGACACGCCACTAGAGACCCTTCAGTCAGTCGTCTGCTTCAGCGTAAAGGCCAAAGCAGAGGCCCTGTTCACCGATTCCACACATATACCACTGCGTGGAGTCGGAAGGAAACGTTCCACCCGCTTCTCCAAGCTATGAAGACAGGCAGAGAAAGGCGAAGGATTGTGGGCGCAGGGCTCCCCAGAACAGGGACAACCTCTCTGGCCGCCGCTTTGCGGATAGTGGGATACGATGCTACTTTGCACGCTCATCAAGGTATGGTGGTTTCTATTATATTGTCTGCGTTACTCTGGTTAGTGTGAGTTAAGTATTCTGACATATACAACTGAAGAGGGTGCCGCGGCATTATATAGAGACCTTCTCAAAGCCAAGCTCGGGAGCCCGGATGCCAATGCATCTAAACTAGAGGAAATCACTGGGATATCGCTTCAAAAGTTGACTTTCTCATACATGGCGACCATGGATTCGCCACTAGGTGATTTTTACGCAGAATTGGCAGAACTGTATCCGGATAGCTTGGTTATCCTCACCACCCGTGACACCGACGAGCAGTGGTGGACCTCCTGGAACAATACCTTGGGTGTCTTCTATGGAAATGATTGGAGAGGTCGATTGCTGAGGGCGTTACTCTTGATCAATTGGAACGACGCGGCTCTGAACCAAATGTGCTACAACTACGCCTCACTGTGGCGCTCAAAGTATGAGGGGTATGGTCCTCACATCCATAGACTTCGCGAGCTGGAAGTAAGGAGGTACATTCCGACGGACAGGTTATTGATATTCAATGTGAAGGAGGGGTGGGCTCCTCTATGCAAGTTCCTAGAGGTTGAGGTGCCTGCGCAGCCGTTTCCCTGGATGTGAGTTAACTTGTCCCTATGAGTCGACATGTTAACAAGGCTTATAGTAACGATTCGGCTGCATTCACATGGCGTCGCGAAGTCATTCGCAAATGCATTTGGAAATGGCTAGTTACTCTAATTATTCCCGTCGTTTGTTGCATCGCCGTTGGCCTTCTATGTAAGGATCAATAGAGGTTGGGCGAACGACTGCCGCAGGCATGCCTTGATAAGAGCTCCCAGTAGTTTGAATACCAAGACAGCCCCGATACCAATATAAGGACAAACTCATACTATGCACTGTTTGGACTGCGATAATGTACGTATCGTACAAGTACCTTGGTCGCCCATGTAGGGAAGAATAATGTATACCTGGCGCTGTAGGACATTCGGTGTATGTTCCTTCATTTAGAGCAGCAGTATGGAAACTTTCACTTGATTTGTTGGAGTTTGACGACGTAGGGGTACTGTGGAAACAGGAAAGGGATAACAAGAGAGCCTCGAAGACGCTCTATGGACTTTACCTTCAAAGAAATGAACGAAAGGGAACGGGACGGCAGCCTCCCAGAGCACGTAGCTTCAGGATTCAACGAATTGCCGTGCCCTATGAGAAGTGCTTCCGTCACGAGGAATAAGGCGAGAACAAAAAGGAATATAGAAACCTGACCCCTCTGCTTTAGATTAATTATTACAATTTTATTAGGTGAGATCCTTCGCAATTTTCATTGATGCAAGCCCTCAACGTCGTGAAGCCTTCTATGATCTCGAGGTTGAAGCACGAAAGCTTGTGGCAATCCTAGATATAAGGGCTCACTGGAATACCGCCTTCAGCTCCGAAGAGCAAAGAGACTACAGTCAATCTTTCGTTAGTTCTGCTCACAAAATGGCCATGATCACTTGATGCTCGACTAAGAAGAATGGCGCCAGATTGCGTATCTTAGTTGGACAAATCACACCATTTAAATTCACTACTCCGCGCTCTCAACAAAAGATGTGACCATCCATATTATCTCAAAACAAACTTCTTGATCATCTCGAAGCATCAGTTCCTCGGCTTCAACGGAAGGAAGTAGCCTGAGGAAGCTTATGCTTAGTGTTCTCCATGCGGCGAAGGAGAATCGCATAAGGTCACTATAAGGAACGCCTATCAGCAACACAGGGGAGGACCTCTTGATAGGGAAGATCATCGCTGAAGCGGAGCCAAGTCACGTATATTGCATCAAGACTCTCCCAAAGCTACCGACGTGGGGGGCAAATAGAATTGTCTTGGTTGGAGATTCAGCCCATGCCATGTCACCTATCACGGGGCAAGGGGCGTCGCAGAGTCTGGAAGATGCTCAAACCTTCGCTTTGCTTCTAAGCAATATGTTGCGGAAGTTTCACGCTGAAGAAGTGAACAGCAATTCGTGGTCAATTACCTTTGAGCGAACCCTCTCATTGTACTATGATATGCGTCACCGACGAGTTGCTGTAGGTCGCGCTCTTGATAAACGCATGCTCAAAACGCAGCCTTTGGCAGAGTATATCAGATACATTCTGTTTCGGGCAATCAATAGTTTCCCATATATAAGTAAGTGACATATTATCAGTATGCAGCTAATGTTAACAGAAGTTTTGATAGCCAGAAAACTAGTGGGCAGTTTAAATGAGCGACTCTATGGCTGGAACGTGGCAGAGGGTGTAGCGTCCGCGATGAACAAGGATTGGGCGTATGCAGCATACAAGCAGCAAAGGTTTCGGCCCTTGAACAATTGAAATAAGAATCTCACCCGAGTCCATGGCTATTATCAATGGCGAATTTTAACTGCTGAAAGAATTCCATGAGATTAAGCTAAACGCTGATATACTAGATTTCTTGGAAGATGCACATTCATCTTTGAGTCAAAGGGCGCATTGAACCCTCGAGAGCCCAAATACAAGGAATCTCTTATCATTTGCGTGCGATTTACCGCGAGCATGATTAGGAAATTTCCGACTACAGTGCCGCAGAGTTGAATTTTAAGATACCTATCGATAGAGGAAATAGAGGACTAGAGTCACGTTGTTTCTTTTACAATGAATAGTTAAGTTCCACCTGCTTAGTTACACAAAATATGTGGGTGAGCAGTAAAATGCATGAATGGATGTAGGAATACAGTCTGTTACATTTTAAAGTAACTATTAACTAGTTAGTTGATTCATTTGTCCTGACCCATCTTCAACAAATCCCAGCATATGGTTTCCAGACTGGAGCTGATTCTAGATCGAAACATGATCAATACCATGCCGTCCATTTAAGTGAGAATAGTCATGATTATAATACCCTGCGCGTGTCCATGGATAGTAGAATTGCTGCTGCCAATTCTGACCAAGGCCATCCTCCTACAGTTATTAGATCAGGCAAGCACCTTCAGGAAACAGCGATAAACGGATGATGCAAACACAAGGAATTTGTCCCTCGATCCCAGTTCCAACAATATTGAAGTAACATCATTGCCAGCGACCTACATCGCCACCGATTGCATGAAAGTATACGGTCAAATACACTCCGGACGGCTCAGTAAAAGAAAAAGCCACCCAACGCTGAGCCGTTACTGATTCTTTTAGATCTCGGCAGGGACTGTCTCGTGGTCAATTTGGTATATTTCGGACGAAAGGGGTAAGTGAGTGCTTACAAGTTTGACACCAACTCCCGCTTATAGCGACAAGCGTGTCCGTGCCAGTCAAGATATTTAAAGAAGTCAGTCAAGGCGTCGGCGACAGAATCATCGCTTTTGCCTTGTACGGGCAAGTACAACTGTGGCTTTGGTGCTGATCCTCGCAACTTCAATTCGTAGTTAAATGTCAGTGGCAATTTGTCCACGCCCACCTCGTCGTACAGAGTGTCGCTGAAACCAAGGAGGTTCCAGAGTTTCTCTGCAATGGCTAGCCCTTTCATTGTGGTGGGATCGCTCAGGCAGCCACCTAGCGTCCAGAACGCACGAAGGTTGTCAAGGCATAGGTGTGTATTGCAAACGTATAGCTTCAGGCGTGACATTTCAGGAACCACGCAGTCAAAGCCAATTAAGAATACTTCCGTAGTAGGAGAGCCCGCGTCGCGTCCATCAAGAGATGGCAAGAGATGTTCTTTGAGGAGTGACAGGCTGGTTCCGAAGTCCACATTTAGACCCTCCATTGCTTTGAAGGCTAGTATGCCAGTGGGGATGCCGGTCACAATCGACTTGGGCTTGACGAAGAAGTATGATTTGGGAACCATCGCTCCGTCTTTCAGGTCAAAGGCAACCTCATTGGTCTGCCGTAGATGAGGAATGAGTTGCTCCGAAGTTACTCTGGCCTCTTCGGCTGGGAGGCTGAGCTGAGAGTCAAAGTAATCAAACCACCCCAGGTTGATATTAGGGTCAAGCTGAGCTAGTTTGACCAAGAGTTCCCGCGTCGCAAACTTATTCATGGGATCATGCTCAGTGCCAGCAAAAGCACCGATAGGTCCGCAGCCTAGTCGAAGTAGAGATCGGTTTTCCTGGAAATTAACGCTCAGCTCGAAGGGATAGCCTTCTGGAGTGAAACAACTAAGGTGGTCTGGATCAATTCCAGGACGAATAAATAGCCCTAAAACTGGAAGAATATATTTGTGGTAGACGCATAGGTAGTGATATTGCTCATGAATTTGGTAGCCACACTGTATTAAAAGACTGTTGAAGAATGGAGCCGTGTGCAGCCACCAAAGTTCCTGGTCGCGGCTAGGAAACCAAAGTGCTTGGCCGAGTACGCGCCAGGGCATATGCGTAGGAGCATTTGACCCTTCCCCGGCCTTTCCTACAGCAACTGGGGCATGATTTCCAGTTCGAACCGCGGGCATGATGGAACTTGGATGATATACTATGGACGACCACAAAATTTCAAAGTGAAGAACGGATTCCGGGAACATGCATCTCACGCCCGGATTGACTGACCAAAATATAGCTGTTCGTCCTGTGGGTAGAATGTACTTAACATTCCTCAAACCAATGTGACAATCGCCTATGCCCAGTACTAGAAGTCATGATGTCACCTTATGTCCAGCCTAGAGTACCGTCCCAAGAAAATTTAACGTGCGGAGACACAGCATAATGCTTCAGCTTCTGCCACTTCGTGAGTCTACAGTGTTGTTTTGCTGTATAACATTCTGCTTCGGCTCCTTACACAGAAGGACTGTGCTGTTAATTGAGCGGCCACATGCATCATTTTCATGCAGACCTTGTACAAATGTAGAGTACATAGAACGTCATAACAGATTATTACCGTTGAATTACATTCTGGCTCCTTATCAAGCGCAAAACCTGGACACTATATAATGCATGAGATCAGCTTTTCACACCATCTACTGTCCTCGCACCGAATCTTGTTTGTCTACGATGAGGTCCACGTCCAGAATGCGTTCAGCTCAGCGAGTCTAGAAGTACTGACATCATCATGCTTGGTCACGATGATTCTCGGCTTATCAATGATGCAAACTCATGGTAAGAGAGAAAGCTTCGGTCGGTGTAAGCTTTTCATTAAGCTTCGTACTCGTACACAAGTTGTGGTAGGTTTAAAGGAGGGTTACAGTGAAAAATAAGGTTACTCAACTCTAATTATCGGAGCTGGACCATTCTCCTCGCGATCTCAGCACAAACGTCAGTTCCTTTTCCTAAATTTCCCAACTCCTGCGAATGGCGGTGTCTTTCCTAACGGTAGAGATTTTCGAGCAAGCCAAGCAGCTCCCAATCGACGCTAGCGCATATATCTGAGCAATAGACGATAGGCTGACTGGGTGAAATGTGAATTTGAATGGTTGAAGACATGATAACTGAGAACATTCGGTTATGAGCTTGTCGCCTGTTCGTGACATTGGTGCAGATCTATTTACAGTTCTGCGCCCCAACTTACCCCTAACCCTAGTTGATATCTGTATTCTAAAACAGTTAGTAATTTTTCAAAAGCCTTCTAGTAGATGTAGATTGTATACTTGAACTTCAGGTATGGGGGGTAGGGAAACTTTTGATGAACAGCAACCCGTCCCACAACACCTGTGCAAATAGTATGTGCGACCTTCGAGGGCTACACTTTCAGCCCAAGAACCGGAGACATGATGTGGAAGTGAAGGACTCACCATACTGATGTATGATCCGTGCATTAGCCAAAGACCTCAACAGTACGGCAGTTTTCAGTGTCTAGACCGTTCGGAGCCGATTATCACTGAAGCCCTCGTTGATTCAGACCGCTGCCGTTGAAACCTGTCACAGGCTCTGCGGGAGCCCAGGAAGGATTATTGGTAAGACAACGCTAATGTCGCGTTCGTCACCTGTTTCATTCTCGTGGGCCCTTGGATTCTTCGCATCAAGCTTTTACCGGATACTTTGGCCTCAGATTCTCGATTCCACTACCATGCGTCAGAGTTGACGTCAAGCAACTAGTACATATTCGGCGGACATTATGGAAGGCCGCGATAGCATATATGATATGATAGAGTCTTTATGATCCCGTTATTCCACGCAACGAGTGCGTTGCATTAGGTCATGGATTCTCGCATCTTATATCTGGGCGTACCGGTTAGTTACAATTGTCCATTGAAAACTTTCCTGTTGCACTTTCGAAGTACGGGGATACTGCACTAAATCGTCCACTGCTGCATTGTGCACCTGGATTTTATAGTCAAGCGTACTGTGCCTCATGCCTGATATGTCGAACACCGAAATACCGAGTACCTCTGGAGACCTGGAAAGGCCGGGCAGATTTCCTAAATTAAGGTCCCTGAGCAGCGAGGGGAGGCAAACAGCCTCCATTACCCTGGGGGCAGATCGTTGCACCGCCCTAGTGGAAGTTGCTAAGGAAGGCACTCCCACGCTTTTTGATCTCCTCAAGACAGCATGGCCCATGCTGTTGGCTGATTACATTGATTCCAAGACTGTTAGCTTTGGTATCCTGTCCGGTGACACTGATAATGAGGTCGCTGAGCAGTGGTTCGCAACTTTAGACCTAAAACAGCCCATCTCTAAAGTAGTCACTCTTGAGAAGCTTCAGGAATGGCCGTCAAGAGAAGTCGGGCAAAGTGGTCAGTTCAATACATTTATCTCTCGGCGAGGGAACACTGCTTTTGAGTCTAAGGGCAATCAAACTTCCTTGGTGAGTGAGATCTCAGACGCTCTTTCCTAGATGCCTGTCTGAATACTAACCTGTCACGGATGCGTTAGATTGGCGATATTCTGGTCATAGCGGACGACACCCACAACTCATCCCAAATAGATCTCTATTACCATGTCTCGGTCCTGGGTCCAAGGGAGGCTCAACATGTGATTACTACTCTGGGTGCAGTCCTTGACTCTTTAGTTTTTAGTTATGAGCAGCCAATAGCCGAGCTGAATTTGCTTCATGACCACCACCGCGACCAAATACGGAGCTGGAACAGTCACGTGCCAGAGAAAGCAATAAATGGGTGCATTCACACGCTTTTCCAGCTGCAGTGTGCAGAAAGGCCCGGGTCGCAGGCAGTATGCGCCTGGGACGGGTGCTTCACATACGCAGAGGTGGATCAAATGTCCGACAGGGTGGCAGCGCGACTACAGAAATATGGCATTCAAGAAGAATCCATTGTCCCCATCCTTCTTGAGAAGTCGAAGTGGGTTGCTGTTGCAATGCTGGGTGTCCTAAAGGTTGGCGCAGCATTCATTCTCATGGACGTCTCATACCCTACAGGTCGCTTGTTGGATATCTGCGAGGATATCCAAGCGCAAGTCCTCATCCAGTCCGTGGAAGCACAAGCCATCAGCCGACCAATGAACGTGATTGCAGTTGACGAGGGAGTGATGGATTGGGAATCAAGCCCGCCGCTGAGGACTGCAATCTCCCCTAGTAACGCAGCCTACGTGTCGTACACGTCTGGCTCAATGGGAAAGCCGAAGGGCGTGATCATCGAACATGGTTCATTTTGCACAAACGCCTTAACTACCAGCAAGGTACATAATCTGAGCAGTTCCTCCCGAGTTCTACAGTATGCATCCTTTGCATTTGATGTCAGCATTCAAGAGTGCCTGACTCCCTTGTTACTCGGAGGCTGCACATGCATCCCGTCTGAGGCTCAACGAATTAATGATCTGGCCGAATCCTGTGTGGACCTGCAGGTCAATTGGGCTGAGCTTACACCTTCAGTTGCCAGGCTTCTGCAGCCGGAGGAGGTCCCATCAATTAAAACACTTGTCTTAGGAGGGGAATCGACGTCATCAATCGATATCTCCAAGTGGCAGCACCTCCAACTGATCTCCGCATATGGCCCGGCAGAATGTACCATCGTAGCAACAGTCCAACCACATGTTAAAGAGCCAAACAATATTGGTCGCTCCTATGGTGGAACTTGCTGGATCGTTAACAAGGATAATCACCACCGTCTCCTCCCAATCGGCGCAGTCGGCGAGTTAGTTATCGGAGGTCCCATTGTTGGGCGCGGCTATCTCAACCAACCTGCACAAACCGAGGCCGTCTTCTTTATGAATCCCGTCTGGGCGGCAACCTTTGGTCTGGATAGGGATTACAGATACTACAGGACAGGCGATTTGGTCAGGTATAACGCCGACGGTGACATTATCTACTGCGGAAGGAAGGACACGCAAGTCAAGATCCACGGGCAAAGGGTGGAGCTGGGCGAAATCGAATATCATGCGCAAAGCTGCTTGAGTGAAGATATCACGGTTGAACTGGGTATGAGGGGGAATCAGAGACCATTCCTGGTACTGTTCATGGCGCCAAAAGGGCAAGTTACTAGAGATATTTGCTCTGGCTCTCTGTTTTGCGAACCAAACAATGAATTCCGTCACCGCATTCTCCATGTCAAGGCGCGGCTACGAAACTCACTTCCGGACTACATGATACCGGCGGTATATATTCCCCTGAGTGGGACACCGCTGTCACGAACAGGGAAAGTAGACAGAAAATTGTTGCGAAGCATTTTGAGCCAGCTATCAGATGCCCAAATTCGAAAGTACCGAATTTCAGATCCGACCTATACTCTCCAAACCCCAGCGACGTCTGCTGAGAAGACGCTCCGAGAGCTTTTCGCAACTGTACTCTCATTACCTGAAGCAGAAATAGGGATAGACGACAGCATATTTCAGCTGGGGGCGACTCTATCACCGCTATTTCCCTCGTCGCGGAGGCCAGAAAGAGGGGTTTAGAGATGACGGCGGCATCCATTTTCCAATCCCAGTCTATTCGAAAACTAGTGGCAAACACGGACGATATTTGTACTCGCAGTACTAGTCCCGTACAGCCTTTCTCCCTGCTTAACAAAGAGAAGGATTCCTTGATCCCGCAAGCAGCGCAACAATGTAAGATTAGTCCCAGTCAAGTCGAGGATATCTACCCGTGCACACCTGTGCAGGAAGCCATGATGGGGTCTACGATGCGGAATCCAAGCTCCTTCCAAGCACAGTTTCGCTTTCATCTTCCCATGACACTAGATGTGGCCCGATTCAAGGACGCATGGGGGACGGTCCTCGCTGCGCGTCCAATATTACGGACCAGGATAGTTCAGCTTGACACTCCCCACGCGCTCCAGGTAGTTGTTCGCAGCGAAGAGAGGATACCATGGCATTCTGTTAAACACGTACAGGAAGTCACACAAACTCTCATGTTGTTGGGAGACCCACTTATCCAACTTTGCATGGTTAGTGAGCCAGACGAAAGGGTGCAATTGACATTCATCCTCACTATGCATCACGCCCTATTCGACAAGTGGTCATATAAAATCATCCTTGAGGAGGTCGAAGCTGTATATCGTGGGCTGAGTGTGGGCTGGCAGTCATTCACGCCCTTTATAAAGTACATATATTGTTCGGATGCGGCGAATTCAAAAGGATTCTGGAAGGCCGAGTTCATGGGTCTGAAGGCGCCAGAGTTTCCAGCAGCTCCCGCACACAGCCATAGCAGAACATCTGTTAGAAGGCTGCACTGTCACTTCCAAGTGCCCCATTGGCCACCTAGTAGTTATACTTTATCTACAGTGATACGCCTGGCCTATGCAATCCTTATTTCGCGGTCTACTCATTCCCATGATATTGTCTTTGGAGTCACTGTCAATGGACGCAATGCTCCTGTGTCCAGCATCTATGACCTTGCAGCCCCAACTATCGCTACATTGCCACTGCGGACAGTTCTTCAGCCCGACATCAGTGTTCAGGAAATGCTGGTTAGAATGCAGGAGCATGCAACCAGATTGATCCCATTCGAGCACACAGGAATCCGATGGGTCAAGGCCTCTAGTGCCGAAGCGGCATTAGCGTGTGACTTTAAGAGCTTGCTGGTTATCCAACCGCCAACCCGAAGAGGCGCCTCTCACGGGCTATTTGGGGAAGCCTTGGAAAATGATGATGAGCTCAAATTTAGCACTCATCCCCTGACTCTCATTTGTGAAATTGAGAATAATGGCTGGATCCATGTTACTGCCGTGATCAACTCAGCTGTGATCTCCCCAGATGAGACTCAAGCATTGTTGCGCCAGTTTGCGGGTATATTCGTCCAAATTAATGACAACTTGGAACGGCCAGTCAGCAGTATCATTTCCGATGACACAGTTGTTGCTGCCTCAGGTTACGACAGCGATAAGTTACTGTCTCTACGGGAGTTAGAAATGAAGGCGCAATACTATTTGGAAAGCCTTCCTGGTATTGATGCTGACACAGTTGTTCTTGAAGAGTTACCTTCCGCAATGCTGGCTGTTTTTGTTTGCGACAGCCGAGTAAATTCGAATGAAACATGGGAGACAGATCTGATCAAAAAACCTAGCCGCACTGTGAGACATGTCCTTTCCAAACTGGGGGAATACCTACGACAATCTATGCCCGACGCTTTGACGCCCTTTCTGTGCTTGCCAATCAAAACTTTGCCCAAGGATTCTGCGGGTCAACCAGACAGAGAAGCATTGCGCCTGGCCGCATCCAATCTATGCAGAAAGTCCCAGCGAGAGTTTATGTTTCCTGTTACGAGCGAACCATGGTGCCCAACACCAAGTCAGCTACCCACAGCCCAGAATATTATAGCTCGCGTCCTTGGAGTAAAAGCAGATGACGTGGGCAGCCAGGATGATTTCTTCACACTTGGCGGAGATTCAAGTGCAGCGATGCAAATGGTTATGTTGTGCAAGAAGGAGGGTTTCAATCTAACAGTTCGCGATGTCTTTCAAGAGAGAAAGATCGGTCGAATTGCAAGCAGGTTTCAACCTCTTGCCACAATTAAGCCTCCGCCAGATCCCAATTTGGACCTGAGTCTGAGTACCCGTTTCTCTTTGCTACGCTTAACATGCGATTATGAAAAAGATAAGTTCGAAACCGCCGTCAAAGCCCAGCTTGGTATACGCAGTATGGACGCCCTTGAGGATGCATATCCCTGCACGACAGTCCACGAAGGGCTGCTCTGGACGCAATCCCATGAGCCTATGGTCTATCAATCTCATACCATCTGGGAAGTAACGGCGACGGGCCGCCACAGTCCCGTGTGTCCTTTTCATCTGCGTGATGCCTGGCTCATTCTTGTGCGTCGTCATCCGGCGCTTCGGACAATCCTGGTCAACAACGTCTTTCCGGAGAAGACATGCAAAAGGATACATATAGTGCTCCGTGACTCACCTGATGATGTCGCGGTATTTACTGGGATAACAAATGAGATGATGCATCGGCCCAACTTGCAGTCTGGGGCTTGTTGCCTGCCATATAAGTTCACTATTTACCAGACGCAGCAAAACCGCGTCTATTGCAAGCTTGAAGGCAACCAAGCCTTCCTTGATGCAACATCTGTATCCACTCTTCTGCAGGAGCTTGCCGAGGCATACAGTGAAACGCTGCCTTCTGCACCGGGCCCACCCTACCGCTCCGTGGTGGAATATTTCCAAGGCATGTGTAATGTTGCGCGCCACACGACCTACTGGAAGAAACAGATGGCAACAGCGGAGCCATGCATATTTCCATCCATAAGGAGAGAAGGCACTAGGCAGGACACCCTGAATGTTGCCCGCATTGAGATTGGAGATGCTATCGATCTTCGCCAGTACTGTACTACACGCGGCTTCACCCTAAGTAATGTTTACCAGGTGGCATGGGGGCTCACGCTGCGGTTCTACACGAGCCAGAATATGATCTGCTTTGGGACGCTTGTTTCTGGCAGAGATCTTCCTCTGCCGGATGTGCATCAGACGATCGGGCCCTTTTTCAATGTTCTTCCCTGCCTGCTGGATTTGAGTAGGCCAGACCGTCTGCTTCAAATCCTTAGGGGTAACCAAGCCGAAATCGTCAACCGTCTGGTGAACCAACACTGTTCGCTGACTGATATCTTACGACACTCAAATCATTTTGGCCAGAGGTTGTTCAACACGTGCCTCTCTCTGGAACAGCAATTGTCGAGCTTGCAAGTGAACAGTGTTCGCTTTACAGAGATAGACACCCGTGAGCCGACGGAGGTAAGAACCTATAGTCGACTTTGACAAACTCGCTAACTTCGCATTAGTATATTCTTCTCTCCGTGATTGACAAGCAGGCAACTTTTGAAGCGAGGCTTACCTATTTCTCTTCCATCATGTCTGACAAACAAGCCGCTGAAGTTGTGAGCAGATTTGCGGCATACGTTTCTCATATATTGCGTAATACCGATACGATGTAAATCGTTATAAATATGAATTTAAGATTCGGCGTCTATAATTGGTCAACCATGTACTCATCCATGCTTTTATTTAACATTGCCTCTGATTCACTTGTTCAAACATCCCATTCGCCTTAGACACTTTTGAGACGCACAGCTGTCTGGCCGAGGTAATGACAAACTCCAGACTGACCCCTAGTGAAAGCACAGTATAGAAGGAGAATGTAAAGCAACGTGCTCTGGATATGCTCTAACCTATAACCGTTCCTTTTAAACAGAGCATACGGGCTTTGGCATGATATCCCAGTCAATATTGGCACCTTACATGGAAGTACACTGTAGTCAGTTCCCTGAAGCTATTTTCCATTTCTTAAGAAACTCTTTAGTATATCATTAGTATATATATAATCTTTTATCTAGAAGCTAGACACTCTTTCCCACTGGCCTAGTGATTCTAGATGTTTTATGATGCTAGGTAAGTAAGATAACAACTTCCTACCAACTGCTGAACTCTGATGCGGTTCTATTCTTCTATATATAGAGAGTATTATAACTGCCTACAGAGTAAACTAGTGGGAAAAGCAGCATCATGAGTTTTGAAAAAGGCCCACGGCTTTGCGTGCACAGAGCCAATGAGCTCCTCTTTCTGCTTCACTTGGCTCACTTACCACTCCAGCCGCCCTATCTTCCTCGTATTTTGGCTCAATCACCGGGGAGAATAGTAGTTGTTAGAAGAAGCCACGGTTTATACAGCCAGGTCCAGAAGCGTGGCAAGTTTGAGGTTGTGATGCTTATAGCGCAGTTTCCTCGGAATACTCAGGCACGTCTATCAGCACCACTTTCGTCCTGATCGAGATGAAGATCATTATCGTGCGTGTCGACCTTGCTACTTACTTATTTCTCAAAACGCAGCCTTTGGCAGGGTGTATAAGATACGCTCTGTCTCGGGCAGTCAATAGCCTCCCATATATAAGTGAGTGACATTTGTCAGTATGCAGCTAGTGCTGACACAAGATTGAACAGCCAGAAAACTAGTGGGCAGCTTAAATGAGCGACTCTACGGCGGGACTTGAAAGAGTGTGTGGAGTCCATGATGAACATGGATTGGATGCATGAGGAAGGATACGAGCAGCAAAGGTCTGATTCAGGCACAATCAAAAAAAGAATTTCACCTGAGTCCATGGCTATTATCAATGGCGAATTTTTATGGCTGAAAAAATTCAATGAGGTCAAGCTAGACGCTGATATACGAGGTTTCTTGGAAGACGCACATTCGTCTTTTAAGTCAAAGAGCGCATTGAACCCTCGAGAGACCAAGTTCAAGAAATCTCTGGTCCACTACGCAGCGATGGGAGATTGCTCTGAGCTTCCGGATAATGGATATACAATCTACTTGACTCAAATAGTATTCGGGTTACCACATATTTTCTAGTATTCTAACCACAACTCTGGGATATCAATATATCTTCTTTGATAAGATTGGAATCCTATGACGATGTCGCCACAATCCTGCCATGCAACATCGATGCAACGTCGATAAACAGTCCGAGTCTGGTGGATGTATAGTGAAAATACTATATTGGAATGATAATAGCAGTTGGTGCCTGATAATCCCGGCAGGCCAGCACACATCAAATGTTGGTTTCCTTTTGGGGAAAGCATCTCTTGACAGTCTCTCATTTCTCACTTTCACCCTCAGGTTAGTTCATCATCCTCATCATCTCCTCCCTACTGATACATCAATCAACTTGCGGCGATACGTTAACGGATTGGTGCTATTGAAACATGACAAAGCTGGCCACTCCCCGTCAATACCCGCTACTGGCGACTTACACCTTCCATTCCTTCTTCAACTGAGCGAGCCATTCCGTATAGGTCAGAACCTGTCCCTCCACCAGAACTCGGTTGGCCTCCACCTTCTGTGGTTGAGGCGGAATATATACGAAATCCTTTACATGTTTTGCGTTATATACTCGGAATGGCATGGCCCCGCCCGCAGCACCTCCACGCAATCCTTGCAAAAACCCGTGTTAAAGCAGATCGAGCACAATGAAATGCCCTCCATCGTTCAAGACAGCTTTCGGCATGGTCCATCGCAGGTGTAGACGTAGTCACCGGCCTTAATTTCCTGCTTGTATCTATCCGCATATCATCCGAGAGCATAAGCAATCGTAATCACATTCTTGGCATCACCGGCAGCGAGCAAAGCATTTTGCAAATCTGTTAATCCTGCGTCATCGTTCTCCGGGTCATCATCGGATAAGATTTGTATAGCCTGTTTGACGGATGGAGTGAGCAAAGCCCGCGCGTCATCATGTTGGCCGATCAAGCAGTACCACACACCCAGAGAAATCGCCCAAGCCCGCGCCGCGACCCACAAAGCGGACGTGTCCTTAGTCCTGTACTGTGAAACCAGCTGCTCCAACCGGCCCACATACTCCTCCGCCTTAGGAGAATCCAAGCCCGCATTGATGGCATGACACAACCAAAGTTGGGCCAGCTTGGAGGAGGCGATCACCTTAGCCGAGCCAATCTGGCCTTCTTCCTTGGCCGATCCATATGTGTTAAGAATCCTCATCCACCCCTTTGTCGCCTTATCTTCATCTCACATGTATTCGGAATAGATTCTCACGAGCGAAAGGTCCAAATGAGCTGCAACAACAGTCATGGACAACTTTCAGGCTGCTCAGGCCGCATCACTGTAGGAACGCACTATGAGCTTGAGATTTCCCGTCTCCTGGCCAGCGTCGGCTAAGTACTCAATCACCTCCTCATCCGCGGTTGGCGATTGCCATAGGAACTCAGTTAGCTGACTGTACTCTTTGTCGGGAACTTTTGCGTCGGTGAATTCTTTCACAAGAGAGATGGTCTCTTCAAATCGGCCTGTTTCGTTATGGAAACGCAGTATCGTATATGTGCATCCGTGGTAGAAGGGAACAGCCGCGATAGCTTTCTTAATCTTAATGTATTGCTTCTCCCCTTCACCCAGCTCCTTATAGCAGGTTGCCATGCGGTCTAGTGTTGCGTGCAGATGTGCAGTTAGCTGTTCTTTCTGATCAGACTTGTCAATGACCAGCTTTCCCAAAAATGCCTCTACTTCCTTATTAAGCGCAACAGCCACTTCCTATTCTTTTCTTTCCATGTGCGCATTAGCCATGCCTGCTTTGGCAATCCAATTATTTAGATCTATGGCAGTTGCCTTCCTGTAATACTCTAGAGCCTCATCTAGATGGCTGGTTCGGCGCAATATGACGCCGACCCTTTGGTACCAGCAGGATGTCTTCTCAATCTGCACCCATTCAGCGGCCTCAATGACCTCCGCAGCAGTCAGTGCAAAAGAGGAAAGAAAATCCTCATTAATCCCTCTTTGGCACTTGAGATAGCTGGCTCTGTCATCAGCCAACCATTCTCTACCCGGGTGGGTGCCCTTGCTGGGTAAAGGGGTGATGCCGCTTGAACGAGATGGTGATTAGCGTGAGTGCAGTTTAGAGGGGTGGTGATGTCTGGAAAATACATCACCAGTCTGGAGCACTCATTGCACTTTGTGCAGGCATGACCCACCAGGGACGGAATCAGCTGTTTGGTTGGAGGAATGAATAAAATACGAACCACCGAGTGTTCCGCCATCAGCGCATAGCCACGATCTTTCCTCTTTTTGGAAAATGCTCGAATAAGCCTAGCATACTATGCCTGTGTTTGCACTGCTGGTGCCTGATCTTGAAGCCTATGATATCGCTTTGAGCCAGAACGCTCTAGTATGTAGCAAACGCGGCATTGTGGTACGGTATCACAGTGCATATTAAAAAGCCTCTATCAGGACATGGAGATAAACTGCGTATTAAACGACATACAGCAGCTGAAAAGAAAACGCAATGGCTCTCCACGTACAGTTAATGCGGATCGGTTGAACTGCGACGATGTCTCCTGCGCACAGCACGTCCGAGGGTAGCGTGAGCACTTTGCAACAGCGTAGGGACAACCTCAGGAACAGCCCTAAGCCGCGCAATGCGATGACACAAGAGATGTCACGGCTTGCACGTCCGCGGGTCTGTCCACGACGCAGCAGTTGGGCTGGGAGCTAAAGAATCCGAAGTCAGTACGGCCGGGGACGATGACGAGGGCCCAAAGACGCCATGTGCATTGCACTCATCTCACGAGCACACCAGGACCCGTATAATTAAGTATGAGTTGGAAGAGTTTTTGACCAGTTTTCAGTAGCAGAAGAAGGGGCGCCTGCCGTACAGAGATGGGCGGATTTTCTGTTGTCCGGGCTGGGAAAATGGGGTGTACCCAGGCTGTCACTGGTGATTCGCACCGTCAAGATCCAGCCCCGTGATTTACCAAGTCGGGCATCAATCACAGGACAGCCTCCGAGTCACGAACACGATAAACTCCGAACTCGATAAACTCGACTTCCGTGTCACCGGTACTTTGCTGGTGAGGAGGAAAACAGTGATGGCCGAGAGGTGCTTTGAAGCTGGGTTGCACCTAATAGTACCGACTTTCTGTCCACGACTGCGGCTTAACCCGTCTACCGGCCTCTTTGGAAGGAAGTTCGGTAATCATCGAGCTGTTCCAGATGGAACAGCTCCTCTCCCTGGAACTAGCTAGCGGACACCTGTAATTCCACTGGCAACACCACTTCTTCTTCTAATACCGGAAGGCCTTCGACTGCGTCAGATTTGGACGCATGAGTCAGGGAAACCGGCTGGTCTCTAGCAGACCCTTCGGCCAGCTCAACTTCGACATGATTGGAGTTAGGCTTTGTGCTAGGCAGAGCAGCAGCGCGACAAGGGTCTGAACAAAATAAGAACCCGGAGGGCTTATTGCCACAGTTGGCGCACTTTTCAAAGAGAGACGACATTGGCAAAACCAGAGCGAAAGGCGGTTCAATCAACTAGTTCTACAATATTAACGAAACTGCGAATGAAATATCCGACAACATTATGGCGCTTGGGTGATTTCAAGGACGGAGTCGTCGAAAGCAAGGCTATACGATCCACTCACAGAAACAAGGCTCCGGCTTTCCCTGGTTTTGAAGGTTAGACTAATGTCGGTGCGACGTATGGCAGCAGAGATGACCTGATTGTGAGCTGCTCAGCTTCTAGTAGTAGCACGGCGTAGATTTCTTTGACACGCCTTAAATGTCAGATACCAGGATGACCTGCAAATTTGCAATTGATCTGGCTCACAGTTCAATCGGGCATTGGTTCGCCAGCAAAGGTTCTGGGTTTTGCTAGGCGCTATGGTGCGCCAGAAAATTGGAATCTCCTGATAGGATGATGCTCGTGGTCTCTGGTTGGTGTGATGGGGCTCAGGTCCTCCCGCAGGTGGGTCTGCCATCGATCCGGGGTTAGCTCAGCACACAACATGACAGTTCTTACGGAGTTCACCTTCAACCGCCATGTCTTGTGTCCCAGTCAACAGGCAAGAATCCAAGTCTCGTCACAGTGGCGCCAACTGATCTAAACGTGCATAGCCTCAGCGAGTATCACGACATCCTCCACCGGGACAAATATGCCATCCTCTACTTCTGCAATTCCCTTCACCAATGCGCCTCCCTCGATCTCACCTACAACGACATGGCGTCCGCTGTTGCCGACGCCGACGACAAAATCGACTTCTACAAGATCAACATCTCCATGACATCTCCGACTCTGCGATGGTGGAAAAACCGACCCTCCTCCTAGCGAAAAATGGACGGGAACTCGAGCGCTTCTGTAAGCCTGTGCCACAGCAGTTGGAGTACATGGTGTCGCAGGCCCTATGTGAGATGACCAAGATATCGATGGTCCCGTATACGGAGAGGGAGGACCATGGGAATCTGATGTACTGTATCCCGGCGCACAAATAGTCGTTAATGAGGTCAAGTTAAGTTGTACTTTTAAAGTATTGGTGGCCGAGTCGCTGTGAATCGGGGGTTACCCTGTTGTACTAAAAGTGTATATGGGTTCCTAAATTGTTCTTGTAACTAAATCCAGATATTCTGTGAATAAATCTCCAAGCACTTTCACTCAAGTGGCCTCCTAGCTAGGTGACTATTATAAGGATGGCATAGATAGCGAGGAGGATAACTTTTATGCTCTTTAAACCATCATTCTCTCGTTCAAACTTTCGAAAGACATGGATGATAGGCATCCAGCAGAAACCAGTCAGCCTCGGTCAGCTATTCGCGGTCAGCGTTATACATGAGCGACCGGACACGGTCTTATCGCTATTAACTGAGGGAAAAACAAGTCCTTGTGAACCGCAATAAACCCTTGCTTATCCCATATCCCTTCTTCCAGCCTGCTTGAATTTCGTTGATGACGAACTTTCCAGAATAGAGAACCCTACTTCAATGAGCTTTTCCACATAGTTCAGGCGTTAACAGACACGAAGAGCTTACATCATAGACTCCCGAAGATCGCTCTTGTAGACTCTACCATCCTTCTGGATCAGAAGCCAGGCCCTTCCCCATTCGAAAAAAGCTGCGCCCCACTGTGTCTGGTCAGCGATCTAACTCCTGCTGCCATTGGAGACCACTTACCCCAAACTAATCAGCCGCGCAGCGATGACCGTACATCAGATCGAACAGTTCCCGTAATCTTCCTCAGCCGTGCAAAGCTCGTAGGGGCAGAGAAACCCCAGATCAGCGACAATGGGTAGACGTAACCCTGTGAGGAACACAGGACGAGACGGATATGGGTCCAGTAGTTGGGCGTATGGTTATTGCTGGGTCCATCAATGCGTCCACTTCCTCTTGGTTGTTCACTCGGAATGCATATTCTGATTCTGTTAATGGTCGGGGATGCCTTGCAATAATATATGTCAACTTCACCTTCCCAACTCCAAATTAATATGTATGCAATGCACGCCAGCACTGAACATCATAATATAGGATTTGCTACTAGTGGCACTGTAATTTATCATAAGTGAATGAGATCCCCAAACTCAGAACTCAACATGGTCTACAGTGCATCTGAAACTGCGGACATTTCCATTGTGGGGGATTGTTACGCAAAGCATCATCATCATCAAACATGAACGACTGTGCCTGATTCTCAGAGCACACAGAACAGGTACTCATTGGCCTGGTTGGCGCAACGGCCGCACCGGCCTCCTTAACCATTTGAACAATGTACAACTTGAGCGGCGGGTCTTCGCATTGCGCGTGTCTCAACAGTTCATCTTTCAGAGAAAGAAGTTCTGAGCGCATACGGTCGCGCTCTAGAAGAAGATGCTCATGCTCTGCTGATAGTTTGTGATAGAGGCTCTCCAGTTATTGGTTGCATGCTTTCTTCTGGCGGCGGCATTTGCTGGCTGCACGCCGGTTGCGCTTGAGATACCTCTCGCGACGGGGATCGTCCTTTCCAAATGATTTTGACTTGGGGTTATGTTCTGGGTAGTGAAAACATTTTAGTGAAAGTGATTTCTGATTCTGTGGCGGCAGAAGTAGACACCTGGGGCTTCAGAGTAAATCGATCATTCCAGAAGCATCAGGGCCAGTCACAGCTACAAAAGCTATATCGTTATGGTAGGGGGTGGAGACATGTCAGCCAGAAATACATTCAGCTGTGACAGAACCTTTGCAGAGGATACTATTAATCAAAGGGATTCTCCTTTCAGACAGCTGTATTGCCTGGTATTTACTGTTTATATCACTGATCAGCTTTGAGAGAGTGTGTGTTGGTTCAAAATTCACGAGTTAAGATCTGAGCTGATTTGTATATGACGCAGCTGAGCATGAGCCGTAAATTGGAAAACAGATAAGAGGTCACTTTCTTCAAACCTGAGAATATCTGGTATGGCTTCTTCTCAAAGTGCAGGGAGGACTAGCGGCTTGGCCATTTCGTGGCTGGCTGAGGCTTGCCTGCTATTTATAAAAATTGTTTTGCCAACTCATCACCTTGACCCCGCTCCTAGTCTCTCTAATTTGGTTCTTACTATATAACTATATACTGTTAAACGGACTCTTGAATGTACAATTGCTTGAAATATTTTGTTCATTCTCCATCCTGGTACAGAGATTATTCATATTGAAGCCTCAATATGGATTGCGAGAGGTACCATAAGTCCTTACATCTGGCTTTTCAATCCACTGCTGACTTTGGCAGCCTCACGGATGAGCAGGAGTGGGAATCCATCAAAAGGACTGACAATGCACTCGTAATCGCCCTTGGAGTGTACGCTAACAAGTACCACGACCGCGATTTGAGGGATTTTAGGGGGCGTTCTGATTACCCAGGTCTTTCGGTCTATTGGGTGGACGATGAAAGAGTCCCAGGGATTTGGAATGAGCTTGGCCGCCGCCGCCCAGTGACATCAACCTGGTTCATCTTCTCATCCCTACTAGACAAGGAAAAGGTCCTGGAGAAGGCAGTTGATGCTCATGATGGTTTTGAATTGCTTAGTGGTATTGAAACCGCTGCTGAAAAATCGTACGACATAAGAGTACGAAAACCGTTGGAAGGGAAGTTCCCCAACATCCAGGTCATATATTCGCGGTACGTGCCACCCAAACGTCCAACCCTGTGTCTGAAATATGCCATAAACTAAGAGTAGTATCAATCGGCATAGTGAGGATGTGATTGACAAAATCCTTCAAGACAGAGATAAGATCTACTGTTTTACTATTTTCATATCCGAATCCACCTGCAGCGTCATTAATGAGCTCGCCGCTGCCCACAGGGATGTCAAATTTGTTGTCAGGGACGCCACCTGGGATCCGCAGCCGTATTCATATGAGCTGCCGGTAACAGGGATCCACAAAGGCTCAGCGGGTAGCCTTTTCGAGGTATATGGAGAAAACTACAGTGAATTGGATGCGGCGGTTAAAAAATGGAAGAGCCTCTCTTTCACATATCCTGAGAATATATCCTTTGGTGATGAGACGTTGGTGCCCACAACTCTTTTTAAACTTATGCCAGAACTCTTGCACAGGCCGCTGACTACTGCACAGCTTTGAGACCGCCCTGCATAATTCAAAACCCGGCGGAATCTGGCCCGTGGTCTTTGGCTCAGTGTTCACTGGCGATGAAACCACGAAAAAGCTCATCAGCTATACCGATGAAGTTGCAGGCCAGTATAATAAGGACATTTTGGTTTGGGTAGGCGTCGACGCTGACGCCTACCCCAATGCGGGAGACAAATGGGGTGTCAAAGCCCCTGCGGTGGTCTTTTTCCATAAAGGCTCACTATACTTCTACTGTGATGCAGGCAACTATCAGAATCTAGAGTCCGAGCTCAGGCGACATAGTCTCTAGTAGGATTTGGTAGTATCTCGCGTCTGTCCAACCAAGTCTTCAGTTAGTGCGACTCTAACCAAATTATGTGATTATCTATCAATAGGTTCCCTTGTGCTAAAGGATTGCTCAGGATTATAGTATCATAATCTTACCATTCAGTCTTCTTTATATAATTAAGAGAACTTTTCTATTTATATAATTTAATCTGTTACTTCTAAGAATGATATTTATCTCTATCTATCAATGCTCCTGACCAATTTGACCCAGGATGGGAGTTTCAGCCTTTACGGCCTGCGTTCGTCAGTTTAGTAAGTAGGCTTGCTCAGCAGTTCAACCAACAAGCTGGTAGGAACCTGTCTTCTTCCAGCGCCTTGGCCAGTCCGCCGAGTCGCCTACTGTCAGTAGGCAATCTATTTATCGTCATTAGCGCTACTCCGTGATAAGCCAATTTATCTACCTACCGCTAAAGACCCTCTGGAAGCCCTGCCTGTCTTTTGTTGCTTATGATCACGGCTGAGTGCCTAGAATAACTTACGCAGCTATCGGATTTCTTCACAACATCCAAAGTAAGGGAACTGCTTAGGAAACAAAGCTACTGATAAAGGGCTTATCATTAATCGAACTCTTATGATGTATGATGGCACTGCTCATATTCAATGGTATGGTAGTAGTTCGATAAAAAACTAAGCATAGAGAAGAGAGGGAAGGAAAGTATGTACATGGTGGGGAGATATTGTAAACAGAGGGCGGAGCGGTGCAAACTAGTCAAACAATCCCGAAGCAGTAAGCAGTCAAGAGGGGCAGAAAGCTCCGTGTAAGGAGGCCAGCGGGGAACATGGTGACGGATTGTCACATGATGCACATTCCTAATAGCTACGGCATAAAGCCGTACTAGTGACTTCAAGTTGTCCCCGTTAAAACCTTCAAAAACCTTTAAAAGGAAAAGAAGGAAAGGGTACCTGTGTGGCTTAGTCTCTCCCTGTAAGCCGGGTGGAGTCACTCAATGCCAAGCCCTCCCCGAAACCATTCAAATCGTTCTCGCGGAAGAGGCTTCGTGAACCCATCAGCAATTTGCTCTGTAGTTAGGATGTATTTCAGCTCCACTGTTGTAAGGTCTTGGACCTCTCCTTGCCATTTGCGTTGGATTTCCATATGCTTCGTGCGGGAATGGTATTGCGGGTTTGAAGAAAGGGTGATGGCTCCTTGGTTGTCACTATAAATAATTATGGCGGCTTTACCTTGGCTCATGTTCAACTCATTAAGAAGTCTTCTTAACCAGATTGCTTCTTTGGTTGCTTGTGTCTGGCCTAGAAATTCAGCCTCACAGGTCAAGAGGGCAGTAATGATTTGATACTTTAATTACCAACTGACTGCTCCACTTCTGATATTGAAGAGATATCCAGCTGTTGAACATCTGGTGTCATGACATCCACCCCAGTCTGCATCTGTAAGCCTTTTAGCATCTAGGATTGACCCTTGTATGTGAGTCCTGTGGCCTTTTATGCCATTAAGATATTGCAAGATGCGTTGGGGTGAGTTTCACGTATTACGGTCTGGGATTTACCAGATACCTGCTTGCCATTGAGATGGCATAATGACGTCCCCCCTGGTCCCAAGCATGATGTACATTAGAGATCTGACAATGCGTTGGTATGTGACTCTTTGATTTAGAGGATAGCATATCCTGGACTGTTCTCTGGAAGTGGTGAGGTTTCTATTAGTGTGCTGATGGGAGTGCTGTTGCTAATTCTAAACTAGTGAGCGACCTTGTAGATATATGCTTCTTGACTAAGGTATAGCAACCTATTTTGACAGTCTTGCTGAATGGACATCCTGAGATAGTAACTGCATGGTCCTAGATATATCATTTAAATATGGTTTCTGAGGCTCTGCTTGATCTTCTTTATTTCTGCAGTGCTTGACGCCATGATTAGGAGATTGTTGATGTACACTGTAATGTACATATTGCTCCGGACAAAGATCCTAAGATCAGTGCTAATTAGCTCGAAGCTGAGGTTCCGTAGGAAATTTGTAAGGGTCTGGTACCAGATCTGAGGCGCTTGTTTTAGGCCATATAGTGCCTTTTGGAGTTTTCAGACCTTAGATGTGCCATCGCTCATGTGGTGAGGCTGTTTAATATAGATCTTGTGGTCTATGTTCCTGTACAGGAATGCTGTTTTAACATCCATTTGCTTGATTGTGAGATCTAGGGCCGCCTGATTATGAATAGAGCTTTGTAGCTCATTGACTTGATAACTAAAGCAAAAGTTTTGTCATAGTTTATTACCTCTTCTTGTGTAAAGCCTCTCACTACCTATTAGCATTTGTAGTGGATGACTTCGCCATGTGGTCCCTTTGTTTGAGTTTAAAGACCTATTTTCCACTAAGGATCTGCTGATGTTTAGGAGGATTAATAAGCTCCTATGTTTTGTTTTGCTGGAGTGAGTTCACTTCTTTAAGCATTGCTCTTTCCTATTTAAGCTAGCTCATGTCATTCTTTGCTTGATGCAGGGTTTTTAGCTTGAAAGGTTCTATTTCCTTTGCAGTGACTGTTAAGAATGTTAGGATGATATTTTCTTTAGGTATATTCATTAATATAAGCTCTTCTTTGCTGTCACTAAATGTGTCTAGTATGACCTGTGGAGCGCGAATTTTAAGTTTAGGGTGGTGTTCTAGTGCTTCTTGGTGTACTTAATGAACTAGGCGGTTATATTAGAGTTCTGGATATTATTGCTATTCTCCTGAAACTTGACCTTATGGAGTGTTATCTTGTTGCTGGTCACTGCTGGGTGGTGAGTCATGCCTTTAGAAGATGTCCCGTAAATCATCTGGAAATAATCTAAAGGTATTATTACTCTGTGTAGACGACAAGGTCCTGTCTCCCTGTATAGCAATGGGTGGCTGTGAGTCTTTATTACTTGATTAAGACAACGCCGGTGTTTGCGAGTCTTTGTTACTCAACTGATTTAGCACTTGTGAGTTACTACTCAATCAAGGCAGTATGTGCGAGATATCTTTGCTTGACTTAGGTAGGCTTGCTCTGGTTGTGCCATTAATAATTAGCACCCAGAGGCAGGCACGGATGCTTGCCGTATGCCTACCAACAGTTGGTTTATTAGTCCTACCATCTCACTCCCCCCTGTGGCAGCAGCCATTGCCCCGGGTAAGCCGCCTTGTCTGGCTACTACAACTTGTATGGTCTGGCTGAAAGGAGCTGTAAGGACGTCATGAAGTTCAGTATTTAGGGTCCTAATGATTTATCTGTCTTCTAGCAGGATATGGTAGTTGTATTCCCTTGTAGCCTAGTAGAATGCATGGCCTTGTTCTGGCCCTGTAAGCTTCTTTCTTGGCTTAGGGGGGGATCAAGTACTCTCCTTTAGATCTGATCACTCAGAGTCATGATAAGTCTGGCTTGTCACTGTACCACGCTTGGTATGGAGTCATGCTGAGTTTGGATAAGGGTGACTAGTCAGATAGGAAGGCTGTGGTTCGCGAAATTTCTGGCCAGAATTTCAGTGGTAGTCTCACATGTGTGAGCATAGGGCCAACTTAATCATAAATTATCTTATGAGCTCCCTCAGCAGCCCCATTCTACTAATGTTAATCAACGCCTATAACCTTGGCTTAGATTGCTTATGAGAACAGTGTAAACTTCATCTCTTCTCTTACTTGCTCTGGGATCTGGTTGAGGCATACTTATCTATATTTTTGTTCAGCGCGTTTGTTATGGTCAGGGAAGAACCGTAGTGATTCCATAACGAATTCTTATTGCCATATTACAGGGATAATCTCAGTCCAACCTGTGAAGTTGTTGATAATGGTGAGCTAATACTAACAGCTGTTAAGGCCCTCATCAAATGGCCCTGCAATGTTAATATAGAGGAGTTCCATTAGATATTCCCCTCTTCTACTCAATCATGACCAGTTATAGGACTTTTCAGTCATTCATCCCTAAAGGCATGGGTTATATGGCTGACATGGTTCTATGTCCTGGATGCCGTGGGCCTGCTTCTTAAGCTATTATAGGTTCGCGTTGCTTAGGTGGGCTAGCTAGTTATGCCATAGAGTCATTTGCAGGCCGATATGGTAAGAGGGAAAGGTAAGGTTTATCTATAAATTAAGTGTGTAGTCTCCATGATACTGGCTGGCAGTGTATAGGTTCTTTCTATTTAACTTGTTATGAATACTAGCCCCTTAGCTTAAGAATTCAACTTTAGCTCCTTATTTGAGAAGCTAGAGCACTGATATGAGGTTTGCATGTGCAGATGGGATGAAGAGGATGTTATTAAGCACAAGGCATTTCCTTCTGCCTTGCACATTGCACAGGATATTTACCGTTCCTACTCCTGAGGGAGTTATTAATTTATTGATACACCTCAGCCGGGGTCCATGGTACTTATCTATTTGTATAAATCTTAAGGCGCTATTACAGACGTGCCGAGCACATCCACTATTAACAATCCACGCATTATGGATTGGGAAGGTTTTCGTAGCCATTATTGAGGGGATGTGGTTGAACAGGGCGAAGTTGCCTTTAACATCCTTTCTGAATGCTTTATTAATATCTTCTCTGGAGACCTTGGTAGCCATGAGGGTGGGCCACTTTGGATCCCTTGGGCCAGCTATGTCGTCATCTTCATTATCAGTGGGAGGATGCCTCTTCAACGGCTTGCGTGTGCTGGTCTGTGGATTGCTTAACTTTGACCTCTGGCCCTTTCCGTCTTTCTTCTGATCCTTCAGCCTTGGATTCTTGTTGAAGCATTCTGAGTCCATGTGATAGGGTTTCCGGCAGAATGAGTAGTATGTAATATTGTTGATCATGATTTGGCATGTTGTTCTGTTGGATGATGGTGTAACTTTCTTGTCACCTGGCCCTCGAACTACTGCGAGAGCAGGAAGCGTCTGCCCTACTGGGACCTGGAATTACTACATGTATGGCGGACTGAATATACAAAACCAGCTAAAATGTTTTTTTATCATGATTACCTTCAACCACACTGATGCTGTAGCTACCACATACCGACAGAGCGCCAGGCTACTTGCAAGTTTTAATATCAATGCTAGTGTTTGGAGGGTAAAATATAAGACAGTATAAAACTAAAAATAACTAAGCATTTGCAAAAGGAGCTAGCTCTTCCAATCATGTTCTAATAATCCCTTTGTAGACCTGTCCTAGAGCTTTCCAAATATACTCCAGATAAAACTTGAGTACGTCCATGTTGTCTCATTCTAGAAAATCTCTTTTTCTTCCTGTGTATCAGAAATAATAAGCCACTCCTTTTTAATAATGCCAAAATGACTCTTGACTTTATCCTACTCCTCTTTTGCCATATGGTCCCGAACTGCTTCAAGGTTGATTCAAAGTGACTCCCGCTTAGCAGGGGTCAAATTAGCTGCGTGAATCACTTTTGGGCAGGATATGAAATGCAGCTTGTCAGGGGCTTCCTGGAAACAAGCTGTAAACACTATATAATACTAGCCCCCTCTGCTTTTAATACCGCAGTAATCTCTGAAGCAAGATATCCCAAAGTCCATCTCAGCTTTGACAACATCTAGAATTAGTTGTCCTGCGTGTAGACCTGCTAAGCTAGGCTTAGACAGTGGGGTAACTTCTATCGTTCCAGAGTTTGATTAAATCATCAGCGGGACGTTGTGATCTTTTGCAATAATTCCATTGGTAGACTGGAGAGCTGGCGATTGTGCGCCACCTGATGCAGAAGAGGAGGCTTTCCAGCATTCAAGCAGGCTTGTGAAGCAGAACATGTTCGCCCAGGCAAAGTTTACTCAAGAAAAGAGCATATTAATAGATGAATTAGTCTGTGCCAGATTGTGATTAAGCACTCTAGATAAGGCTGGCATTTATAGATCAATTTACATTTCTTGATATGCCTAGATATTGAGAGTAGAATTACAGATTTGGTTATAAAACAGGAGGCAGAATAGAATCCCTGACACCCCATGCTCGAATCACTCTGGACTGGCTAGGAAAAGATAAGTAGAGCAACATCATCTCTACTTGCGCGGCATCTAAATAACTCAATTCTAAGAGGTATCATGGGTCACTAATTTTACCAGTGGAAAGTCAAAGTTGGTAGTTAAGCTCTTTGTAGCCAGCTGAAGCAACATATCACACTTGCTAGATAATTTTCTAGCCCTTCTTAAACTTATTCCAGTATGATTACCTAATCACTAGAATTTTCCTTACTATAATCTTTCTCCTTATACATGCTTCATGGATTTTGTGGAGACTGCCATCCAGACTTAGAATGACTCCCTGGGTGGCCGTGGGCCCTCATCAATCAGCCCGTCCTAGTCTATAATTAATGATGTAGCCAAAGGTCTAGCCTCTACGTCTCCGCTAACACCCCCCTGACGTGAGTTGGTTATTTGAATTTCATGGATAGTGTTTGTTTTCTCTTGGACGTATTTTGCCACACATGTGCTGGGATGTCCTCATTAAGTAAATGTGATGGAAGCCCCCTTGTGTGATGCCGGTGTCAAAGGTGGAACAATAAGAACCAGCTCTCAGATACTTTTAAATGAAGGCTTATAGAGGCGCTCGTCACTAGTTAGCCTCTCTCCTCCATTATTCGAGAAATCTAGATCACTCAGTAGCAAATACCAAAGTGTTAGAGTTGGGATACAATGAGGGAATTTTCTTGGATATAATGTGTTGTGCTAGCTTCCCATGGACACAGTACAGTATTAGTGGTGACATACATGGCAAATTAGATGACTGATTCTAGAGCCGCCAGGGAACCTTCCTTAGCAGGCTGAACAGAGCTGTTCGCAGTTCTTCTTGTTTTGACCATACAGGGACACTTCTTTCTGGATCTAGAAGAGCATGCTGTCCATGCGAGAGGCGCGTAATACCTTTTCTTGTAGACTAGTGGGCTGCCCTCATATGATAAGGCAACCATGCTCTGCTTAGTTTGATGAATCCCTACTTTAACCATACTATTGTTATGTTGGTCTTAGTATTTATTAGCTGTGCCTCCCTTTATACTAAGCTTTGACACGCCAGCGACTCATGGCTGACTACATATGCGGCTAGGTACTAGTGCTTACTGAGTTCAAAGTTAGTTTTCTGTGCAGAAAACCTATTCAGAAAAAGGACTAGACTGGGGCAGTCCTGAACCCTACTAAGTACTAGCACTTACTGGATACAAAAGTTGGTTTTCTGCGCAGAAAACCTATTCTAAAAAAGGTTTAGAAAGATCAGCCCTGAACTCCACTAGGTACTAGCGCTTATTAGATTTAAGGTTGGTCCTCCGCGCGGAAAACAATTCAGAAAAAGTTTGCGGCGGGTTAGTGCCAAACTCAACTTTAACATCCAATTTAACAACGCATCTAATTTAAGCAAATTATAAGCGGGCGCGACCCAGGTTATAGACCTCTGTTCTTCCTGAGACCTGCATGAGGTAAGGATTTTAGAGATAGTGCATAACTACATATCTGCTTCCAACTAAATGTAGGAACGTATTGAAGAGAATGATTAGTACAAGCCATCTGCGGCATTTTATACTGCTCTAGTGCATGTATGCGACACTGGCTTTCCAACATAGCATTATTATGGGGGGTGACCAAGATTATAAACCAGGTAATCAGGCAATTACTGCCTCTGCGGACAGTTCAACAGATCAGAATGTAGTTCGGGGTTTTGAGGATGGATTCTACCAATCTACCCAAGGGCAGACAGGAATGCCTGAATATAGTCCATAGGGAAATAGGATTCACCTTTCTAATTCACGTGCCCTGCATGAGATAGCCGCTTATAAGGTTTTCTAAAAAACACGGATAAAAGAAAAAAGTTTTAAAGGAGGTTTAATAAGCACCTAGGGGCACAACAAAGAAAAGATATATACATACTTAATATAATCATAGGGGCCTGGATTAACATCATTCAAAGTCTGAAATAACAAGGACTATTAATTTAGCAGTGTCTAGCACTTCAATATCACATTCTGTGGGAATGTGATAGTAATGGTCCACATCCAATATCAATCCTTCAACTTTCACCTCTCCCAAAATATAAAGAGGGATCATTATTGTGAAGGTCTAGCCAACCACAGTCTTTCCAGGAAACAAAACCAGCCCTCCTCTCTTGTAATTCATTATTCTTTAAGGTAGCCCGGCACCTGCTTTGTGTGATTGAACCTAAATTAGCTATTAGGACATGCTCAGACATAGATCTTCAACAGAAGCTTACCCTATCCAGATATTCTGTAATAGCCGCATTAATAGGAGCCTCGCAAGCATCTGTGGGAAAAAAGCGCGCGATTATGCTACACTTCAGTTTCGGTAGAGATTCCGCGATAGGACAAACCTCCACCCAAGCATCGATCGCGCAGCCTCTGACAGTTTCCAACCATAAAGGGATCACAGATTAGATGAATCAGTGCTGGACATCAGCGCGGGTCGCTTGGCAAAAGAAAGGTATGAAGAAGAGTAATAAGCACGCAAACAGAGTTCCAAATAGGACTCTTCGAAAGGTTGCTAGAAGCTAGCCGGGTATAATGAGGGTGACTCTTAACAAGACTGTGTTTGACCTCCAATACCTCCACTTGCACGTCAAGACAAGGAAATTAACATAGTGGCATCGCGGGTTTGGTGGGTTGGGGGGGGGGGTCTCATTTTGAACTGTGGTCACATGATTTGCTTGGTAAGGCGCGCAAATCAGGCCGCACTACTTAGCCAGAAGTACCCACATTGTCTAACTTAACCCTCATCAGCAGAAAGATAAGGTAACTACTAAATCGCGAGATATTAGCTTCTAGAGTAAACTAGCCCTCAAATAGGCTATGGCTGTTTGCCCATCAAATTATATAGCAGCTTTTTCACTTTATAACAGATTAAAGTATAGCATTAGTAGACATTGCAGGCGTACCAATTATATCTCAGTTTAAGTTTTTAGCAGAAAAGTAAACCTGTGAGGGAGTGTACGGTCCACACCACTGGAGATCATCATTATCACTACTATAGCCATCTCACACACATGACGCGACTCAAGCGACCTAGGCAACAACCGCATAACACACAGCCATCCTCTGCCTCTTAGACTTTGATGAATGCAGCTTCCGTCCCAAGGATTTCCATTTCTGAGTGACCTGCGCACAACTGAAGTCAATAAATATTATACATTGCACCTCCTCGTTCCATAACATATTCAGTGCGCGCTCGTCAAGATGTACAATGCCAGCACCGCTGATTTCAGATCTTATTCAGTCAATCTCATTCTTGAAGAAGGAGCACTGGGCTTCCTTCAAGGCCATTCCACCCCATGACATCAAGGAAATATGCACGATGGCACAGGTCAGCAGATAGTATATATTCCGCCGTAGGTAGATATCTCCAAGATAAACAGGGACAGCATACCCTTGCAGAGCTTCAAGAGCTTAGTAAATTCTAGCTTCATAATTGGAGGTATACTCAGTTCCTTTGCCGACAAATGTATAGCCATAAGTATCTAGGGTAATGGCAAATAGAGAGCCATGTAGTCCTTCTTTTCCCATATAACAGCAACAGTAATCAGGATCATGGTTCAGTTGTTCGCTTACAAGCTTAACCAAGTCTAATCACAAAAGTGGATGTCGACCGTTCGACAAATATTTCTAGTGGAAGGACAGATTCGGACACTCAGGATCAAACTTACATTTATTAGCAAGACCTTAAAGACATGCTTGTGTACAATACTCTTTGTTTAGAGGGCGACTCTGACCAGAATCCTTAGGACCACTTTAAGGATTCAACATTCATTGTCATTTTCTCCTCTGCACAGGAACCAGAGAAGATGGAATTCAAGGCAGGGCCGTATCAGATTCGCTCAAAGACTCCAGTGTGTCTCAGTTGCCAGTTAGGGGGGGCGTCGAATTCGGGAAGCTTTCATCGTCGTAGGAGGTAAGGTGACCTAGGGTCGATGGGATAGCAGGGTGCTCACCAATCTGAATCCAATAGACTCTTTCTCCTTTCTGATTCTGGGATAGATCTAACCGCCTCTTCAAAATCCACTTCCCACCTATTTAGTCGCCTCATAGCCTCATTGCGCCAGAGTTGGCTGCGTTGCAATTTTTAGAGCGCTATTATTGTTAGCACTAGTTGGGAGCCAATAGCTGTATATGGGTACCAGAAACCATAGCCATCATCCAATTTCGCCTCCACGTCCTTGCTAGGCTCGAGGAGGCAATAGTACAAGGTTATCAGATCTTCTTCAGTGACATGAAGGACCACTTTTATATGGCCATTCGTCAGTACACTGTACGGGAGACCATTCATGATCATATATTCGAAAGGCTGTGTGACAGCTGCGCAAGACAGCAATTTCGCGTCATAAAGCAGCTTCTCATTAACATCTATAGGTAAGGTGATTTGCTGGACAACTTCCTGAACCATATTCATTGGCCGAAGGCCCGCTCGGAGATAAGCGTCAGGAAGCTTATGGGCAGCCTTATACTTAATAACATATAGAAGGCTCCTTTCACTGCCATTACGAATATACACACAGTTCTGGTCGGCGCGAAGCGTCTTTTTGTGAACAGGTTATACCTGTCCCGCCTCCTCTGTAATGGTGTTCATATGGTTTTCAAAGATTATCCCTCCGCTGAGCAGCAACCTGCAATGTGCCGCTGGTAAGACAGCCAACCTATCAATCACTTCTTTAACCAGATTCTCCACTTCTGCCTCCTGGTATCTCACAAGGTCTGACTCACTTGCCAACAGGCAAGTGCATGCTTGCTGTCCTCTATCCTCAATAACTAAAAGAGGTGGAAATACTCGCAGAGGCTCTTCAGAGTTCAGATGGAAAAGCTGGTATACCTCATCGAAAAGGGCCTGTTGCGCAGCGCAGAAATCCCAGGGGCGAAGGAACATAGGGCACACACAGCCAACTGGACTTGTGATAGGGCCTTTTGTCATCAGCAAGCAGTTAGTCTGAACAGTAAGGGGTTTCGTTATGCAGCGATGACAAGCTCTCAGATATTCTGCAAATGTTATATTCCAATTATGCTCTTCTGCTTGCTCCGCACGTTGCTTTACGTCCTCTGCACACTTCCGCTCATACTCTGCTCGTTCCCGTTCTTGCCGTAAGAGCGCTAAAAGCTCCTCTTTGCTAGGTGAAGCATCTGAAGACATGGAGGGGCTGGTTAACTTAGTGTAACATACAGGTTGTTTAGGAACGCTTCATCAAACAGGCAGTTGTTGACAGGCTGTTCTAGGTACCCGCCTTCCCACCAAAAGTACCACCTTGGCATTATGGTACTAACTGTATTGGGACAGGTTAGTCTCACTACTCAAGCTCCAACTGAAGTCATACAATTGTTTCCAATGAGCGGTCATTTACATCCTCATTAGTGTGACCGCCAAGAGTATCAGCACGAACATGTGCAAAGAGAAACCAAAGCAGCTGTATACACTAATGCATACACAGCATTTGACAAGTAAACAAGGTAGGCGGTTCCGCGGCATACAGTGTGGGAAAAAAAAAAAGTGTTAATAGACGCCCCTAGCTAGGTCAACTAGACCACCTGATGTTATTGCCGGCAAAAGTGTGGCGCTTTACAGGCAATTCAATATTATCATCATCATGGCATCTTCGCCATTCCCCCACCGATGCCACACCAAATAAAAACAGCAACATTGTTTGGCTGTGGGTGGGATGTAGAAAGCACATTACTAGATTATAAGGAATCAAAGGGTCCCTGAGCAGTGGGATATACTTATTAACCAGAACCCCCAAACCTTCCTTGATCTAATCTATTATTATGACCCGAGTCCCTCATCACATTTTTTGAAATTCCAAAGCTAGCCTCGTCCGAGTGCGGCGCCGCACAACTGTTCCGTGAACGACAACCGCGAGATCCACGCGATTAGCTTTCAGTTAGTGCTTCTCCCTCCCACAAATATTCGCCTGCCCTTCGGCCGGCCAGGGAGGGTTCACAGGTTTCGTAGAAAATACCTCGTGAGTGAATCAGGTGTTACGTGGTCTAGGTAGTTCACCACACAGTCCTTCAGCAGAGATCAGGATTTCCAACACAGTGAAAGCATCTCGTGTGTCGCTCTTCTTTAGACTTAACCAGCACAGATTTTGTCACTTAGCGCAGAACATTCGGGGTCTTGTCATCCACCAAGTGCCATTGCCATCTCGCAGGAGGGTCCGCAATGTCGGGTTTTCAGATTCAGCATGATGATCCTGTAGCCAGCTTGCCATTGTATGGCGGATTACAACTCGGAATCCTTCCCCACTGACGCCTTTTCTGTGTCAGGTATAGGGGGGAGAAAATTGTTGATCGACTCAGAAAAGCCCGATAGCACCAGATCTATGCAATTCGTGCCGCATGGTCTATAAAAAGAAGAACCAATAGTCAGTTAAGCTCCCAGGCAAGCAGAAATTCATTCAGAAAAGCAAGGACAGTCATGCGGACTCACGGGCGCAAAAGGGGTGGCGAAGTACAGAACACGGGAAGTTCAGTTCAATGGCAAAAATGCCTCAAGCGCTTGAGTCGGAGGACCGCGAAAGGGTGGGAAAAATAGCAACAAAAGTTGGCCATCATCTCGACTGGGCAAAGAGGAAGCTTTAATAGACCACGCGCCGATATGCCAAGCCTCAGTTGCGCGCTTTTCTCGAATAGGAACGCTATACCGCTTCTGGTAATTCGCCGTCACTACAGACTACGGAGTAGGCCGGTTTCCGGTGTGTTTAGCCATATTTACAATAATCGTAGCTCCGTTGGGAGCCTCGGCGACCAGTAACAATGCATAATGGAACAGCACTACTAAGCTATATGCGTACATCACACCAGTATGGTGCCGTTGAAAAAGGACACGTCAGCAGGACAGGGGTTGAGCGGGGTCACTGGGTGTGCAGTATTGAGGTTCCGGCAGTTCAGGTGAGCTTCAGGTGAACAGGCTGAAGAGGGTGAAGACAAGGCGGCGAGGGCGCTAAACCCAACGAATCAAAAAAACATGGTGAACTCCAACATACAACAGCCGGGATTCGCTGGTGGTCACCCACCCAACTACTAACTGGCCGGCGTGCGGCTTGAACGCGGTCAATACCCGGGTGGGTGCCCTTGCTGGGTGATGGGTGAGGCCGCTTAAACGAGGTGGTGATTAGCGTGTGTGCAGTTTAGAGGGGTGGTGATGTCTGGAGAATACATCACCAGCCTGGAGCACTCATTGCACTTCGGGCAGGCATAACCCACCCGGGACGGAATCAGCTGTTTTGGTTGGAGGAATGAGTAAAGTACAAAACACTGAGTGTTCCGCCATCAGCGCATAGCCACAATCTTTCCTCTTTTTGGAAAATGCTAGAATAAGCCTAGCATAGCCCTGTGTTTGCGCTGCTGGTGCCTAATCTTGAAGCCTATAACCTCTTTGAGCCAGAACGCTCTTGCAAGCAAACGCAGCATTGTGGTACGGTATCACAGTGCATATTAAAAAGCTTCTATCAGGACATGGAGATAAAATGTCTATTGAAGGATATACAGCCGCTGCATAAAGGACGCGACAGCTCTCCACGTACACAAAACGTGGATCACCTGGGAACTCGCAGCTGCACGCCAGGGATGCAGACTCCTCCACCTTCACTTCCGATAAGCCGTGATTTATCTGTTACGGAAGTGGAGAGTACAGGAATACTTGGAGAAGACGAAGACCCCACACGATGCTGTGATTTGTTAGCATACACCCCCAAGTTGGTGGGGATGGAAGAAGTGCATACAGGATTTGCAGCAGCGTTTTGGACGTGCGCTTGCAAAGCTCGGCCAGCGCCGCGCTCTCATGCAGTTGGGGTAACTCAAAGGCCAGCGGAGAATACGCCGTGCAATGGATTCCCCGTTTCTGGCAGAACCACCAAACGGATGCATGGACAGCTGGGGTGCAGCTAGAAAAAAATTCAGCCGGGGCGGGAGAAGGGCTGCGGGGTGGGGGAGGGGAAGGGAATCCAGTCAGCATGACAAGGACGCAGGAAACACATACCTCGATCTGGTTCACCGCCGGAACCACATAGCACGCCGGATCAGACAGCAGCTTTTTCAGGTTTCGGATGCCAAAGTTGGACACGCCAACGTTGCGCACGCGGCCGGAGGCGAGGACGCGCTGCATCTCCTGCCAGGTGTGCGTGAACTCCCAGCTCGGCATGGCGGTGGAGGGATCCTCCTCGAGTGACACGGCGATGGGCCAGTGCACGAGAGGAAGATCGATATAGTCGAATCCCAGCACGGCCATCGACCGGTCCACTGGCTCCGCCACGTGGTGATGCCAGGCATTTTCAACTTTTGTGGTGACCCAGATGTCCTCGCGCCGCAGCCCCGAATCCCGCACAGCCTCGCCCACCTGGTCCTCGTTGTTATACCGGGCCGCGGAGTCGAGGTGTCGATATCCCACGGCCAGCGCGGCCTTGACGGTCTCGTAGGCCTGCCGCGGCTTCCTGGGTTTGCGGGTTCCCAGGCCCACCGCCGGCATCTGGCAGCCGGTGTTGGGCGGGAACCGGTGCTGCGCTAGGTCCTCGTGATGGCTGTCCATCTCCGCACGCAGGGGAATGGGACCTACGGGCTGCAGCTGGTGGGGCAAGAAGGAGGCGGCGACGGTCTCAGCCGCCGCCAGCGTGTCGGCCATCCGGGCGATCGACGTAAGGAAGAGATCTGCGCCACGGGTGACAGAGTCACCGAGTCCTGCCCCCAGGTGCAGGCAACCTTCGTGCAAGGGCGACGTCAGCCCCATGCTCCGTCAAAGGTGGATGTCGGCAACCCCCAGTGCGGCCCATGTGCCCCAGGCGTTCCGGGAAACGAGACTCTCCTGCCCGATGGGGTGTTGCTGCGATGCTTGCCCGCATTCCTCATCTGGCACCCGGCTCTGAAGTTCCCATCCTACTACCGGGTGATGCTGTCCTTCGAGGACGGAGACCGCCAGAAGCTGGAGAAGATGACCAACGATTTTGGCGGCGATCTGCACCCTGCGGTGGACGCGCACGCTGTATGATTGGTATACCGCCGCCTGGGAGAGGCAGAGATCACCCATTATTCTCGATGTGGATGACATTGTCGACCAGCCCGAACTGTTGCGCCACTTCTGTGACGTCGTGGGCTTGAATGCCTCCAAAATCAGGTTCGAATGGGAGGCTGTGGACCAGGAGAAGTTGACCCAGGATCCCGTTCGGATGCGCACCCGCGCCACGCTGATGACCTCGTCAGGCATCATGCCGTGCAAAACGTTCCGGGGGCTCTCGGCCGAGGACGAAGCAGTCAAATGGAGGGCTGAATTCCGGGGTCCGGTGGCGACGAGATTGCAGCAATGGGTTCAGGGAGCCATGGCAGACTATGAGTATCTCTCTGCCCTGGAGGCTCACCTTTTAGCAACTACACGATCGCTATTTGTTGTGGAAGGAGGAGATTTTGGACTAAATAGTCGTTGTTTTTTAAACACTATATTCAGCTTACTTGCTTCGTGGAACCATAGAGAAATTAAGCTCGTCGCGCTCGAACCTTCATGCGCACCCTTTCCTCACATGTCCGCACCGGCTCCCAGTTGGCACGACCCAGGTCAGGGCTCGCTATTACCGTTAGTTTTGCTGCGTTTAGAAGAACCCCGCATTATGGTGCACTAGGCGAATGCTCTGGTAGTGGCAGATCTCGACAAGTGTTAGGTAGAACCGACTCCACCCAATCTAATACTTCTTCCGCACCGCCCACCGTGTACCGAGTCCCCTGGCGCAAACGAACAGCCCTGCCGAGGCGATATATGCCAACCCGCAGAAAACAATCAATCCCTGATAATGCTCCACGCCATCTTTGGTTTGCGCGTTAAGAATTTCCCCAGCAATCGGCAACGACACAAGCACGCCCAGCCCCACAACAATATAAGCTGTACCGTACCTCTTCCCAAAGTCTTCAGTCTCGGAAATCTGCGCCACACATACAGGGCTAAGACTGATAGCTGAGCCGCTCCAGAACCCAAAAAGCGCAGCGTAGCTAATTATGGCGGCCCTGTTCGACCCTGCTTTCAACCAGAGTGAGAGCGTGAGGATCCCAGAGACGGCAGTTGTTACAACCATAGCATTAAAACGGCCGTAACGGTCTGCTGCATAGCCCGGGATAAGCCGGCCAAGAATAGAGGTTCCATTAAGGATTGACATGAGTGTGTAGGACTGGCTTATAGTCATGCCATTCGCGCGCGCATACGAGGTGAGGTAGGTGAGCGGGATAGTGGCGCCAATGTCAGCGAACATAATTCCAATAGTAGTGAGGGTAAAAACTGGTTCACAGAGGGGGCGGAGATCAATCATCCAGCGGCTTGTCTTGCGGTGTTCAAGGCGTGATCGCTGGAGGAGCGCGCCGGTGCTACAAAGAGTGAGGGTTATAAAGCCAAGGGTGCGAATAGCCCAGCCGAACCCAGCTGAAGGCGCAAGAGCGTTAAATATCTGTGGGAAGATGATGCCGCCGATACTTCCTGCCGTTACAACGATCCCTGTGGCGAGGGCACGAGCGGTGTAGAACCAGTGGTTTACAATGGAGACGCTCGGGGTGAAGACCATGGATGCGGAGATTCCCCCAAGGACACCGAAGCCGAGCATAAATTGGTAGTATTCTATTAGACAATTAGAGGGTAGGAGGGGGTGGCCTGACGGGATGACTGTCACATACCTTTTGAGACGCTTAATACCATAACGGCAGCCGTGAGACCAAGTGTGCCGAAAATAAGCAGGTGCTTCGGCCCGTACCGGTCAAATATTGGTCCTAAGGCCACGTTAGTCGTGATCTTCTAACGGTGCGATGGACGTACCAATTTGAACACCGCCAACCAACAAGAAGAATATATACACGCTGAAAATCCAGGATACTGATGAGTGCGAGTACTCGCTTAGCTGGTTGCTTGCAAGCCAGTCGGCAAATACGCCAGTGGTATTCATGAGCCCAAAAGATGGTAGAATAGCGCACCAGGAGCCCAGAACCACAAGCCACGCGTGCAAGCCTCCATCTGGGAATGATGCGGGCGAGTCATCAGCAGATGCATACTCCATAGGCTCTGAGACTGCATCGTGCTCGTGGGCGGTGGTGTTGGTGCTCATTGTGAAGTGTATGGAGCAGATTCAACTCAGGTCGGTAGGGGCAATTATCAGAGTGCTCCAGCTCATCAATAAAAACCCTCGAGAAGGATAGTGCTACCTAAACAAACCCCTTGCATGCGATACGGCTGGGCCTTGCTCCGTACGTTCTTCTGGTGTACCAAGAATCTAAGATCGGCAGATGGGGTTTCCTGATCAAGGAAAAACAACAACTTCGACGCAGAACAAATTTTTGAAATTTCCCGCCCAAACCACGTTCCTTTGGACTGAAAATTCGCTCAATTTCTCGTGACGACGACCGCTGTCGATTGATCCTATTTTCATAGGGTATCGATCGCCATGTCGTCGTCGAAGCCAAAGTGGCCGTCTCAGCCGGTCGCGCGCGGCGACGGGAACAGGCCACATTAGAATCTGCACGACTGCGTCCTGGACCTACACCACGATACAAGTATCTTCCTGAGCCATCTAGAGGCTCCACCATCAAGGAATCCCAAGGCCCCTCATCGAGCTGATCAGGAATACCCAATCCGTCATCAGGGAGATCCTCAAACACCACCTCAGCAAGGACTGGAAGCATAGATCACCCTTGACGTTAAAAAGAACACTACCTGCAGGACTTCTGCTGGGATTCTGAGAGTAGTGGCTTAGATTCCACTGCCATACAGAGCGCCACCCCGGTGGAAAGCTCACAGCAATCTAAGGGATCTAGGGGTTCAACCACAGCAAAGAAAACACCTAGACCATCCAAGGGGTCTAGGAAAGCGAAGTCGGAGCCACCTTGCAAGCAGCCACCTCATGGCCACGCAGTCCCCAGCGAAACATCCTCTCAGTCAAACCTGAGCGTCACTGACATCTCATTCGCCCCCGTATATATGAGAGAGCTCATCAAACACCTCTAGCACCTCCCACCGCTCCGCCCAAATTGTCGACCGTCTGAAATCTCGGTGTCTGGCTTGACAAAACCCTCTTGTTCAGCACCCACCGCACCAGGGCGCTTAACCGCGTAAACAGCAGCCTGGAGGCGCTACGCAGTATCACAGGCTCCACCTGCGGTGCCTCACTGGAGGCTATGCGCGCAATCTATCACAGCGTGGTCGCCCCCCAGCTCCTATATGGAATCACCGCGTGGTTTAGTCCCACTAGCAGGTCTATTCCGGCGGTGGAGCGGAACAAAATCATCAATGAATTCATTAAAATCCAGAAACGCGCAGCCGTACTGATTAGTGGCGCTGATTGGGGCACCGCTGCGGTCGCGCTTAACATGGAACTACACCTACTGCTAATACGCCTGCAGATGCGGCAAATCATTGAGGAAACTGCCATTTGAATCCAGACAGGGCCACAATTTGCATGCCTTCGAGGACTCACAGGGAAGCCACATCCAACTACAGAAACGCAGCGGAGCGGGCTTACACCGTTAGAGACGCTTAGGAAAAGAGGCAACCCACTAGCCCCTACTATCCCTAGACACCCAGAGGAGTGGGAATCCCGAAAGGCATATGTGCTTCCCCCTTGGGAACTGCCTATACAATGCACGATTGAGGACTATGAAGCCGCACTGAAGACCCATGATAAAATATGCAAGGATAATGACCAACTGGTCATTTACACTAATGGCAGTGGATATCAGGGCCGTGTGGGGGCCTCTACTGTCTGCCTTCGCGCATAATGGACCTAAAGGAACCATCTAGGCACAGAGATGGACTCAACCATATATGCTGCTGAGCTAGATGGCATCCGCATGGTGATGGATACTGCCAGAGCCGGAGACCTAGGCCCCTATTCGCTCACCCTCTTCTCCGATAGCCAAGCTGCTATTCAGGCAGTCCAGAACCCGCGCCGCCCCTCTAGTCAGTGCATCTTGGGAGCAATATATCAGAAGGTAAGGGCCTAGAGGCGCGCGGGTTACCTCCAGACAACGTGCAGATACACTGGATCCTCGCGCACGTAGGTGTGGCGGGGAAAGAGGCTGCGGAGGAGGCAGCGAAGGAGGCCGCCGCACAAGGGGAAGTTGAAGTTGAATTAAGCTCAGTGGGGCCGGAACAACCAATTATTCGGCTAGCTGCGGCTGCTAAATGTGCTGTTCACCAGCGAGTCCAGCAACGCTGGAAGAAGCAGTGGGAAACAGAGAAAGGGGCCAAGCCGACACGGCCGCTGATCAAGGCCCCTCACAAGAAGAATTTAGGCCTATATAAAGGCCTGTCGAAGCCGCACACATCGATTGTCATCCAGGTGCGTAACATGCGCGTTGGCCTGCGACATTTCCTCCATAAGATTAAGGCCTCCGAAACGGACCAGTGTAGCTGCGGAGAAGGGTCGCAGACCCCAAAACATGTCCTCCTACAGTGCTCATTGCACACGGAGGCCCGCGGGCGGATGATTAACAAGCTACATGATGTAGAGGGGCTCTGGGGGAAACTATCAGACTATGACACGCTCATATCCAGCCCGCAGGCGATCCGCTACATCGCCGAATTCATGTATCAAACAGGCTTGCTGGGCCAGTTCCGTTGGCGTAACTGACTGGGCAGGACCAAAAATGAGGCAGCCTCCTGAGAGGCTCTGGAATAGATGTGGAAGACGATAGTTAGATGGACCAAGTAGCTGCCTAGAAGGGGTCTTTCTAGGTGCGGCAACATGTCAGGAGGAACGACTACATGGAAATGGAGTGGGATAGGTATCTAGCGCGCAAGATAGCGCAGGGGAGATATGCAGCCTAGTGGCGGGCTGCTTTAGTTGTGACTACCATATTCTTTCGATGTTTCTTATGTCTTGTCTGCATTTGTGGGTTACCGCGTTCAGATACTAGATTCCTGCTTCATTTGGCGAAGCGCCTGCATAGCTAGTCGCTTCTATAGACGGGCTCCAACAGGTTAATAGAATCTTGATTGATTGATTGATTGACTAAAGTAGGCCCTCTTTTGTTTGACTCTACTGGCTCCGGATGGATGAGTTTCGCATAATATGTTGGTGATTTCAAACTATAATACAAGACAACAGACTCAATCTCCTACTATAGTAGCCAAGGGAGAACATGTTGATTGACGGGTATTTGGAGATACTTACTGTTCGAGGAGGTATATCTGCTCTACCTACGAGCTGCCGTCATATATGTCTCGTCTGGACCCTTCTACCTTGTCTCCGGAGCCCTAATCTATCCTTGCGAAGGTCTGATGTACGGTACATCATGGTTACAGAAAGAATTGCCTATGAAGATAGAACATTATCTTCCAGGCTTTCATTAGACAGGACAGGAACTTGGCTTGAATCCATTCAATCTTCGATCACCATCTTTCCTACCAACATCCCAGGGATCAGTGACCGGCACCGTTAGCTACGCTAACGCACTCATGCGTCTCCAAATAAGGAAATGATCTCTTCTGCCCCATCTCAATGACAGCTTCCATATATATCCGAACAAGAGGCTCCATCCCAATCCGACCAGCCCTTTCCAACCACTCCTGCGTGCTAATCTTCTCATAACTGCCCCCATAAAGCTGACTTAAACGGACACCCAACTCTCCAAGAGGGACCTTCACTCCGCTCGAATAGTGCATGATCCTGACGGCCCCCAGCTCTTTTCCGTCCTTGGATAGAGAACGAGGACCAGAATGTACTTTCAATGCATCCTGAATGATCTCAGCAGCAACCTCCTTAACCTCCCTAAAATCGAGATACCCACACATCCCCTCCTGCGCAGGGAAGGCGCCCAGCTCCTTCGAGAACCGCACGATACAGTTCATGCTATCCGTGCTCGGCGCTTCCTCGCCAACAATATAGCAAGGGCGATGGATACACACATTCAACCTTGTTTGCTTCGCCACACGCTCAAGGAAGACCTCGCTAGCCCATTTGGAAGCGATAAGGCCATCGGAGCCGTCCGTTGGAGGTTTGTACTCCGAGACTGAGATCGGTGGGTATATTGTGGCGCCGGAGAGCAGGGTCACACGGTTCGAGGAGATGTAGTGCATGGGTACGTGTGCACGGAGGGCGAGCTCGGCGAGGAAGATTGTTGAGTGGAAGTTTGGTGTTCGCATCGAGGCGTAGCGGTTCATGCAGTTGCCAAACGTGCCGGCGTGGATGATGAGGTCGATGCTGGTGGACAGGTTGTTCAGGGTGTCCTGGGAAAGGCCAAGGAAGGAGTCCATTAGCTGGCCCGGGTGAGTTGTGATGCGGTCAGAGGGTGGGAGGGAGGATATCTGCTCGGGTTCGACAGCAATGCAGTGGACTGTCGTAATGCTGGGGTTCGAGAGGAGGGACTGCAGGATTGCTTTGCCGATGAAGCTGGTCGAGCCGGTTAAGAGGACTTTGTGGATCGTGCCTGCAGTGCGTGGGTGGTGTTCGTCCTGGCAGTGATCTCGGGATCGATACTCAAGGAAATGTTCGGGTACCTTTGTCTCCTCGTCCCAGTTGATCGTATCATCAGTGACTTGCGCCCGTTTGGAGCTCAGCATTCGGGCCATCTTTCCCAACGTGCTTTCCTTGAATAGCTCGGCGAGGGGGATGGTTATTGTCATTGATTGCCGGATGAGCCCCTGCAACTTGGCCAGAAGGACCGACGTCCCTCCCACAGAGAAAAAGTCGGATTTTGGCTGGATCACCATTCCTGGGAGAGAGCTCCCCTGCAGGACTTGCTCCCACAATATCTTCAGCTCGGCCTCCGCAAGCGTAAAAGACTGGTCCGTCTCGGGGCCAGCAGAGGACTTGATCTCAGGCAGCGGGAGCATCGCCAATGCCTTCCGATCGACCTTGCCATTCGGCGTCGTCGGAATGGTATCGACGGGAATGAGAATACTCGGGCGTATGGACTGAGGCAGGGGAAGCTCAGCCAAGATATTCTGAAGCTGGCCCTCAGTCACGGCCTTGCCAGGCGCGAGAACCACATGCGCGACGAGAAATCGCGACTCACCCTCCCTCTTGGGGACACAACCACATGTGAAATCAGATTGGGTACCGTTGCTAAGATCGCATGCGAGACCTCCTCAAGGTCCACACGGATTCCGCGCAGTTTGATGACAGTTTCACCGGCCATCCGGGCGATGAAGACTAGTGAGCCGTCTTCGAGCAGTCGACCTTGGTCTCCTGTTTTGTAGAGCTTTGTCCACCCGCGCGCGCGGTGTTCATCTGAGGCGAAGGGGTTGGCGATGAATTTTTCCTTCGCCATTGGAGCGTCTAGGTAGCCCATGCCGACAACCGCACCGCCAATGCAGACTTCGCCGGGGAAGCCGGGACCGAGGAGGTTAAGGTGTTCGTCCACAATGTATAGCGCTGTGTTGGGTAGGGCCCTACCGACATTGCCTACCACCGTGGTGGTCGTTGGTCCTTTACCTCCCAACACTGGGCCTGCTGAACACATCGAGACAACCCCTGCTTCAGTGGGCCCATATACAATAGTAATTTCCGGAGAAAACCGCGCCCCCAACCGCGCCTGGAACTCTCTGACCAGGTGATCCGTGACAAGCTCGCCGCCGATAATCGCATACCGCCATGACCTTAGCAGCGTCAGGTAATCCGACCCGTACCGGAGGAGCATCGTGTGCTCGGAGGGTGTGCCCAGCGTCATCGTCACGCGCTCTGCGACCATCAACCGCGAAATGGCGATCGGGTCGAATCGCATCTGCTGCGGCACGATCACCAAATTCCCACCGAAACAGAGCGCCAGGAGCACCTGTGCGACACCCAAGTCGAACCCCGGGGAGCTCTGCTGGAGGACCGTCTCCGGGCGGGAGGAGAATGTCATGCGCCCTTGAGAGGCGATCCAGTTTGTGAAGAGGCCTTGTTGCAGCATGATTCCTTTGGGTTTGCCGGTTGAACCGCTGCTGTAGAGGATTATGGCCAGAGATGAGGAGGTGCCTCTGATGGGGGTCGGAGCGAGGCTATCGTCGGCTTGAAGATCATCAACATGGAGAACGAGTGTCTCTTGACTTCTAAACTTATTTGCCCTCTGCACAGTCATTGTCTGGCAGAGAATCACCGACGGCTGACAATCCTCTATCATGGCCGCCTGGCGCGCTGCTACGAAACTGACATCTACAGGAACATAGACTGCGCCAACCCGAAGCACCGCTAGCATAGCTGCGATAGCCTCGATCGAGGGTTCGCAAAAGACAACAATCCGCGATCCGGCTCGAACTCCGCTATCCACGAGTGCAGACGCGATTGCGTTTACCCGCGCTGCCAGTTCTGCGTAGGTGTGAGGACCTGCAGCATCTGTCACCGCGACAGCCTGTGCATGATCCCTTGTGATATCATCAATCCGCTCAGCCAGGGTTTCCGGCCACTCATAGTCAACGATCTCGCCTTCCCCGAGACGGATGGTCGCGTCAATGACAGGCTTTGGGAACAATGCATACCGATCGACAGTTAGAGACTGATCCTCACAAACACTCTCCAGAAGATAAGCATACATCTCTGAAAACATCTGCATGCTCTGCCGAGTGTACAAGTAGTTCCGGCTGTCAATTTCGAGCAGCCACGGGCCCGACGCTGAAGGCGTGAAATTGATGCTCATGTCGTAAGGCACTCTCGCCTGCACAGCGTCTACATACCGCAACGATGCCGTCTTGCCCAGGGGTAAACTGAGTGTCTCACCCATGCGATAGTTGACCATGATTTGGAAGAGCGGCGTGTGCGTTGAGCTAAGTGGGACGTTTAATCTGTCTGTGAGCATACCAAAAGGTATGGCTGAGTTGCTTAGTGCTGCAACTGCGGTAGAAGCTGTTCGTCGGAAAACATCGGTGAACGTATCACCTTTGGCTAGACGGAGTCGAAGGGGGAGTGTGTTCACAAAGAACCCCAGCGTACGCGCGAAGCGGTGGTCAGATCGTCCGGCGTCTGTAGTGCCGATGCAGATCTCCTCTGTTTCAAGCAGACGACAGAGAATAATTTGAATCACAGAGAGATGGAAATGGAACGGCGAACCGCGCAATGTGCGCGATAGAGCCTTAACCCGCTCTGCACATGCCGCACTTATCTCCGTTGTGGTCGTATGCCTCCCAAAATCTTTCGAGGCCACTCGCTCCTTCACACGTGAAAAGGGGAGCAGGGAACTCGGCTCAGGAAGTGGCATCAAATTCTCTCTCCAGTACTTCAACTGCCGATCCAGATTGCCCGACTCGATCGCCTGATACTGCGCGTCCGCATAGTCCGTATACCGCGGCGGTACCGCCCCAGCGGTTTCTGCTGGTAGGCCAGGCTCAACTCCTTGAGAAAAATAGACCAGCTGTATCCATCGATCGCGAGGTGGTGAAAGTAGAAGAGGATCGTATACTCTGTCCCTTCTTCCTCTCCTCCAGATTGGGCATGCTTGTTGGGAAATACGGTAACCCGAAACGCATCTCCCTCGTCTATCCTCCACACAATATCCTTCGCCTTTTCCATCTCCCGCGTGTACACAGCCCCGTCGATATCTTCCTCGATGTACTGGAAAAAGGGCGCCGGCTCAACACGCACGCCCTGCAACAACTCACGCGTGTTGTGGTCCATGAAAATTGCAGTCTGCAGCGTCTCGTGCCGCGACAAGACTTCCTCCAGGGCGCGTTTAAACCGCCGGACGTCGAAGTCACCGGTGGTTCTGTAGGCCACGGCCATGTTGGATTGCGTTGGGTCGGACATGTATTGCTCGGCGAACCAGAAGCGCGATTGCACTGGGGACACGCGGTGTACTCGTTTGAAGCTAATTGATAGGGGGTTCGGCTGCGCCATGATTGATCAATGGACTCTTGATTGAATATGATGATTTTTAATGAGAGGAGATCTTGTTAAATCTACTAGTGCTGGGCATTCCTTCCTCCTTTCAAAGAAATATAGGATATGATTCTCGAAGAGAAGGTGGCTTTATAGTTTGATGCATGTACCCATTCTCTACTTACCTGAGCCCTAACATTGTTGTGGTAGGGTACGTAACATACCTGTAAACGCATATCTCACTCTCCTCTTTCCCTAGCAGCGCATTGGAGGTTAGAGACATGTATCTACGCACAACAGACGGTCTGTTTTGTGAAGACGTAATGATACCACTATCTAACGACCAGATAAAAGAGTGGATTGGTTGCAATCCGGTTGCGAACTGTAAAAGTCTACTTTTTATGAGGTCTAATTACGCCCTTACTTTAAGAATAAAAACGCGTATACTACTGCTAGTTACATTACATTATATTAACTCATACGGGCCAGCTGGGGGAGACAGACACCTCAGCCTATCTGTGTAACGTAGTTTGAGGTAGTCGTGGTACAACATTCTTTAGTAACTGCAGCTATGTCACCGTAGAAACATTGAGTGCTGTTAATAAGTAAGGGTAGCACGTATCTGCAGTTCGGCGCGGCGGGGCGGTCTGGGATAGGGCATGTAAGGTTTGCGCAGTCTTGGTGCTGCGAGTCTGTCTTACAATTACCGTACTTGATCACCTGACGCACGTTTTTCCCATACGAAAAAACTTATAACTCCTTAACTTTGAAGTACTCTAACTCTGCCAAAACAAGAGATGGTAATTTAATTTTAACATCTAAAGAGATCTAATCAATTTCTATAACGTTTAGTCTGTAAAGCTATGTATGATTGATTAACTGGTTATACTTTTTAATCTAATTTACTACTGAAATGGGTGAAACCCCTCTCACCCCACCCCAATTCCTAGCAAAGCCGCCGTCCCCACCGTCATGCATGTACTCAGTTGCCTACCTAGCACATAAGTAGCTTGCCATACCTCCAGGGCCATGGTACTGTGTTAGAGTACCATAGTCAATTCATTGTTTCTGGTTTTCTCTGTCCCTTCGGGGCGGTCTTTCTCTTCTGGTCACGCGTCGTTCCTTCCCTGCCTGAGCAGTCATATGCACCCTTTTTCACTGGCAGACTGCTGGCGGTTCAGTGTCCGACTACGTTATGTGCATGAAAAGGTGGTGTGAGTCAGCCTGACATCGTACTGGGCATTCCTGCTGGCAAGGGTGTTGCCGCTCCAAGAAATATAAAAGGCCACCGAACACCTCGTAGCTGTCAGATAGCTGGCCATCACTCAGCACGACTGTACCTGTCACCAACTCCACTACTTCTCAGGGTCCTTAAATCCATCAAACAACGCGACCAACATGAGTTTGGACGTGCAAACCCAGTTTCTTATCGTGGGTGCGGGACCCTCGGGACTCAGCCTTGCAAGCTTTCTCGGACAATATGGTAGGTATTCCATGACCGTTATCGAAGACTCAGTAACATTCATCCGGGCGTGTAGGTCTCAAGGGACTCGTTATTTCTAAGGCATCTGGTACCGCGAACACACCTAGGGCTCACTCGTTTAATCCCTTCGCTTTCGGTATGTCGCTCAGAAATGGCACCCCCCTGGCCTCGCCGACTTTCCGACTAAGTGTATTGTAGAATGTCTACGCGACCTGGGAATTGAGCACGAAGTCCTCCAGCTATCAGTCCGTGGTCGTGCCTTTCAGGCAATGCGCTGGTGCCGAAGTATGATCGGCGAAGAATATTGGAAAGTCCTAGGATGGGCTGAGCATCCGTCCTGTGTAGTAGGCCTATCACTCACATCCCAATCTCATCCTTCCAGTAGGCCCTAACTGAGCCTTTGACAGGGAAACGCGTTCGGCATCACTCCATGTGAGTATGTTGAGTTCCCTCAGTCGGAAATGGAGCCTCTTCTATTGCGGTATGCTTCTCATCACAATTTCGACGTCCGGTTCTCTACCGCGTTGGTGGGCGTGCAGGAGCTAGGACGGGGCGATGCGCAGGCAGGATACATCTGCACTATCCAGGACAATATCTCCCACACTATTTTTCAGGTCCGCACCCAGTACCTGTTTGGTGCAGATGGGGCAAGAAGCCAGGTAGCACGGCTGCTGGACTTCAAGTACATCAGCGAGCCGAGCGGTGGCAAGGCCTGCAACATTCTGTTTCGTGCGGATCTGACAAGCCATATGCATGAGGACCGCCACGCTTCACTTCACTGGATTATGAAGCCCGATCGTACTTCATTCTTCGGCCTCGTGGGGCATCTGCGTGTGGTCCGTCCCTGGAATCGGTGGGTGCTGATAGCCTTTGGAGCGAATGGTAGCGACCCGTTTGAGGGGTTGACACCTCAGAGTCCCGAGCTAATCCATTGCTTACGGGAGATGATCGGAGATGAATCTGTTGACATCGAGATTCTGCATATGGATCACTGGACTGTGCGTACAAGTATTGCTGAGGCTTACTCCATTGAGGATACTAATGTTTTCCTCCTTGGCGATGCTGCACATCGCCATCCGCCGGCATACGGCCTGGGGAGTAACACTTGTATCCAAGATGCGTATAATCTCGCGTGGAAGGTTGCCTACGTGTCCAAGGGGCTTGCAGGGCGTCAGCTGTTGCACTCATACAGCAAGGAGCGCCAACCTGTCGGTGCAATGATTGTTGGGGAGGCTAACACCGGCTTTCAGGCGCACAAGGACGTCTGGGAATCAATAGGAATGTTTGCTGCCACCCCAGAAGAAGGAGCAAAGCAATTGGCCAAGCTGTCTGAAGCCAGTGATGAGGGGGCGTCGTATCGCGAGAAGATCCAGAACGCCATGAAGAGTATTGAAATTGAGCTTCACAGCTGGGGTGCCGCTTACAATCAGTGGTACGAATCAACTGCGGTCTATCTCGCGGATGAGGAGCACTGCAGGCCGGAATTAGAGGGCAATCCAATATTGCAAGTTCAGGTCACAACTTATCCCGGCAGCCGACTCCCTCACGCTTGGTTGGATATCCCGACCCGTCGCAAGAAAACTTCGACTCACGATCTAGCCGGAAAAGGCGCCTTTTGCCTATTCACTGGTATCGGTGGTGATGGTTGGAGAGAGGCAGCCAAAAATATCACCAGTTCAACAGGAATCCCCATCCATGTGTATGGCATCGGCTTCGGCCTTGACTACAGTGACGTGAATCGGGACTGGCATGACAATCGAGGGGTCGAAGAAAGCGGCTGCGTTCTCGTCAGGCCCGACAGATTTGTTGCTTGGAGATCTAAGAAACTTGTCCCTGACTGTCAAGGCAAGCTCATGCATGTCTTGGACTCGATTCTTTGCAGAAAGAAGGTTTGAGCAGTATAACCCGCCAATCCTGGTCCTCAAGTTCTATCCAACGGTACATTAAAAAGCATAGTTTTAGACCTTTGAAGTGACGCATATGCCCTTGTTAAATCCACAGACTCGTGCTTGTGTTTCTTCTGGCATTCCCATGCTCGACATTGTCCCTTAGATAGTTTTTGCCGTGAATATCTGTTCAACTATCTGTCATCTTCGCAATCACCAATCGTTTTAATTTTGTTTGCTTGTTTTTGGCGTCAGCCGACGACTGGATTTGACTCGCCAGGTAGCGCCATGGTTGCTCAGCTTCCAAGGGCAGCTGATAGCACCTCGCACCCAAGAATCCCCTGCACTAGGACTCACGGAAGGCGTAAGTCCGAGGCGGTCAGATCGCTCGTTGCACTAACTAAACAAACACACATAGAGAGGGACTCCTATATGTACACAGGAGTGGGGAAGGAGAGTTAACCGAACAGGTGATTCCACATCGATTAGCAAGTCCATTGGCGGTGCATGGGGGTCACCGTCTTCGGTTGACGGAAACAAGGCATACTGTGTTTCTGAGGGATTGCAAAGCATGTAGAGGCCTTCAGATTGTGTACAGTTTTATGGCATGCGAGCAAGCAAAACAAGCTAGTACTAGTCCTGTTTCTCCAGCGCTACTTCAACCCACTTAGAGGATCGGCAGGTGGAGAAGATCACTGGAGGGCCTGTACATCGTCTACCGTGGCAAGTCGACAGTCTTAATATATACGCAGATGCCGTAACACTTACGAAAACGTGATACCCAGTCATAATCATTATTCTCGGAGTCAACTTACATTTCCGTTGCTCTGCTTTGCCTACCCGACCAAACACAATGTCTCTGTTCACCCCCCACACCCCCCCAAATAGCCAGCGACCCCGCTGGGTTGGCATCGGGTGCTCTTACAAATAGCGGCTGTTAGTTAAGGTATCTCCCGTCTATGTAGGCGGTATAAGCATTGGTAATGCATGGAGTAAGCTATTCAGGTAAAGGGAGGACTATTTTACTATTCTTAATAACTCCTTCGCACTGGGTAGTTACTTTTATGAAACAGGGAGAGACAGTTGACTAAGTTGTCCTTTTAACACTCCATGTCCACGTAGGGAGTCTCGCAGCCGTGTTCCATTCCTCCCTTCACCTCCAAGTTCCATCCTGAATCTCTTCAATGACGAGCATGGCTGCTCCCAACCCCTCTCCTGGCGACCCACTCCTTGTCGGTCAGCGCTATATTGGTTGCAGAACGGAGCGAGATTAAGAGAAAGAGATGCTTCCGGTGACAACAATTCGGACACTTGACACTTCCAAAACACACAGGGAATAGGGGTAATGCATCTTGTGGTATATAATACCACAGGGATTTATCAAAAATTATCAAGGCACTAATATAGTGTCTTAATATCTAAGTAGAACTACTAGAGATAGAATATAGCCTTACTCTACAAGCTCAGCTAGATATAGACAAGGGCTATAACGTAGTCGAGCCCAATATTAAAGTTATTTTTATATATATTACTGTCCTTTACTACTATGGCCTCGTCTTACCCATGGCGTCAGTACTAAGCCACCGCCATTATGTCAAGCCACTAGTTGGGTGAAAAGATATCATATAGCTATTACTTAATAAGCCAGAATATCATTGAGGTAGATATAGAAGGCCAAATACTATTACATTTTAGTAGCTAAGAATAGCAAATTAGACGATTGTGCGCAGGAGTAGAATAATGTTGAGTCGTTGACAGATAGAGTAATCAGTTGGAGCAACCTTAGATAACTCTACTAAATTTAATTGTTTCCCTTGAGTCTATCTAGTCATCGTTCTATAATAGTAAGGAGAGCCAAGCAAGAGATTACGAACGTTCAGATGGGGTAAAGCTATTGGACAGGAGAAAGCCAAAAAAAGGAAAAGAAAAAGACAAAAGAAAAAAGAGAACTGGAAAATTACAAGCCCTGTTAGTGAACGTAGGAGGAGAGACTCTGGCTCCACTGGCTATACGGAAGAAGGCAATCGGAATTGCTGGGACATGCGCGAAATGAGGTAGTTTCGATCTCATGCTAGCGCGTTTGGCTGATGTCGGCGCTAGCGAAAATGTCCCCTAAACTGGGTTAGTAACTTACTGGTATACTAGATGAGTATTGGGCGTCATTTTCTCTTCTCTGGATAGGTCTAACCGGAAACGGGTTGCCCTTCCCTAGAGTTATATACTGGTTACTGGAACATAACCACATCTTTCTGTCCAATAGAGGCCTTGGGTGGATAACCAGCGCTCAGTTCAAGTCTAATGGTCGCGCAGACTGCATAGATTGGACGTGGATTAACAGCTATTCCAAGTCCCATCTATGGCCTTCCTCCATCTTTCATATATCTCCTCAACTGTGTCACTGAAGCAAAACGATGAAACTTGAGTTGTCCTCAGGATGTCCAGAGCACGCAGGTTGCGTAGCTCAATCAAGAAGCACTCCCTTGGCCCAGAAAGGCTAGCCAAGGCTCAGTGGCACTGGACAACCAGCTCCGAATTTATTATCCGGATCCCATTGTTGCTTCAAGGCGACTAATCTCGGCAGGTTATGCGCTCCATACCAAGAAACGGGGCCTTCGTCGCCGAAAGCCTGGTTGACATATACATGCATTGTGTCAAAGCCCATTGTGTCTTGGAATTCTTGTCTAATGGGCTTTATGAAGGCATCCACGGTATCGTCATACTCTGCACTCGGAGTTTTTGTCAAGAAATACCTGTGATTATGCTTTAGTATAAATCGGACCTCCAAGAAAAAAACACTGCATTGAGCAAGGAGAGGGACGGGTCTCATACACGTCGAATTTGGTATCACGCCATGGGTACACCCCCCTTTTGCTCTCTGGTATCGCCAGGACAGCGTCCGTAGCATGTCGTTCCATCACCATCGTGCCGTCAAACCAGATGTTTGACGCAGAGAATTCTGTGAGATTATTCAAATATGCCTCCATTACTGCCGGGTCTGTTTGGCGAAGACCAATATCGTAGACGCTGTAATGGTCTCCCCTCGCACAGAGAGGCTCTTCCGGTTCATCCTTTTGGTGCCAAGGGATGATTTTGATAGACGCTTCGATTGGATCTAGTGCTAGGAACTTGTCGATCCACGGCTGGGCAGCTGATGGAGAGCCAACGAATGAGAGCGTCGAAGAAATTGAGGGCTAACTGCATGTCAACTCTCTCGGCCCAACGTCAGACGCACGAATAGAAGAATAGTCACCTGATGGATGGTACGGTTGTAGCTGATCCTCAAACTCGTATAAAGCTCCGGAGCAAATTCATCATCCATGGTGTGAAATAACTCAATCACGGAGCGATTACTCGCCGGCGAGTGTTTGAAGTCGGCAGAAATACGAGTCCCGTCATTGGATTGGTCGTATAACTGGTAAGTAGCAGATGTGACAACGCCAAAGTTAGCACCGGCGCCACGAATGGCCCAAAAAAGGTCCGGGTTTTCAGTGCTAGATACTGTAATTGCGTCCCCAGAAGCTGTCACAAGGCGAACAGACACAAGGGCGTCAAGCAGTAGCCCATGGATACCGTAAAGTACACCAAGCCCACCTCCAAGCATTGGACCGACCGAATTAACGCAGCGGTCATCAGTAAGGGCTGTTTTCCACCCCCAACCCACCGTCAGTTGTTGCTGGCTGATGTTACCAGAGGGGCTAACATACGAGTTTCCTTTCCAACAGAAGACAAAAGGTCATAGACCTGGGCATTCTCTACCCCACTACCTATGGTCACCAAGTTGTTCGCGAGGTCCAGGTCAATCGATTTTAGGTTGTTCAGATCGATATTCACGGCATTTTGCACTTTGGAAAATCCAACCTTGACACCATGGCCCCGCCCGTAACAAAAAAGGGAATTTCATGGGAGGACGCAGCTGTGATCTGTGATTTGTCTGAGTAAAGGGCGTCACTTGGGGGGTTTTTTGTCGGACCGTACTCACGATATTCTGGACATCTTCCTCACTAGCCGGCTTGATCGTGGCTACGTACGACGGGTTCTTGTATGTTGACCATCTAGGAACCACGTCGTCGCTGGAGTCGTTGGCTAGGTAAATCAGAGCCTGCGAGGACAGAAGAGGACGGAAAATTTGGTTAATATCGGTTGTCTTTGGACCACTTTCGGCTGTGAGAAGGCGCGTCAACGCCAGGAGCAGAACGAAGTTAAACTGCATGGCCGTCAGCTGAATTGGACGATGTGACTAGACACTCGGCCAGTTCCATGAATGGTTATTTTTGTAGATTGGTCCAGGAGACCTATATAAGCACATTACTACTGTTTACCCCCTGATCGTCCAGAGCATCGGTTAAAGGGACTTCAAAATTAACCGCGCCCCCCGGCAGGCATTATTCCGCAAGGGGGTGAAATCCGTGAATGCACGAGGCGCGCCAACAGCCATAAAAGGACTCTAAACAAACAAGAATCATTGGTACAGTCGCTCCTTCCAATGCATCTGAAAGGTGGTCCTCGGTAAGCCTCATGTACTAACGGACGGATGAATCCTACTGAGTGAGCTCAATCGGCGTGGAGTGCTTGCATTCAGGAAGTGGAGCTGGGCCCCTGCTATCTAAATACCAACTGTGGCCGTAAGAGATTGTCTAGTAGCCTCCAGACTGTTACTTTCAAACTTCTAAAACAGGCTGCACACAGGGCGTTTGAGTCGCTTTATTATCTGCTGGCTATTTTCTAATATGATTCTCGAGGGGAGGGTGGCTCTATAACTTGCACGAACCCATTCTCCACATACCCCAGCCCTACATTGGTGGTGGTAGTATACATAATGTACCTGGAGTACAGAAACGCACGCATTACTCTCCTCTTCTCGCCCACAGCGCATTGGGCTGGGATATCCGTACGTAAAGCATGCATGTGTGCATTCTGATCTGGCCTCCCTCGCATGTCAGAGACATTTATCAACACGCCACAGACGATATTTCTTTTTAGGGCCTAATAGTACCACTACTCTAACTCATGTTTCACCTTACATGGACGGACACGACCGGACAGAAGAGTAGATTTAGTTGTAGTGCAGCTACGAGTTACAGGTATACCACTACTGGTTATATTATATCATATTATATTATACAGGCTGCGCTAGGGGAGATAGATATCTCAGCCTACCTATATAACAGGGTTACTATTATATAACACCCTTTAGTAACTGCAAGCCACCTCACCATAAAAACAGTTAGTGCTGTCTTCCTGCCTTTATTTTAGTTCCCCCGGTACTCGGCGCGGCGGTCTAGGATAGGGCATGTAAGGGTTGTGCATTCTTGGTGTAGCACGTCTGCCTTGCATTAGCGAAGTGCTACGTTGGCTGGCGGCCTTGGGCTAGGGGCCGAGAGGGGGTCGCAGGGTAGCAACGGACGCCACCGAGTGCAACGTACGTACATGCGGCCCAGTATGGCGCAGCTGGTGCGATAGTGCAGCCCTTGTGAAATGGGCCGAAACTTAGCGGTGAAAGACGAAGCTAATGAGGTAACTTTAATTGACAATCGTTTACCCAGGCCAATGCACGGACCCAGCTGATGGGTTATGCGTTGTGTGCTAAACCGGCCAGATGGGTAGTTCTTGGTTAATTTCTCCAAGTACAGCGTTATATCTTGACCGGTCATGACCTGCGCATCCTTTGGCTTCAACCCTGGGAAAGTAGACAAATCAGAGAAATGTCTAATTCAAGCGATTCCGCTCGACAGCTTCTGCAAGCCCCGCAATAGTCTCTTTCTCAAACAAATCCTGCACGGTCAGCGGTATATTCTCCTCCTGGCACATGGAAACCAGCTGCATTGCGCCAATCGAGTGGCCTCCAAGCGCATAGAAACTATCATCGACTCCAATGTCCGTAGGTTCGAGGTCGAGTAGAAGAGCGAACATTCGATGGAGGGCTAGCTCGGTCATAGAGGATGGCTTGGCCCTTTCGTTCTCCCCAGTCTGCGGTTCGGTTCGGTAACGTAGTAGCTGATGCTGGCTGAGTGTGGCGGCTTGGGTTCGTATGGCTCTTCGATCGATTTTTCGGGAGACTGTCATTGGCACATATGATAGGGGGATGTAGACGGTTGGGACCATGTGGCCTGGGAGCTGTTCGCGCAGTTTCGACTCTGCCTTCCGCGCGCGTAGATGGAACTGTTCGTCTGGTTCCATGAAAAGCGACGAATCTTTGGCCGTGGATGCTCCTTTATCGTGAATGAATGCCATGAGTGACGGCGAGGCAGAGTCCTCCGCTGAAACCACCACGTCCGCAAGAAGAACGGCGTCATGCTCCATCCCATCCCAGCTCTCCCGAAGATGATATTCCACCTCCTCCAGCTCAATTCGGTATCCACGCAACTTGACTTGATTGTCCTTCCGGCTAACATAGCGCAGCGTCCCGTCGGGTTCGTACTGGGCCAGGTCACCTGTCTTGTATAATCTCCGTTGAAGATAGGCGTCCCCGCGAAACTGCCGCAACCATTTTGGGCCTACAACAAGCGCCTCCGCCGTTTTCTCTTCGTCATCTAAATACCCACGCGTAAGGTAAGGCCCTTCAATAAGCAGCTCACCCACTGCACCAACAGGCGCAAGCTGATTATGGTCATCGCTCTCAACAAGCCAGACACTACCCAAAAACGCCTCCCCAATATTCCTCGTATCCCTCGTCCCGGGCTTCTGCGCACTCAGAATTCCTCCCCATTCCGTCATACCATACCCAATAAGCAACCGAAACCCACCCTGAAAGATCTCGTACGCGTTCTTCGGGATCGCCTCAGCGCCTAGGAGAATCGTTTGCATACTCCGCAGATCCCGCGTATCAAGTGTCCTCAAAGTCGACGGCGTCATGGTCGTCCAAGTAACGCCCATCCGGTTGATGGAGCCCTGTAGATCATTCATCCGGTCGTGGTGTGTGGGGATACAGAGTGTGGCGCCGACGGAGAGGGTGCAGAAGATCTCAATGAGGGATGCGTGCACGCTGTAGGAGGCGAAGTGGAGGACCCGGCTGGTGCGGGTGATTTGGAGGGGTAGCGCGTGTGCGGCGAAGCCTGTCAGTGCGCTATGATTCATTATGCAGCCTTTTGGGCGGCCGGTGCTGCCAGAGGTGAAGAGGATGTAGGCGGTAGAGCTTGCTGTCCGCTGGGGGTGGTGTATTCTGGGGGAGATAGCTGGGCCATGGCATCTGCGCTGACGCGGACTACCGTTCTTTCCGCGCTCTCTAAGCCGGCAGCGTGTACGGGCGATGCGAGGACGACACGTCCATGCACTCGATCGATAATTCCTTCAAGCCGCCTTTTAGGTTGGAGGGCTTCCAGTGGGACAAATGCAGCCCCGGATTTAATCACAGCTAGCACTGCGACGATCGCCCAGAGGGACTTTTCCATACACAGAGGCACCATGTCACCCGGACAGACCCCAAGGGATTGTAACTGGGCAGCCAGTTTCAATGACAGGCTCTTCAGTTCGGCGTAGGTCAAATCGCCGTCCCAGGAGTGGATTGCGGCTGCAGTGGGATTCGAAAGAGCATGCTGATCTATGAGAACATCGATAATTTGGTCATCCACTTGGTCAAAATGAGATTTGTTGTCCCACTGCGCGATCTGGTGATAATCCTCGGGACTGAAGATCTTTGCGTCTCGCATCTTCTGCTCGGGGTTCTTCACGAGCCACTGGATCGCCTCTGCCATGTTACCCACAAGACGTTTGGCGCGGGATTCGGATATAGCAGGTGTCCTATAATGCAGGCTTGCCGTTGGATCTTCATCGTTCACATTAAGGGCAATCAGGACATCGTAACCCTAATGATTATGTCAGTGGCTTACCAATTGACACCGGCACTCAATACGAAACCTTACATGGTCTTTGCATCTTGAGTCGCAGATATAACCAAGTGTTTCTTCCGAGTTCCTCTCTCCTCGGTGAAACAAAATAGCAGTGCTCACTCTAGGCCCGCATTCCAACCCAAAAGGCTCTAATTTGTGCCTATTCCCCCATAGGAAGTCTCTCACCCGAGCCTCAGGATCAAAGCTCACTACACAATTGGAACTCTGTTTCTCGGTTTCCTCCCCAGTGGCCTTGCTTGAAGGGATGTTATGGACACCAAAGGTGACTTCGTCGATGTCAGTGAGCTTGTGGAGCACAACAGCCCATGCTATGAGTGGAATTGTGGACAGTCCATCCTTGGGCAGCCTGTTAAGTCCAGCCTTGACTGGCAGGTATGCTATGGCCGTCTCCCCCATCGGCTGCTGGTTCGAGACGGTGTTGTTGTCAACGCGCGTGATATGCGGGTCCGCCTCCATGTCTGATGATGGAAAAAGAAAATTGAATCTAAGGACTCAACCAGCCAACAGCAGGTAGACGTTGTTTTTGGGAAATGGGCAAATATCAACTGCTATCCACCAGAGTAAACTACCCATATATCCACTGACGATTACTGAAAATACTTCAAGAATCTGGGTTATCCCCCTCAAGGCTCACCGCTCTTTTGAATGTAGGGGAATGCTAAGCCCATCCATCCCTGCTTCGTCATAAAACAACACGTATCATCACTTTAGTACCGGGCCAATGTGCATAACAAACGGACCACCTGTGGGATATTGTGCCTTGTATTCCTCCCAAGTGTGCACGCCCCTAACTCCCCATCTACACCCTCAAACAGCGACTGCCACTCCTCCTTTGTCTGAAACAATTGGTAATCTTCCTGTGGCCATGCGGCATTCATACCGGATTTCTTCTGCTTTACACTAATTTGGGAGCAACGTTTCTGTTTCTACTCTTTCTGGAGCATCATATTCTATTCGGTTCGACCCTTTCCAGGCATTCAATATGCGTTTTGGACACAAATTTTATAGTAGTAAACTATATGTGAATGATTCACAGCTGTCGCGTAAGTTCCTAGAGGGAACGCCACAGAACCAAGCTTTCAATGGCTACCTTTTTATCTTCGCCCTCGTGTATCGCTGTAGTCTCGCTGACAGCAACATGGCCCTTCTTGGTCAGTATTATGTCCTTAACCTCTGAAACGGGCCGTTGAGCCGTCCCATTACAAGCAGACTTCGTCGTATCTCTCGACGCCCGAAGAAATTGCATGATATCAGTACCACCGGTTCCCGTGCATTTTATCTTCGTGCGCTGGTTGAGTCCTGGTACTGCTGATATTGGCATGGACTTCCCTTTTCCCATCGGGATAAAGATATATCTTGCCACAACGCGAATATGCGCATCCCTGAGAGCGCCAAGATTTGCCACGGCTTTGTTATATGCCCCGTAGATGGCAGAATTGGGACAGTGGCTCAGTACGTAGTCCCTGATGTTCGATATCTCCATCATGAGTGAGAGGAAAGCTCTGTGGGTGCCGGGCATGTAGTCTCTCATATCCTGAGAAATTATGTTTCTGTCAGCTTCTCATTTCTTATTTGTTTAGCCTCGAATGATGCAAGACCTCATGGACTTGACGTACCTTGAAAAACCCACAACCCTGCTTAACCCCCAACACAATATCAAAAAACTGAATCAGCGAGCTCTGCGCATTACTCCCCCCGCTGAATTGCACCCACTCGCCCTTCCCACATCGACAGGTCGGATAAAACACCCCCTCCGGTAGCCCGGCCTCAGCCATATTTTTGCTGCCCCTTAAGAAGGGCCGGAGCTTATGACAGAAGAAATCTGCAGAGAGTCTCTCGTCGAGCCGCGCCAGGATCTCGCATATCCGATCCATGCACGTAGCAAATGCCTCGAGGAAAGATGTAACGGTACTTGTGTCGCGAATCGTCACGGCGTCGATGGCGGAGAGCGCTAGAGGAATGAGCGGAGCGCCCTGGGCTTCTATTGCGACGGAGATGGCATAAAACCATTCTTCATCGTGCGACGATGTGAATGTAATTTGGGCGGAGTAGGATGAAGGGTTTGCGCGGTCTCCCTCATCTCTAAGGATTGTGTTCCAGAGGCAGTACGTAGCGAATGTTGCGCAAGGACTTATTTTGAAGTGTAAGGAGACGTTTCGGAGAGGAGAGGAGATTGATAGAGGTAGTTTCTATGATTGGTAGATTGCATTAGCGTATTTCTGGGCTTCCAGGCTGATATCTAGGCAGCTAGGTCCGTTCCCTACCTTTCGCGGCTCCTTGCCACTCCAAATATATCCCTGAGAGAGGAAGCCAAGGATAAGATATGCCCTACGCCATTCTTCCTCCGTTCGAAGTTTTGCTGTTGAAAGTACCGGGAGACTGTCGACTGCATCACAGAGAGTGTCGGTCTTGATAAGGTGTGGTAAGTCATTCACGATATCTTCCCAAGGACTATACAAAGGATCTGGAAGTCTCCCCAAGGGGTTTGTGTCTGGGAGAAAGCCAGATGTGGCCGAGACCCAGTATTGTCTCAGGTCTAAATCCCCAAATCGTACCATGGCTTTGTTGCTTATGTTTGAGCCGAGGTGTTCGATGTTGGGGTCTAAGTTTTAGTTGATGGACGATAGATAGCACAACCACAACAAGAACTCAGGCCGCGGCTCATAGCATTGACTGGGAGACATCTAGCCTGGAAATACTGCAGGATAAAGTATGCTGTACACATTCCAATGGCTGAGCTTCTTCAAATCCTCTACATTACTCGGCAGCACCTTTTTTGTCATACTCGAATCATGCACTTGCCATATTGTTACGTTTTTTCTGTCTCATCTTACCTCTCGGTCATCTTGTGCTGAGTTGACGTTATGCCAGACAACAACCACGGTCCTGACGCACGTAATAGGCTCATATTAGGGTTTGAATGTGCATGAATATGAAAGACGCGTGTATTGAAAGGTGTGCGTCGGAAATCTAATCACAATCAGTAATTCAGGTAACGACGCCTTTGTGGGCACTTCTTAGGCCGATTATAGGTAAGGAAACTAGCATGAGGACGGAGTCTGAGCACCCTGGACGTAGCCGAAGTGTGTCAACCTATCCGGGTAGGACTGAGCAAGGAGCGCGCATTTCTCATTCTTACCCAACTTAGGAGTTCCTTGAGGACAAGGGCATCTGAAGTGTCCACACTGTGAGCATGATAATCCTATCCTGTTACAAAAACGCACAGGGATGAATGAACCCCCTCTGCGTCTGAGCCCCAAGCAAGGAGTATAGGCCGGCCCTCGGAAACATCTTGTGTCACGTAACTTCTACCACGACTCCGCTAGAGTATTTCGCATCATATGCCCAGGAAGACGGGACAATTTCAAAATCATGAAGTAGGGGATGGTATTTTGGTATGCTATTGTCTATGCGGGTCTCAGTATCTGCGGCCCCGAGTAACATGATATGTTTGACACGCAGCACAATTGAACAAGCGGCTTAGGTCTTTATTAATCTACATATGCCTTGACTATAGGCTCCTTACGCACTGCATGGAGTGCTCAATATTGTATAGTAGAATCAGACATGCCGATCACTCAGCTCCGCCACTCCAGGCAATACTAGACACAGTAATGTTTGGGGAATTATTCTGTGCCTTTTGTTACATTTAGTAGTAGCAATGGCTGGAAGAATCGGAGAAAAAAAGCAAACCCCCATCCTCCCCGATCTACCATCTACCTCAGAGATTCGTAAGGTGTGCGCGCTCACCGCTAATCTTGGTCTTTCAGGCTGCAGAAATGGAACCGCAATGCGTTGGTGCAACCGCTACAGCCACAGACAGTACTCTTTTGAGCAATAGTCTGGCCTGAAATTATATCGAACTGTCAGGGTCTTAAGGGCTCTTGTCCCGCCCAGCAAACGTCCAAATCGGCTATCCATTCTCCTAAGTTCATAGCTTCACGCTGCAAGATCCTCCCGTGTACCGGCCATCTCGTCGACTTCATGTTCTGAGATGCCTCCAATCAACTTCGGCAGCTACCAGACGAAGATCTACAACGAGGGTGCGCTGGGCAAACTTCCTGCTGTGACAACAAACCCAGCACTCCTCGACCAACATGCCCGGAAAGTTCTCAGTCCTCGTGCATACAGCTATGTCGCCACCGGGGCAGGGGAGAAAGCAACGATGGATGCCAACCGGCTAGCATTTCGTCAATGGAAGATGTAAGTCCTCAAATCTAGCAATTTTGGAGGGCGGGGGGAAAGGAGATTCAGGAGATCGAACATCTAATCTGGGTGTTGTAGAGTCCCAAGAGTTATGAGGCCGGTTGGTTTACCCCTCTCTTCTTCTCCAGTATCGGCCAGGTACTTTCCTTGAGTGGTAAGAACTAAGACAGAATGTCTTCCAGATGGACAATCAAAGTATCTCCGTCAACCTCTTCGGTCAAGTATACAAATCCCCTCTCATCGTTGGGCCAGTAGGCGTGCAAGGCCTCTTCCACAGCGACAAAGAAACTGGTGTTGCCGAGGTCTGTGCAGAACTTGAGGTGCCCTACACCCTAAGCACAGCAAGCAGCAGCTCGATTGAGGAGGTTGCTGCAGCCAATAAATCCGGCCATCGATGGTTCCAGCTTTATTGGGTGCACGACAAGAATATCCTCCTCTCGTTGCTCAAACGCGCCAAGGAGAATGGATATACAGTTTTGGTGGTGTCGCTTGACACATGGACATTGGGATGGCGGCCTACAGATCTTGATCAGGGATATTTTCCATTTTATCGGGGAATCGGGAATGAGGTGGGTTTCACGGATCCGGTGTTTAGGACCAAGTATGAGAAGATAGGTGGAAAGATCGAGGAGGATATTATTGGCGCTGCGAATGCTTGGGTTGCAGAGCTGAATGAAAAGCCGCATACGTGGGAAGAAGTTGACTTCTTGAGGAAGCATTGGAAGGGTCCGATTGTGTTGAAAGGGATTCAGCATGTAGATGATGCTAGGAGGGCACTGGAGACAGGGTGTGAAGGGTTGGTCGTTTCGAACCATGGGGGTTTGTGCTTACCTTATCCCGTTGGCTTGACATGTGCTGATTGATGCCTTGTAGGTCGACAGGTTGATGGCGCTATTGCGTCGTTGGATGCGCTTCCAGAGATTGTGGATGCGGTGGGTGACAAGATGACGGTGATGTTTGATTCTGGAATAAGAACTGGGGCGGATATCATGAAGGCATTGTGTCTTGGGGCGAAGGCCGTTCTGATCGGCAGGCCTGTCATATATGGCCTTGCTATCGATGGGAAGAGGGGTGCAAAATCTGTGATTGAGGGTTTACTTGCAGATCTGTGGCAGGGTATGGGATTGGCGGGAATGGAGACGGTTGCTGATTGCAGCCGCGATTGTATGAGGAGAATCAAGTATCCTGGCGACATTAAGAGCATGTTGTGATACCACCGGGATTGGCTCATGAGGCTTGCCGACTATGGTTTGGTTTCGGCTTTTATATGACCCCCTTGGCAGGAAGTTCCTCTGAGGGAGCTAATGCCCCGGAATAAACATGTCTCTTCTTCTGGCCAAGTTTTTTGCTGATTTTTATTTTTTCTTGGACAAGTGCTGCTTTTACATTAGTTATAGGGCTATGTATTTGGTGTCCGATCCTCATCGCTCAACCTCACCTTGCGCATTAGCGTGGATATCACTGGCACTTTGTAAACTGTTCCCGACCATTCCAGTCCAGGGATTATTAATTCCGTTTCTTGTGAAAGATATATATAAGATTAAAAAAAAAAAAAATAAGAAAAAATAAACCCAAACTAGACTAACCCTAGCATCTAGCATGATTTATATCACATACTCCTACGATCTTTGCCAGACTGTCTTTGGGAGGCGAACCTGCTAGAATCGCGTTCCCGGGGCATTGAACTTGCTTTGCGCTGGTGTTCCTCTTCTCGACTTCTTTTGGGAGCAGAGGTCTGGCGAGAGCTCCGTTGGCTATGGCCTCTGTGATTTCTGGGCTGACTTCCCCTGTTACGGCTGTCGCCAACGTCGGAAATCGGTGATAGCGGAGGGATAACGGATGTAGAACAGCTCTGCTTTGACCGATGGTGTTGTTGCACCGTGCGAGGTGTCTCTGTGCGGGATCTTGGTGGTGTAAGGGGTGGGCGGCGTCTTTCTTTGGCCGGGTGTCGCGATGAAGATGTATTCTGTGTATGAGGCTCTAGCTCTCTCTAGTCAGACGTATGCTGTTGTGGGGCCGATCGACTGGCTGGTATCCCATGGTTCATGGGCCTAGGTACATCCTGAAGTTTGTCTTCCCTTGCTCGAGACTTGTGCCGCTGTGGGCCTACCTGACTTGATGAACGTCTGTGCTCAACAGTTTCAGCGACCACGGATTCTCTGCTCCTTCGCTGAGGGCATTGATGGTGCATCTGGTTAGCATTAGCAGATGAACGTTGCTGGCTCTCTTCTTCTTCTTCCGCTGCTGACTGAGAGTCATACTCCTCCGAGACGGCTTCATGGTATACAGGCCGGCCATCTTCCCCGACCGATTCGGCATATTCTGTCTCGGGTATTTCCACCGCATCGTCTATAAGCTCTCACCCACCGAGTTGGCATCAGCAACTAACTCCAATCAAAATGCGTCTTGTGGTTGCTGAGTATTAAAGCTGGTGATAAAATATATGTTCGCGACATCGACTAACTTACCATTTATTCAACTTGACGTACATCAAATGTATTGTTTTACATTTAAGTCCGGGGAACAATAACCACCGTATATTTCGTGTAAATTTACTTTCCTGAAGCATGCAGGATAGGCTGGCTTCCGACCTAGTACCTAGTACTTGGCCCATGAAGCCGAACTCTGGTAACTTTAGACAGGGATACTATAACAACAACATTTAACCACTTGGATAGTAATCAAAAGCTAGATAGCTAGCGTGTCACTGTAGTGCCCATGATAAGGCAGGTACAGTCGTTTAGTAGCAAGGCGGAGTGACACCCTGCATGGCTGTTACAGGCATATAGCTATCCACGATGCTTGAGAACACCGCAAGGTAGGCTCTCCTCGTACTTGGCCATATTAACCACCTTTGGATGGTGGAATCCTGAAATATGCCGTTTCAGCCAATGGGATTCCATGAATAATAGTGATCGGTCCCAATCATTCCTTTCGTGTCCGAAGCGGGAAGACGGCCTGCGGACTGCCATCCTGCGCTCCGTGGGCCGCCAGCGTCGTCTTAGCAGCCAGTTCTTGAAAAGTCTGCTAGTCCTACAGATCAGTATCTTGTAGGTGGACGGATAGAGCAATGTGCTACATGTGCAGTGGCCATGAACTCACTGCCTCCGCGTGTCAGATGCGGAGAATTGCCGACTCCTGCGAAAATTTAGAACTGTCAACCAGAATATGCCTATCATTTCTACTATGCAAGAAATGGTCACCTAGACAAGTTTTTGGCGCAGTGGCTTAATGGCTGACAAGAGACTACTCCGTACAGCCGGAATTCCTCCACTCGTATCGTCGACTTAGACGGCCATGATCGCACCAATGCATGATATGACCAGGTTCTGGGGATTTTGAACCAGTACTGTGGCTTCTCTTCCCCTGAGGATCGTCTATCTAGTGTTATCATTGCTCTACAGTTTTCTTAAACTACATCTCATGGCATCCTGCTAGCTGACATGCAATCATTCAAAGGATTCACAGAGTTCGTGGCCAAGAACCTGGGAAGTTGGATCGGAGAAGTAACAGTCAGGACTAGGGTGGCCAACCGCAGAGAGATATCGCGCCATCACATCATCCTTGTCCATATGACCTGCATCGGGAGGGAAGCGGCGTCACAAGCGGCGACAAGCATATTATTCACCTATCAGATATCAGACAAGCGTTTCTTATCGGGGTTTGTGCATACGGCCTTGCAGAGAATATCCGATGCATGAGGCAACCTTCCTTGAAGATCAGGGGAATGCTGATGGAGTGTATGGGAAATCGTCAGCAGGAACTCATCAGTGCAAGCTTTCTCAGGTCTCAGTCTCCCAGATCTGCAGGATAAGTGGGCCCCGAGTGTGCTTCCTATCTCATCTAGCTCGCTACTAGCTTCAGGGCTACCAGGGATGCTTCCCGGTTTTCCAGCGATTCTCTCAGACCACGCCCCACAGAGGAGGTAGATAAAGTGGACTGCAGATTGAGGAACTGGACCGTAGGCAGAAACGAACGATCAGAATTCCAAATAACATGAGACTAGTCTGTGATTAGTGGGGCGACGCATGAACTAGCACATTTCGACCCCCACGATGGAACGCTGCAGAACCAATGGCACGAAGTAGTTCGGCTGATCGTCCTGGACGACTCCCATCAAAAGAAATAGATCGAGATTCAGGCACAGCCGGCCATGGGGCCAGAGAACGTGGGCGCCTTTGGCAGTCTCGTTGCTACGCTGGGGCCTTGGCCATATTTTCAGTATCTAATCTTGAGATGTCGCCATCTTCCCCCCCGATATCTGCCCTCGTTAACGCCGATCGATCCAGCTTTGTATTAGTACAAGGTAGACCCGGCAAACTCTGTTTGACAATGGGTTCCACGACCCTGCATGAGTCCGCCCTGCATCTCTTCAGACTAATATCGCCAACCGTCCCAGCTCGTCTCCCTCCTTTCTTTCCACCATGTCACTCACTCAGTCACTCATTCATTTTCCTTAATCCTTTGCTTCAACCAAACCGGTCAATATGGGGTCGGAACTCGGAGTCACGCCCGACTCGAAGCCGGAGCCTATATACAGTCCGGTAAGCATCTGGTGGGCCACCTGGGCGGGCGTTTGGACAGTCCTCGTCGCCAGTGGCATCGTCTATCTCATCGCTCGTCGGGACACTCCTATTCTGCGCATCCGTGGCCTCGGCCTATCGCTTTCTGCTATCGTTCTCCTTCATTTGTATTACGCCCCTGTCCAGTTCGGCACCATGATCGGCCCCATCATGCCGGGAGATGCCCAGTTTTGGATCATGGGCACTTTTCTACCCTGCGGAATCGCTCTCTTTCATGCGTCCAACAGTCGTTTCCTTTATGTCGCAAAGCTCCAGGAGAAATACGTCTACAACGATCTTCGACACAATTTCCCTCCGAACCAAAGGAAAAGCGGGTTGATCGGCCGCTTCAAGCGTCTCGATTACAATACCAGGATCCTCGTTCTCGTTGGAATCGGCATGATTGCCCAGATCATGCTCACTATCATCATGTGGTTGATTTCGCGCAAGTGGCATCCCACTTGGGGAATACCGGGCACAGAGGTTACCGGACCCAAGATGGCCCAGTTATCGGCGATGGGCCGGGGTTGGGAGTGGTATGAAGCGAAGTACTCCAATCTGGGCTGGAGAGCTAAGCTAACACGTCTAGGTGGCCGAGTATCCTGTGGCAACTGTTTTGGGCCTGGATCTTTGCTCCTATTGTTCTCTGGAAATCGCGCAATATCCGCGATACCCATGGCTGGCGAGTTCAGACCATCGGCTGTGCTATAGCCAAGTGAGTCGCCGCCAAAATCATGCGTTCTTCGTCCCATTAACGTTGTGTGCAGTCTCCCCGGTGCTCCCCTCTGGCTCATTTCCCTCTACGTTCCCGCATTTGACAAAATAAACCAAGTCTGGCTGCCTCCGCAGTGGTAAGTGCCTGAGCAGTTCGATATTCCTCTCCGGCATGTCCCTAATGGATTGTAGGGTTTGTCTTTCGATCCTGGTCATGGAAATCTTCACCGTCTTCCTTCCCTGCTGGGAGGTGATGCGCCACCAGGCGCTCCAGAAGGAAACCCTCGACGCCATCGCGCAGTGGGAAGAGAAGAATAAGAAAAACAGCTCAGCCAGCAAGTCTCTCGCCGAGACGGCCACTCTGGTCGAATCCATCATGACCGGCGGCAAGTCCACCAACGGCTCCGTCCAGACCAACCACTCTCGCGACAGTATCCTCACCATGGGCGCTCTCGAGTATGCCCTCGAGCGAGACCCAGCTCCTCTCCAACGATTCTCCGCACTCAGTGACTTTTCCGGCGAGAATATCGCCTTTTTGACCACCGTCGCCGAATGGAAAGACTCCTTCCCCAAGGCTATCCGCGAGAACACCGCCCCTCGGGACAGCAACACCGAGGACCTGATCCGCGAGCGATTCAACCGCGCGTTGCGCATCTATGCCGAGTTCATCAGTGTCACGCACGCCGAGTTCCCCATCAACATCTCGTCTCAGGATCTCCGAAAGCTGCAAGACGTCTTTGAGCGGCCCGCTCGCATCCTGTACGGCGACGAGCGCGAGGTCGATCCCGCCACTCCCTTTGATTCCTTCAAGCCACCCGCGTCGCCGACCTATTCGAACAGCTCACAAAAGGAGCTGCAGAGCTCCGTGGGCGCCATCCATGACCGCGTGCAATACTGGGGTGATGTTCCCGAGTCGTTTGGGCCGAATGTCTTTGACGATGCACAGGAGAGCATCAAGTACCTTGTTCTCACCAATACGTGGCCCAAGTTCGTCAAGTCTCGTACGGCGTCGATAGACTCGGAAAAAACGATGCATGGGATGAATGTTTGACTTTCTTCTTTACTTTCTTGACTTCTTAACCTTCTATTTTACCTCCTTTTTACCTTCAACTTACCTTCAACTTACCTTCTTTGACCTTGTTTTGACCTTCTCTTTTCCATTTTATGTGTCATTTTTAATGAAAAGATATACCCTATTGATGGATGGCAAGGCCTATGTATATATACCAACCGGTAATGCGATGAATACTAATCAACAAGTAATATTAGCCCTTCGGGGTTATATATTTGAACTGACCTTCGCATGTAAACTTACCATTCATGTAATGATCTCATTCAAAGTCTGACTGTGATCGTCGCTGCGCATGGATTCTTGTCTGTCTTGGTACACATATAGCAATCTTGGAGAGGACGGTGTATGTAGATCCGAAATCCGTAAACCAAATGCGATAGTGCAGCTCTTCTTACGCCCTGCCTGGGCATCACTTCACGCCTAGCAAGGACTAGAGGTATATCCAAATTAAGCTCGTCGTTGCGGTGGCCCGACGACAAGGCACGTCGGTCCAGGAGAGACACTATAGGGCCTTCATGGTAAATATACGACCGAGCGGTAGGTTTTCGTTACTCGCTGAAGTTCCAAGCACAGGGATGATGTATCCTGGTACGACACTATTGTGGAATGAAACTGGGCTTTTGATCTTCTAGCTCTGTATGCGTAGTACTGTCGACCTGTTAACCAGGCCCAAGTATTACATCCCATCACCTTTCCTAACCGCGTGCGTGGCGGATACCTCACTCTGATAAGCAGTATAATGTGCATCATGGGGCTGACAGTTGGAAAAGGACAATCATGCTGACAAATCCTTCGCAGAGGAAAATGATACATTTCATATATAGACAGTATATAGCTCGACATGATACATAAACATAATACGTTTGATGCCATCACTTCTTAGATGACTGCCTACAATCAGACCTTCTCGACAAACTCCTCACACGTCTGGTCGCCGCCCGCATATCCACCGTTCTCAATATCCATCTTTTGGATTTTCAGCATTGAATTGAGCCATGCGCTTGGCAAACTTCTTCTCCTCCTCCCACACAAAGGGGCTCTTGCTGGCGAACAGGAAGTCGATCTGCTCGAGTATGCGGCCGGCCGTCTCGGGGAAGAAACAGTAGATGATGGGGATGTAGGCGAACATGGCGGCACCGAAGACGTAGAACGTCTGACGAAAGAAAGAAGAAGTGAGAAATGGAAATGTTCAAATGGAGGATAGAACTAACTTTCTCCTGGATACCGGCAAACTTGGCCGGGACCAGCAGTGACCCGGCGCCGTAGCCGACGGCCCAACCCGCAACACCGAAGACATTACCCTTGGCGCGCAGCCATGTCGGGAAAATCTCGGTGGGATAAATGAAAGTAATCATAAACCAGGAGGAGCTGGAGACAACGACGTAGAGGAAGACCATCCGTTTCCGTACTGTTCAGCCTTGTCGGGGTTTTTGACGGCTCCACGGTTCGGACCACCACTGGAAAAGTCAGCAGGAGCCACGTCAAGGACGAAACAGGTCTGTACTCACAGGGTAAAGAGAAAAGGTTTCAAGTTCGATCCTCAGGCTAAACTTGGACTGAAACAGTCATGGTGACCGGAAGCGATCAGGAGCGTCATTTAGCCGGCTGCTCGGCTGCTTCGAGCGTCGCAAGGACGGGAGGTGGATCCATCAACCCCAGGGTTGCGGTAGGCGGCTTTCTGGATGTACATGCGTCAGTGCCTGTACAATGCCTGTATACATCAGCAGGCTCCTAACGTGGATTTGCTGAACTTGGTTCTCCTCCCCCCGCTCCAGGGCGGAGGTGACCCTCTTCAGCGATCTGAGGTCTGAAACCGCCAGGGCCAATACTATAACTTGGATCTGTGCCACGGTGGTCCACTTCTGCTTTGGATCGAGTAACTCTGAGCCCTCCACCTAAATACGCCGATGGCACCAGCTATCCGAGGCCGTGGAGAATTGGTTGAGCGCTCGACCGAATACATTCAGCCCAATCTGGTATAGCGAAGCTGTCCAGGGAAGTGGAACCCATTCCCATAGATATGGTTCACGGCGGACTGGCATAGTATGTCTGCTCACAGCTGTCTACTTTGCACTGTCTAATGTGGTTTGTAGTTATGGCATTCGGTTTTTATCATCTCGCCTGTATGCTCTTGACCAAGCCATCGCCTAGATTTGCAGTCATGGGGCTACATAGCACAGCTCGTGAGTCTGATGTGATTTCTTGTTTTTTGGCTATCGTGAATGAGTTCTCGTTAACGCTGACAGATGCGAGTCATGCATGATGCACGCTCGCGCAATCTGTGGGGCATGCAATAGTTCCCCTTCGACGGTCCCATCGTTGATCCCGCTCTGTCATTCCACCTTTATATGTAAGACATGTCCAAATTCCGTGTGGGTGGACAGGGGGTCCCTTGATGACAGATCCAACAGAAAGGGCAGGGGTAATTAGACTGCTGCGAGATATGGAAGCGACACATGCAAGGCCGACAACTTGGCTGATCAATTCTCTTAAAGAAGAATGGTCCATGACATAACACGCACTGCTGATAGAAAAGTATAGGTTACTAAGGTTCGTCTACACTAACTACTCCTAGGTACTGCGCTTCTGATTGCATGTACGAAAATATATTGCCAACAGTCAAGTCCCGTGCCACGGCTGTCTTTGGTGTGTTTTGTCTCTATGCTTTCAGACCAGCAACCAGCTTGTCGCCGATCGACTTGATACTGTCCTCAAATTCTTTCGCATTCTTTGCTTTCCACTTGGCACTCGCTCCAGGCACGGCGTCCTTGCTAGTAAAGCCGATGAAGAGGACATCATTGTGATCGTGACCATGGTCGCCATCGAGATGCTCATTGGGAAAGCAAAGGTCCGCCAAAGAAATGGAGGCTTCGCCGGTAGAAACGCCGCCGTTTGTGTCGCCCCAGATTCCGTAATGCTGTGTAATGCGTTCGATATTAGCTACGGAGACGGACACGCACGCCAACATGCAGTATATATAGATAAGAGGGACGTACCAGTTGGCCGTTGCACACGACAGCCATGACACTCAATGGCTGCATTCCATGTGACTGGGGCGAGAACTTGGGAGAGTGGTCCTCATTGCCAAACACCACATAGGGGTGGACATTGGCGTTCAGGTCGGAGATGCCGAACTTCTTCACGTCCGACTTGAAGGCCGTCTGCCCCTGGCCGGACGGGTCGTTGGCGCACTTGCCGGCGGAGTTGTTGGCCCCGTCGCAGTCAATGTCCATATTGGTGTACCCCTTGGCGGAGGAGATAAAAATGGCTCCTGGGATGTCGCCGCAGTACGCGAAAGACTTGCCTTGGCTAGCATCACCATTGGTGAACCCTTTTGCCAGTACATTGGAACATTTCCCCTAAAGGTGTAAAGAAAGAGATATTAGCAGGCTGAATGAAAATCTTAAGATATGTGCAGTATACCTTGTGCTGGTCGTAGATCTGTTTCAGGTTGTTGGGCAGATTATAAGCAGTGGCGCCGGTGACCAACGCAATAGTAAGAATTTCGGAGAGACGCATTGTGCCGGATTGATTGTCGGGAAGAGCAATTGCCTTGATATTTAAGAGAGACTGGTCTTGTTGGTTTGTCTATTTTGTAGCCAGACATCATACTCTTTATATACTCGAAATGAAGAGCCGGGGCAATCAGATAGTTCGGCCTGTATGGCAGGCCACTGCCTGATCAAGGTTGTATCGCATGAGCAAGTGATTCTCCCTCGGTACACAAGCCGGTGAATCCGGGAAATCCGGGGAAGTTGACACGGGGCATTTGGATCTAGCCATCAGGGTCCAGCCGAGCGTGGAACTGTAAGACCAGGCCATAGGAGGAATTCTGATCTCCCCACCAGGATGCACCCGCTGATGCTGCAAGGACCATGCATGTCTCATCTGAAGACCCTGCAGTTTCAAGATTTCCTCAAATCTATGTAAGTACATATCCCGCGAATGTAACCATGAGGCCAAAACTTTACCTAATGTTCTGATCGACAGGCTGCTTTCCCTTTCGATTTTAGAATTCTCCATAATCACAGACTTGTGGCCAAGTTACGACATACATCTCTTCCAAGACTAGGTATGCATAGTAGAGCAAAAGTGGACCAGATAGGTTTACCTCGGGTCATAAACAGCAATTGCATTGGCCAATAGACTATTAAATATTTGCACCCTTGACAGCCCCTTAGTACCTTAGTCATGAATGCAACAGATTCGTTCGATATGGTATACCATAGCCCGTTCGCAACTGGGCCATGAAGGATTGTCACTTGAATAATCAGTCAGCTCGAGCTCATCTTAGCCATCTGTTTGTCGCGCCACCAAGCGGTATGCTGTTCAAAGTGTTGTCTCTGGACCCTCAATAGGAACCAAAAGAGGAGGCTATGCAGCTAGTGGAGAAATCGAAACTGGAAACAGTTCTACCTGATTTTTGGGGGCCGAATCAACGTTCACATGCTACGGGGAACAGCTTCATTCCCCATCTCGTAGACAAGCAAACCATCAGTCTGGAACCGTCTCAATTACGCATCATCTGCCATGACTCTAAGACGGACCAAAAATTCCCCATCCGCTGGCGACCATTGGCTTTGGATCATGTTGACGAAGAAAAACTCATTTTTCAAAAGAATGTTCCTATCCTTTATAGAAGGGGAAGTTACCCCGACCGATGGTCGCCAGTTCAAGAGTCTCACATTCAAGAATTTACCTGCATTGCTTTAAATCAATCCTCGGGCGCTCAAGATCCACTGCTGTTCTCTTGGCCTAGTTCTAAGATTACCCAAGAACGCTTAAGAATCGCGCCCGTATTGAACAAGCTTCTCCCGCTGATTGTGTTGGTGTGCAAAATACCTGACGGGTCGTTTCAGCGTGTTCCGGTGTGGTTTGAGGGTCTAGGTAGTAGGTGGAGGGCCCAATCCTTAAAACAAAGGGGAAAAAATATATAATAGCATGTATATGTTGTTGGTTACCCCTCCTAGTAATTATTCTATCACTTCTTTGCCGCCTAAGATCCAGTACCTTCTAGATAAAGATTTAGGTGCCTAAATATTCTGCACTTAAGCTAGTAAGAAGTTATATTCTTGTAAATAGGTAAACTGGCTTCCCTAAGCAACGTAATTTATCTAAACTCTAATATATCCAATTCTAGGATATAGCTTAGCACTATATCACCCTATTCCCGAAGTAGTTGACTAGCAGAGAACAGCAGAGACGGAACTCAAGGTGTGACATAGTTTTCTATATTAAGTTATTAATACTACTCTATTACTTTTCTTAGCCAGGGAAGGATAACGCTCCATAATCACAGGGCCATACCTTAAGATTGCTAGTAGTTATAGGGTGACTTATAAAAGGAGATTAAGTAGGTTATGGTCACAGATATAGAGTTAAAGAGCAGGGGCAGATATTCTACTAGTGTCTGGTGGAAGCTGATGAAAATATTCTTTAACTCCACAGTGTTCTTAGGCTGTACTAGACACTGACGCAATAACGAAGAAAAGAAAAAGGAAGACAAAAAAAAGGGGAAGAAAAACATGCAACAGCGTGTAGATGTTTGCGCTTACCCACTCCTTTACAATCAATCTAAACCACATCTTTGCCATCTTTGCCTGGGATATCAAACATGCTGCCTCCTCCCATGTCATTAACCATCATTAATCAACTAACCATTAGTTAATGCGTATTATATAATCCAAGTGCATCGAGATTCGTCCTGCCTTACACTGATATCTATGCATCCACAGTCACGTAGCAGATGTCACAACTGTTTCGTGCATGGTCCAGGTTCTCCGCTCTCTGATCTCTTTCTCTTTCTTACCTGCAGCGGATTGCCATCGTTTTCAAACGCTTTTGCTTCGCCGCAAACGCGCATGAGGTCTGCTATTGTTTCATCGTCTGTCCCGTGGACCAGGCGATAGTGCGCTACCATCTCTTCCTCGGACAGAATAGGATATCCTGGAGTGCCCAGTGGACCACAGTCTCCACGTACGCATGTAATAGCCGCGGGCCATTGATCACTCAGAGCCGAAAGATCTCTTCGGTAGGCTTCGCGGAAGTGGAACCCCACTCTTTCCAGCAATTTGCCATGAATTTCCTCCGAGAGCCAGTTGGCCCAGTCCGGAAGTTGTAGGGAAGCCGCGGGTATGAAACAATACCCTTCCCCATCTTGCGGGACTCTGTCTGTGTTGAGCTCTGGGAACAGGAAATCAACATCATTGGCATAACATCTCCTGCCGAATTCATGCCATTGTTTTAGATATTGGATAATAGAATTTCGGAAATCGGTTGCTCCCCAAAGGTGTATCTGGTCAACTAGCGACAGGAGTTCCCAGGCTTTCCGTATACTTACAACACGATCGCTCCAGATTCTCTGGAAAGTCTATGATTCCAAGGTCAGGTAAACTCGCCACTGAAGCTAATTCTCGACCAGACTTACATAAACTGACTCGCTGAATCCTTCATGCCCCGCATACTCCATTTCATGCCGCGGTCGTTTGTAGCCAACCAGGACATGCTAGTGAGCACCAAATGAGGTAAAGACAAAGACTTGGCTTTGCCTGCGACTCTTTGCCGATTGATATACTTTGTTCTTTTGTCCCACCTTTCCTGGCTGCTGAGCAAGGCTATCTAGCATATCAAGATATACAGCTCCTGCTGAACATCCCTGCTGACGTGCTTCTCGAGCATCACCACCCCATCCCTTAGCCTCATAGACTGCGAATGGAAAAACAAGGTCTGTGTACCCCCAGCGTGCATCAGAAATAAGGCCACAATGTCGATGAAGCAGGAGTGCTTCAAGGCGGTCATGGTCCAAATTTCCACTCTGCTAAAATATTCTGGTAGTCTCTCGGTTTGAAGGTTGCAAGTCCGAAAGTTGCATCTGGAATTCTCTTGATGAACTTGGGCTCACCCACTAATAAACATGACACTGGGTCTCTTCAGCTTAACGGTGTTGTATTCGTGCTTATCTCTGGGCTCGTTAGATCAGATGCTGAGGCTGCACCAATAGGGATAAACCGACACGGCCAGCACTGGGTCATTCTTCACCTGACCAAAAACATCTGTCCAAGCGTCGGCTTCCCATGCATATTCGCTCTTCTTCCATCGTTCATTGCTGAGAACATGCTTGAGGAAAGTTTCTGCTCTCGAGCGGCGACTGGACTCACTAAAATGATTCCAATCGATGCCATCAAGTGACGGTAGCCAGAGATCGTGATCTGAAGTTACCCACCCCGGAGAATAATAATGGCGGTAGTAAATACCTCGGGCATTCAGTCCCCAGTCGGCACCATACTGCTCAATCATCCTGGGGGGTGCGTTATTGTTGGGCGTAAGGTAACTTCGTGGAGTTAGTAATATTACCAAGATTCGACCTCACGATGGCAAATTGGATAGTTAGCGGGCTACGTACTACTGGGCACCAATATAGTATCTTTCTAAGGCCGATTCGATCTTGTCGCCGCTCCAGCCGTCGGTCCGCATCATATCAACCGATGGCCACATCGCAACGATAAATTCGATTTCCGGCTCGCCGAGCTTCTTCTTTGCTTTGAGTTTCTTGTGGTGTCTGAGTGTCCGTTCGCGGGTGTGCTCAGTGCTTGACATGATCAATCAATGAATGGGTGGTACGACAGATAGATTGGTGACTTTTGCACTGTTTAGCTATTGGTGTGCTGTGGAAGGAATACTACCGGAAAGGTTTCAAGGGGAACTTGTGAATTAATTTATATGTAGATATTAGGCTATATATTTGGTAGTGTGCATGTACGTAAGAGCGTTGGAGCCTAGCATATTTTCTCTCTCACCCCTTGCGTCAGTGTATAACCGGCGGAATGTTGGGACCAGTACTCCGCTTGTGCAGTCAAGAAATATAACGTCCATTCAAGGACTGCCCTTGGCCCAATCATAATAGTAGTCGTCGGCACGGCCTAGGGTAGTACTGGGTTGGATTCAAGTCTTCTCCTTCAACCACTCAATGTATATGATGGCCGCCAGGGTGGAGACCAATCGACCTTACACAACGCCATCTACAATATAGTCGAACGTTATTCTTAGCTTCAGGTCAGTGTTGGTGAAAATACGTAAGAGTGGAGTTGCGTCAGGGAAAGCTTGATAGGATGAGGAGTTGAATCTGAATGAGTGGTTGGGAAAAGAAATGAACCAGCTGACTCTGCATAGTAAATGACGAAGTCGGTTGGCTATCATGGCAAAGAAATGCACTCAAATCATTTTGCTGGCTCCTCTGAATGAATACTGCTGATCTAGATGCTGACCAGTATAGACTGCTGTGACTGCCTCAACGACAACTTTGATACGTCTGGACAGTTCTATAACCTGGCGAAGTGGTGCTGAATGATAATCACCAAATATCGCTGTGGTGACTCTCGTCTACGCCTCCAGAGTTGGCCTAACGCCTCACACCGTCTTCTGCCTCATACGTAGATAGCTTCAATCTCAGATAGTTTGATAGTTCAAAATCCAGTCAATATCATAATTCCATTTTCTCTCTCACTAGTGCGACTCTAGCGCTCCATACAACTTCGCTGATCGTCAATGAGCCTTTGAATAATGTCACCTTTAATGTGTGCCTGCTGTATCCCACCGGGATCACTGCTTGTACTTACCGTAGTTGTAATCTTAGAAATTTGTTACTTACTAAATGACTTGAGAGCCTCAGACCCTCATCCTATACCCAGACTACCAGTGAAATCTCTGCATCCTGAAGAACAGGAAGAGCGCTTTGAAATATCAAGTATTGAATTAAGTCTTCCATATTACCTCACTTTTAGTGTTATGAAATAATCTGATTGTGTATAGTATCATTGTTAAGCAAGGTAAAGGTTGTTGGGTCTAGTATATTTGATGTTCAATTGTCTTTGATACTGATCACAAGCCTTACCATTCTTTGGGGAGCTATTTAAATTGCCATCTTAGGAATGCTACGCATGCTTAAAGTTCTCTGAAGATGATGAGTATGGAAGTCCGCCACAAAGTGGATAATCATTCAGGCGATAGTCTAAGGTCAATTCATAGATGTGAGGCAAGTGCTTTTGACTGATGCATGAAAGGATGGAAATACTTTTACTCTGGAGACTTACCTCTTTCCGCAGCCGACAGAGTAACTGATATTGGCGCCATCCATAGTCAGAGGGGCCAAGTTCCCAGCAGTAGTAGCTCTTGAAGATCCTAGCAGAGGAATTCGCGGTAACAGTTTCATGCTGTGCCACTCACTTCAGGGTGGTGATCAGAGCCTTTAGGATCCGTGTGCTAAAGAAGGGAGAGTAGTGTCTTACATCCCTTTAGAGATTTGAAGGGAATGGCTAGAAGATAAAATAGAAATGTTGCATGACTGGCGTTTGTCCCTAACATGCCTTCACCAATCTCATAACTATCATTAGCAGACATGATATCGGCAATCCAAATGCGGTGTGTGCAACACTGTGTTTGCTATAACTAGCTCTTTCAGTTTGACAAGCACCCCACAATCAAAGTACAGCGAGGACAGGTCTCAAGTGTGAAGCCAGGTCACCATTTGCGCGTTCCTCCCTAGGAGCATTAACTTCTCCAGTATAGTCCACTAACTGACTAACTCAGCATCTTCTGCTACATCACCTTCCTCATCAGAGCGCGCTATGCAGACCTTTTTCCCCTCTCCATCCGATAGCCAGCGGATCTCTGAATTAGACCACAGTAGTAATCCACCAGCACATCTGACTGCGGTATAATCATCTAGTGCATTTGCTGAAGAAATACTAACTAAGGATGGCTAGCTTAGCAACCATCATACTACCCACATAGGCATAGATTTAATTCGTCATTAACACCACATGACAAACCCGTCAAATCAAGTTGCTAGTGTCGCATGCTGCATCCGTGAAGCGCAAAACTAACCGCAGGCTGACGAATTGTACACGTGAGAGAATGTAGCAAATTCTGTGCCAGAGTAGCTCTTGCTGACTATTAAATGGCTGTTAATAGAATCAGGAGGTAAACAATGCAAAGTTGTTTTTGGCTTAGCATCTGAGATGAGGACTGGTGCTGGGCAAGATCGTTCTGCTGACTCCATTCCATTTCCTCTGCAATAAGACGCCGATGTACTAGTACTAGGCAGTTTGTAAATAATGTTCCCCTTGTCAGTTTTCCGATCTGGGGTGCCGGTTCAAGAAAGAAATGCTATGTATGGTACGGCTACGGGTTTGTCCAACAAGCGGCTTCCCGGGGACATCTGCATCAGAAGGGTGCGTGTGGATAAAAGATAGATCCCAAAGTATGATTCTGGATGCAGTAAGCTAACCTGTTATGGCGATACTCCACGGCCTCAAACAAAGAACGATTAGTGGTCCTTGCCTGCGTGAAGCTTGGGGCCCCAATTTCTAGCGCTGATATCTTCAACCAGGCCTCCTTATCACCATGAAACCTTCATGTCCCATATTTACAGTAGCTATCAAGATGGAGAAACGATCAGCAGTGGGCTCGATGGGCTTCGGGTGGCAGACAAGACCGCCCGGGGACGTCACATCCCTTTTCGATACCTAGTTGACGGTTCTGGTATCGATCCGGTTATGAAACTGCAGCCACTTCGTCAGCTTACTGCAACACATTACCGCGGGTTTTTGGGATCATGTCCACATCCGCAGCATATGTGTTCTCAACGGATCTCTCATCTATGTGTGAACTCCTTCTTGCTCTAAAGCCTAATCGAGGTGGAACTCCCTTTTTTCCGCACATTCGTCATGTGAGCTATCTGATTGACTGGGTTGTACGCTGATTGACAACAAGTGCGGGTAGAGTTGATAAGCTCTTACAACCGAGAAGATTGTCGAGCTGGACGTTAAATGTGTGGAGCTAGAACTACCGTAGTAGGCAAGTGGGAGGGAAAGTTCGTAGTGAGTCTCTCAAAGAACATCTCATTTCGGGTCAAGATTGTTGAATTCAAACCTGGCAAGCTATCTTAAACTTCCCTGACTCGGTACAATCATTTGCCCTCCATATATCTACCCCCGTGCACTTGTTGCAAACCAAGTCGAACGTCAAAACTCAGCGCTGTTGGTCATCCCACATAACAGTTTCTGATCTTCCGGATACACTTCAAGATCTTCAAAGCGCAGCGCAGTTGTAACTAGCGGCCTTATCGTTAAAACTCACCTCTCTGAGGTCCTTGTAGCCCGGATAGTAGATTTGAAGCTCACGGCCACGGCAGTTCTCTTGCCTAAATATAATTAAAAAGAAAAATCAGTAGCTGCATCTAATACCCATATTTGCTACAGGGTCAAGGATACTCACGAGTACAGAGTGCACCAGTTACCAGGATCAGCTCCGGCGGCAGAGACTCCCTCATGTCGACCTGGGGGAAAAGTGTGCCAAATGTTTGCTGTGCGAGAACATGTTAGGCCATTTCTCTCGTCAATACATCATACTGGTTGAGGTAGACCTACTGCACTCTCCCCAAGGTGTGGTGTAATGGATGCAAGTTCCCCGGAATCCTGCTTCTGAGCATAGATAAAGTCCTGCCTTCCCCATTGCCTTGACTTTCCCGTCTTTGACAGGGACAACTTCCACGGTATGGTGGCTCCCGACCACAATCTGATCAATGACCGGCCTCGCTGCGATGGAGAGAGCAAGTGAACCAAAGAGAGAGATCTGGAAAATAGAGCGCATTTTGTCTGATTGGACTGACGTCTCGTCTAGGAGCTGTTTTCTGTCTTTCTCTGAACTGTTAACATCTTGTATCATTCAGATTTCCATAAACTATTGTGGGATTAAAAGGAGGACCAGTCTACTTGAGCACGCTTGCCAGTCTTTACCAAACGGGTGCCAAATGACCAGTTATGCTTGGCATGACGCTAAGTGTGCTGTCCTCGCAGGGAAGGATGACGCCTTATGCAATGCCATGATCCCCACCAAACAGAAGCTCTCCATAGTCGTTTCACTTGCATGATATTCGTGAACATGGCAAAAATTGGCGATGGAAGTCCTTGAATAAAAATTGAGGAATCCTTTTAAAACTCATTCCAAATATGTCCATGCCAAATGTTTTTACTATGCATTGTGGCTGTTGGAAATGACACGGCTTTAGCATCCCGGCTCTGCAGTATAATGGATGATGATGATGATTTCATTTACCCTGACCCCTCGCCAAAGCGATAGGCAGGCTACAATAACTGTGTATCTCCAAGTAGAGTATGTACATGTAGAATCTTCCACTTCCTGGAAAACGAACTTAGAGCCTCATCATGGCCCGTCGTGGCCTAACTGCCTCTCGCACTGTTAGGCTGCGAAGCCGTTGTGATGCCTTGGCGAAGTCCATCATGGCCTCGGCCGATTTGGATTTGGTCCACGAGACGGTATCTGGATACCTTTCTTACCACAGTTTTAGCCTCCCTGCAGACTTATGAGACATGGGTGTATCGCTTTGAGGCCTTGACAATCATCTGGTGGCTAGACCAAAGGGCAGCGACTCGGCCGAAATCGAAGATCCAAAGACCAAAAACCTCATTGTGCTTCGATGTAAGTGGGAGCTAGTATCGGCGCTAAAAACTAGGCAAATCTGACCTGTCAGCTTTAACCCACTTCAGCAAATCGCCATGTTTGCTGTTTCCTATCTATGATATTCTTTCTATAGGAATTAATATACAGTCTCTATAAATTTCTTCTATTAGATCTAAATATGCCATAAAGTTCTGCTAAATCCTTGCTGTTATATCACCTTCTGAACTCTTATATTGCCGGAGACATCCTGGACGGTCACGCACCACACACCATATGTTGGCACACTAGAGCGGCGGTGGGGTGAGCATGAGGAAACTATCATCATTCACAGCGTATATGATCCCGTCCCAAGCATCGAACCAACTATCAGTGCCATAACAACCTTAAAAAGGGTACTAGATCAGCCATGCGGGACAAATCGTGGTGGCAGATTTCCACCTGCACCACCCGTATTGAGAAGGTACTCAGGGTGCAAAGGCCAGATCCAAAGCGAATGAGAGACTCTCCAAATATTAGAAGAGCACCAATTGGGCCTTCTATTTGAGCGAGAAACGACTGCATTCACGGCTAGAGACACAAACCACCATAGACCTATCCTTGGCCACACCGAGTCTTACGGATAGCCTCATCCGATGCCGCTCACGGGAAGACCTAGACCAGGACTCAGATCACATCCCCTTGTAAACAGTACTCGCCAAACCAACTCAGACCAGAACAGGCCCGGAACGGTGGGACTGGGAATGTACGGACAAAGAAAGGACTCTACACGACTCTAGCCCGCCGTCTGCCGATTACAACAGGATTGGTGACGGAATAAGACATTGATAGGGGCGACGCAAGTTGTAGTACCGGCGATCTTGATGGCCGTCAGGGAATATACTCTTTTACTATTGACCACACGCGCTTAAAAGCCCTTAGTTCTATGTCTACTGTTATTATTCTTATGTACGATTAGTTTGTTCTTGACCTTACCACATCGTTGTATCATTAAGTTCATCATATGCCTGCTCGCTATACTAGGCAAGTATGAGTCTATAGACCCGCTCAGCTATAGCAACCCTGACTCTCGAAGTAGTGACTTGCAGAGAACAGCAGAGACGGACCCCACGGCGCAACATACCGGACCGCTAATCTTGGATTAAGAGAGCCATACTATAATTAGCAATATCTACGTTATTGTGTTCCCTCCGTCGTTCAGGGCGCTGTATGGAGCTCAAAATGTCATGTTCCTGTGTTCCAAAATCCACATTTTCGGAACGAATGGCAATTCTACAGTGACGTAGTGCCGAGTCTCTATAGCCATTGTGTGCGAACACGGCGCATGGCGGACGCGGCCTTTACCTGCTGTATACCTGTTTATACGCGTATTCGTATTCTCGTACCCGGGAGACGGTCCTATTAATATTGTTCAGAACTGAAACCGATGATGTGGAGTGGGTCTATGAGTAACTCGTAGTAGACAGGCAGTTGCCAAGGATCTCTTTGTCCAATCATGTCTGTCTTCGCACTTGTATCCAGGAAGTGATATAAAGAGCATGAAATTCGCAGAGTGACGCAGGGAATATTTGATCGTTACGGCTGACGGCGTAGGCCCTATCTATCGTGTGCTCTGGTCAAATAGGAGAGCCATCAAGCTCCTCAAAATGTTTGTACGAAAGGCTCTTCTTTGTCTTTCGTTGCAAGCAACCTTTGCGGCTGCAAACCCATCAGCAGCTGATCAGTTTAAATCGCCCCCGCGACCTCCAGAGCTAAATTTCGCTATTGGTAAACTCCGATGGGTCAGACATTACCGATTGTATACCAAGAGCTAATCTACACCTAGGATTCCCGATGCTAGTGTCACAACTTCCTACGTCCAACAAGATATCGCCGACCTCGCTGCCAAAGGAGCAGGTGGTTTCGAGCTATTACCTTTCTATGCCTATGGCAATCCCACGGATGCCACGCCACCCACGGACTGGAACACGTATGGATTTGGGACCGAAGCTTTTCGGAATGTTTTCGATATAGCATTACAAGCAGCAGTTGACAACTCTCTTCTGATGGACTTTAGCTTAGGTGCTAGTCAGGGTCAGGGAACACCCGCTGAAGCTGGAACCGAAGGATTATCTGTCCATTTGGTATGATAAGTTTCCATCCTTTTTTCCACCAAATGGATTGAATGCTTGGACAACAGCGGCTAAGCATCACATAGCAACTCGGTGTTATGACGGTCAGATCAGGAAGTTCAATTATAGCTTCCGTCCCAGAGCCGCAAAATCTTACCGGTACCCTGCTCTCCGGTGGTGGGTTCATGCATGGTCTCACCAATGCTGAGAAAGGCAACCTGAAGGGTGTGATTGCTGGCAGGATAATAAAAGGTTTTGTGGTTTCCTGCTTGTTGATCGGGACCTGTACTTGGTGCTAACTCCCTGTGTCCTGCTGCAATAGAATCTAAGAGCAACAGCTCTGCCATGACAACGAAGGTGACAATAGATGAAGACTCCATCGTCGATCTCAGTCCCTATGTGAATGGTCTCGATTTGGACTGGAAAGTTCCGGCTGGCAATGACACATGGAAGATATTTGCTTTCTGGGAGGGCTTTACCAACCAAGTGTCCTGCTCGGGTGGCATCAACGGGACAACAACGATACAGAGAGGGTCTCTCGCTGTAGATCATTTCAGCAAGGCCGGCGCCAAACTCCATACCAAATTCTTCGATGACCATATCCTGACAGGAGAAGCGACTAAAACGAATCTCAGGGTCAACGGTAGATATGGTAAGCTAGCCGATCGAATTACCCGTCCTGTTTTACCAGAAATTGACAGACAGCAGCCTGGGAGGACAGTATGGAATTACTTCTCGTGCTTCCTTGGACACGAGGGTTTTTGGAGAGGTTTGAGTCCGCCCATGGATATAGTCTTGTGAAATACCTGCCGCTTCTGTTTAACAAAGGCAACTCATGGGCACGTACATACACTCCTTACGCTGAGGAGTATGAGTACGGAGCGTATACTACGGATCACGTCAGTATTCATAACGCAAATTATCAGCAGACTCTGAGCGAGTGTTACCAAGAATATCTGGATTACCATGTTGAATGGGCCAAATCACATGGAATCGAATTCTCCACGCAGGTTTCGTATAATTTACCTATGAGTTTTGTGAGCCTTCCAGTTTATCATGTAGTAACCTCTAACTGAGATTATTTTCAGCTGAACGAAATTCCGTCGGTGGATGGTCCAGAAGGGGAATCTCTCGGATTCGAGGATATCCTAGATGCTTATCGGTCTCTGTCTGGCCCAGCCCAGCTTTCTGGCAAAAGCGACATTTCATCAGAGGTTGGAGCCGTTTTCCAGCCTGCATATAGCCAGACCATCCCAGAGCTCTTGCTCTCGATCAAGAAATCCTATGCTGGGGGATTGACAACGATGGTCATCCACGGCATGGCATACAGTGGGCCATATGTGCAAACCACCTGGCCGGGTTATCAGCCTTTCAGCTATGGTACCACCGATTCATGGAGTCGTATTCAACCCGCATGGCGGCATATGGACGATGTACTTGGGTACCTGGGAAGGAATCAGCACATCCTGAAATCAGGAAAGCCTCGCATTGATCTTGCGATATACCAGTCCAATAGCGCTTGGACTGCTGCGTGTATTTATGATTCGGACAATCTGCAAGCGAAAGGTCTGAGCGGTTTCGACGTCTCTTATGAAGGAAACTAACAAGTGCTTTCAGGATATACCTACAATTTCCTCGGCCCGCAAAACCTGCAACTCCCAGCCGCGTCCGCTTCGAACGGGGTTCTCAGCCCTGATGGCCCTAGCTACAAAGCATTAATATTTCTTAATAACACCCAGATTGATGAAGAAGTCCTTTCCAAGGTTCGAGAGTTCGATCGTGCAGGATTACCCGTCTTCTTCGTGGGTGAAGTCCAGCCTCTGCCCTTGTCATCCCGGCCGAATGAGCCATACAACACTTCTGTTTTGGTGGAACAGCTGATCGCACACGGAACAAACATCCACCATGTGAAAAGGAATTATGACCTTCCCGCAGCTCTAGCAAAAGCAAGGATTACACCGCGTGTGCAGTTTTCGTCCCCAAACAGTTCGATCTTCAGCATCTATCGCACAGAGACCCAATCCAGAAATGATTACGTTTGGTTGTTCAACAACGCAAATGCCACTTTCTCTTCTGCGCCCAGTTTTCAGGTCGGCAAGGACATGGTGCCATTTCTTTTGGATGCTTGGACCGGAGACACACGACCAATCGGACAATATTCGTTCTCCAACACAGGGATGCGGATACCTGTCAGACTCCAACCTTATGAGACCATCATTATTGGCTTCAGGCCCTTGACAGGGAAGAGGCAGAGCTGGGTTACGCATACTTCCGGAGCTGTTAAAGCGGTCAGCTACACGGTTGATGGGAGACTATATGCGAGCATAAAGGGACCGTCAAGAGTGAGGATCAACAACACCACGGATCGGGCTCTGGATGCGGTTGTGCCATCCCCTACTTCTCTCAAGCTTTGGAACCTGGAAATCCAGGATTGGAAAGGGGATCCCAACGACACGACCTCTATCGGAACCCAGATATCAACACATAAGTTCGAGAACCAGTTTCTACGTCCCTGGAAAAGCATCTCTCCTGAGCTCGAAAACGTCAGCGGCATTGGCACCTATACAACCAACTTCACAGTTCCGGACATTGAAGACATTGGGGCGTACCTCTCAGTTGGACCGATCTTCAACACTCTTCGCGTCTGGGTGAATGGCTACTTGGTGGGTCCATTCGCGGCCGATAATGCAGCAGTGGATATCAGCAATTATATCCGTCGCGGCAAGACCAATATTGTCAAAGTTGAGGTGTCAACCACGCTTTATAATCGCATCAGAGCTGAGATGAACGACACTATGTGTATGGGATATCCGCTTTCGCTAATGGCCCCGGATTATGCGTCTGCCGGAAGTCAGCCTTACGGCCTGATGGGGCCCGTGTTTCTTGACTGGGTGGTGAACAAGATCCTGGAATGACTGGTCACTCTTCTGTACTCCAGTGATGTACTTAACCTATGTATCACAGCAGGTTAATGCCGCGGGAAGCACGGAAGCCATCAGCTAGATCGCAATGATTATTTTTAAACCCACTGGGGGGAATATCCTGTCTTAAGTTATCTCCGCTAGCTGGCTGCTTTATCTGTCTGGTTTAGTTCAGCTGGTTCTCTTACTAGTCTAGCGGCTCTAGCTGGTCTTACTAATATCACTAGCTCTCACAAGTTCTATCTGGCTAGCTTTAACTATGAGCTGGTGTCTAATTCAGGCATGACTTCACAAGGGCTGAGCTGCCTGAGCATCCAGCTGGCCCTGCTAGAGTTGCATAACCGAACCGCTAAAATCGAATCCAACCCTCACCGAACTCGCAGCGGTTTGGGTTCGGTCCCTAGCCTAGGGAATCGCTTCGGTTTCTGTTTCCCTAGGGTGAAACCGATTCGAGTCCGGATAAAACCGTCGGTTACGGGTTTTGCGGTTTATTGGACTAGGTTAACCAAACCTGATCGTTTGCTTAGTATGCTTAGTAATCACTAATTTCTAGGATTTCTCTAGAAAATATTTGATATCACTAGATAGCCTAGTATCTAGTCTATCTAAATATAAACTATTAATCCAAATATCTAGTAGTTGATGAGATACAAGGGAATAATCGTTTCTGTCATGGGTTAATATGAAAATGGTGGACATATATGTATATATAACCAACCTTCGATAAGTATCCGCCTGTCATTATGACTAAACTTGTTGTCTGTGTCTATTAGGCTGCAGCAGCTAAAATAGCTCCAACGATGTGATATGCCTGGAGTAGTTATCTCAAACAGTTGGCAACTAACGCCACAAGCTAATCCCCTAGTAAGCGCCCGCTTCTTGGCGTCACGCCCGGACCGGAAAATACTACGAGTATTTTGTGCATTGGAGGGCATCCCATGAAAATCACGTGCTGTTGTGCCTTCATGGCTTTTGAAACTATCGAAATCGAAAGTACCATAGCAGCAGTTGAACACACAAAGAAAGGGAGACATGGCGAAGGACAAGGAGACCACTGGCAAAAGAAAAGATAGATCCCCAATAATGACTCAACTCATGTCCATGACGGTTCCTGGTCAGAGCGGGTCATCAGACGATCCATAAGTCTCGTAGTTGAATATAAATCTTTGGACTACAGGCAGAAAGCTACTTCACAATTCATGTTGCATTAGTTTATTTTAGAAGGCAATCTCAACATGGGTTACTCTGCTGGCGAATCAAAGAAGATGGCCCGGAAGAGCAAGGACAAGGTACATATTCATAACCTGCATACGTGCTAATGTCCCCTTCAGCCTGGATCCAGTACCTCTTGCCAAGTTTGAGAGTACGTACTGCAGTTAGTCGGACTTCCCAGCGATGGCTAGATTCGCCTGGTAGGTAGAAGTTGGGGTTCGGGTGTACCCGCTGACATCCTAGATTGGCAAACCGCTACGGTCTCCGGGCGGGTGGGTCCGGTAAGGACGGAAACTACCGGCTTCGGAGTAACTGCTCCCTACGACAAAAAGAGAAATGTCCAAAACTGCATTCAAACCATCATTATAGTGTATGATTTAGATTCCGCGGGTCTTGTGAGCTATTGACCGGGCCCGACGTCAGGTAGTTACCTACTTCGGACTTAAAACCGCAGACGAGGATAAAACCGGGGAGCGTAGACCTTCGCTGGTTTTAGTCTTATTAAGTCCGAATAGAATCATATATGAATTTCCCTAGCTTCGATCAAATCACATACTCTCGAGATTCTCTGTCTTCTGCAAAGGGCATTCTATAAGTCAGCATAATCCTTGTTATTCCATCTCTTCTCCAATTCCACCATGTCGAAATGTCGAAAATCCTCATCCTAGGAGCAAGCGGATACGTAGGCAAGCACGTAGCCCACAGGCTCATCCAGTCAGGCCAACACACAGTCTACGGCGTGGCACGTTCACCCGAGAGAGCAGCCCAGCTCGCCCGACAGGAGATAATACTCGTTCTCTGCAGTAACCCGGTCGAAGATCCAGAGCCGTATCTCTCCGTTGTCCGCTCCGAGAACATTGACATTGTAGTTGACGCCTCAGGCGCGAACCAGGATTCTTATAGTTTGCTCCACAATGTGATGCTCATCGGTCAGGAACGGCAGAAGGAATACGGGCGACATGGCGTGAAAGGACCAAAGCTTGGCTTCATCTACTACTCCGGGACCTGGGTGCACGGTTCATCTTCCCAAGCCGTTAATGACCTCTCCGTCGCAGATCTGGCACCCTCATCTGCCCAGGAGCTAGTTACCTAGCGACGTGGTCTCGAAAAGCAGATACTAAATGCGACCGAGGTGCTGGATGTGATGATTCTCCGGCCCGCCTTGATTTACGGTAGAAAACTAACGATCTGGTCGTCTTTCGTGACTCCGCTTCTCACCGCAGCGAGGAATGGGAGAAGGAGTCGATTGAGATTCCTTTGGACACGGATGCAAGGCCGGGGCTGGTACATGTCGACGACGTAGCGCGAGCCTTTCAGTGCGCTATCACGAAGCTCCCTTGCCTCTCCGGAACAGGTGTTTACCCTGTTTTTGACCTGGTTACGAGCCAGGAGGGCATGCGCGAGATCTTCGAATCCATGGCTGTATGCTGGGGCTTCAAAGGGACAGTAAGGCTGAAGGGTGCTGGTGGGGACAAGCTCGCTAAAGCAATGAGTACAACGTTCCGGGGCTCTTCTGCGCGGGCTGAGCAGCTTCTGGGCTGGAGGCCGAGAAGGTTAGGCGGGTTTGTGAAGGATATGAACGTTCATGCGGCTGCGTTTGCGGTACGGTGTCTTTGCCCCTCCATTTCGGGGGCGCTGCTGTTACAATGTCGGAATTTTTGTTATATAAGGACCAAAAAGCGGTTCTGCGCTTATAATATCTTAGTAATCATTTTAGAGCCCTTCTAAGAAGAAGACATTAATTAGGACCACGTGTATATGTGTCGTAGTTACCGTCCGCAGTTGAGCACGGGGGTAACTCAGGTCAAGCTAGCAGATGGTTAGAGCCGTTGCAGCCTATGTTCCTATTAACTTATAAAACAATAAAGATTCTATAAAACTCTATGCTAACTTAGTAAAGGGCCAATGGGCCATCACAAAGCATAATATAGCTTTCTAAGAATAGCTTGAGGATTTGGAAAGGAGGATGAGGGTCATCTGCCTTAAAGTATTAATCCTTAGGCTAGTTCCTTGATAGCGTCCATCTATTTTATTATACTCATTAATATCCTCTATTTTTAACGTTCGGGGTGGATTAGAACCTTATCTTCTCTAGTTCTAACAGCATGCTGGGGGTAGGACTATTGGCAGTCGTGAAGCCGTTGGGGAAGCCAACAGTCCCTGAAATATTGAAACGCTCGCTGCCACACTGATTATCCAATTCGCCTAAACCAGGAGTCCTGGGCCCTGATTGATGAGGCGTATCGTCCCTCCCCAGCGAAGATGTGGGGTTTCGCTGAACGTCGGATATTCTGGTCATACTTTCGGCCATTGTCAAGAGTGAATAGATTATTTGATGAAGATCTCATGAAGAAAAGTCAGAGTCAATGCCTCTTAGGGCTCGGAAACACACTGGTCCTGTGACAGGGTCAAGAACAGCACCTGGATCAAGTGCTCTAACGCCATCAACGTGTCGCAGGCCGTTATGAACCTTTACAGCTTCCGGACAGAAGTACCCAGTCCAGATCAGCGTGGACAAGGCGATATTTCAGGGAGCACCCCGACTTCTCTGGGTTATGTGACGTTGGATCTAGATGCTACTGTTGGCCAGAGTCTTACGGTTACGTTGCGGGACGGCGACCTGGGGATTATCGAGCCGGGGATCTACACAACGCAGAGATTGCTCATCTAATCAGCCAATAAAATAGCTGTCAATTCTATATACTTGGATCCGAGGCCCTGTCTCTCAACCGTCGACTCCTTCGTCGCGAGATGTAGACGTAGGCAAAGTCAACACCTTCTTCAACGACACCACCGCATGGCCCAGAACATAAACCCCCAAGCTCAAAAAGTTCAACCACATCAGTCCAACAAAATAAAGCAACACTCGCGGGGGAATCATCTTGAAGATCTCCGTCGGATCAAATCCGGCCGTTTCCTTGAACTCCTTGACATGGACAGAGAGGGATGTCGTGCTTCCGTTCTGGGTTTCGGTCTCATATACACCGTCCGTAAACGCATCATTGTATATCGCTGTTGCAATAACACCCCGAAGACCGTCATGAAGAACAACACCAACGCCTGGTTGAGTAGCTCATAGAGCCATGTGCAGCACAGCGAAAATAGGACTAAAGCACCCCGGCAAGATCCGGAGTCCGCGGAAGCAATCAGCTGAGCGATGGTGACATTCTCAGATTTAGAAGACGGGTTCCAGGCGACGAGGAGACGGCACATGAGGAAGGTGAACATGGTAGTGCAAGCGATGATCTCGAGGTAAGTGCTGTTGGTGTTGAGGGCGGCCAGGGCGGTATAACCGAGCGAGGTGAGTGTCCATGAGATAAGGAGGCCAATGGCAAGACCTTTGTAAAGGCTAGCGCTGACATAAGAGAGACAGAGAGCCATGTTGACGTTTGCTTGCTTGGTGCCTGGTGACGGTTCAAGATTTTTCAGGCGTCCGTGTTTTTATACGAAAGATACCTGATCCAGTTGGAGCCACTATTAATAACCTTCAGGCGTTCAAGCCTTCAGGACTCCCTTTAAATTTCTTGCAAACAAACGAAATGAGTCATGTATCAGCGGCTTTAATTAAGCGAACTAAATAAGGCGACCTGATGTAACCACAACAACCGCCCGATCCGGTAATTGGTGCGGGGTTTCCCGCGTGGAGACTGCTGCCTTGACAGCTGCCGTGATGCCTGCCATCAAGGTCTCAGATTCTCATCAACACGAGCACACGGCATAACTACTTTTCCTGGACATCTTCGGCAATGCGGGAAAACAGGCCGCCCAACTGTCGGGATGTCCTTTCTTTGCAGTCTGTTCGTTTTGGTCGTCCATCGGCATGAAGCACAACCAAGTATCAACGTTGCGTATTGGCAGAGGCCGACATGGATATAGATGTCTATGCGTCCGTGCTGGAAAGAAAAGTCTCAATAATACGGTCCTCATCGCCGTCTCCAGACCCAAAGCACAAGTAAGACAACAGCCGGAGCGTTCCAGCTAAGATGCCGTCGGGGCAGACCTCGTATTCTAAGACACGGCGTCCAACGCTTCGGCGAGGTGAGCGGCATTCTTATAGCCATTCCAGGTCCAGCATTTCTCAATAATTGGCCCAAGCCAGATCTCCTCTGTACTCGGGAGGGTCTCTCTGCGCGGCAACGTCGCTCGAGAAACGTCATTCTCGTGAAGATCGAATTCGCAGTGCTCCCCTGACACGACTTCATAGATCACCTTCCCCAATTGTCCGATGTCCGTTTGAATTGAATATCCGTTGTCATCAGCAGTTTCCATGTCGGTATCTGGAGGCATTATTGTTGATTCGGTAAAGTCGCAGAATTTGATTGCCAGAGTGGAATCAAGGAGAAGGTTCCGACAAGCGATATCTGCAACAATAACTGAGCGGCCATGAATATCGCAGAGTGCATGGGCCATCTGCCGGAACCATGAGAGTTGCAGAGCCTTTGATGGCTGGTTTCGTGATAGATATGAACGTAGATCCCCATTCTTCATCAAGGCGAGTTGGGTGGTCGTTTGCGAGAAGCTGATATATGGGACGGCCCCGTCGCATTCTTTCAGACGCTGATAGGCCTCCTGCTCTCGTTGAATGACCGTAGTGTTTATAGCCACGTCATCGTCTGTGCTATCCAAATACCTTAGGGGCATCTTCACAGCCATGCCATCCTGGAGGACTACAACACCGGACCTGCCGTACCCAAGGAGATCCTCTTGGGATATCGGATTACCTGCCGGATCTAAAAGTGGTGTAGACATTATTTGGATTGGGAAAGGGGCGAAAAGCTTGTATTCTTAGTCTGATGAAAATAAAAGCGGATTGGTTGGAGTCGAACACTAAATAGTTATAGAGAACGGACTGACTAAGGCTGACGCGATGTAACCGTAACAACAGCCCAATCTGGTACTTGGCTCAGTTTCTCCCGTGCGCAAGCCCCTTGCGTGGAGATGGTGCTTGACGCCTGCATAGATGTCTTAGAAAGTTATAAATCAGGATTCTCACCAAAGCCGGTACAGCATATATAAAGGTATTCCTTTCTTAGGTCATAAAATCAATATTCATCACCAGCAATAAAAATGGCCCTTTCAACACCCTGTAACCTCGTCGCCAACCCGTCCTTCGAATCAGGCAATCTATTCCCATGGTTCCCGTCTGCCCTCAACGTGGCCAAGATAAGCAATGCAACCGAAGCATATGACGGGGACTACTACCTGTAAGTCCTCATTCGAATTCCCAGATTCGTAGCTAACCTGAGTAGTGACCTGCAAACCGCCATCGGAAACCGAGGCAACACCATCTCTCAGCCGTTAAGAAACCTCGACCCCAGTATCGACTACACCTTCAGCGTGCAAGTGCAAGCGGCATCGCCCGCCGCAAATTACTGCTCGTTCTATGTGTACATGGGCAAGAACTCGACTACTGGTTTCGTGGCTACTGATATCCTGTACAACTCTGGCGAGTGGACGTCTATCACTGGGCATTACCGGCCGAGGCTGGCGCAGGAGTATTTGAATATTGTGGCCAGCTGTACCTTTGAGGGATCATCTTATACAGGGAGGGTGTTTATTGATGATGTTGTGCTTGCTCCATCGAACTGTGAGGATGGCGTATAGAGTGATTTCAGAGGAGAATGAGTACGCGATCAAATCACCTACCTGGAGGACAAGTTGCCCTCGCTTCTTAGAGATTGCTGTCCGACGCTCTCCTTTGTTGTGCACATATTATGATAGACTATCGCTTTACTAATCCAAAATATTGTGTGGTGTATAAGGTCCTTGTCTCTCTTGATTTCTGATGTGTACGGATAATAGCACCACACTCAAGGCAGATGATCTTCAAACACATCAAGATGCCTCTTTATCTTGATTCTCATTGTCCTCCTCCTCGGACTCGTCCTCAGATTCACGCTTGCTACCCTCGTCTTCTTTGTCATCAAGCACATGGTCATTAGCTGCTTTCTCGGCCAGCGATGCCTCAACCCATGTTTCAACGCCCGCTACAGCTTCCTCTGGCGAATCCCGATACCGCAGCAAATATCCCTGAACTTCAGCAGGAGAAAAGACGCAAGGCGGGATCTTCTCAGCAAATTGTTTGGCGAGTTCTTGTAGATCAATCGCTGCAGACCCTTCTTTTGTCGACAGATCACCCTGAGCGTAAGACGCAACCTGTGCATTATCCACTTCAGCCGACGTGTAGACTTGGAAGATATGCCGAAACATGGCCGCACAAAGATCCCGACTGGCGAGCTGAAACTCCAGCTTGTAGTCTACTCGGCCAGGTCGAATGAGCGCCGGATCGAGGTGTTCATGGTGATTCGTCGTCATGATCAGCACCCGGCCCTCCTGAGCCGCGACACCATCGATGATGTTCAACAAGGAGGACAGAGAGACCCCGTTCTTTCCTTTCCGCCGCCGTGCACCTGGCTTGCGGCGACCAGTCACTTCGCTGGCGTCGATATCCTCCAACAGCACCAGACATCGTCTTGGAAGCGTCAAAAACAGCTGCGTCAAGGCATCTTCCGTAAGCTGCTGCGAGTTCAGGTTTAGCATGTACATATTCAAGCCCAGGAACCCTGCCGCGGCAAACGCAAGACTGGATTTCCCCGTCCCAGGGGGTCCATAGAACAGGTATCCCCGCCGATAGGGAATGCCACGGTCGCTGTACCAGCGCATCGTCCTGGGGTGCAGATAGTGCTGGATGTCTTCGAGGAAGGCCTTCTTGACCACTTCGTCCAGAATGACAGTCGAGAGTGGACGCGCAGGACGGGAAGTGGACCTTTTCCAAGCCAACTCGCCATCATAAATCGACTTCATGCCGCGATAGATGACCGTCCTTCCCTTTTCCTTCTGCGAGAACGCCACGCGAGCATCCTGCATCAAATCTTTCAGAATGGCTGGATCCCGTCCGAGACAAGAGACCCGCAGCTTCTCCGTCCGCGTGTACACCGTTTGCCGATTTTCCTCCACCTCACGCGTGAGCGCGAGATACCGACCGCGATACCGAAACCAGTGTGTTCCAGCTGAAGGAGTCCAGAGCAAGGGCCGGGTATTCGCCAGGGAGGCCTTGTATTCTGCGTCAGCCTGGACCTCCAGTTCGTCCTCCTCAGCCGCATCATTGTCCTTGCTGTTGTCTTCACCGAAGAAACCCCCCTGACCGCTCGTCAGGGAGGTTATGGCCAGCAAGCGGTTCTTGTCAACATCGAACTTTTGCTTCATGAGCCAGTAGAGGAGATAATTGTAGGCCTCATCGTAGGAATGGACCTCGATGCTCGAGCAGAGGAGATGCAGTGGAAGGTCGCCATATTCGTCCAGGAGTCTCTTGGCTACCCAAGATCCGACGGCAAGGGAGGAGAGATACAAGACCTTCTCGACTGTCCCGTTCATGGTGAAGATGGTGTTGTTGACACGAACAAATTCTTGGTCGACATTCTGATGTGTATTTTTGGGGCAGTGCTGCCTAAGGATCCACGCCACAGGCTAATATTCTGGCCAATAGTGGGGAGATGGCTGCCTAGCTGCAGATCGGGGCCAAGTGTGACCCTCCCCTCAACTGTGAAGCCGCGGATTTATTGCAGCTAATCAAAAGGTAATGATTCAGCCTCATCAGGTCCTTTCAAGATTTCTCCACCGCTCGGCGGGGCAAAAGATCCAGACTATCTGCACCGAGTCATTCAGACCAACGCAGGCCATTATTGTAATGAATCCAACCACTTTATTCCTCTGAAGCTGCGATACGATATACGCATTAGCGTTTAAATTATGAGACTATCAAGCGCCTAAGTCCGCTTGTCTACATATCTGATACTGTCGGGATGCGAGGTGAAGCCTATCGAAAGTATATATATCTACTTGCTGAGAAATCCAACACATCAGTATGTAAACCTACACGATGAGCAGCGTAGAATTCTGTTAGCAGCTCAGTTCATTATTGTATCGGGTCTCATTCATTGGAGCCTTAGAACATCTCTGAGACTTAGCTTTCTTCACCCTGTGCCAGACATGAGTTAAGGCTATGGATATCTTGCTATATTCCCTCTATGATGACGCCCCTGTGAAGAAACAACACGGACACAAAAACATTCTACAGTACATTATACACCAATCACGACCTCCGGCTCCCGCCTCTGCAGCTCCATCGGCCCATCACTCACACTAATCTGCACCGTCTTCATGATGCGGCCCCCTGAAGCAGCCGGGACCGTCCGATCCGGCATCCACTCCCAGCCGCGATCGTATTCTGTCTCCGACCGCCGCAACCGACGCGACCTGCTTTCAGACGAGGTATGGCTGCGCAACTTCGAGTTCGGCGGCGATACGTCGTCCGTGTAGGCGATGCCGTACTCATCGACATAAACGGCGAGCACGGGCTTCATGAACGAGGCGACGAGGCAGACGACGCTCATGGCGAGGTAGAGCTCTGCGGTTAGACTGCCGAACGCGCCATAGAGAATCGGGTTATCTGAATCTAGCTGAACTTTGACGTAGTAGAGATGGGTAGCCGACAGGGGGATGAGTCTGTGCTCGTCAGCGAGATTGTGGAACAGGGAAGGGTTCTTACATGACTCGACAGCTGAGAGTACCGAATACGACGATTTTTTGTCGTATTGAGATCTTGATGCTGTATATCGCTCGGGCGGAGTAGAGGACAAGGAGAACCTCGATGATAACGTCGGTGGCGGTGATTGCCTGCCATCTTTGGAACTGTGTCTGTGAGCATGGGTCGGTTTGGAGAGCGTTGACATACCAAACCGCTGCATTGTGCGTCGATATCGAGCCATGGTTGATGACCACATCGGACTGCTAACAGTATAATCGACAGTATAACCCAGACACATCCTCCAACGAGAAGTCCTCGGATGACAGCTCGAAGTTTCTGCTTGAACAGTGCCATGTAAAAGACGGCGGTCGTTATCTTCGAGAGGCCGAGGGTGACAACGAAGAGAATATCGGAGACATATCCCATCTGCGGATGTAAGCACGATGAAAACATACGGTCGCTTCGACTGACCTTGAGCATTTTCTCCTTTGTTGCGGAGGAGAGTGACTCTTCGGCTGCTCCCCAGCCGTAGTGAACCTGCGCCAGTACCAAAGACGTCTGCGCTAGTGCAACAATCTGCTCAACATTAGGCTGCATTTGCAAAGAAACTTCAGCGTCCTACCACTACAGCCATAAAACCAAAGTCGTCCTTCTGGATAATCCGCCTCTTGTACGAGGAAAACGTCCGAGCGGCCAGGGACGAAAGTACCAGGACCAAGCAGAAGCCGGTGATCACCACAACCAGCCCTCCATGGTTGTCCTTCCGGTCCACCGTTGGAGGGTCACTAACACCCGACGGGAGAGCCGTGGCAGTCATCATGACTGGCGTCGATATCGATAAAAGCTGCTCCTGAGGAACGGCGACATTGTTGAAGAAGATAATAAACTGCTCATATAAGCAGAGCAGGTGAGATGGCCGGGATATATGGCCCGAGAGGGCGGAGTCAGCCATAGCATCACAGATTTTAAACGCCAGGGATCAGCCTCTTGATTTGGAAGGAGAGCTGGTTGGAATGGGAATCTGACATGATGAGAAACTGCAGTGGTTGGTGAATAACGTTTGCTGATGCATTAGTTGCATGATCATCCTAGACAGCAGGGATCAAGACGAGTCTTCTGACCATTGATGCAAATGAGGATGAAGAGAATGCTGACTGTTGGGGATCGGGGTTATGCTTATTATCGCACCACGTCAGACTGCTGCTGAAGAGCAACAAACACGAGCACGCCCATGCCTCTGTGTAACCCCGCCTCGCTTGTTTTGTTTGTTCTGGTCACCGTCACTCCCCTTGCTTCGGCCTGCATTTCCCTCTTTTCTTCCTTTCTTCTTTGCGCGCATGTCGACCTACCTGTCCTCGAATTCGATAATCCTGCAATGGCATCGATACAGGATAATTCTACGATGCAGACAGCATCCAAGGCGCCGATGGCCTCACTTCAGGTGGAAGCAGGACACCACACGACCAGCACAGACGCAAAACACACGGGAACGGTATATGATGACCATGATATGCAGCGCATGGGAAAGGTCCAGGAGCTAAAGGTGAATAGTGGCAGACGGTGATATGACACGTTCTGACACCAACCAACAGAGAAACCTCCGCCCTTTGGCTGCATTGAGTTTCGCGTCGGTACTTCAGGCAACGTGGGAGTTTATTCTCATGTGAGTGCACTTCATCCTTGCGACCGACCGTACTGAGTGATCCAGATCCAACACGCAGGGGTTGGCAAATGGCGGACTCGCGGGCATGGTGTGGTCCTATGTGTGGACGTTTGTCGGGTTCGGCTTTATCATTGCTTCATTGTCGGAGATGGCTTCCATGTACGTTCATTTTTTCCGTAGTATAAGTGAGATCAAGAGCACTGCTGACCAGAAAGGGCCCCGACCTCTGGTGGACAATACCACTGGGTGTCCGAGTTTGCTTCGCCGCGATACCAGAAATTCCTGAGCTACCTCACTGGCTGGATGTCCGTTCTAGCATGGCAGGCTGGCTCTGCATCAGGCTCTTTTCTGACCGGTACAATTATCCAAGGGCTCATCAGCGTTCGCGATCCAGACTACCATCCGGAACGGTGGCAAGGAACGTTGTTCGTTTTTGCCATGATTGTGGTCATCTACTTTTTCAACGTCTACGCCGCGGACATGATGCCTCTGTTCAATAACCTGCTGATGATCTTGCATATCCTGTCCTGGACCGTGGTCGTGATTGTACTGTGGGCCATGGCGCCGCACCAATCCGCCAAGGCCGTATTCACGGAGTGGACGAATAGGGGAGGCTGGTCTAGTATGGGGCTGAGTGCCTTGATCGGGCAGATTTCTGCCATCTACGCTTCGCTGAGTATGTTGATGCCTTGTTCCGGATTGCTCTAACTCTGGCAGGCTCCGATGCAACGGCACACATGTCTGAGGAAGTCAAGGACGCAGGACGCTACGTTCCGATTGCGATCGCATGGGGATACTTTAGCAACGGCGTCATGGCCATTGTGGTGGTCATCTCCTTCCTTTTTGCCATTCCCTCAGTCGAAGACGCACTGGAAGACGACACCGGGTTCCCGTTCATCTATGTGTTCAAGAACGCCACGTCGGTCGCTGGGGTCAATGGGTTGACGGCAATTATCCTCATCCCCGTCATCTTCAGCAACATTCTCTTCAATGCTTCCACATCCCGGCAGACCTTCGCCTTTGCCCGGGATAACGGACTGCCCTTCGCCAGCTGGATCGCCAAAGTCGACCCGAAACGCAAAATACCCGTGAATGCGATCGCCCTATCGTGCATAATCAGCTGCCTCCTCTCTCTCATCAACATCGGCTCGCTAACCGCCTTCAACGCCATTATTTCCCTTAATGTAGCAGCTCTCATGTACACCTACATCATCTCCATTAGCTGTATTGTGTACCGCAAGATCTGGCATCCAGACACCCTGCCCCGCGGCGGTGGAATCTCGGCCGCTGGGGTTTGACCATTAATATCGTCGGATTGCTGTACTGCATGTTCGCACTGTTCTGGGCGTTGTGGCCAAGTGAAACCCCAGTCACAGTGGACAATTTCAACTGGAGCGTGGTAATCTTCGGGGGTGTGTTCGTCCTCAGTTTGGTCATGTATGCTGTCAAGGGGCGGAAGGGGTACTATGGGCCAGTGGTGATCGTCCGAAGGGATTAGCCATCGTATAACAAGTTATCGAGCATTGTCGAGTAGACGACTCGTAACATTTCACCCGCCAACTCGTGGTCCAGCAAACCGCCAAGGCACGCCAAGAATTCCGCAGCTGTACAGCCCAGTGATCAACGCACCTTTCGATGATTCCGCCTCAAGATTGGTCAGTGCAGCGCTGCCCAACACGAGCTGACCTCATACGTGCGCTGATCACCATGGACGACTATATATCACTCCTCCCCCGTTCCCTCATTCCCAGAAATGGTCTAACAACTTCGACCATGGCTCCAACAACCCTCTCAGATAACCACCCCGCCATCCTCTCCCTCCGCACCGCAGCCCTCCTCACCTCCGCCACGGGCTTCATCTCCCTCGCCTGGTCCATCACACATCACAAGGGCATTTCCGATGACGGAGCGGGGAGCATCAGCTCCATCGTCTTGGGAGCCGTACGCCCCCCACGACTCCCATCCTATCTCATCCATCTAACAAGACCAGATCGCATACGCCTTCCTCTGGTCCCTCGTCGCCCTGACAATACGACTAATCCCCCGCCGCATCCACCCTGGTATATACCTCGCCTTTGACCTGATTGCGTTCCTGGCGAATGCGATTACGGGGAGCATCGGGCTAGCGGTGCTGGCGCCGGCGATGGAGGGCGGGTATAGCTGTTACTCTGCCGGTTGTGACGGGGATGCAGTACTCCGAGTGGAGATATTTGCGTATGTGGTTGTGTTTGTGAATGTGTAAGTTGACTCCCCTTGAGATGGAGATGGAGTAAGCTGATAGTGTAGGGTGGTTCATTTGATGCTTGTGGTTTGGGCTTCGTGGGCTTGTCATATCGAGAAGGGGAAGAGGACGGGGAAAGGACGGGGAAAAATGGGTTGGAGGAAGTTGAGTTGTAGGGCTGATGATATTTATTTATGTCTAATGTCTAATGTCTAATTCTGGTCTTCATGCCTTTGTCATTGTATCATGTATACCTTGCAATATAGCAGTACTCTGCCTTTCTCATTCAAGCGATATACAGAGAAGACGTTGAGTGCGAAGCTAGTAACACGTCTGTCTATAAGAAGGCCACACGTCTGTACAATAACTCTAATCATTGGACTCTCATCATCTAAGTATATACGCAAGACAAACACGACATCGTATTGATCACAGTCAGCTAAACCCAAGGCTGCGCCCTCGGCTTCGGCGGAGCAGGAACCATCTCCTCCTCCTCGACATGCGCCAACAGCGCCGCACCCTGCGTCCTGACCCCCGCAAAAATATACACCAGCGTGGCAATCACCTCTGGCAGGAAACCCAGCACCACGCGAATAGCGAGCGACCCTGTCACGGGATTAAGTGACGCTCTTTGCGTGCACAACGCAGCAAGACTGTAGAAGACTCGGATACCGATGAACACGAGCGAGAAGGCGACGGCTGTGAGTAGCTGTTTGTTATGTTACATTAGCACCGCCATTTCTCTATATGTTGGGGGTAAAGTACATACGACAGTCCCCGCTCTCGTAAGTGAAGCCTTCCGTCCCCAGCTCGCAACAAACGAGAACCCGGTCCAGGCGACCAAAATCCCCCACGCGACTGCCAAAATGGCGATCCCCGCTTTGGCGATCTTCTCGGCCTTGTCGAGGGGTTGTTCGTGTTCTTGGAGTTTTGCGGAGCCGACTGCTGTGAGGGCCACGCCTGCGACGACGAGCATGTGGTAGGCGAGGACGGAGACCCATTCCATTTTCTTGTCGAGGGGTTGGATGCGATAGTGTCGCCTGGTCATGTTAGAATTGATATAGTATTTGTGGGCTGGGACTTACGCCTCGTGTAGAATGCCGGCTGTTGCGAGGAGGAGAGGAGAAAGACCGACGCTGGAGATGATGGTAGCGGCTGGACTGGGGTTATTGACGGCCAGCGCGCCGCCGATGATGCGGAGAGTGCAAAAGAAGAAGAGGAAGAGCCATCCCAGGAGCCCGTAGCGACCGTGTCGGACGAGGAGGTAGAGTACTGGGATGGCGAGGACTGCATAGATGGCGCAGCTAGCGGCAGAGAGGGAGTTGGTCATTGTGCAGGTCAGTTCCGTAGGAATGCTCTTCTTCGCTCTATTCTGAACTGAAGAATAAACAAGAGCGTAAGACAAAGGCAGGAGGAGCGGTAAATAAGATGAACAGGCCGTGGGCTCATCCATGTACGACATCCTCATTGGGTATATGACTTGTCGATCTGTCAGTCGCTGCGCCACGTTGACAACAGACAGAAAGATCGACATTAACCATTCAATCATATGCATCATCAAATGTTGGTAGGATCGACAGGCGCCAGGCTGAAACCCCACTGTTCCCCTCGTATTAAGCATTCCTGTGAGAGGCTGGGCATGAGCTTGTCCATTCCCTTCCTCAGCCAGAGATAAAAACAACAGCAGACACGAGGCTGTGGCCCCTCGGCAGTGCAGAAGCGAACTTTATTGTGGGGCCAGAATAACAGTCACTCTAGCAGAAATAAATGATAAAGGATGCTCATCCCAGGTCCCCACAGTCAAGACAGCCTTGTCGAAAGTATAGTTCGTAAGGCTCAAAGTCTCAAGGATAACAAGCTCAGAGAATATTGTATGGGTCTATGATCAGCCTATAACCAGCTCGGACTGAGAGATAATTTAGTCAGATATACATTTATAGTTTTGAAGGGTGACAAAGTGTGAAATGTTACAAATATATTTTTTTCAGTATACTTCTAGTGTTACTATTTAACAGCAATATGGTCACCACAGTATTACTTTGCTAGACGAACCAAAACAACAGACGTAGTAGATGAGTGAGTTAAGCATTAATACTGAATATCAGTTAAAAATAATTTAGGACCCCAACTCTCAATATTCTGTTCCTTGCCTGAGGATGGGGCTGCTTGTATGGGTGTAGAAAAGGGTATCCCCTATGGCATGCAGATTCTTTTACAGACTGTGACTGAGTCGGGAAGACTGTGGGGAAAGGAAGATGATGATTTAAAGTACTTTTATAAATCGAGAAGAGATAGAATTGATAAGGAAGAGCTGAATGACCCAGAATCTGCTTTGTAAATGGAATGAACAATATCAAGCTTTGCAGGGTCAGAGCCAGCTATGAATGGATGACCAGGAATGATACTGTCAAACTCACGCAAAATAAAGAGAAATAGACATCATTATACTATACGATTGACCACCCAGATCATTTAGTTGAATATAGCTAGACTTCGAATAGTTTGCATCCACTACTGATACACCGTGGCCCTCATACTCGCCAAAGCACCATTAATCAGTTTCCACATCCGCTCATTCTCACAGGCAGCCCTGGCCTCCTTAAGCGCATCCTCCCAAATTTCCCATCGCTCCCGCGTATAACCCGTCCAGCCCTCCTCTTCATACCTCTTTCCCGGCCCAGCGCCGGACGCCTCAGGATACTTGCGATTATTGACCGCATTCGCCCACAGCCGCTCCGCAGCGTAGATGAACCACTGGCAAGCGGCCTCCATCGCCGCCGTATCTCCCAGAGACGCAGGAGGGCGCTCGATTTCAAGAGCCGTCGCCATAGTCCAGATGGCGCGTAGTGATTTGTCCAAGGGAGAGAATCTCGCCTCCTCCCCGGGAGACGGGTAGCGAATGTCTGCAGCCTGAGTCAGCTGCGCAAGGAAAGCGTTGAGATTTGCCCAGCGATCGCGTTGCTCTGAAGCCAACGTAGTATCACAGGGGTCTAAATGCGTTAGCGGTCTTACTGTTGGAATCGGACGGATGGATCACCTTTGTAATCGCCACCAAACTCGTACCACGTCTCCAGCTCTGTGTAGCCGAATGACGGCATGTCGGTCCAGAGGATATCACCCTGGACGCTGAGGGGCTCGTTTGTAGATGGATCAACGGCAATCTGCTTCTGGAGATGAGATACAAATTCGACGAGCTTGGTGTGTTTTGATGGTTCCAGGCGTTGAGCGAGCTCCATCACCCCAAGAGAGACGTTGTAGTCTGGCAGACCGATGCCGCCTTGTTTGCTGGGGCCATGGATAGATAGTGCAGTCATGGTCATGTTGATAACTTCTTGGACTGCATCTTGCGGTGTAACTTCCTCCTTGACGACTTTGTCGAGGAGTTTGAATTCAACGGAGTTTTCGATTTGTCGGATGAAGTTTTCTTTTCCCATAGTGAGGATTGCTGGTAATCAAAGGAAATGGTGTTCTCGAGTAGACTGAAAGTACGGTTAGGATGGAAGAATCTGAAAGTAGAATCTTTAACTGACTGATTGATAAAGGAAGGATGAGGCACAATTGAGATCGGCAGAAGTTGATGAGGCTGTACAGAGGAGATGGTGGGCGGTGCTGAATGGTGCGACATCAACACAGCCTGTCTTGGCTGTGGGGGCCAGACTAGCCGTGGATAGTGCTTGTAGTGCTTACTCCCCGCCCCCACTCTTGGCCCCATTGATCCAAGGGAACCAAGCATTCTTAGCATCTCTACCAAGACCAGAATTGATCTGCTGGGGCCGTTTCGATATCAACACCATAATGTATACGCACAAAAAAGCATACATCAGAGGGACACCTGGGGCCAAAGCATGGAGTGCATCTCAGCCTTGGACACTGAGCAATCTCACTCAGCCTAACGATCATGAGACGTTCTTCAGGTGTTCTGAGTTTAGAAACAACATGTCTGGAATTGAGATGACCTGGATGACTCTGAAGATATAAAGGCCTCAGGATATTGCCAGATCACTCATCATCATCGACAGCATCCAAACAATCCAATCCAACTCAGAAGCCTCTCTTCCCCATACCACTGTCCAGAACACCAGCCCCTCAAAATGTTGCTCGACATGAAGTCCATCGTCCTCTACGGACTCATGGCCCTCGCCTCCCATGCCTCTCCCCTCCCCGAGCTCAGCAAGCGCGCCAAACTCGGCGACTTCCAATGCCCCGACGGCACACTGTCCGAAAAGGACATCCGCGAGGCCCTGCACGAGTGCCGCAGACTCAACGACGGCTCCATTGGCAAATACCCGGCCTACTTTGGCAACAAGAGCAATAACCAAAAGGTATTCGGCAATATTCCCGATGGCACCGATCTGCGGGAATTCCCCATCATCGTGGGGGGAGTGTACAGTGGCGGTAAGCTTCCCCAGCGCGAAGATACTGAGCCAAGCTGACGAGTGCAGGCGAACCTGGCCCGTACCGCGTGGTCACAGACTACAAGGACAACCGCGGCGATTTCCGCGGTGTGATGCAGCATACTGGCGCAACCGTCGGTGGCGCCTATACGGCCTGCACGCGAGTCACAAACACCAAGCGCGAGCCTGGTAAAGACAAAGACGACAAGAACAAGCACGACAAGGACAAGGGCGACAAGAAGGGTGGTGATGAAAAGCGCAGCCCCCAAACGACGGTGCCTCGCCGCACGGTCCAGGTGACGGAGAACGACCTTAACGACCTGGCCAAGCGCGAGCCTGAAAAAGACAAAGATGACAAGAACAAGCATGACAAGGGCAAGGACGACAAAAAGGGTGGTAATGAGGAGCGCAGCATCGAGGAGACCGAGACCGAGATCGAGGAGGAATCCACTGGCCACATTGTCAGCGACTTGACCACCCGCGGCAAGAAGAAGAAGATCGGTAGCGCTACCTGCCCCGACGGCGTCACGCTCTCCCAGGACGATGTCGCCAATGCATTCAAGGAGTGCAAGAAGTGGGATGACTATGGCAGGGGCGGTTACCCCCACAAGTTTGGCAACAAGAGCGGTAACAGTGAGGTCTTTGAGGGCGTCACCAAGGACCTGCGCGAGTATCCTATCATTCAAGGTGGAACTTGGACTGGTACGTCATCAGCATTATTGTTATGGGATAGAGACTGACCATTGAATAGACGGCGAACCTGGCAAGTACCGGGTCGTCACCGACTACAGCGACAACTTCGTTGGAGTGATGATTGAGAATGCTGGTGCCTCCTTCGCCCGCTGCACTGTCAACAGTGATTAGACTGGATTGTCTTTGGGATATGAGCAGGCGGGATATATATCATGGACTGTATAGGATTTTCTCTCTTTTCTATGTCTGGTGTTCTGCGAGAGGTCTTGTTCTTTTCCTTTTTGCTAGTTAAATTGATTTTATATCTCCAATATTCGACCTATATTTCTTCAAATACCCTTTACAACTTACAGAGGCGACAGGACGCAAAGCTCAGCAAGACACTCCCCTATTCTGCGATACGCAGGAACGGAATCAAACCTTACTCCTGTACGATAGTAGCTTTACCCCGGAAGAAAATTAAATACTGTTTTGGGCCAACTCGCTGGGGGGTAATCAAGTAATCACCGATCACCAGTTGCCGCACGTGCTTGTATTCCTTTATATATAGCCTATCGAATTGATGATTGTCCTTGCATGGGGAAGAGCTGGGTTATTTTTAGCCATAAGGATGACTGGTTTATTTACTTCGGCCCGATCCGTGGAGGAACCCCTACTCTTTTAATCCCAGCACTTGTCTACACCTGGTCTCTTGCTACACTCCTTCCAGTTTGATTCGCTATATGTACCTGTATGGCTGTAGCTGACTAGTATTTTCCAAATACTCTTCTTCTTCCAAAGAGGCGAATTTCCCTAGAGGAAGCCCTGGAAGATGACGACAATGTTCTACACCTGTTGGACTATCCGCAGAAGCAGAGGGCTGAGGTCGAAGCAACCGTGGCCTTTCAACTTCAAGTAAACTCTCCAGGTTGCTGATGACATAATTGGATGATGGGCAACTATAACATATGTATTCGGTCTGCGTCGACCCTCCATCTGACAACCATGTCCTTATTCGCATCCCACTGCCCTTTAAACTCGGTGAAGAAAACCATTCCGGGGAGTGTAGATGAAAAGCTGCGGTCCGAGGTTGCCACTTATATCTGGATCCACCAAATTGCCCAACGGTTCCGACCCATTGCCTTTATGGGTTCGGTTTCCCGATGGACAAACTGTACGTAGCCCAAACTTCTGGCATATATAATGAACTGATGAAACCATCTCTTACAGCTTGTTAAACCATCCAGTGCCTCTACTTTCTCTGGACTCTGTTGGCACATAGCACAGACGCTACGGTCGTTGCTTGGCTATCCGACATCGTGTCCTTATATCAGTCTGAAACGTCCGACCCCATTGTCAACTGGATACGTTATCATCAGCATCGTAAGACAAAGCCGGCAGCTCTCTGTATATTCCTTAGAAACTCTGCCGAGGGATAAAAACGCGGAGACAAACTCTCTTCAGCGACCTTACAAGAATCGTTCTAAAGTTGAATCGTATCGAGTTTTCCCAAATCGGGTCCCTGACTTGAACAACGAAGGCTTTATTAGTTTAACAAGTCGACCGGTTACGCTGCGTTTGCAAACCTTGAAAATGAAGGGATTCCTACTATCCCCAGGAACTCAGTCTACCAAGCCGTGGAGTCATACCTTCTGGATCTCCTACAATGCAACGACAATCGCATCTACCATCAGCCAAATGCCATCCATGACACAGAAGATGGTCAAGAACAATTGGCTGCATTGACGATGATGCGTGCACTTTTCCCTCGGTTCATCTCTCGCGAGTACCGCCACGGTCCGTTCGGACTCACACTGACGGACTTTCAACCGGGCAATATTTTCGCCGACGAAGAATGGTACATTACGGATATTATCGATTTCGAATTGGCGACTGTTCTTCCAGTTGGGCTACAAACTCCTGTTTATTGGCTAACTGGCCGGGCCATTGATGCTATTGAACATGGAGAGCACCTGGATGTTTTTGAGACGCGTATCCATGAATACGGAGATGCTTTCGAGGACCAAGAAAAAAAGGATGCATGCTCAAACTTCCCTCACGCTCAAATCATGAGGCGTTGCTGGAATAGCGGAAGCTTCTGGTACTTCCAGGCAGTGAATTGTCTGAAAGCCCTTCTCCATGTATTCAGGGAGCATGTCAAACTCAAATAATGTGAAGGGCATTGTAGGAGACGCGTGTTCGATGAGACTGTCAGTCCATATTGGTGTGAGGGAGCCAAGAGTTTGATTCTCCCAAAAGTGGAGGAACAGGCGAATTATAAGAATCAATTGAAGGAGCGCTTCGGCCAGGGTCAGGTTGCGACTTCATAAAGTCACATAAATAAATCAATTGCAGAAGTTCATTGTCTTACATGGAACAGGAAAGATGATGACCAAGTCAATGTAAGCCAGACTCCACCCCTTACCTTGTAAATGCGCGGAAGGGATTAGCATTCAATACTTTGTAAGCATGGTCCAATCTACTGTTGGACATAGTTGCCTAGGAAGGGAGATTAATATAGGGTTTCCGCAGGACAGCCATCGCCCTATGGAGGCAGGGTGTAACCACAATGGCTGAGTGTAGATTAGTTGGAGACCTACAGAGATTCTTTGCATCAAAAGACGCATTCCCTGGATAATAAATGCTGTCTAGTGTATGTTCAGACTCCGCGATACAAATCTGGTAGATCTTTGGCTAGAAGATGATACAACATTCTTCTGACCCAACACGGGTTGTGTACTCCATTACAACGTGTCAGGTGCAAGCCAAAGTATGTAAGATTTCCTCTGACTGGTTCCCCAAGGGACAGGATCTCTGTGCTTAAGAGGATGCAGGTGACGAGACCCACAGAAAGCTTCAGGACGGGAGGAGTCTTTTAGTGCAGTGGAATGAAACTAATATTCGAGAAAGGGGGAACATGAAAGTAAGTTGGAGGCTATTCAAGCCCCCATTGCTCTGATCCTACATTCGGATGCTTTAGAAAAGCCACATTCTAATGGAATAAGTCTGTGCTGTAATAAGTGAGAAGTGTACTCAAACAGAATTAAGAGTATGCAATAACACCCATAGATAGGTCTCAAGAGATCCATCCAATCTATACCTAATTAAAAGCCTTTCTCTACAGATAACGCAATCAGGGAGTTACCCTGAGTCATCTGCGCAGGCTATTATGCGCTGTTCATTGTGAACATGATGAGCCCAAGTTTCTTAGCTCCTTTAAGCCAGTAACGAATTCCAGGTTGCCTTCAGGCACAATCATTGAGAGATTTACGGCAACCCAGAGTCAAACTTGAGGAATGAATTCTCTAAACTCAAAAGTCGGAAAGTCTTCCTGATTTCCGCTTGTGCAATGCTATCAGCTTTTGATACCCAGCTAGCAATCCACAGGACAGCACTGGATTATAGCCCAGCACCTCAAATGCACTGTTCCAAGTTCTCCAATTGGCCTCTCATCGCTCTCCGTGTGTGTAGTTTGAGGAACGAAACCAGGCTTAGCTACCTCCTTGCTGTGGTCAGCTGTCGACATTCTGAATTCTGGGATGTCAGATTGAGGTATCAGTCCGTCATTCCCGAGCTCCTTGCTTGATGCGGCATATTAATAATAGTCCGAATTTAGCACTTTCCTATAAAGCTTGGCTATGACATTGATGATCATCATTCTGCAATTGCTGCTTTGTCACCTAGTGTAACTATACCTCTAGGACAGCCAGCAAAGTATGGAATGTAAATATCTCTCGCTCCCATTCAAGGAAGCACTAGACAAGGCAAGCTCAACGGCCATTCCCAAGAAGCCTGTGCATCCCTATTACACTGAAGACATAAATACACATCATGTTCTCTTCAAGATCCGTCAGTCACCGCAGATCACTAATCATTTGCAATCTGTACCAACAATATCTCTCTCTGTTATACTTCTAAAGTCCTTGACAACAATGAAGTTCACTCTTTACTTCATCGCCCTCGGTTTCGCAGGCCTTTCCCAATCTACTTCTGTCTCTGGCTCCAGCTCCCTCCTTCCAGGAAATGCCAATACCGCAAGTGCAGCCTGGATAACCCATTTCGAACAATTCCGTCAGCAGCATGAGCCCTTGAACCCCGCCCAATCCGCCGTCGTTGATACTGCCACCGACCTCGCGAAGCAAGGACAAAACTTCGACCCCAAGGCCATGAACAATCTGAAGAACGATGCTATCTCCGCCTTTGGATTCAAGGATGCCAAATCCCTTCTTGCCACCATGGACAATAAGCCATTGCAGACCCGGGATGATGAGGATGGGGACATCGAGTGTGGCTGCTCCACTCAGTCTGACTGGTGTGATTCCGGTTATCATTGTGCTGGAGGCGGTTGTACCCAGACTGGTTCGGGCTGTGGAACTCTCTATGGGTATCCTTGTGATGGGCTGTGCCGTCTTTCCTAGGTGAGGCTTAGCCACTTGGCTTTACACACCTGATGGGTTGCATGGTGCTGATTGTATCTCATGATTGCCGAGTTGCACAGGACTGCAATAATCCGAAAACCTGGTGTTAGATTGCATAACTGGCACACAGTTGGTATTGGGAAGCCTAATGTTGTGATCTCGTGTCTGGTACTTTCCCTTGTACTTGTGTGTTGTTACAGCTTCTACTTAGGGTGCTTCTAAGTACACGAAATAGGGATCTCTAGGGATAGTAGCTGGTAGTAGAAAAATATCATTTGGTTATCTGTTATGTTGTGGGTAGTTATTGTCGAAGTACGCGTTAGACTGGGTGCTGCTATATCCAATAGGCTACTGCCCTGCTATCCACTGTGTCTGAATAGTATGGACAGGGAGGAAAAAGGAGTTTAACTATAATAGATCATCACTATGAAGTTGGACTAGTGATGGACTTACAGCGCAAATTGAAATCTTACCATCCTGGATGCTGTAGCTCCCGAGACTACAGTACACAATGCGGCCAGAATGTTTGAGGCACACATAAATGATTCTGCACTCCCTGGAATTCGGCAGGTGCCGATTTTCTGCCTGATGTGAACGCGTGTGAGATATCCCGGGAGAGCTTCGACAGCATTAATACATCGCTGATCGATATTTGAAATGCTATGACGAGTGGTCAATAGCTATTAGGGGAAGAGAGGAGGCATGCAGTAGTCTAGGGGTGAGTGAATTAATGGCATTCTTTGAGTGATTGTCCCCGCCGTGTCCAGATGGCTTACCGTATGCGCAGGGTTTAGACACCCCCGCGCACACATGAGTTTAGATCCCCAGTGTTTAGTTTACGAATAGAGCCACCTCCACGATCTCTTCACTCTCATTCTTATATTCATGCCAGTACGCCAATGCTAACACTCTGCCCTCCGGTGGGTGGTTGGTTCGTCTATTCCTCTCCTGGTGGTTGCGCATCTCTCTCATGCCTCGACCTGTCCGTCATTGAACAGACTGCCGTCAGTGCATCCCCTCGTTTACTAGGTCACTAGTTAGTTAGTTAGTTAGTTACTCTGCGGGTTGCTGACATGAGCTGAGCTTGCAAAGCTCGTATTAGCTAGATTATGAATTTACCCTGCATTAGTAATGCTGATGATTGGTAATCAAGCCACTGGTATCTCCTATAAAGGGACTATACTATGCTTTCCGGGGCGAAATAATTACTCAGGTCTCTTAAATTATCGTCTCAAAGCCTTGGATATTAAGAGATGTTACCGCCAAAGATTTTTATTACTGGAACGGTACAATTCGCCCGCTTTTTGAAGGCTATGTTGGCGTCCTTACTGACCGTGCTATAACCACAGAGCGGCTATGTAGGAGGAGACGTCCTCTATGAGCTTCTGAGAGTACATCCTGATTGGGAGCACAGTATCACTTGTCTCGTGCGAACCCCAGCTCATGAAGCACAATTCAAAGCAAGATATCCAAAACTAAGGCTATTTTTCGGCACGTTTGAACAACCGGCTATTATTGAGGAGGAAGTAGCAAAACATGAGCTGGTCCTTCATTTTGCGATGAGTGCTGACAATGTGCCATCCGCAACAGCCATTGTGAACGGGCTGCGGAAGAGGGGGGAGGAGTCTATATTCATACAAGTGGCACTGATATTCTTCTGGATTCGGGACATGAAATGCAATATACTCCAGGTCGGATACATATTTTCAACGATTGGGAGGGGATCTCTGAACTTACATCTTTACCAGGTAAGTGTCCGTATAAAAGCTATCGCAAATCCTGCACGCACTAATAGAAGTTATTATCTCTTAAGACAAGGCTGTTCATCGCAATGTCGACAAAATTGTCTTAGCAGCTGGCTCTGATACACTGAAGACTGCTATTATTTGTCCTTCAACAGTGTTCGGAGCCGGAAGGGGTCCTGTCTCGCGGAGAACCGAACAGATGTATAATCTTACCAGGCTTATTCTTGAAACTGGCAAGGGGCTCCTGCTAGCTGATGGGAGATCTTTCTGGAATTGCGTTCATGTTCACGACCTGTCTCGTCTATATATTCGCCTGATTGACGAAGCCATACTAGGAGGATCCAAAGCTTCATGGAACTCCGAGGGCTATTACCTTGTGGAAGGTGGTGAATATTTCTGGGGGGACATCTGTCGCAGAATCACGAAAGAGGCGTATAAACTAGGACTGCTGGCATCAGAAGAGATGGTGGTGCTTGATATGGAGAACAGTACAGTCATGGCGCCTGCTGGCCGTCCTGTGGTTAACTACACGGTCAAAGCCAAAGCGGTGCGGGCTAGAAAGCTTCTCGGCTGGACACCCACGCAATCAAAGATCGAGGATGAGATCCCGGAAATTGTGAAAGAAGAGGCACGTGCACATGGTCTGACTTGAGCGCTACCCTTGGCGATATAGTTGTTCTTCTCATTATCGTTGGTCTTCTTCTTATCCGTCTTAGACGACCTATCCTCAGGAATTGGACTGATCCTCGGGCAGAGGAAAGCGTGCATCAGTTATTCTTGGGAACTTTTAAATAGCGAAGACAGAAGGTACGCGAAAGCAGTGATATACGTGAAAGGCCAGGCAGGGGGAAAATATGACGATCTGGATCAGGACGCGAATGGGAGGACCGAGTTTGCATGATGGGGACAAACTTAGGTGAATCGAGCTGATAAGACAAGGCGGAAAATATCAAGCATCATCTCACCACATAGATTTCCCATATCCATGCCACAGTGTAGTGGTCGTGGGAGCAAATAGTGGAGATGATGGATACTGGGCGCATTGCTTACCTCCAATAGCATCATCATCATTTCTCTCCTAGTGCCCTACCAACCTACTGCGCCCCACGTTCGACAAGGCTGAGCTAATGCCCAAGAAGGAGGAATACGCGCTACCTGTAGAGGATCATCAGGGGCTGCTACATGGGAAATGATGTGTACTATTATATAACCTATCTGTCTTACACTATATTACATGCCCCTACTGCGATTAATACTTTTCAAACCTCGCCCGTATCCTCGCTCCATACACATAGAACCCATACGGGATAAACACCATCCCCACCCCCAGAAACGCCAGCAGCCACGACGCCCACTGCAGGCCGAGCCTATGATACATCTGGGTGGTGAACAGCGGAAAGGCCGCCCCGCCTCCGGATCGCAGGAACACCTTCGCAGCGAGCGCCGAGGCCGCGTACTTATGGTACGAATCGATGATGTAGTTGTTAACCGCGTAGTAGCAAAGAACCATCCCAAAGCCGAACGCGATACCCGACGAGGCCGGCCCCACCCAGATAATGTGTTTGAATGAAGTAGCCCCAAGAATGAACAATGCGATCGGGATGAACGGGGCTCCGATCAGCGCAGCGATGAGTCGGTCTTCGGGTGTCGGGGCGCGAGACTGGCAGATACGCCGGAACTGTTTCTCCATGATTGGCGTGACGAGGAGCGCGAACCCGGCGCCGATCAGAATCGGGATGAACATCAGGCCGATCTGTCCGTCGTTGAAGCCGTACAGTTCGCCGAAGATGACGGGGAAGGCAAAGAAGAAGCCGTAGAGCATGGCGTAGATGAGCACGATGTACATGCACATGAGGTCGAGGACGGGCTCGGTGAGGATCATCCTGATGGGACGGACGAGGTTTGTGCGCACGATATCCCCGAAGCTCAGTTTGACTTTTTCCTGCTCGGTGATGATGTTGGGATTGCCTGTTTCCTTGCGGAGCTTCTTTGCGCGGCGTGTCAGAATGACGGGGGCGTAGGTTTCTGGGACCAGGCCGACGACGATCATGACGGCGCCGGCAAAGGCCATGTTGGTCCAGAAGAAGAGGTCCAGTCGGTGCGAGCCGACGTTGATCCAGCCGCATACGATGGGACCCACGACGGGACCGCAGTAGGGTGCTGCCGCGAAGAAGGCAATGGCCATGCCGCGCTCTTCGATATTCCAGATATCCGCAATGGTACCGCCGGCCAGCGACAGGCCGGAGCTGGAGAACACGCCGCTGAGGAAACGGCAGGCCAGCAATCCGCCGATATTGGGGGAAAGTGCGCAGGGTATCTGGAATATGGTGTACAATCCCAGCGAGATGACATACACGGGACGACGGCCGATGATCTCCGACAGAGGACTCCAGAGTAACGGCCCAACCGCAAACCCACAGACCATGATTGAGACAGTCAGCGTAGCGACTTCAAGTGAAACATGATACTTTCTCTCAATCAGGCCCAATCCACCGGTAACAAATGCCGACCCGTACGCGACGCACACGACGAGTATCGAGACGACGATGGTGACGTACCAGCGGTATAACCGGTTCCAGTTGTGCGGATTATCGGGGTCGTCAATCGTAAACGTGACAAAATCCACGGGTTCGCCTCCCTTTTCCACATCCGCCGGCGAGATCTGCCGGCCCCTGCTGGTTGTCGTACGGAGCGATTCAAGAGTCTGTGCTGGGACCAGCCCAGTTTGAGTCTCAATGTTGTATTCCTCGGGGAAAACGGGGTCGGTAGGACGTCCGACTTCTGGGTAATTGATCCCAATCTCAGGGGACTTGGGCCGAGTCCAGCTTCATGGAGAGTCTCTCTAGTTTCAGTTGGTACCAATTCAAGATTGTTGATGTTGCGTCGTGCTTGAGATCTTTCTCGAGGTAGGGTCGACATCATGGGAGTTAGCCCGCAAGAGGCTGTGAAATATCTACAATTATTATGTAGTAAGTAATATAAATTATATTAACTCATAGCTGATAGGACCTCCAGGATATATATACTCACAAACCTCAAGCTATTGCCGCTGTATCATCAATACCGTTGAGTGGCCGACCAAATCCCGAACGCCGAGTTTCAGCCATCCTGTACAAGCAAATCTTTCCGTGTCAAATTAGAGCTTCTACACGGGTTCTCGGGATCTGGTTGGCATTAGTTAGTATCTGTCTGGCGTGTATTTGAGTTGAATCTGACAACGTAATGGTGAAGTTGTCAAGACATCATCCTAAGGTCAGTCACTTGCCGCTTCGCTTAGGACTAAGCTGCACGTCTATCAGAGATAGTTTTAACCTGTTTACATATTCGTTTTCAAGTTTATGTCTTTCTCAGTCTCTACTTTTAGGTCCTTATCTACGGCATAGACATAGATTGACCGAAAGTCTACTGCACGGGAAACATCATGCATTATGTCATAGGGAGAAAACTCGGCACCGAGGGATTACCGAACTATACGGGGAGCTTCGATAGACTTTGAGTAACATTCTCGTGCCGATTCCGATCCCTAGTACTTCAAAATCCTCGCATATTTACCTTACTAGGTATCAATTTCCATCTCCTCGTACCTCTTTCACTTCTTGCCGATCTCCCAGCGTCCATTGGTCGAGGGATGAATCAGAACCGTCCCATATGCAAAGAACTCCAGACAACCATGACAGAGCGTCTGGCTGAGCAGAACGTGATATAACCGGATCCGCCAGGTATACCTGGTTATGTTATATTGGCACTGTAGATTATACAGATAGGAACCGCGAGTATTCCTTTAGGCAGACCAATATTATGACATTATAGTACTATGGGGCTTCTACATTCTCTAAGTGGTCCAAATTGCGGTATATGTACTTTATTTCTATTTATAACCACTATATGTGTTGATGGATTTTCTTCGTGGGAATACATTGCATATATCGTCTCGGCGAGCCTCACTTCATCATGGAACGCATTGATTTCTGGACTCTGGTACCGCTTCTCAGGTCTGACTCTGACTTTGTTCGTCCTTCAGTGCATACCATGGGCCCGATCGCTGATTCTCCTGCCGAATTCGACAACGTAGTCAAACAGTCTCGCGATCAAGGAAAAAAAAAAAAAAAAAAAAAAAAAAACCCATAACAGCAACTAGCAACTTGCTGCGATGACTTAGTACGACTAACTCTGCAATCAATTGCTTCCTCTTCCAAATGTCGCCACCTTCGACGCGATCTGAGGTGCAATCTCAGCCGAATGGGGTGAGGATGAGCTATGCGGATTCGAGACAAAGATCCTTCCATCAAGAGACCCGGGACAAAAATGGTGTGACAGACATTCCAACCATTGAGCGCATGCCTGTGTCCTACTCAGATTATTACTTCGCTGTTGAAACGACCATCTTGTCGCGTGCCCCGTAGTTGCATCACTGGATTCTGCGGTAGACACCACAATTCAAGAAGCCATAGGCCTCTACGCAGTGCGTCATCATCGCACAGATCAAAGGTGCAAGGGGCACTACTCCAGACTGTGCAATACAGAAATGGCTGGCTTAATTTAGATGCAGATAGATACCAAGTGGACGATGGTTTTACACTAAGCTAGGTCCGTTTGCTACACTGCTTTTCTCGGGTGCCTCTCCCACAGGAAACACGCTGTTATAAGACTGAGAGCCGTGAGTGCAGTCATGAAGATATTCTGTAAGTTATAGCCCTCAGCGAACACCCTTTTGACCGCCGCCTGCTGGGACGGAGCCAAGTCCTGGATGGCAGATAGCGAGTCGTAGATTGCCTGCGCTTCCTTCGGGGAGACAATAGAGAGTATGCGAGGCTTTACGTGATTGTTCAGGACAGTAGAACTATTATGAATTAATATTCATATCGAATGGAGGCTGGGGAATAATTACCCAATTGCAAGCGATATTGTCCCTCCCAGCACGCGGATCTGCGTTATGGCACCCATCATGACCGCTATATGGAGCTAGTAAGCAGTGGTCGTGACTGATTCGTCTATTCAGTGGGAGCTTACCCATGTGCTTCTCCTCCACCACTGCACGGGCGAAGGTGAGGATCGTGGTCAGACCCAGTCTAAAACCTATTCCCATAATCACTTCAAAGCCGTATTGAGATGGTGGAACCTCCGCCTGATCACTAGGATATGAGCAAGACAAACTGACGCCAATCAACTGTAAGACTGACGCCCCGAGGATGAGGTAAAAAGGTGGGATTTTCAAGTTGCCAGTCAAGAACCCAGACAAAGCTGTTGCAAACGGGGATGCGAGCAGCAATGGTAGCAAAGCAAGACCAGCCTTGAGAGGTGACAGACCGCTGACGGCCTGCGCTCTCTGCGGTACGTTGACGACGATCGCCACAAATGGGAAGCCGACAAAGAAAGCTGTACTACTCAACATCAACATCAATAGGAGGACACTTGGTTCGAGTCTAACCGCAACTTACAGCAGCATGGCTGCCAGCAGCCTATTCTTGAGAATGCTGGGAGGAAAGACTGGTTCCTGAACGGATACTTTCCTCTCAAGGAAAACCTCCCAGCTTGCGAGAACGACGGCAGCCACGATTGCCAGCACCAGCGGGACAATGATGGCCACGCTGTCCCATGGATACCGACTTCCTCCTTCCTCCAGAGCAAACACAAGCAACACGGAAGAGGCAAGCAACAGAAACATCCCACATATATCCACTCGTACAAACTCCGCCTTGGACAGCTTGGCCCGCAAGCGTTTGCGCAACGCGAGCTTCGAACTCGTGTCGGACGTTGGTAGACACCATACTATCAAGACGAGGGCCACAAGGCCCCCGGGAACACTGGTATTGGTTAACACCATACTGCGGAATCCATCCAGTCAGCTTACTTGAAAAGAAATACCCATCTCCATGAAGAACGCGTGTTGATGACGCCACCAAGGACCGGGCCCATGACACTGGCGACGATAAAAACAGTCGATATGATCCCCATATACTTGCCATATTTCTCGGGTGGTACCATGTCTGGCGCAATCACCATAACCATGGAGTAGATTCCCGACGCACCGATACCCTGGAATGCCCGAAATACAATCCTAAGCCAACACATGAGCATTGCCGATGGCTGGGTCCGGTGTCTTTTGTAACTTACAGTTCAATAATCGAGTTGGAGATACCACACAGAAGGGAAGCCAAAGAGAAAATAGTCAGGGCGGCGATGAGCATTGTCTTCCTTCCAAAGATATCACTGAATTTCGCAAAGATGGTGAGGAAACCTAGCCCTGTTTTGTCAGCTGTTGTTTTATGGGTTGTAACCTTCTCTATTACAAAGTTACTCACCTGTGTAGGTCAATAGGTATGCAGTGACGACCCAGTCCTTAATCAAGAAGCCGTTCAAGGCGTTGGTGATCGAAACCAACGACGTACTGACAATGGTGGTCTCGATCGTGGAGAGAAAAAGAGCAATCCAAACACTGTACAATGAGTTTCTGCCTTGCTTGCGTCAGGAAGAGCCTATCGTAACATACCCAGCCGTTAATAACCATAGTGTCCAGCCTGTCAAGTACTTCCGTGGAAGTTTGTTTTCCTGTTCACCTTCTTTACCCGAATTGATTCCCTCAGGGTCCGTGTCCCGTTTGGTCGGTATTGGCATTTGTTGACCCATCGACTGCAGGCGGTCCTCCATCTCAAATAAGGTAGGGGATGCATTCTTGATTGTCTGCTTGGTGGACGCCATGAAAGGCACCTGGAGAAGAGTGGTGTTGCCGGGGACAATGATTCAGGGGGCCGATGTGAAGACAAGAAGGACAACGTGGGTCGGAATCTGAAATTACTACGCGTATTATGGTCAGGGATTAGAGGGGGCTTAGAGCCTACTGACCGATTTATCATAGGGGAGTGTCGAGTGCAGGACCCTGAAGGCTACGAAGGATTGAGGAACAATAAGCATAATATCATTGCATATAGAACCACGATACTCTATCCATCTGCGAAGTGGGCACTGGAAAATCGATAAAGACGTTCCCTCCACTCCTATTAGAAGCAAGAGATGGGTATTCCAGTCTGTAAACTAAGAGCTTACTACTTTTGTTTTTATAACTTATTGCTGTAAAAGACCAGGGCTTATCTAAGACCACACCCGGTCTGTTTGTCCCTTGTTGCGATGGAATATGTTACCCATTTAATATTTGGCACTGTCTCCAATGGACAGCTTCAGAGGTAGATCAAGCCTTCCGGTTACAAGGTTTGATGGGATGAAGAGATTCAAACCATACGAGGCGACCAACGTAAAGTGGTTGCATGCATATTGCCAGCATCTGTATCTTCAAAGCAATACCTAGATCTGGTGAGGATAGGGGAAATTGTTAGTACAAGGCGTTATATTTTCCAGCGCGATTATGGCCTTTACCCCTTAAGATATGACTAGGGGTCCGGTTGTGAGGGGGAAAAAAATTAAAAAAAATGAAAATAAAAACAAAAATAAAAATCTCGAGCACTACTGATCCCCGTGGAGTGCAGTCAATCCCTGCATATCCAATTCCTAAATAACGTGGGGTCCCCGGGCGTTTCTGCCTGCGCCCGGCAAGCCGTGCGGTCCACATCGCGGAAAACACGAGCCTCTCCGCGAGACCCCTGAACAAGCCCCAAACAATAATTCAGGGGCGACGTTGTTTACACTCCCTACCCCCGAACCCCATAGTCCCAGCACTGCGTATTGCCCCACTCTTTGCGGGGTACGTGGTCTCGCTAAGTGATTCCGGTGCCCTCTTTTTTCGGTCATTATCGCAATTCTCCGCGATGCCTAAGCAAAGAGAACATAACCAGGTCAGCAGGAGCAAGTCGGTAAGCGTACTAGCGGAAAGGTTATTTCCGCTGGGAGGGTATATAAATTGGGACACAGAGCCCCAGAACGAAGATCAACTATACACCTCTGCCTTCTCTCTTGTCCTATACTGTTTGATACAAAATCAATCCGATGAAGTTACATCTGTCCACCGCCACATTCCTGCTCGGAGTGATGTCGTCTGTGGTTCCGGCGACTGCCACGAACCACGAGAGCTACAAAGAGCTGTACCGCCCACAGTATCACTTCAGCCCCTCGAAGAACTGGATGAACGACCCCAATGGGCTCGTGTACCACGATGGTGTGTACCATCTATACTACCAGTATAATCCCGGCGGCACAACCTGGGGTGCGATGTCCTGGGGCCACGCAACGAGCAGAGACCTGATGCACTGGACTGAGCACCCAGTTGCGCTCCAGGCAAAGGGGTTTCCCGGGAATATTACCGAGATGTTCTTTTCTGGGACTGTAGTTGTCGACAAGGACAACACAAGTGGGTTTGGGCGGCGTGGGGAAGCGCCTTGGGTTGCTATGTATACGGCTTATGTGAGCGGGTTAAATTTTATCAGCGGTTGAGATGAGAAAAGCTAATATCATGCAGTATCCCATGGAGCAGGTGCTACAGAGTGGTAAACGCGTGCGCAAGGATCAGCAGGCGCAGTCTATCGCTTACAGCCTGGACAAGGGCATGACGTGGACAACATACGACGCCGCGAACCCTGTTATCGCCGATCCTCCTGCTCCCTACCAAGACCAGTACCTGGACTTCCGTGACCCAAGCGTCTTTTGGCACAAGGAGACGCGCCGGTGGATCGCTGTAACCAGCCTGGCGAAGCTACACAAAATCGCGATCTTCACTTCCCGAGACCTCAAACACTGGGATCTAGCCAGCGAATTCGGACCGGCTAATGCCGTTGGCGGAGTGTGGGAATGCCCAAGCATTTTCCCGCTATCACTTGACAACGGCAAAAAGACCAAATGGGTCCTGATGCTCGGCCTGAATCCCGGTGGGCCCCCAGGCACGGTCGGCTCTGGATCACAGTATATTGTGGGCCACTTCGACGGGACAACATTCACTGCGGATCCGGAGAGCATCCACGATGGAAGTGGTCCGGAAGATAGCGTGGTCTTCGAGGACTTTGAGGGTGACCAGTCCTTTGCCGCGCGGGGCTGGAGCACCACCGGGAATTTTACCGGGGCCTCTCCGGTGAAGGGCACGCTCGCCGGCCAAAACTCGGTGACTGGGTTCCTAGGTGAGCAGCTGGTAAACACATTCCTCGACGGCGATGCTACAACCGGGACCCTTACCTCCGCCCCGTTCAACATCTCACACAAGTACATCAACTTCCTCGTGGGCGGTGGCAACAACATTAACGACACCGCGATCCGGCTCCATGTCGACGGAAACATAGTGCACAGCTCTACTGGGTCCAACAGCGAAGGCCTCTCCTGGTCAAGCTGGGATGTGAGTGCACTGCAGGGGAAACGCGCAGAGATTGAGATTGTCGACAACGCCACGGGCGGCTGGGGCCACATCAACGTGGATCAGATCTTATTCTCCGACACACAGGCCACGAACAATGTTGCAAACTGGGTCGATTGGGGTCCGGATTTCTACGCCGCGCTTGGGTTCAACGGTCTCGCCCAGGACGAGCGGACTGTTATTGCTTGGATGAATAACTGGCAGTATGGTGGAGCAATCCCAACAGATCCCTGGCGCAGTGCGATGACGATTCCACGGCATCTTGCGCTCAAGACAATCGGCGGAAAGGCGACCCTTGTGTCAGAGCCGCCAGGAAAGTGGGAGGCTCTGACGCACAGCGGCCGTGAGTTCAGCTTCCGTCGCATGGAGGGTACGCGGGATCTCGGACGCCTCGGCAAGACACTGGAGATTGAGTTAACCTTCTCCAATCGACAAGTGTCCTCAACCGAAAGGGCCGAGTTCGGGATCGCTCTCGCTGCAACCGGGGACCACAGCCAGGAAACCCGTGTCGGATACGAGTTTGCCACCCAACAAGTCTTCGTTGACCGAACGCGTTCTGGGAATGTGTCGTTCGATGCTACGTTCGCGAGTACCTATTATGCGCCACTGTCTCCAGGAGCAGATGGAACCGTTTCGTTGCGGATTCTCCTTGACTGGTCGAGCGTTGAGGTGTTTGGGGGACAGGGTGAGGCAACGATCACGAGCCAGATTTTCCCTTCCAAGGATGCTGTCTACAGTCGCCTGTTCTCGAATGGTGGGGAGACTAGCGATATCAAGGTGCGGGTGAGCGAAGTACGCGATACCTGGCAGTAGGTTAGCTTCCTCAGCTTTTATTTCTCTTTTTTTTTTTCGGTTGAAGTGGCGAAAGACTTCAGGTGGACACGGAGTATCCAGGGGTGGAGTTCCTGCGCAGATAGACAATGGCAGACGTAGAATATGGTTCAATAAATCTCTTTTCAGAACTATGTTCGAAGAATAATCCAAAGCATCTCTATCAGTCACAAGTAAGTTTAAAACTCTAACCGCTCTTCTGACCTCTGGCTTCACTTAGTCGCTCCCTCAAAGAGTCCCACATATACCGTACCGACGGACTGAGTTCGCCGTATTTCTGCAATGCATCAACCGTAACTTGAAGCTGCTCCCAGAGCCCTGTATGCACGAGCAATCGTAGAGGTTGGACATCCGTAGCTCTCAGTGCGGCCATCGATATAGTGTACATACTGCCAACAAAGTGAGTGGGACTGGAAGAAGAGAAGGAAATCGGCCTGTCTGCACAAACCTCGCACATAGAAACCAGGCTTTCGGTCGACATATCCAAAGCGCCATATTGGCGTCAGAGAGAAATGCAGTCACCGACTCGAAGAACAGCGGGCCGTAGGGGAGCAGTTCGGGGTCTGCGGACCCGTTCAGGATGATCCGGTATACCACGGGCCAGTAGCCGTTCACCTCGTACATATGGTACTTGGCGCGATGGACTGCACTGTAGGTATCGAGACCAAAGCCGCTAGATTGTAGCTTTATCCCCGCAGAAAGCATGTCTGGGAACGTGCGGAGTCTCTCGTTAGGTATCGGCTCGTCTGCGGTGGAGAAGACGCCGTTATATATCTCGGAAGCAGCCATGCCTGATGTAGCATACGCATCCAAAGCCTGTTGCAAGTCCACCTCTATGCGAAAGTGTGACAGTGACTGCAGCGGTTCACTTGGCGAATCCAGCCCGCTACCTTGTGGGGTTACCGGCAAAGATGAGTTCGAGGGAGCATTTTGATCAGAAGGAGAACTCCACATGTCCTTGCTTGACGGAAGAGGGACCAGGTTTGACTGCCCGCGTAAAGTTTTGCTCGGGACGGACAGATTAAGATGCGTATATGTCTCACTGGCTATATGTCAGGAAAGAGGGAAGTGCGCATTTGCCGTGAACAGACCTCATTAAAATGCAAATCGTCCAATATAAGCGAGAGACAAGATGCGCCTCTTGTGTTTCCTCGTGGTAGGATGGGCTATTGCATCATTACCAGTGTTATCCGATGACACCTGGTGGTGGATATGGGCTTGCGGAAGAAGGTGTCTACCTTTTCAGGAAGGGTTGAATCTTCAGAAAGGCAGCTTGGATGTACTCATATGCCTGCCTTGGCCTGATGAGATAGGCCTGATACACCGCGAAAAGGATCAAGCATTGCACACTCGTCACACTGCACTCGTGCATGACGGTCCCCATCATGGTCAATGCAGCTTCAAAGTGTGACGAGTGCGGGCTATTTTTGACCAAGCTTGAAACCGCAATGACCAGATGTGATAAACACGATATTGTAGATGGAATAAACCCGGTAGCGCAAGCCTCGAAGAAATGTGTCGTGAATTCCGAATGGAGAACTGGGTACCATGGATGGATTCGTTCTTCGACGCGGCGGAGGATTCTGGTTTAGAGTAAGCTGGGTGACCAAGGGCTCTTTCTAGGCAAGAGATACAGATCAAAGCATTCAGCAGGCGTTAACTCGAATAGAGACACGGGGGGCTGATGAGCTGTAGTCTCGAGGCGATACAAAACGGACGCTAGATCCGACTGCAAACCGAGAATCTGCATGAGATGCGGAGACTTAAGAACAAGAGGTGGGCAGTTTTGCAGCGCCATCACAGGAGGATCGTTGCCACCTCGTGGTGCCAGCTGCACCTGAGGCTGCTCCAGCAGTGGCATGATGGATTCCAGTTTTTCCCGGATGCTCGCGAGCTCCTGGACCAATCTGCCGCAGATGTTAACCCGCTATACATCGACAGTATGACCAGGCACCACGTACTGCGAGGGCGGCGAGTCCGCAGTTCTCCCATAGATACATTCCACTCCCTGGGAGACACAGTAGGAGCATTTTGGTCTAGTCCGGTCGCACCATCTCCTACGGAGGCGACAGTTGTCGCAGACCGAAGCCGTTCGGGATGGAAGCATTGTCGGAGAACAGTCTGGGTCACGGTACCAAGGCGATGGGACAATGTTGCACCATTATCTTATGAGTGAAAGCTGGAGAGTCGCACCTCGTCCCGACATCGCGGGCAACCAACGAATTATCCAATTAGGCAGCGCACTGGCCCCTTCCAAGTCGGGGTCTTGGCTGTATGGATGTACTCAGTAGTCCCGTTCGCCATTCTCTTAGCGTCGGATGCCCTTCCAATTAAACGCGTCTAAATCAGCCCTCGCGGAGCGGCTTCTCCTCTCCGCGAGACCATCTGCGCAGTGGTTCTGGAATGTCGTTGGAAGTTTCCCCAGATTCTCCACATTAAGGAGTGCGGAGAGAACCTTGAACCCCTCCTTTTCTTTTCGTAAAGATTGAGGAAGATTCGACATATATCTCGCCACATTTTCCAGCAGCATTTTCCGGATTTCCAGTGTTGCTCCCTTGCTGCTGCCTCCACGCTTTCCTTGACAATGTAATTGCGAGTATCATGCTCGGCCTAAACAGTCTCCCTTCCTATGCGTGTACGACGGAGCATTCTCATCATGCCAAAAGAACGGCCCAGCGCCCAGTTGACCCTGCGGCTCTAATCCTGGAAGCGTGGTCCCAGGGTCTCATGACGGGCTCACTTGTCATCATGGCTGCAATCACCTATGCAAACATGCGTCCGGGCGTATTACTCCATAAGCTGATTTTACTAGAGGTAGCCCACCACAACACATGCAATGTCCACCCCACTGACCTGGAGCAACCACTGCAGTTGATCCTAGCCCTCGCCCATGGGACATTCATATTCGCCCCGGCCCCTGTATACGGATGGTATCTGGCATCGAGCGCAATCGGCTTGATTATATCCTGGTCCTTGCACAATGTGATTGCATGGATGAAAAATAGACCGTTCATGGGCCGCAAACTGTCGCTCTTCTACATCGGCACAATTATCCTCGCTCAGCCATACTGGGCAACGGAGATTTACGCGAATTTCGCCTACTTCAACAACATTAACCCGATTGTTTACGAGAAGATTCGGCCGTGGGAAGCCCTGTTTCGGTATGCGGTTGTTCTCTTTTCTCTCCACTTCTCTTCGGGCAGCATTGAATGACCAAGCCCATCTTAGCGATCCATGGTGGATCTATACAACGTGTAACCTGTTCTGGGTTGTCAAGACCCACTACGGCTTTGGCATCATTGAGCTGGTGCGCGAGTGTCCCCGCTTCGGGCTTATGCTGGCCTCGATGTGCCTATCTATCGTGTTCATTGCTCTCGACGTCATTAGCGTGACTGGTGCACTCAGGGCCGCCATGCCGCTCGGTATCAATCCCTTCTGGAAGGTGCACCCTCCCACACACCAGGTTACGTGCTATTCAGCTCATTGCTGACCGATGATGAATATTCTAGCTGTGCTTTATGTTCAAGTGTCTCTGCGATACGATCATCCTAGACGATTTCAAGACGGCGCTTGACAAGCTCAGTTCTCGATGGCTGGCGAGGAATGGGATCCAGGCGGTTCATTCTCTAGGTAAGGCCACTTACTGTTTCTTTCTGGGACCACTGTTCTGGATGGAAAGTCTGACATGTTGAGCCGTACTAGATGTGAGGAATCACCCGACGTTTAGCGACGAGTATGCAACCCCACGTACAAGGGATACTGATTTGATAAAGCGGCCGGGAAGTGTGGTTCATATTGCGTGACCCGATGACCGTAGTATTGAGATGGCAGGATATCATATCAGTGTACGTTATCAGTGCCGTATTCAATGTAAAAGAGAAACGCCAAGATCGCTACAGTGCAAGGACAATTAATAATGAGGCGTTCGCACCGACATTGATTAGTAAACTTCAGACCGTGGACACAATCTACAAGCGAAGTGATATTTGCTAGAATCTTCCAAATCTTATTACATCAAGGGACAGTGACCAGGGTCACAGCCTGTCTAGCTTCGGACAAGGTGGGCTTATCTCCCCCGGCCGGCGCGGGGTTCAGACTGGCGAAGCGAGAGGACGATCGGTGTCCCGACCGGGCCTGGAGTCCAGCCACTGGCCGCCATTCGGACTGCCCCTCTCCGGAATGTACGCTAAAGCACGCTTTGCGAGCTGACCCATGATTGCTCACCGGCACACCCCCTTACCAGTCCCTCTCCGGTAGAAGGTGCTTAGCAACCCGAGCGTTGGTTGGAATGTCAAATCACACCACAACAACCCCCGGTCTCTTTGCCCGATGTTTCATGTCTTTCGCAATCTCAGTGGCTAGGCAGGGTCTCCACAATCAATCCAACCACACCTAACTCGTGCCCGAAGCCGTCGGGTGGAGATCCAGGATGCTGATTCGAGGGTTATATTCTTTCCTTCGCTTCTTTTCCCCCGCAGTGCGTGATGAAGATGTTCTTCGTCTGTTCTGGAAGCATGGCGACAAGGCGCTAGGGGACACAACAACATGTGTGTGAGATATTATTGGATCGTATGCCACCCGAGAAGGAATATATACGCCCCAAACGTGAATCTCTAGTATGTTTGGAAGCTTGAATGTCAGGCACCTCACCTCCCTTAATCCCCTGGGTCCTAGAAACATGTCAATACTATGGCCGGCAAATAGCGCCGAGACAGTTCTCTTCGAGACGTGGACGACGACAATGACATCCCGCAATTTGTTCAGCTCTGAACCGCGGAGACGCCGGAGCGCTCTTGCCTGCAATACCTGTCGAGGCAGGCGGACCAAATGCGACGGCAAGCGTCCCAAATGCTCGTTCTGCTTCGAGCGTGGGAAAGACTGCTTCTATCACGAGGTGCAGGATCTACCTCCATCTCCGTGAGTGGCCTTGCGCGTAGATAAAGAACGCTGTGGTATTGACTGTATATTAAGTCTAAGGGCGGAGCTCTCGAGGCTGTGGGAGCAGCTGGACCATATCACTGCCGTAGCTCAGGGCCGCACGTCGCGGAACTCGCCATCTCACTCTCCGCGACAGGGGTCTAACTCTCCAACTACCCATGGGAAGTCGTCGAAGTTCCCATTCATGATACTTCAGAGTGAAGCATTTATGAACTTGGTCGGCGTTGAGGGATCCCTGGCTGTGGGCCTGGAGGAGATAGAGCGCGGAAGACAAACCATGCCCGCTCAGACAAGGCGCACGGATCTCGTGAGGGTTGATCTTGAGGAGGCATCAGTGTAAGTGAGTGCGATGTGTGACTTTCGTTTTCTGAGGCTCTTGAAACGAGTAACTTGATCTGAGCAGGGACTGACAATAGCCTTGCCGCTCTATAGACATCTCCTTGCGTTTCGAGAACATATCCATATCTGGTATCCGATCCTGCAAACAGACTATACCGAGGACTTTATCGAGGCAAGTAGGTCATGTTTTGACACGTCTATTACATCCTGCGTCTGCCTACTTGTCCTGTCTATCGGATGCGCGGTGGGACGCGAGTCCGTCGCGGGCACGAGACAAGTAGGGTCAGAGTCGGTATACCTCGGGCCCGCCACAGATATGCTCCCCTGTGTATTCGCAGACACTAGCCCAGCAAGTGCCCAGTGCCTTCTATTGTTCGCGATATACCACTTGTGCTATGCACGACCGTGTCAGGCGCACGATTTTGTCGCAATGGCGTCGTATAAACTGCAGAACTATATCTTAAAGTGAGTACAGAACGGCCATTGTGTCGACCAAAATGGTTAGTTGATGTTGGGACTCATTAGTGAGCTCGACACCGAGGATGACACTACAAAAAAGGCACTTTTGGGGAGCTGTTTCTGGTCAGCTCTATTAATTGAAAGGTCCAACATTTTTTTTCATCCCCCTCCCCCCCTTTCGTGATAAAGACAAGCGATCGGAAGGTAACCAGTTTTATAGCGAAATTACTGTTCAGCTTAACCTCGTCAACAGTGGCATCTGGAGCATGGCCCCATTCGTCTCGCCCCCAACAATCCAGACCACCTGGACCTGGGATCCAAACCCACTCTCCGACTCTTCCCTACCCGGCAGCGATCTCTCCTACTTCGTCGCGGAGATCGCGATGCGCAAAATGCTGCAGCGTTGCACATGGGCAATAAGGACCCCGGCGGACGGGGGCAACATCTACGCGCCCATTGTCGCAGCGGAGCTTGAGCGGCAGCTGGACGAGTGGCTACAGTTACTCCCGAGCCACCTGTCCTTCGGGCGCGCCTCCCCCACCTTCGGATCTCGCCCGCAGGGGAACGCAGGGGATATTGCACACTCGGCACAGGTTGCCTTTCTCCGCGCGCAGTACTTTGCATTCAAGGCGTCCATATATTGGCCGGCGGTCTACGAGGCGCTTACGACGGGCGAGCCCAACGGTGAGCTTGTTCGCCACTCACACTATTTTTTTACAAGCTACGCTGAGTTTGTTCCGTGTGCTGCGGCAGCCATAGCTGTCTGCAGGCCGAATCTCTGGACATTGTGCACTAGGTAAGACCCGGGTAGCCAAGTCCTGTGCGACACACTCGGTGAACGAGCATGCGCTAATGCATATGTGACTTATTAGTGTGTTCACAATCTCAATGGCGGCGCTGGTTGGCTTGATGAATCCATGCTTTGCCGGGCTTAGGTCTCGAGATGTGGTCAACAGTTTAGATTTAGCAGTTCAAGTTTTTGACCGGGTTATGCAGGTGAGCCCCTCGTTGACGGAGATGGGTGTAATTTTGAAGGAGAGGATACAACTGTATCATGCGAGGTACACATAGAGTTTTCCTTAAATGATGATAAAGCATGACCACAACAATTCAGCCACGCATTCATATAGAGAGCGCTATTCGTCAGGTACATCCATTCCGACTTATATGCCTTTTACTAGCCCAGAGCCAACGTATCCCCCTGTCTACCTGCTATTTCGTTCGTCGTTCTGCGCCCAGCAGGGATCCTGAGTCCTGACCATCGCGGAGAAACCCCCACACCTCCGCTGAGCTGGCAGCAACATGACCTACGCGAAGCGGCCGAATGGTGGCATCGGCATTGAGTCGGGCGCAGGGGGGGGACGGAACTACTGGATGCTCACGAAGACTACCCTCTCAGTGAGGCGGCTACATTCATTTAAAGCTTCATCCTGTCTCATCCATCAAAACACCAAAGCAGATTTTCAGAAACCTTCCTCATTAACACAGTCTGCCATCGCCCACTTCGCATCTACAATGGGTGTCCTCTTCGAAAAGCCGCTGGGAACTGAAGGCAAGGCATGGCCTGCCATTCTAATCAGTGGATTCGTCGCCTTTGGGGGTATTCTGTTCGGGTGAGTCCAAGCTACCCTGTTTTAAGTCCCGTCTCACGCTCACACTTCCCCTAGGTACGACACCGGCACCATCAGCGGCATCATCGCCATGCCCTACTGGACTGAGACCTTCTCAACCGGCTACCGCGACAGCACCGGCCAGCTCAATGTCACCTCCAGCCAGTCTTCTGCCATTGTATCCATCCTGTCCGCCGGGACCTTCTTTGGTGCACTCGGGGCCGCCCCGATGGGCGACCTCATCGGGCGTCGCTGGGTCTTATCGCGTCAAATGGCGTTTTTGTGCTTGGGGTTATTCTCCAGACTATTGCAACCTCTATTCCACTGTTCCTTGCAGGCCGCTTCTTTGCCGGTCTCGGAGTTGGTCTTATTTCTGCGCTGGGTAAGGCCACCATCTATTTATGCTAGATCTTGTGTCCAGACACTTATACCGACCTATCTGGCGGACCGATAGTCCCCCTCTATCAATCTGAAACCGCGCCGAAGTGGGTTCGGGGTTTCATCGTCGGCTCCTACCAATTCGCCATTACAATCGGCCTTCTCCTCGCCTCAGTGCTCAATAATGCGACCCACAACCGCAGAGGCTCAGGCTCTTATCGTATCCCTATTGCCGTGCAATTCGCCTGGTCCATAATCCTCGTCGCCGGCCTGCTGATCCTCCCGGAAACCCCACGGTACCTAATCAAGCGCGATAAACCCAAAGCCGCCGCGCGCAGCCTGTCGAAACTCCGCCGCCTCCCCGAGGACCACGAGGCTGTGCGCGAGGAGCTCGCCGAGATTCAGGCCAACCACCAGTACGAAGTGAGTCTCGGCAAGTCTGGGTACGTCGACTGCTTCCGGGGCAATCTGCTTAAGCGCCTTATGACAGGGTGTCTGTTGCAGGCGCTGCAGCAGCTTAGTGGGATCAACTTCATCATCTACTACGGGACGCAGTTTTTCAAGAACTCTGGGATCCGCAATGAGTTTGTCATTACGCTCGTCATCAACTGTGTCAATGTTGGGTCGACAATCCCTGGTCTCTACGCGATAGACAAGTGGGGTCGGCGGCCGGTTCTGCTCACAGGCGCTATTGGCATGGCTGTGTCCCAGTTGATTGTTGCGGTCCTGGGTACGACGACCACGGGCCAGGACGGCCAGGGAAACATAATCGTGCATGATGCGGCGGCGCAAAAGGCCGCGATTGCGTTTATTTGCATCTACATCTTCTTCTTCGCAGCGTCCTGGGGTCCAATTGCCTGGTGAGTCTGCGACTCTCAACTGACTACCCCATCCCTCAAAGTACGCCCACTAACACCGCTTATCTTTCAAATAGGGTGGTAACCGGGGAAATCTTCCCGCTCAAGACGCGCGCAAAATCCCTCTCCATGACCACCGCCACAAACTGGCTGCTCAACTGGGCGCTGAGCTTCTCAACCCCGTACCTGGTCAACTACGGGCCTGGAAACGCAAACCTGCAGTCCAAGATCTTCTTCATCTGGTTCGCATGCTGCTTCCTGTGCATTGGGTTTGTGTACTTTATGATCTACGAGACCAAAGGGTTGACGCTGGAGGAGGTGGATGAGTTGTATAACGAGATTGGCAGTGCGCGGGAGAGTGTCGGGTGGAAGCCGCGCGTTACGTTTATGGAGATGAGGGCCAAGGAGGCCGGGTTGGTGGGGGCTGAGGATAAGGGGGTGTTGCTGGGGAGCATCGCGAGGTTGAGGGGGCTTGAATGGGGGGTGTCCGTTTACTTCTGGGTAGCTTAGATGGAAGTTCTCTAGATTTATGAATTCTGGGAAGTTTGAAAATGAAGGTACGCTGCATGTGTTGTAAAAACCTTTCAGCGGTTGCTTAGGGGAGCGGCCGTTTTCAAGAAATATTAGAGGTCCGAGATCTTCTGCCTGGTTTGATAAGATATATACCGATTGCGGTATATTCCTCGGGGTGTACGGTATCAAGTACTCAGTATGATGTACGGACCACTACAAGAACTTGACCAGGATGTTCAGCTTGGGTGTTGACACATCGACAATCATGCAGCTAGGCGAATCACTTATGCTTGCAGCTTGGCTACCACCACCGCAAAGGTCACAACCATAGCCCAAAATAGTAGATCGACGTACAACGATGTGGTGCCAAACCTCGAGGTTATCCAGCCGTGTCGCTTGCGAAGTAAATACGATGAGGTTGAAACGTTGGAGATCCAGATTTTCATGGATATTTCATACACCTAACTGGACTAACAGATATGAAGCAGCGCAATAGAGCCTTACTCCAAACTTATGGTGTCGTCGAGCGGTAGCACTGACCACCCATGGACACTAGAGAAGAGATCCATGCACGGCCAGATAGGGGATGCTTTAAACATTTACTTCCTCCATGTGGACCGGCGGCTCCGTCTTGGAGTCCTGAGTCACTGCCCTCCTCTGTCTGCTCACGGCGCGAAAATGTCGCGGCGTGGTCCCGCTCGCGTACAGTTCGTCCATCTGTTCAAACGAGATGCCCTATCGCATCAAGTCAGTGAATTATGTCTCTATACCATCGTTACCCGATCACATACCTTGGTTTCTGGATATAGGTACCACCCACCGATGGCTGCGACCAGGCCTGTTCCGAGGAAGATGAACCCGACCTTGCCGCCGAGATTTCCCGCATCGGGATTGATCTAACAAAAAAGCATTAGCAGTCCTTCTTCTCGCAGAGAGTAGAATAATAGAGCACAACATACCATATACGGGATAGTAAACTGCATAGCTAGGCCCCATGCTGCATTTGTGATCGTCACAAGCCCCTGCGTGGTACTCCTCAGCCGCGCAGTCGAAATCTCAGACGCAAGCACAAAGCCCACGGCACCGATGGACAACTGGTAAATAATCGCCCAGACATATATAAACACGATAATTCCCCAGCTCGCCTTTCCGTGGTCCGGAACGCATCCCAAGATTCCGATTAGCAGAAGCATACAGCAAAGGACGAACTGCGGAATTACAATCATGGTTCGGCGCCCGAGGATCTCTGTCAGTGGGAACGCGGTCATGCTGGCCAGCAGCATCACGACGTAGAGGACGATCGAGGCATCAAAGTAATCCTTGACGCCAATCAGATCAAGGAAGTATGTCGCGTACCCGATGACGAACGTCGCGCCGATCATCTGCTGGCCGCTGGCGGCGAATATGGCCGTCAGGGTGCGTTTGCGGTTCATGGCGTCGAAGCACTCGGCTTCGGCCGCGAGGTTGAGGCCGAGGAATGTACGTCGTGTGCTACGCTGTTCAGAACTTGCCTGAATCGACATTGCTTGGTCAATTTCGGATTGTATGCGGTGGACCTCGACGGTATAGAAGGCGGGGTTCTGGAATCCGTAGACTCGCTGGAGGGACTTTCGCGCCGCAGTGGTGTTGCCTTGTCGCACGAGCCAGTATGGCGATTCGGGGAAGAAGAACCAGCCGGCTGTGAGTATTGCGGGGAAAATGTACATGCCCACGACTGGGAGCCACCATTGCCTGGGATGGTTCTAGCTGTGCTTTTTTTGGTATGGAATAGATACATAGCGAACTTACCATTTGCCCTCCAGATAGCTGCTTCCTCTGGATACGGCAGCACTGAAGAAGAGATTAGCAGACATACATTCCACTACAGAACAAGGCAGCACTGACATAGCGAACTGTCCAAACACGATACTAGTATTGAAGAAGCAGAGGAAGAACCCTCGTAGCTCCGGCCGACATGTCTCCCCGATCCACAAGGGCGATATAGTGAACATCATCCCGATCGCAATGCCTACAGTTTGTCAGTACTTGTGCACATATTCATGTTCCAGGGAAAAACACACCATTAACACCCCTCCCAGCCAAATGCACCTTCCAGTCCGTGGCAAGCTGCTGAAGCAGCACCCCTGCAACAGAAATCAGAGACGCCACCAAGATCCCCGGTTTCCGACCATATCTCTCAAGCAGCGGAGCGTAGATAAACGTCGACGCAATCTCACACGCCGGCGCAATGGAATTCCACGCAGACAGATAATGCGCAGGGATAATGTGCGAGCCGTCGGGTTGTAGACGTCCAAATTGTTTCTGGAATTCTGGCAGTGCAGCAAGTTGGCCACCGGCAACGATGTCAAACCCTTGCATGATCACTCCGCTGGATACCCAGAGGCCTGACGAATAGGTGAGTAAGCGGTGGCTTTGTAGATTTGTCTTTTGTGCTACTCACACCAGAAAAAGAAGCGCTTTTGCGACTGGAGCATGCGCCATCGTCGGCTCGCGTCGATAACAGAGTAGTCGACACTGCGTCTCGGTCAGCTTGGTCAGAGAGGAGGGTTCGGGTTCTGAGTAATGCTGGGGCGTAGTACCCATCAATCTGGGCCTCGGAGATATTTTGCATCTTGCATTGTCCGGAGTATGACTAGTCAACATCGAGATAGATCCTCAACGTGCGTCTAGTGTGTAGAACCCTTATATATCACAGAATGCGGGGTAGCGTGGTGTGTCAGCCCAGAATAGTAGTTAATAAAGACATACATATAATATTATATTTTATTTCATGTTGCCAACCCCGGGGACAGCGAGTCTGGTCGTGGGTAGAACAAGCGAGCTGAACTGAGATAATTGTGACAGGGCGTCGTTCTGGCCCCTGCAGTGGCGACACTCTACCGCGGAGTCTGGCTCGTCTCCGCGATGGGAACTCAAGCGAGTCAAGCCTAGAATCACCAGAAAGGTCCATGTGGGCCAAATACGCACGGGCACCCGGGCCAGCGACCCGTTCTCTGGATATCAACGTCGGAGAATGGCCAAATTGGACTCGGTTGCCGTGTTCCAAGGTTACCAGTGGGCCTCTTCGTCCCGCGCCCTCACCGGTTACCCGCCCGTGATTTGAGACCGGCATGTGAGCTTGCTGGACGTTCACCGGCGTGAGATTTTGTGATAGCATCATCATTAATTGAGTGGAGTACCGAGGTTGTCAAACGTTGCTAAGCAGCGATCCAGTAGTATTTTGACGATGGAAAAAACTAATTTCTCTTGATTGTCCTGAACTATATTCACAGTCTCTATCTCGCCCATATTCATCCCGCATATCTACTGCTTGAGGCTATTCAAGAACCGCTGGCGAATATCCTCACAAATCCGCACATTACTCAAAGCCCGGTCTTTCGATTCCTTCGCCCGCCGAGCCAACCACTCATTCCGATCCCTGACAAACGCGTCATACCTCTCCCGATGCTGCCTCAGCTTCTCCTTCTTCTCCGCACTAAGTGCCGCAAGCTCCTCCTCGGTCGGCTCCGGAACCTCTGCCACCGCCGGCCTGCGCGGCAGCCGCTCCTCCACGGGAAGGATCTCCAACTTCGGCCCGGGCAGCGTCTGATACCAGTACGCGGTCGTCGACCAGTCATCCCGCAGGTGGTTCGCATGCCCGGTTTCCAAGGTAACCTTGATGCGTTTGCTGAACCGCACTGGGTCGGCGAGATGCCAGCGATAGCTGACCTGCGTGTTGGGCACATCGTCCTCGTGGATAATCGTCCCGCAGAACGGATATGCGTTCTTCTGCATGCCCCAGCCCTGCGAGAAGTAATCTTCCCCGCCGGTGCCGTGCATGCTCGGGGGCCAGGTGTCGTCGTCGATGAAAATCATGTCGTCGCCTTCGCCCCACCACGTTCCCTGCGCGTGCCGGACGGAATGGTTGCACCCGATGTAGTGTCCTGCGCCTTCGGTCTCGAGGATCACGTAGTTCCCTTTCCCGTCCAGGTTCTTCACCTGCGTTTCCAGGCTGTTGGTTTGGATTGTCGACGGGGCCCAGCCCTTGGTTGGGTTCTCGCGGCGCCAGTGTGCGTGAAAGTATAGAGTATCTTTGGGCAGAGGCTCAGGGTAAAGCTCGTAGTCGATGTAGAAGTATTGAATGTAGGCTTCGTCGTTCTGGTTCTCGATCTCGATGCGGGCACGCCTGTTAAATGGCATCGTCAAGTAGCAGTTAAACGCTGCAGCTCCGCCGAACTGTTTCTCCTCTGACGGCTTGACCGAGACCGTAAAGGGCAGCGACTGAAAGTTGGCAGCCATGGAGTGACCAAGGCAGAAGAAATCCCCAATGGGCGCGAGGACATTGGGCGTCTCCGAGTCGTCCCAGAACATCTTGATGAGCACTTTGCGGTAGTAATCCGGGTCGCTGACTTCGTAGTTGAGCCCGAGCGCGTTGTGGATTTCCATCATGGCGACGCCGGACTTTGTGTATGGGATCAGGCCCGGGCCGAGGATCTTGCGGCAGGTCTGCACGAACCAAAGGTGCGTGATTGCACCGGGACCTTCGAGGTCCGCCAGTACGGCGGTCTCGCCAGGGAGGACGACAAAGGCATCTTCGTTCAGGCCAGTCTGATCCCAGCTTGCGACGCGGGCGCTGCGGGCGACCCGTTGCTTGGTGATGTCGGCGAGGAGGTGGTTTCCAATGGAATTCATCGTTTGTTATGACTTTCTTCGGTCCTCAGAGACCGTTTCAACTACAGAAGACGAGCAATGACGCGCTCTTATACCATTGTCCATGGGTGAAATTGATAGTACTACTAACGCGGAATCGGGGATCCACTCCGCGGATGCCGCGCCAAAACTTGGGGAACGCGGGGTTTGCCGCTACCACGCACGTCCCCGCGGTATTTGAAGCAAACTCCGCACTGTCAACGGCCTGCATCGATCAAACACGATTCAACATGGCCAAGATGCGGAAACGATTGACCCTTGCCTGCGACACTTGCCGATCACGACGAGTAAAGTGCGACGGACAGCGACCATGTTGCGCACCGTGCAGAATCCGTGGGCTGGACTGCTTCTACCAGCAGCTTCCTGAAAGTCCTGCCACCAAGTACGCCTCCCGAGCAAAATGGGGATGTATGATGGGCTAAGATGATATAGGGTAGAGACTGAACTAGCTAATGTCAACTTGCGGCTCGACTACCTCACCGCGCTGCTATCGAGGCAGTCCAGGCCACTAGTCGAGTCCCACGCAGGCTTGCAAGAACCTACCAGAGCATTGGGCTCCCACGAGGACTCGCCGTTTCGGCTTCTAGCAACCAACTCGATTATGCGCGTGTTTGGTCTCGATGACAACTATGCGCAGCGCCTTCTTCAACTCGAGCGGGCGAATCTCCTAGTCGGCACGACTACACACCCGCGTACGGCCTTTATTCCCCACCAACAGATCACCGACGCATTAGCGGCCTTCTCCGACCGAATCCACAGCTACTATCCCATCCTTCCTCTGGACTTTTCGGAGCGGTACTTTTCCACGCTGTCTGATTCTTCTCTGGCCCCATCATGTCACACATGTTTGGTCCTCGTTGTTGCAGCCCTCGGGTGCGTTGCGCATAATCCTACAACCGGCAGCCATTACTTTGAAGCTGCTCTTGCGTCGCTGCCAGTCATCCTTGCGGAATGCACTGTGACCAGCATTCAGTGTCTGATTTTCCTGAGTATCTATTACTGTTGCATCCTCAAGCCATGTCAGGCCCATGACTATTGCCTGATAGCCGCGTTTAAGATCCAAAATCTGTTCAAGAGGTGCGCCTATATTTCTCTACGCTATTGGCATTACTTAGTCTGACTCTATTAGCGGCCTCCAAAATGCAGAAAATGACAGTCTCGAACTGACGCACCGAGCATATTGGGCTATCCTATTACTTGAAAGGCAAGTCCACTCTCACAGCTTAAACCTGTAACACATAGACTCACAAAGCAAAGCGAACTGAGCGTCCAGCTCGACCTCGCAAAAAGCTCCATCTGGTCCCTAGACGAATGCATCCCCCTCCCCAACTGCCAACGCACCTGGCAGTTCCCACCCCCGCAAACTACAAGCCCTGCCGCCGTCTCCCCCGCAAGCATCCACTCCACCGACAGCACCAGCACAACAGCCGACCAAGCCCGCTCCTTCTTCCTCGCCGAGATTGCCATGCGGCGCATGTTGCAGCGGTGCAACTCGGCCGTCACGCGCACCGCAGACGGTCGACCCAGCTACGCGCCCGGGATTGCGCTGGAGCTCGAGCGCCAGCTAGACGAGTGGTACGACTACCTACCGGGGAACATCCGCTTCGCAAAAGAGCCTGGTCCAAGCCAGCCGTACGCGGAGCGGATCGAGTCGCTCTCGAATTTCCTCAACGTCCAGTACTACTGCTGCAAACTGTCCATCTACTGGCCGGCAGCCTTCCAGGCGATACAGGACGGTGGAGCGAGCATCCAGCTGCTAGACCATGTGCAGCGCTTCATCGACGCGTACGTCCAGCTCCTGCCGCGGATTACGTTTGCGGTTAACGACTGTCTGGTTTATAAGTGGACTTTGTCGGTTAGGTGAGTTACGCCAGTTGGCTCTTCCCGCTTTGTCTGGCTCTCAAGTGCTTATTCAAACCTCGCAGTCTCTTCACCACTACGATGGCCGCCCTTAAGGTCGCTGAGGCCCCGTGCTTCGGTGGTGCTAGTCGTGATCAGCTACGGGAGTGTCTTCCGTCGGCTGCGGCTGTGGAGTGGAGAGGGGCAGAGGGGAGCCCATCCCTGGAGGAGCTGCGACAGACTCTAAGAGCGCGGTTGGGAGAGGCTGGGTATAAAGAGGTAAAAACCTGAAGATAGGAGCATTAGTGGTTGCCGGGACCTTGCTTTGTCCCTGAAAGAGCGCGCTATTTCCAACGCTTAGCATCCAGTTAGTAACAATTTTCGCTGAGAGTTTTAGGCCTTTTGGAATATCTTCTCCAGCCGCGGCGAATGTTTAGCGCAATTTGTAGGGGAGCGGGATGTAAATGCTAATTAGAGACTGGCTATTTCACCAGGCCAAGCCACAACAGTATGATGGGCAGCGCTGGGCGCCGGTCGCTCCATGAAATCACACCTAAAGCGTGTTCCCGGCCCCAGACTCCGCACGAAGTCTTTGTGGAACGGGAATGATCAACAAGTTTCTTGTTGCCTCCAAGGAAGGGTCACTGTAACTGCCAGGGGGGGTAAAGGGTGAGCTAGAGACTGAGGGATCCAGACACAAGAACATCGGCCAATATCAACGACTCGCTTATACGCCCGACCAGCGCCCATGATGTGCTTCGCGGAAGCTAGGCTGCCTCCGCGACGAAATAAGATTAAGCAATTTGAGTATCGGCAGTCGAGAGCCCCTCCCCCGCGACTTCCCCACCATTTCTGCACGATGCCTCACTGGGCTCCCCACGGGGATTCGTCATGCCGATCATAATAATTCCGAGCAACGTCACATGCGCCACCACTATCGCTGAAGACTTCCAACCTCCGCGAGTCTATGCGACATGTCTAGCCGGATAAATGAGATGCTCGCGAGCAATAATTGCTGTATTTCTTTCTCCGCTTTTTGATTTTGTGCATTAGATGAATGCCCCTGGGGCAAGGAGGTCACATTGCATCCATCCCTGCTTCCAGAATATGGAGGGGGATGTGTTTCAGGATTTCTCCGCAATTGGGCGATGTCGGGGAAGGTTCGCGGAGATCCGGCGTAGCTGAAGACGAGTGAAGAAGCAAAAAGAGTCAGTCGGTAAGAGTTTAAGTCTTAGGATTTCGTATTAGCTGTTGGCTATACAGGAATGAAGCTAGATACTGAAGAAGTAGAGTAACAGCCTGAGAGTATAAAGAACTCTGTGCTTCGCCGCGAACTTGAAATATTTCGCACTCACTAACCGCATCTTTTCCAAGTCGCCTCTCTATCCAGACAGTGGATACATCCATCTTTTCAGGATGACCTTCTTCTTCTTCTTTGCCTCTGTTCTTGCTGTCGGACTTTCTCTATTGCAGACTGTAGGTGCGCAGACCTACAATGAACTCTACCGACCTCGTTATCATTTTACCCCAGCCAAGAACTGGATGAATGATCCAAATGGTCTTCTATATCATAATGGTACTTATCATCTGTACTACCAATACAACCCTGGAGGAGACACCTGGGGAGCCATGTCATGGGGCCATGCTACGAGCGATGACCTGACCCACTGGAAGCACCAACCTGTTGCCCTGCTTGCGCGCGGATACCCAGATAATATCTCCGAGATGTTCTTCTCTGGGTCCGTTGTTGCTGATGCCGATAATACGAGCGGGCTCGGTACAAACGGAATTGTTCCTTTTGTGGCAATATATACCTCCTATGTGAGTACCTGTGAGCTCCGTACTTACCATGCCGGGCACCTGGAATGACTTTTGCTTAGTATCCCGGGTCCCGCAGTCTACCCAGCGGCAAGTCAGTCAACGGTGGACAGCAAGCTCAATCGATCGCCTACAGTCTAGACGAGGGTCTCACATGGACGACCTACGATGCGGCTAATCCCGTCATTCTTAACCCGCCAGCGCCTTACACAGATCAGTGGCGTGACTTTCGGGACCCATTTGTATTCTGGCACCAGCCAACCCAGAAATGGGTCTCGGTCATCTCGTTGGCCCAGCTCCACAAGTTACTCATCTATACCTCACCCAACCTCAAGGAGTGGACGTACACCAGTGAGTTCGGCCCAATGAACGCAGTCGCGGGTGTCTGGGAGTGTCCCAGCATCTTCCCGCTTGCCCTTGATGGGAGCGAGGCCAAGACCAAATGGGTCGTACAGATTGGACTCAACCCCGGAGGACCACCTGGAGTTGTCGGCTCAGGAACGCAATACATAATCGGCAGTTTCAATGGCACGGCATTCGTTGCCGACCCCGACACTCCGTCTCCGTCTACAACCTCCACCTCCGTGTTGACGCCCACTACAACGAGTACCCAAACATCCTCTACCTGCGCCTGCCCAGGAGGAACTGCAGTGCCAGGGAATGCCACATTCCAAGATTTTGAAGGTTCTGGAGATTTTGCGTCTCTCGGCTGGGTTGCCACAGGGGGATTAGTCGGGGCAGCACCGGCTCGGGGAACTCTTTCCGGACAGCAAACCGTCTCCGGATATGCTGGCGCTCGCCTTGTCAATACCTTCTTGAACGGTGACTCAACGACCGGTACCCTCACCTCACCGCCCTTCACAATCACTCGGCCACTTATCAACTTCCTCATTGGCGGCGGTAACGCACCTGGAGCCGAATGCATCAACTTGAAGATCGCGGGGCAAAGCCAAGCCGTGCGCACTGCCACTGGCCGCGATGAGGAAAGGCTCCTGCTACAAACTTGGAATGTTACCGAGTATATCGGACAAACTGCCGTCCTTGAGATCGTGGATCAGCAAACGGGTGGTTGGGGCATATCCTCGTTGACGAGATTACCTTCACTGGGGATGCCACCCCTCCCGCGTCCATCAACGATGCCGTGTTTAATTTCAATGGGACCGGTACTTTTGCAAGTCGTGGGTGGACCGCCACTGGAGATCTTGTCGGGAAGAGCCCGTCCCAGGGTACGCTGCCGGGACAGCAGGTGGTGTCTGGGTATCGCGGAAACTTCGTCAACACGTTCTACGATGGCGATGCGACGACTGGAACTCTGGTCTCGCCCGCGTTTACGATTACGAAAGAGAGGATCAACTTCCTCATTGGTGGTGGGAATGCTCCCGGTGTGCAATGCATCAACCTCAGGGTCGACGGCCAGGTCGTCCGCACCGCCACGGGCAGTGATAGCGAGCAGCTCCTGCCAACGAGCTGGGACGTCAGGGACCTGATTGGCAAGAGTGCGGTTATTGAAATTGCAGATCTCAGCACGACCGGCTGGGGCATATTCTGGTGGATGAAATCTCCTTCTCGGATGTGTCGGCTGAGCCACGAGGGACCAACTGGCTAGACTGGGGCCTGACTATTATGCTGCAGCGCCATTCAATGGGCTTGCGTCTGCAGACCGCACCAACATTGCCTGGATGAATAACTGGCAGTACGCGGCCAGCATCCCTACCTCTCCATGGCGCAGCATGTTGTCGATCCCTCGGAAGCTGTCACTCAAGACCATCAACGGATGGCCAACGCTCATCCAGCAACCCGCTGCCAACTGGGCCAGTCTACAAACAGGGACGTATTCCGATGCCCTAACCACCGTATCTCAAGGAACTCAATCCATTCCGCTTTCTGGGAAATCCCTGGACATCACCGTGGCATTCTCCCACCGGAGCTCGGCGTCTCCAGCTCAGTTTGGCGTCCTCCTCAGAGCGACCTCTGACCTGACGCAGCAGACCCGGATTGGGTACGAGTTCAGTACGAAAAGAATGTTTGTCGATCGAACCAAGTCGGGAAATGTCGGCTTTGACGGGACATTCTCCAAAACGTACTACGCGCCTCTAGAACCCGGCAGTGACGGCAAGGTCACTCTGCGCATCCTTCTTGATTCCTCTTCGGTTGAAGTCTTTGGTGGCCAAGGCGAGGTCACGTTGTCGGCGCAGATCTTCCCCCAAGATACGGGCGCCGATGTCCGGTTGTTCTCAACCGAGGGAAGTACAAGTGGGATCACGATTGATGCAAAGATTCTGGGGTCCGCGTTTGATCCGCTCACCACCAGCAGCACGACCAGCACGGCACTGAGTACGACACTCAGTACGAGGGGAGTTAATACAACTACCACAAGCACAAGCACAAGCACAAGCACCGCCACTCAGCCTTCCGCTACAGTTCCTGTCGACTTCCGCCCTGTTTTCCACTTTGTGCCAGAGCAGAATTGGATGAATGAGCCCAACGGTCTGATAAAGATCGGGTCCACGTGGCACTTATTCTTTCAACATAATCCCACCGGGAACTTCTGGGGCAACCTCAGTTGGGGTCATGCGACCAGTACAGATCTGGTCTCCTGGAGTCACAAACCAGTTGCTATCTCCAGTGCGGATGGAATCCAGGCATTCACTGGGACCGCGTACTTCGACCCGCAGAACCTTTCGGGACTGGGATCCGCCTCGAACCCTCCGTATCTCGCCTTCTATACTGGCTACTTTCCCTCGACTGAAGTGCAGGACCAGCGGCTTGCATACAGTCTTGACCTGGGCGCCACATGGATCAAATTCCCAGGAAATCCAATTATCTCAAAAACGCAGGAAGAACCGCATGATAGCACCAAGGGTCTGGAGATCCGGGACCCCAAAGTCTTTTACCATACTCCATCAGGCAGATGGGTGATGATCCTCGCACACGGCGGCCAGAATAAGCTCACATTCTGGACATCAAGTGATGCCAAAGCCTGGACCTGGAGAAGTGACTTCACTACCAGTAACATTCCTAACCTACCCAGCGGAATCAACGGGTGGGAGGTGCCGGACTTTTTCGAACTCCCAATCAAAGGCACAACGCAGCAGAAATGGGTTCTGATCATTACCCCTGCCACTGGATCCCCCGCCGGCGGCAATGGCGTCTTCGCAGTCACAGGCTCCTTCGACGGAGCGGTATTCACCGCAGACCCTGTTGACCCCAGCGCATTCTGGCTCGACTACGGGCGCGACTTTGACGGGGCGCTCACGTGGGAAAACGTCCCTGCATCCACGGATGGCCGGAGGATCCTCGCCTCCGTGATGAACAGTTACGGCGGAAACCCTCCAACAAACACCTGGAAGGGAATGCTGTCGTTCCCTCGCACACTAGAGCTTCAGCAGCTGAGCAGTGGCAAGCTGCGGTTCGTGCAACAGCCCGTAGATGAAATCGACGCGTACGCGTGGCCCGTTGCAAATCTCACGAATGCAACCATCACCCCTGGACAGACATTGCTTTCCGACATCCACTCCCGGACGCTCGATATCAAAATGGCTTTCGTACCTTCCCCCGGTTCCACGCTTTCTCTCGCTGTCCGCAAGGCAGGCTCTCAGCAGACACTTATCAGGTACGTGCAGAGCTCTCAACAGCTTTCCGTCGATCGCAATGCGAGTGGGGATATCTCGTACGATTCCGCAGCTGGCGGCGTCCACACTGCTACTGTGCAGCCTGGTGCGAATGGCGAGGTCCACTTGCGTGTCTTGGTTGATGTGTGCTCTCTTGAGGTCTTTGGCGGGCTAGGCGAGGTGGTAATCTCGAACTTGATCTTCCCTGACGTGTCTGCTGACGGTGTGTCTCTGCAGGTTTCTGGGGCAATGTTGTTTTGCGGTCGGTGGAGGTGCGCAAGGTCCTTCTTTGAGCTGGCGAGTTATAAGATGAGATGATTAGTCTGTTATTCTCATAGGACGTGATGCGTGTGATAATGTAAATCTGTTCTAGATCAGATCCTCTTCTTCTCAGGTGCCGCGCAACATAGAAGAGGGGATAGAGGGGCTTGTAGCGGTGTTTGAAAAGATACAAGGGTTTAGGGAGGCCAACTCCGAACCAAACCTCCCGAGTCCAAGGCCTAACTCACACCCTCATGCTCCTTCCGATCATCCACCAGCTGAAACCTCTCCCCAGTTCCATCGAGGGCTGGAAGCTGACTTCCCCACTCGGTGCTCTTTACAGTGTCCTCAGAATCAAATATGGACCTAGGCCCGTACCTTCCCTTTGATGGCGTGGACTACGAATGTACTATCTGCGAACGGATTTTCAGTTCTGAAACTGCTCTGTAAGCACATTGCAGAGGTACATCACGACATTCATAGTGCGAAAGGTGCTCCCGGGTGTTCGTTTCGATCCAAGCCAGAAATTCCCATCTTCAAGGATCCAACAAGCACTATATCTGTCCAAAGTTTCCTCACGTGCAAGACTCACGGGGTTTTGCGACAAAATATACCGGATACTATTCTTCCAGCCATTCGAACTTTGGTCCCTTGCTTTAGTTGTGTGTATCTCGAACTACCTATAGATGCCTTGGAGAGAAAGCTAGTGCCCTGGGGCAGCTCGAAGAGCAGCGTAGATAAGTTTGGAATAAGAGGCATCAGGCTCGGAAGCATCACGGCCTACTTTGATCTCAATTGACTGACTTGCTAAGCTCGGTGATATTGACCATTATGGCAAGACCATTAAGGCCGGCGATTAAAATGTTATCCTTCCTCTTTCTGTGATGGCCTTTAATGTTTATTCCCGATTTCTAACCAATTTGGACCCGCCAAACTATGAATACTGTATTAAAAATGTCATGTTGAAATCGAAACTAAACCAAACTAAATCTGACCATGGTGAGTTAGTAGGGCCTTGCTAGGCCTACCTAGGCCTAGTGGCAGGGTTTTCCAGTGAAACCAGAACTAAATTAGAATAGATCAGGTATAGTTCTGATTTCTAAAATTTAGAATTGATAAGTAGTTTGGTTGCAGCCGGGGTTGGACTTGCCTGAACTCAGACTGAATGTAACTCTAGCTAATCATAATTGATGGCTCTGTAGGTACTGCTGCGATCACTCACTACAGTAATAATAACCTACACAGTACCTTTACCTTCGGGGCCTCCAGCGAACAGACCCTGGTTAGGCCGGACTTAATTATGGGCGGTACTGAAGGTTGTATCGTTATACCCATTCAACGATTCTTGTGTCAAAATTTCCATGCTTCTTCCCTGAAACCTTACAGGATTCAGCCTGAGTTTCGTGTTCTCGTCAACCTCCTCTCCTCTCAATATTTGGGTGAGGAATTTGGCTGCTCCAGCTGCATGGGTAACCCACACCGCTGCTGCCATGTAGAGACCACCGATCGGTGCAACGCTTCCCACCAATGGCATATTGTCTGGCGTCATAGCGAAAATACCGTTGGACTTTTCCCTTGCGCTCCACTCCGTCGTCGCTGGCAGTAGACTTCGAGCCTGCGCCAGTGTTGCGTCGAACAGCTCTCTCCAATCCCCAGTTGCCGCTTCTTTGGGCTCCTCACGTACAGGGCGATGAGCATAGGACCCGATCCCATAGAAAGAGCCATGGTCACGGGCATAAGCATGATGTTCCGGCCACCGTACCCACGGCGCATTGTATGGCAACGGCTCTCGGTGCTGACCATACATGTATGGATGTGCAACGGGGACAACTGGGATTGGCACGTCGATACCACAAAGCTGTGTGGCCCAAATACCGGTCGCAATGACCACCCTTTTTGCCTTGACCAACCCAGCTGTGGTTATGACCCCAGTGACACAACCGTCAATGATCTGGACTTGCTTGGCGTCTGATTCAATAAACTTAACGCCCCTGGCCCCTGCAGCTTCCTGGTAAAAGGACGTGATCCGGGCAGCGTTTGCTGTACCGTCGCTAGGAAAGAACAAGGCAAGCAAGCTATCCTCCTTCACTAAGTCTGGAGCCATTTGGGCCGTCTGCTGGGGAGATATAAGCTTAGCGGGCAGACCAGCTTTCCTCGCCATATCATATCTGGCATTCAGCTTGTCAATCCCATTGAGGCTAGTGGCAACCTCGAGTCCTCCTACGGTGTGGAAGCCCTCCGGAATTTTGTTATACTCGTTGACGCTATCGATAGCCAGGCGGGTGAGGACATCGGATTCATTCAATTGTCCGATGATACCCTGCGCATGTCCTGTCGAACCCCTCAATGGTGAAAAGGCCCGATCAATGAGGGCCACACGTTTGTCATTTTGGGGAGTAGTGGATAGAAAATAAGCCAAGGCCGAGCCAACGATCCCAGCACCGACAATTGCAATATCATAGGTGGTTTGCGAAGATTCCATTCTTGTGTTTAGGTTGTATTCTGGTCTTGAAACTGAAGTATGATCGACTTTGGAAGCCATACCACACACTTCGTAAGCTATATAAATTATAACTTCTCGAGGTACCTGAGCGCCGAGAGGCGCATGACAATGCCAAGCGCGGGAACTTACTTCTTGTGGCCCGTGGGTACGCGGCGTAATAGCGATAGTCCTATCAAAGAGTGCAATGGTATCTCGTATCATCATTCACGTTGTAGGAGGACAGGCATGCCGATGTTATCCGCAGTGAACTCCGGAGCTCATTTAAGCTCTGGAACTAGCGCGGTGAAGAGGGTTGGGCAGGACTGGGTGGGGTTCTCGTATAAAGTCGACGCTTAGCGGCGCCGCGGAGTGCACTGTCTGAAATATGTACCACTTGTCTTGATCAGGCTTGGCGATGTCACTTGAAGGGCGCAATGGGTGGCTTGGCGCTGTCACTGGAAGGGCGCATGTGTGCATGATCAGTAACTGGACCTCGCCAGACCCGACGTCGTCCCTCTCGCTCACTGGGAACACGTACTCGGTATGCTATCACTGATTCAAAGACATCGGCTAAAGACGGGTGTTATGAGAGGCAAGCGCGCCGACATCGGGCTACAGCTTGCACATAAGACGGCCATTGAGGACCTCCTCAGAGATAGGAGCATCCCCTTGCCTTTAATCGGTTTCAATCTCCGAGAAGATCCCCCTTCGCAATGCACTCAACACTAGACATCCCATCCCTGAACGCCAACCCCACGGCAGACCGAACCATCATAATCGGCGGGGCATCGTCGGCGCATCCCTCGCCTTTTACCTCTCCAGCAAAAGCGCACACCACATCGTCCTCATCGACAAAGACCTTCAGACACCACTAGGCTCAACGGGCCACGCCCCAGGCTTCGTCGGCCAACTGAACGAGTCCCCCGTCTGGACTAGACTCGCCCAAGATACCGTCTCTGAATACCTCTCCATTCCGGGCGGGTTCAACACCGTCGGTGGGTTGGAACTCACATCCACACCGTCAGGGTTGGAGACGTTACGTCGGAGACGGGATTTGGCGAAAGAGGCTGGGTTACCGGCTGAGCTTGTCGAGCCGGAGGAGGCGGCTTCTCTTGCGCCGCATTTTGTTGATGGGAGTTCGGTAGCGGGGGGATTGTTTTTCGCATCGGATGGGACTGCTGATGCGAAGGTTATCACGTCGTATTATCTGGAGCACGCTCGGGATAGAGGGGTGGATTTCTTGGAGACAGTCGTGACAGGCTTCGGCACCAAGAAGGGGGACGAAGGAAACATCGCAAAGATAGCAACTATCCGGACTAAGGACGGGGACATCAACTCGGAAAATAGCATCGTGATCCTGGCGACTGGGATCTGGACCTCTTTACTGCTTTCAGCAGGGAATACCTCACCTATTACGCGACTCCCCATCCCCATCGTGCCCGTCGCACATCCATACACCTTCACTCGGCCTCGACCTCCACGTGCTGGCAAACCATCGCCCTTCGTCCGCTGGTTAGATCATCACATCTACGCAAGGGACCACGGTGACCGGGATGGTATGGGTTGTTACAATCACGCTCCGGTCCTGCTGAACCCGGATCATAGCGCGATCGGAGCGTGGCTGTCGGATTTCGAGCAAGTACTCGCGGATGCTTCTTCCGTGCCGAAGAATGGGGCTGAGTTCCAGGTCAGCGGACACAGTGGAGCCTCGGTGGAAGAACCGGAAGTAGCAGAGAAAGGTCCGTTTAATGGTATCTTCGCGGTAACGCCTGATAACCTCCCACTCGTCGGCCGCGTGCCCGACGTGGGCAATCTATGGCTGTGTGCTGCGATTTGGGTCACGACTGCTGCTGGGGCGGCGAAGGTGTTGGTGAGGGAGATTCTTGGTGAAGGCGCTGCTGCGCCGGGGGATGCGATGCTGCTGGACGCGCTTAGTCCGAAGCGCTTCTGGGGTCTCGAGCCCGACTTGCTTATGGAGAGGTCTCTGGGGCAGTATAACGATATTTATAATCGAGGGGCGGGAAGGAGATGAAGACGGTCAGTGAGGAGAGGAGGTAAGCCCAGGTTCTCAGTTCTACAAGATATTTGTTCTGTGAATGCCCGGCGTGGAGGGAGAGTGGTAAGGACTCTGGAGTGTTAGGGGCTCCTCCCAAAGCCCGAAGCCGAGCAATAGAGGCACTGTACAAGTCTAATAGACTCCATTCATGCAACCTTCCATAGAGGGATTATGACGATGGAAAAAGTCGATGGCCTGGCCCAAAGCGTCATGGGGTGCCTGTGTTTGAAGGATCCTTTGGCTGGTGCTGCCTGGTCGCTGAATCGGCGAAGAATGGGTAGCCCAGCAGTGAGAAACAAATTGAGAGCAAAAAAGTCGTCTTGGAAGTCATCAGCAATATCCGTAGAAGAGAGCCTCTCCGTCCTGTAGCGAGCCGGGAATAATTCTGTCTCCATTGGCGACAGCGATCACATGCTTTAAATCGCGGAGTCAGCCAGGGTCGGCCGCAATTCGAACAAAGCGTTAACGATCAAGCGGCCGGATAGAGTCGATATTCTCGTGGCAAGGAACAACAGATTCAACAAAAGGGCCCCAACTGTCGAGATCCTAGACCCAAACCACCAAACCTGCGAGCCATCTCTAGGCACGATCGCCGAGGTGTGGCATAATGAACTCACTTGCCGATCACGACTTTTGCTTTGTTCCCCTCAAAGAGGGAACTATCACGGTTTGGAAAGCTCCCAAGGCTTTTAGGAGGTGGTACGGGAAGCAGGTCTTCTTTGTAGGGAAAAGTCCACGGCCACTGCACAAACAAAAGCAGATTTCTGAGCCAGGTGGACAAAATCAAAGCAAGGGTGAAAATTCCCAAAGAGCCCAATATGAATGCAGTGGGCCTTCCGACTCGGCTTGGTTAATGTGATTCAGCACCAAGTGGGCCACACCGTCGAGTGGGCAACCTGGAAACACCATAGTGAAGCCCATGTAGTATATCAACAAGTTAATCTTACATGATTTTTGTGACCATAGTGTTTCTTAGCATGAGAAAATAATATGCCTTGTCCAGAATATTAAGTAGATTATGATTTACTTGCATAAAAATACACTCCGAGCGGGTGATGCAGATATATATCTTTCAATCCTCGTCGCTTAGAATACCCCTCGACCAGAGAGGTATACTTAATATAACCAATAAGCACTAGGATACAATAAGAACTCATATCAAGCTTTGAGTGTTGGAATATCAAGTTGTAAAAAATGCGCCTGGGCATTCGATCATTCAGGGGTTGGGAAAGAGAACGAAAAAAGGCGTTATAATGGTACCAATTTCCTGCTACTACAGCTGAACTTGACGACCCAAAGCACCAACCTGACATGGCGGAAGCGGTCTGCGGCAAGCCGTTTGGTATCCCAGTAGGGGAATTTACTAAAGTGGTTTGTGTCTACTTACCCATGTCACTTGCCGAGCTCGTCTGATCACCCTTGTGCAGACGATGTAGAAGCTTCTAGCTGGAGATGACCAGATTGCAGTCAGTCTGTCGGATATCGCTTTCACCAGCTGGGAACAGCAGCGTCAACAGGCTTTTCGTGGAGTGGTAGAGATGATGCGAAAAGACGGATTCTAATTTATCCCTTCACTGGCGATATAGACGCGGTGTATTGACCTGGTAGCCTTGCATGAGGTGCGTAGGCAGTTATACATCGGACGTTTATCTATAGTATAATAGTACTGTGACAAGGAGCCTGCTATATCAATATATGCCATGCATTGGTCAGATTATTGCTTTCGAACCGAGGTACTTGAGTAAAATATATTACTAGCTGATCATCTTAACGCTACTTAAATGGCCTTGCCTTCTAACACCCGACTGACTACTATTGTCTGTGACCGTTGATACTCTACTTCGTTCTTCTGCAAAGCCTTCATGAGAAGGGGATTCGCTGCCAACAGCCAGTGACCAAACCAGGTGCTACAAACATCCTATTTCACAGTGCTGCATGCAGGACTCAGCCACATCACAGCTACCTTCTAAGAGTAATCAGGGTTAGCTAATGATTTCATACCTTTAGGCGCCCACATAGATAGTTTTTGAAATTAGACTGACGTATCGATCTGTTGACACGCTTGATCCGCGCAACGGGCATACATAACAACAGTCCTTCAAAGCTGAGTCCACTATTTGTGTTTATCACCCCGCAAAACAGAGTGATAATCCAATTGATTGGATGCTGTTATCAAATAATGAACCAGCTACCCTCCACTCTCGATGGCCTGCTACTAAGAGTCTTAGCTGAGCGCTAGAGAGACGTTTTCTGCGCTAAAATATTACCGAATGCTAACCCTGCAGCACATATGCCAATCAGCACAGAGAGATGCAGTCTAGCGCCAACATCATCAATTTCAGAAACACTGGTTGGTGGACAGGGTAGGATATACCCCGAAACTCATTTCCTGTTATCCTAGCGTGGTGCTGGGTCGCTTGATTGTAGACTATTGAAATTGGTAGTCTGGTAGATTACTGGACGCGATAATTATTGTCCTTTCTTCTCTCCTCCCTTTAAAAGGGGCGACGTTCCTCTCTTTCTGCAATTTTTGTCTGTCGATCGTCTTCCCTGTTTCTATTCTTTCTAACGTCTCCACAACAAAAAGACCATCACAATGCGTGCCTCGTTCCTCCTCCCTGCAGTCCTCTACGCCCTGGCCGCCCATGCCGACGACAAGACCACTACAATCGGCTACTTCATCCCCTCCTGGTCCGCCACCCTGTTAGAATACGGCGGCTGGACCAGCACCGGCGCCAGCGTCGCGGGAATCAACGCCGCCGCAACAACCTACAACGTGGGCTGCGTGAAAGACGCCCCCAAGACAGACTGCAACATCAAAAACTCCTGGACGATCATCCAGGGCCCCGAGACCGTCAGTGTGACAGGCGTGTACACCGCCTCGACATCAGGCAAGGAAACCAGCTACGATATCACCGTCACGCAGTCGTACGAGTGCAAGATTCGATCCCGCACTGAATCCGCCAGTTGCACGATGAGCGTTGGGATGACGGGCTCGGTGGGTGGTGCAACGATCGCGTCGTCGACGTCGAGTAGCGCGACGTATTCGCCGGCGACGAGCTCGTACTATGAGTTGGTTGTTACGGCGGGGGTGGACAAGTTTACTGCACCTGAGGCGACTAAGACGCCTGGTGCTGCTGCTGCTGGGCCTGCGGGGGCGTTGATCACGGCTGCGCCTGTTGTTGCGGCTGCGGTTGCTGCTCTTCTATGATCTGGTTGTAAATATTTCCTTCGCAGCTATGTCCTCTCTTACTACAATGATGGACCGTTTTCCCGGTATAGCATTACAGTTGTGTTTCTATATAATGTCCAGGAAAGTGCACGCTCCAGTGTGGTCTACTACGTCTCGCCGGTCGGGTCATTTGTTCCATGGTAACAACATATAAACAATCGACGTTGTTGGTCTAAAGAATTGGCAAGTATAAACAAAATCCAACACACATGCTCCACAAAGCACCAAGGTATAAAAGCTTAAAAAACAAACAAACACAGAGCGAGCACCAGCAATCTATTCCACCAAAGACATCACAAATAACGACAAAACAGTCATCGCAAGGACAACCAACCACAGGAAAATCCCCAGCACCATCGCCACCCGCTTATAATACCGCAAATAGCCCGCCTCGTTGCCATGCGGGAACGGATTCGGCCTCTGCCTCCCCAGAAACTCACACAGAGGTCCCCACCCGTCCTGACACTTGAAGACCAGCAACCTCTCCCTCGGCACGATGCTCTTCACCCAAGCACTGTGCGCATGGTACAGCTCCTCCGATGGCTCAGCTTCCACCCCGAACCGCTCAGACGCAAGCCGCATCCACCCGCGGTAGAGATCGTTGGCAGCCACCACGCCAGGAACCCAGTACCCGATCCAGCGGAAGCAGTCGGAGCGCAGATCGATCCCGAACCCGCGCCATGAGCGCAGCCAGACGGCTGCGGAGGTGCGTTCTGTCAGGATGACTTTCGCATCGGGGTACATCTCTAGTAGATCGGGTAGGCATGCGCTCCCGGGGACCTCGAGGGTGACCTCGCTGCCTTGGAGGAGTTTGGCGAGCTTGCGCCGCCGGAGGGTTGTGTCTTTTGTGTGGACGATGGCGGCGCTTTGGCGGAGGTTGTCGAATTGGCAGAGTGGTTCGGCGAGGTGGAAGCAGGGGCCGTAGCCTAGTTCTTCGAGGGCGCGCTTCATGCTGATTGTGCCTGTGCGGGGGAGGCCGGCCTGGGTGTGTTAGTTCTTTCTCAACTTTGGTTGCCGGGTGGACATACCACGATGACTTTGATGGTCCCTCCATGGTGTACACCTGAGGTGACGTGGAGTTTTGCGTCTGCTTTGGGGTCCGGGCTGGTGATTGTGATGCCGGACCGAAGGACTAGCCCTAGGGTGTGGATGCTGAGCTTGTAGTACAGCCAGGAGTTGGACTTGTGCATGTCCATTTGGAGTTTTGTGGTTTCCATTGTGAGATGTGTTGTAGAGTAGTTGAGACGAGTGGTGATGAAGAAAGTGATCGACTTGACGCGCATTGAGTGCGTATTATAGACTTTCGACCATAGGAAGTTGACTATAGCAAAGTGATAATGGCCCCATTGCAAAACCCGCAACACGAACACAGCCACCAATAGTATCAGCCTAACATTCTAACAAAAATAGCCTACTTGCTTTTCTTCAGTGGATTACCTGAGTTCTGAATAAATCTGACATCGGATAGTTGGGGCCGTTGCCAAACCAATAAGCATCGCCAAGTGATCTTGACGATCTTGACTCCTTCCAGCCAAGGACAGCCCCAACACGAGGCGTCCTGAATTAATAACCTTAATCCAGATAATTTTAGCCCCTAATGCACCTTGCGCCTCCCAGCACATTCCTATTTGGAGTCCACACGAGGCTCTGCATGAAGGATTTGGCCCCAATGGTGAAACATCCCCACATGGGTTCCAGCTTGTGACAGTTCGCAGTCCAAACATGCAACATCAGGGTTTACTTCCGATAGCAAAGTAACCTTGTGTGCCTCGTCGTGCAGATAGTCAAGGCTAGAATATTGCAGGATCGAGTTGCAGTCAACCCCGATGGGGCCAAAAGCCCAGAGACACTGTGAACAGGGCTGCATTACCCTCTGGCCTCTACTCAGCCGCTAAACTGGTAATAGTATCAGAGGCAATATTCTTCGTATCTAGTGGCGAATAAGTGTCGTGTCTAATATTAGACAGGATCAATGTTACACTTTCATCGTATTGAGATCCTGCGAGTTGTGAGGCGGAATTAGAAGCTTCATACACTCATGGATGTTTGTCTCATGTAGGTATGCCTTGGGGTAGGGCTTCCAGCAGCGGGCATTTGGGCTGTCATCATATTCATCCTACAAGCACAGAGAACTTTTTTGTCGCCGTCGAGCTTGTATGCTCGTACACAAAGAAAGAAGCGTATGACAACTTATCCACTCTCTGCATTCGGAGAGCTCTCAGATACATCACAAGTAGTTAGATTGGATGAATTGTATTACTGCACTGAGCTTGTATGTATCACCGCATCATGTATATATGTTGTGGCACTATGAGATGCAGGGGAAAGAAATTACTAAAGCCGTCCACTTTACTCTCAGTATGCACGAGATTACACGTACAGACAAACATTATATAGTGGATCATAGAGTAGATTCAAAAAGATGACATCGAATAAGTGATGCTGAGCAAAGTAAACACATAAAAAAACTTGCAATAATAGAATGATAAACCTGTCAACAGACACCCCTCCGCTCCTTAACCAACATCAACAATATATCTCAAATCTCCTCATCCTTAAGAGAATCACCCCTTCCCGCCGTCAGAACCATGACCTTTCTCGCAGTCAGAGCAACAGCCGTGGCAGAGAGCGTAACAATATACTCCATAACAATGACCATGAGGAAATGCAGCCAAATGCCCGTCTCATCCTCCGACATCGGATTCAACACGGATCCCTCACCAGAAAACAACGATCCAGCCGAGAACGCCAACCGGACACTCATAAAGGGCACACAGAGCAAAGCACAAACGACAGCCACACGTTCAGTGCGGTAGAACTTCACGCGGACCCTGAGCATCGTGATGACCGACAGCACAATGATGCCAGCAAAAAGGGCGATGAAGAGAATGATTCCGGCACGCATCAAGCGCAGGTCTTGCGCTTGACTATCCCGGCTTGTGTAGAGGTCTCGGCCGCCGTATGCGGTCATCACCGTGGCTGCTATGGTGATCAGTTGCAGCGGGATGAACGCCCAGACAGGGAGGCCGTTGTATACGGGGGCGTTGCTGCAATTGGTGTCAGAAGATGTGGCGAGGAGAGGAAGTTACTTACGCTCGGATCAGAAGTCCTATCAACAGACACAGGACTGGTGCGAGACCGATAGTGTCTAAGAGGGTGGCTGTTGTCAGGAGATTGGATTTTGCGGGGTCCATGGCTGCAAGGCCGAGTCCGGCGGCGGCGATTCGCAGGCCGCAGAGAATGATGAGGGGAATCACGATGGGACGCCATGTGTAGGGGTGCTTGTTGCCATGGAGTAGAATAATGAAAATAATAGCAGGGACGATAGGGGCATAGAATGCCAGTTCAATCAGGTAGATTGCGTCTCGTAGGGCGAACATGTTGAGCTTGGAAATGGGCAAGCAGATGGGCGACGACCGAGGGTGGGAGATTCTGAATGGATTTCTAAATCTACAGTGTTAAGGGAAAGGACGGTAAAGAACTATAACTACAGAATGCTTCAATCATTGCCACCGAGATGCCACGACTATGATTGCTTCTTTTCGAGGTGTGAGATCGATCCTGCGGCCCCATGGCCCCCATGTGACACACATCGCAGATGCAAAGCAAGATCAATCACATACGGGGCATCCTGAAGATTTCTGAGCAATGATCTGGCAAAGATGCAGTCAGCTGACCTATACCATCTACAAAGACACATGGACTGTACCGTATACTAAGACACATGCAGTGTGATCAGCAGTGGGGGCGATCCCTGCACAGCCCTAATCTCGTAGTTAAGGTTTAATGGAGAATCCCCACTTAAAGAAGCACTGCCAGGAATACCAAGCAATGGTCCGCCAAGCCTGGTGTTTCAGCCTTGCAGGGTTCTTTTCAGAGGATCTGCATCCTGTAAGCCACTGACTGTTATTATACGGGAACTTGGCCCCAGTAAGCCAGAAATAGATTCGACACCACGACATAATCATCACAGAGTCCGCCTTGACACCATCAGAACAGATATATAAGAGCTTAACAGACTCATCTTAGCACAACAAATCAAACAGAATCGTACTCAACAGTATGTTTGAAGCTGAATACCTGGCCTACCTCGTCGTCTCTTCACCACTCCAACTCTGCATCTACTCCGCCAGCGACGCCTCCTCGTCCTTCACATCCGAATACAGCCATGCTCGCTCTACTTCTCGTCCTAGTCGTTCTCGCGAGCTACTTCCTCGTCAAACTGCGCCAGCAACGCAGCATGTTCAAAAATCTTCCTGGGCCGCCGCATCACGCTATCTGGGGTCACTTTTTAATCATGCGAGAGATCGCAAGCACTCTACCCCCGGATGCAACCCCGCAGCTGTTCGCGCACTTGATGCGCCAGCGGTACGGCCTCGGTGACTTCTTTTACCTGGATCTGTGGCCGCTCGCGCCGCCACAGCTTGTCATTGCCCATCCGGAGCTGGCGACGCAGATCGTCCACAAGATGAATCTTCCCAAGGAGTCGGCCGTCATGCAGAAGTGGACAGGTCCTATCCTTGGGGAGAAGTCTATGGTCTCTGCGAATGGACATGACTGGTTCATTGCGCGCAAGTCTTTCACCCCGGGCTTCCAGCCGCGGAAGTTGCTGCAGCATGTTCCAAATATTGTGGATGAGGCGCTGGCTTTTGCAGACGTCCTCAAAGAACATGCGCTGAAGGATGACGTCTTCAGAATGGAGGATCTAGGTGCGAGAATGATATTCAATATCTCGGCTTGGGTGATCTTGTAAGCTACACATCCTTGTCCTGGATAAAGCATCAACTGACAGAGAATTAGGGGAATCAAGTGCAACGCGCAGCGAGATGACGATGAATTCCTCGAACTGTTCCGAAAACAGGCAGCCCTGGCCCCTCAGGACTTCTGGTCTCGGTATCTCTACGACGTCAGCCCTCGTCGACACTATCAAAAGTGGAGCAACGGGCGTGCTCTAGACCGGTACGTTGGTTGTCTGGTAGACAAACGAGTCGTCAGTGGCCCGACGGCTGTTCCAAGCGAAAAGGCCAAATACTACGCCATCGACGACGCCATTGCTACCAGCCGCACACTCAACAAGTCTATCCCCCTACCACCGCCATGGATAAATATACGCGAGACATGCTCATCGCGTCCGTCAAGACGCTAATCTTCGCTGGCCACGACACCTCAGCCAGCACCCTCTGCGTAAGTCCTTTATACTCTCTCCTTCTCTCTTCTCCACCACTAACAATGCCAGTATACATACGCCGCCCTAAGCAAACACCCCCAAGTCCTCCACACCCTCCGAGAAGAACATACCACCCTCTTCGGCTCTGACCCTTCCGCCGCGGCAAACCTCCTCCGCAACGACCCCAGCCTCGTCAACAATCTCCCATACACTCTCGCCGTCATCAAGGAAGCCCTCCGCCTCTGGCCCCCAACAGGCGTCAGCCTCCGCCGCGGCCAACCAGAGCAAACCCTCCTCGCAGAAGGCAAAGAATGGCCGACATACCCCTTCGCCGTCCTCGTCAACAACTGTGCGACCATGCGCCGTGAAGATCTCTTCAAGGATGCAGAGAGTTTCTACCCCGAGCGACACCTCGTTACTGCCCCCTCGGATCCGTACTTTGTCCCGGCCAACGCATGGAGACCGTTTGAGAAGGGACCGCGGATGTGTCTGGGCCAGACGTTGGCGCTGATGCAGTTGAAGATAGCCTTGGTGATGACGGTGCGGATGTTTGACTTTGAGATTGTTTATGAGGAGGGGACGTTCATGTATCAGGTTTTGGATGTCACGGCCAAGCCGTCCCTGGGCTTGCCGACTAGGGTGCGGTTGATTGAGTAGTATAGTATTTCCTTTGGATTTGGGATTCTGCAGACTTGTATATAGCGAATCGGGTGTTTCTGTGGGTGCTTAGATTATTTAGCAATGTTGATATTTTATACGCTTTTTCAGTTGCCGTGCAGTTGTCATTGTCTCTACTCTATTTTGACAATGCATTGAGCTGTCTGAGGGGTGGGCTAGGGACTCTATGCAACCTACGTATGGTACTGGAATATCATCAGAAGAAGCGTGCTTCTCGTATTGCAGATCCAGCCATAGTTTCGAAAATCTTTCTCTTCCTTTCTTTTCGTCCTACTCCCTGGCTACCACAGAAAGTATTTCCTAGAGATCTTTCAGAAGTTCTGTAAACCCGACTACTCCTTTGTCAAACTCGGCAGTTTCTTAGGGCTATTTCCTTCGTCTGAACGATGAGCATGATACCGGGAGGGTTGGAAGGACAGCTCAGCACCGTGTCGCCAGTCTAAGAGCGTCGAAGCAAGCTTGAACAGAAACGGCTGCGGAAGACTTGCCGGTTCTGCCCAATCTTTGAGCCATGCTCTATACCCATGAATCGCGTACATATCCACGAGTAGTTCGCGAATTGGAGCCGACTCGTTTGTGTTGTCGAATGCATACCTTATCACCTCGCCAACGGGGAACCAATTTGCTCCATCTTGCGCTTTCGACTGGCATTTCTCCACAATAGCGTCAATGGCCGCGTCTTGAAACATGGAGTCGAGTATTTTGTCTCCCAAGACGTGAGCCTTAACTAAGTTAAGGTTTTCAGAATTTCCTGGGAGACCCGGCTCATCACAAAAGACGGGAAGTGTGCTGTAATAGAGCCAGTGGACATATAGCGCAAATATTTCCGGTTCATCATCTGGTAGGTGGATAGTGCGTTGCTGAGATTCCTTCCAATCGCCCGCCATGGCCTTGTCAAAGAAGGCAGACGACGCACGCACCAGCCTTTCATGCACGCCGAAGACTTCTTGCTCAGCTCCTACCACTATATCGACTGTTCTTCCCGAAGTCTTTGGAAAAGATTAGCATGTATCCAAACACTACAGACACAGTACTTACTTGCTACCCTCTTCCTTCGACGTTCGGATGCTCTTTGAAGACATCGCTTCCGTAGAAGATTCCCCCCGGCCGTGAGTGTGTTGTTTCGGAGAGTCGTGCGACCATATATGTGGAAGTAGCTGCTGGCTGGTAAGAGACGGTAGGTTTCCGTATCTAGGAAGCCTACTGGGCGATGCCTATCTGTAGCTTATTAAGGCGAGAATGGAATAACACAAGTGTATGATAATATGATATTGTGATATTTTCTTGAAGAGAGAAGAGAGAGAGAAACTGTCGATGTGAAGCGAAAGCGGGAGAGTTGAGCAGCAGCGCTACAATCCCGGCCAAAGCCCAATGACGACCCCCGTGATGGCGTTGGCGACGAGAGAGCGGGACGCGACGTCAAAAGTGGGTTTGAGGGTGATAATGAAAACAAGACCGGCCACGATGGATGCATTCCACCGCCATATCCTATGATAATTTCATGCGGCTGCGCCCCGCTCACGTGTGCACCAATACATGTCGGACACGTCAGGATCGGCATGCTATACAGATATAGGATGGTGGAGGTGTTCGTAACTTTCCTCCCGGTAGTCTTGCCAGTGGTCTGACAATTCAACCAGCAGCTGGCACAGGCGATGGTTCCTTGCCACAATGGACCTTTTTGCTGCACTATCAGTAATTGTTTCCCACAGCGTGGAGGCACTTGACCTTGCTCGGACCACTAGTTCTGGTGGATTTGAGCCATAAGGCTGAGTCCCAAACTCGAACAGCTTACCAGCACTGCCTCTTGTTTGCTACTGACATTAAGTTTTGGTCTCATCATGGGTGTATTCGAACAAATCTTTCTTCCGGGAAACGAGACACGCCAAAAGGAGGTAAACAACCTGACATCGTCTCAGACCTCATGTACATTGCCAACGCATCCAATCAAATAATAAGCACGTTCGACCGAATGCTCGGCTCGTCTGTGACGCAGGTTGAGTATCATTCAAAGGAGCCCAAACAGCTCATTCGGGATGTGAGCGATCGATACGAGGAGATCGAGAAGATTGCAAAAACCAAATACGACGATCTCGACGCGGTTGACAAAGCTTGCCTTGAGATAATGGATGTATCCACCCATACTTGTCACGGGCTAGAAGCCTTGAAATCTATAACCTGTTAACATCAGCTGATATGTATGGAGGAAAAATGTACTCGGTATATCAGCTCCGGCAGGCTATCATGCTATCATCTCAGCATCACCTCCACATGTATTGAGACGATTTATGGGCAGTCATGCACGTAATTGATAAGCCAGTATGGGAAGAAAGAGGACGCGAGACATTCTCGCATTAAGATGTAAAAGATCGCTCCTTGGACTGTGTCCACTCGGCAAAATCCCAGAAAGTGGAGTTTCCCTGCAATGGTCAAATCTTGGCCGCCACATAATCCGTTATGCTCTCTTCCGTGCAAACACGGACATGCTGAAAGCCGTGAATGTACTTAGGATACCAGCTACAGACTCTCAATCTAGAAACATACAGGATAGACACTAATTCGGGTACATAGTCGCGTAATAGATACTCTGTAATCTCGGCCCACATAGCGATACTCTGAATCTTCTACGGACAGAGGTAATCGCCTGCGGAGCAACAAAACACGATGTAAAATACAAATTGCCCTTCGCTAACTTCTGTCGAACCGCTGATTCCTGTTTCTTGCACCCCTGTCCAGATAGTCCGCACCTAAGTAGTTGGCCAGAGCCACTTCAGCCTTGGCTTTTGTTATCGGAACTCATCCATCTGTCTGCAAATAAATATAAGCGCCGACTGAAGGCAGACAGAATTCGCCACGGACAAGTTTCTTTTCATCCAGCCCCTCATTATCAAACAAACACCATGTGGACTCAACTACCCACCCTCACACATAAAGGCAGCGATTATGATCTCGAACCCCAGCTCACAGTCCTGCATGATTGCTTCGCAGGCAAAATTTACTCCCCAGAAGCCGCCGCCAAACTAGCGTCTGCTGCTTTAGCACTCAACGCCTCCCTCGATGCCCAACTGGGCCAACTCTGGCATCTGTTGCTTCAGATTGCATGCAAAGACACAGAACACCAGGATAAACTGGTTGATATTCTCGTGGATATGTCCCAACTCCCGGACGTTACAAGGCCCGGTGACCATGGACAAGATGAGCCGTTGATTCTCCACGGGAAGCAAGTGTGGAAGGACCTGCCGATGCTGGACTGGGAGATTCGGCGTCACTGGGATTACTCGGTTCCGGCCCCAGGTACCAAGAAACCGGAGGAGAGAGAAAATGCAATTTCAAGGATGGTTAGTGTGAATCGCTTTCTCGCCCTTCTCATCGCAACAGAGGAACCTATTTTCGAGTGGGGTCTGTTGTTTGCGCTCGCGACGCTCCGGATGGCGCTTGAGACGCCATGGGAACATATGGCGCCGGGGATCCCTTGGTGGCGTTGATTCCTGCTGCGGCAGTATGGATTGAAGTTCTAGGTGCGGAGATCTATGAATGGGATGAGGAATATGAGTCCGGGCGCCTGATTGGTGCTCCAGGTAGTGGAGGGCCGTTGTGGAAAGGGAAGCACGGCTTTTGTAAGGGGAGGTGGAAGCTTTGGAGGGATAGATTTGGCGAGGCTGCAAGGAAGGAAGATGAATCTGAGCATGTCAGAAGGGCTGCAAGGGAGGCAGAGCTGATGATGAAGGAGATTGAAACTGGGCATGTGGAGTAGCTATTATAGGTAGGCAATTTTTAAGTCAATTTCCACCGGCTATACTAAAAGTTAACTTGAGAAATTGCCATCGAACTACTCTAGTCGTACCAGTCAGATATCTCCACAGAGAACAAACCTGTTCTGTGGTGCCCCGAGATGCGTCATGACACCACAGAACGCAAAGTGGACCGGGAGCCCCGTAACCGGGCTATGGCTGGTAATTTTATAAACGATACGATTGGTCAGTGGATCATCATTCCCAACAGATCCAAATATACTCCCGTTGGCGAGGATAGGAAATTCCTGGTATGGAGCTGGTACTCCAGCGCAGTGAGGGAAGTTGAGATTCTCAGTGTTCCTAAACTCGTGGGGATATTCGGCGCCTATTACCAAAAGAAAGGACAAAATAGTCAGAACAATGAGTCACAGGGCAGTAGTGCGTTGCAACTCAAACTCACCGTTTCTACCTACAACGCCGCCGCCTCCGGTTAGGTCGTAGCTCTGAGCACCTTGGAAGACTCTGGCTTGCTGGGACGAGCTGTAGGCATTTACGTCTGCAGGCGCCCTGTGAGCTTTTGATTTATTCAAATATAGAAAGGGAAGAACCAGGCATACCTCCACAGATACGGTCTGTGCTTTAACATTTCAGAACACTGCCAAGGTCTACACTAAAGGACTTGTTTATTGAAGGCAGAGGAGTGGCATAGATAGTGACACTACAAAGAGCTGCGGAGGCCAGGACAACAGTTAAGAAGTACATGACTCGTAAGACTTGAACGGGGATCGGAAAGCAGATTGTTCGCAGTCTGGTATATCGCTTCGTGCCCTCGATACACCCCTAATTTATATTCCACAGCACAGCCTCGCATCCTTTGGCTCGGGTCCTGAGGATATTGAACTTGTTAGATTGACAGGGCAAACAAGATATGCAGGCACAGGGGGTGATTCTCCGAAAACAAGGACGAGACTGAACTGCCTTGGAAGTGCAAGGAGATCCATGCACTTGAGCATTAACATACGCCCTACGCTCCTATCGTTCGATCCATGGACATCATGTTCAGCGGCGACCAACACTATCCAGGCTCCCAAATGGTTGTCCGTGTCGGAGATCTGGGGCGGCACAGTTGACCAGCGTTCCAACCCATGCTTGCTAAGAGGTGGAAAACAAGTAACTATCAGGCTGGGCTACTACCTATGGTTATGATACTATTGTGGTTTCTTGTACATGCCATCTGTATGTTCTAACTGCTCAAGAGTGGCAAGGATACTGGACATCACATCATCTGAGCAAGCTTCGGCCCCAGGTAGGGACTTACCCTCATAAGAACAGCTGAGACATGCATATCTTGGCTCGGAGGGTTTAATGGTAGTTTGAGTATCACAATTGCTAGCACTCTGCGAGAACAAATCATATGATGGTATCCTACAATTACAGCGGCTTTTTTTCGACGGCCAATCTATTGAAGAGCCTCGACGAAACTGTGTATCCCGGAAGAGGAAATGGGGTTGCGGTCAAACATTCTGAGATGCCAACTAAGAGACCATGAGTTGACTGAAACTGGTGAAAAGCCTGTTGACAAAGACTCCCCACTCATCTTAGCCTGTCATGATGGGCATGAGAGCGCGATTATCAGTCACGCTTCTACACATATTACGTTCGTGTGGCCAACAAAGTCTTGAGAACATTGTTTAAAGAGCATCTTCATCCAAGTAACTATAACACTTATGCAACAGACCCTTGACAATCACCATGTTTAGAAATGATTTTAGAAATGATTTTTTAACCACCGCCTATTCATCCCTATAAATATTGAATCGATATTTTAGATATAGATTAAAATGACTATAATTACCATATATTTCATGTAAAAATTCTAATTTTCTATAGGTATAGTCAGATAGTATGGCAGTTAATGGTCATATGAAATTTCAAAACAGTTAAAATTCACTAAATGATAGCGGTTTAACCAACCTAGAACCAAACCGAATCTAATCATAGTTAGTTAGTGGTGACCTAGCTAGGCCTATCTAGGCCTAGTAGCTGCTTTTTGCGGTTAAACTTGAACCAAATGGGAATGGATCAGGTTTGGTTCTGATTCCTAAGATTTAGACTTAAAATCGCAGCGGTTCGGTTCCAAATAGGTTTGAACCCACCCGAACTCGGACCGAATGCAACTCTATCCTCTATCTATAGATGTAGAAGTATATCTCTATCTAGGTCTAGTTCTAGTTATGGTTCGATGAGCTTATTAGTTTCTGATTTAACAGAGGCCCTAGATCATGTGCACCTATTGGGTTATGCATATCCCATATCCATGTGGATTGGGTTAGGGCCAATCTGGATCCCATCCAAAGTGCAGATCGGGTCAGAAGTCTGTGGCTTCATTCTCGTCGATATTTGCTGTTGACGTGGGCCAAGGCATATTGTTTCTATTACACTCATGAATAATGAATATGACGTGGACTGACGAGTTAGTCCAGTGCCATGATCCCATCCCCAGCTACGGCTGCGAATAGAAGGGTTTAATCAAACCAAATAAGGATCTACCGTTGAACTGACTCGTTGCATACGCAGGTGCCAGGCACAGCTCCTCTCTACAGGAACATGACTAGAATTTTCCGCCAACGGGACATGCCATTGACAAATGTTCACTTACTTTGAAACACAGGCTGTTTTCGATCGTTCCTGTTCGTATACGGAATATGACGGATTATCCCAACTGGTGGACCCGAAACACGCCAAGGTTTGGCGCCGTCTCCACTGGGTAACTAGGAGCATCAACCTGCGACAGGAAGCCCCCTGGTCCAGACAGCTAGTGTTTTATGCTTATTTACACAAACGCTGGATAGATTAAGTGGCGCTTGCAGCAATATCTTCAGCTTCAACATTGGCTTCCTTGATTCATGCAGTGGTCCGAGCCCAATGGACTACGAACCGTTGTCTCAACCCACGGAACCACTATTGCAAGCCATTGACGCCATTCAGGCTGATATACTCTGTCGCTCTGGTTTAAAAGAAACCAGTTTCCTCCATGGATTTGACTGTTCTTCATTCTTCAACCAATTCATTCATTCTCATTGACTGAGTCTGCGCTGGTCGCTTACATTCTTTCTATCTATCTATTCATTCATTCATTCTCATCATATATTCCTTCTGTTCTTCTGCAATGCCTCAAACCAAGTCTCTCTCTCTTCTGGCAGCTCTGCTGTCCGCCACCCGTGTCGCCGCCCACGGCCATGTCAGCAACGTCGTCGTCAATGGCGTCTCCTACGCTGGCTTTGACATTAATAGCTTCCCCTACATGTCGGACCCTCCCAAGGTCGCCGCTTGGACCACCCCCAACACCGGCAACGGCTTCATCGCCCCCACCGCGTACAACTCGGCCGACATCATCTGCCACCAAAACGCTACCAACGCGCAGGCCTATATTGAAATTGCAGCTGGCGATCGCATTCAAATTCAATGGACTGCCTGGCCGGAATCTCATCATGGACCCGTTATTGATATGCTCGCATCTTGCGGCGAGTCATGTACAACTGTCGACAAAACTTCGCTCAAGTTCTTCAAGATCGACGGAGTAGGGCTGGTGGATAACTCGGCGGTGCCGGGCACCTGGGGCGACGACCAGCTGATCGCCAACAACAACGCCTGGATGGTCGAGATCCCTAAATCTATTGCGCCTGGCAACTACGTTCTTCGCCACGAGCTGATCGCCCTGCATGGCGCCTTTGAGAACGGCGGCGCGCAGAACTATCCCCAGTGCTTCAACCTCAAGGTTACCGGATCCGGTACTGACTCACCAGCTGGCACTCTGGGTACGGAACTGTACACCGAGTCCGACCCCGGCCTCCTGGTGGACATCTACAAGTCGATCGCCTCGTACGCCGTCCCCGGTCCCGCCATGTACTCGGGCGCCGTCTCCATCACCCAGACCACCTCGGCCATCACCTCAACCGGCACCGCAACCGTCGGCTCAGGCGCTGGCAGCACCGCCGAGCCCTCGTCTGCCGCGGCCTCCAAGTACTCAACCATTGCCGTGCAGGTTCCCACCACTAAGGCCCAATACACCCCTGTCCCCTCCAGCTCGCCTTCAACCTTCATCACGTCGCCTGCGCCTAGCACTCCCGTCCCCAGCAGCTCCGCCCCTGTTACGTCTAGCACCGCGGCTCCCCAGCCCACTTCTGCTCCTGGCGGTGCTCAGACTCCCTACGGTCAGTGCGGTGGACGGAACTGGACTGGTCCCACTGCTTGTGCTTCCGGCTCGACCTGCAAGACCTGGAACCCTTATTACTCCCAGTGTGTGCCAAACTAGATGATGTACTGTAGTATATAGTGAGCATTAATTGTGAAGATACATTGTATTGCCATCAGACCATTCAGACGATTCACGTAGATAAACCCTCAAGGACCTAAGCCTATCTGAGGAATAATATTAAAGTTTCCCGTCGCTGTGAGCGAAAGAAGATTTGAGGTGTTCTGACAGTCGCCAACCCTGGTAAATCTGAGTCAATTGAATCATAATTGTGGTGCTTTCGTCTACGTCTGTTTCTAAGGTTCTTGTCATATTTCTTGTCCATCGGGTTACTCGCATTGCGCGGACATTAAGAACTACTGTTTTAGTTGTCCTATTCGGGATTCAGCCGATAAGTGCTTTACTTGGATATTCCACCTTGACAACGCGCATGGCGGCCTTTTGAGTGATAGGAAATATATAGTCTTGCGACTGAATGGTTGTTTAAATAGCTTGCTCGCACCTTTCTCAGTAGTGACTTGCGATTCTCGGAATCCTCGGACTTTTGTCCCCTCCAACGTCAAGAAAACGACTCCTAAATGTCGTGAAAGCGAGCACTACCTTCAGCTGTAGCAGATTCCAGGCGGCACAGATACGTTCGATAAAGACAGGTTGCGTTGCTACAAGGCAGCATAGCCCTCGTTTGCAGGCAGAAGACAAGGAAGTATATGGCTGGGATATGTCCTGATCAACTGTGCTAACATCTCCATATGTCACAAGTTTGCCCCATTCTGTCTTCTCCCCGCCACCTTCTTCGACTGTCAGTTCTTCAATAATCGTCCTGGGAAGCCCAGGCAGGCAGCATCAGTTGGCAGTCGAACCTGGGTTATGTGCCTCACCCTGCGACCAGCCGGCGCCCCTCTTCATTTCCGCAAGGAGTTCTTCAAACAAGCATTATGCGGTGATGCACTCTTGGTAGATGCCTAGGTCAATAGACATGATGCACAAGGGGGGATCTCGTCCCGATGAGCAGCCCTTTCCGTCAGAGCGGTCTTTCTCCAGCCCATCAACTTCGGCCCGCTAATATGATAATATCATATAGCGGCTTTGGCTCGCTACTACGTGCTTAGTAGCAATGGCAGTCTTACGGAGTAGAGTGAGCTCCGGTACCTGGTTCGCTTTGACTCCAAGAACGCCAACCTTGGAGCGGCAAGGGTGAGAAGAGGAGGGATGACATTCGGGACCTGCGACCACTCCATGACGTTGTTGCGGACGGCTCTCTTTAATTCTGGCCGCCATAAAATCTCGTCCGAGACCACGCGGCCTGAGAGTACCGGCCACGGAAAGTTCCACGCGGGGCATTCCATGCTGCTGGCTGTGGGGGAAAACGACGGGGAATTGGCATACAAGCGAACTTATCAAACCAGTTCGTAGATTTTTTGTTAAGAGTTTGAATGAACTGTGCGACGGTTGTCCCTTCGTCTGGTTCATCAATTGATTCGCGCAGGGTCATGTCCAGGTTACGCCATGCTCGTAATACCAGAGGGAACTCAGTTTCTCCCTCCCCACATTGTTTAGCAAGGGACACAATTGAAGCCACGTATGACGAGGGAGGTCTCTTAGCAATGACATCCGCAACTGTATAGCAGGTATTGTCCAGTCTCTGCCTTGCCTGGCTTGGTGGGAGTTTGAATCGCTTTTCAAGGGCTGTACACCAATCTTCAACGTCAGTAGAGTGGATGAGCCCACGTCTGGTAATACTGTCTAGTTCAGAGTTCCACCATTTCAAGGTCTCTCCACGAAAGCAGGTATCGAGGTTCTGGCTGATCTTAGCAATCTGTCGAGACTGTCAGTGCGCACGTAATTATTGGCGTGGTGGACAACATACGCATTGACATCGTTAATAAGGTGCCAGACTGCAACGGAGTCAGGCAGACCGAAACAGCCTGCTAGGCGGGGGTCACTCCCTTCGAGGTTCTGGACGAATATCTTGTCGTACTCAACTCTCGCGAGGTTGCCATAGCCACATAGGTTGTTATTTGCCCATGAAGATCATCAAATGTGTCTCCAACGGTAATGGAGACATCACTCTTCTTCACATAATTGTCATTGTCGAACATAGCCCGTATTTCTGTTAACGGTCTCCGGGAAAGTCTGCGGGCCGCTGAAGGGGTACACGTTCGCAATGCAACATTGGATGGTTCTGTTAGGTCTCCTGTGCAGAGTCAGACGTCATGTACGTATTCATGATGAGGAGAAGATTAGACGAACCAGGACGACAACCGAGTGCGCTCTGCAGGACAACCATGCAGAGCTTTAGAAGGTGAACATCCCAGGAGATGGTGCCACGTTTTATTGTGTAGCCTAGCCAAGCACTGGCCATCTATCAAATAACATCTTGTCCTGCCCATGCTCCGGGTAACGAACAGCCTTTGACAATCGCCTTTGCTGGATGAGTCTTGGAAGCCATGTGTCGATCTTTCTGGCCTTTTGCTTGTCAACCTTGAACGATTGATACTCGAGCTTCATCATGGTAAATATATGCAAGTTCCCATGTCAGACAGCCCGCGAGCAAGTAGTGGACTGTTATCCACTGGAGTCAGAAGGTTAGAGTAGAAGGAGGAGACGGGGCAGAAGACAGGAGAATTGGGAGAAGGGGTATGACAATATACGTTCAGTACGGAGGTAATATCACTGCGAGTATTCACCATCAGTCAGTATATTTCCCCGCAGTGAACGATAAGATCATACAATCCGTCTGGCGACCACATCGATATCTGATCTATTCACGGGGCGTGCTTCCTCAGTATTTCGTTGCGCTAATGTTTACCGGGTGAAAAGTATAGCGTAGAGGATAGGACTGGCTCGAGAGAGCGCGCCTGTTTGCGGATTATGATGAGAATTGGGTTCGGACATATCCAGCCACCAGTATAGGAATTATGACAGGTTTGCCCGGCCCTTTATAGAAAAGGGCTGACATTGATTTCGTAATAGGTCTAAGGGGTCACAGTGCTCTACTCTACGAATGTGAAATCTACTCTTCAGCAAACTGGCCAATTAACATCCCAGACAGCAGCAAATATTTTTGGCTGCGTTGCTGCTTCTTTATACTCATCCAAGGCATCAAGGCAAACAAACCAACAAATCACCCAGCTTATCCAGCACAATCGCCTGCACATCGGCAGCTGCATCGGTCTTGTCGCTCCAGCCCACAGAGATACTCACATAGCACCCGTCGGTACCCACAACCGTCGACTCAGTCGGCAGCCGCGAGCTCCCACAGGTCTCGACATCATCCGCCGAAAACACCCCGTGAAGATCCGCGACAGCACAAACTTGAAGTCGTCCGCGGTGGCACACTCGCTGCTCACCTCGGGAAAGTTGACGTTCAACCAGACCTGGTCGGGCAGGTAGGGCGTGCCCGATGCGACGATCTGATTGGTGATTTTCGTGGCCAACTGCGCGTACACCTGGCTGTACGCCGGAACAGCCGCATTCCATGCCGTCGGCGAGCCGGAACTCCCTGAGAAGGCGATGGCGGGGATCCCGTTCTCGGCCGCGTAGTGTGCTGCGCCGACTGTGCCGGAGAAGTACACGACCAGGCCGAGGTTCGAGCCCACATTGGGGCCGGAGACAGCTAGGGCGGGAGGGGCGCCATTGAAGAACGGGGGCGCAGCGGTGCTAATGCCGTATTTCATTGAGGTGACGGGGTAGGAGTTGACATAGTTGAGCCGGGGCTCGGAGGCATTAAAGCCTGTTGCAGGGCTGCCGGACGGACAGCTGTTGAACTCGCATGGTTCCGTCAGGGTGGTTGGTGTTTTGTCAGAGGAGCCTGAGTGGTCAGCAGGATTACGCCGCAACGAAAGAGGACGGGTTTACCTGTTCCACTCTGGTTTTCGGCTGGCGCAGACACCACGACGGAGTGGCCAGCTGCGGTCAGGGCCTTGTAGAACTGGCGGATATTAATCTCGGCCCATCCATCGTCGTTGGATGAGACGATGTTAATGGCCTGGGCTGTCAGGGGCAGGAGAACCAAAGGTAGAAGATGCATGGTGATGGTCGGCAGTTATCCAGTCTCAATGCTGGGGGGCTGACCTGTATTTAAGCAAGCCATCTTATTGCGGTGAATCCACTGTAACATCGTGAGCACAGGGTAATGAGGAGAAGTACCACAACGGAATAAGCGATGTTGATCTCGGGGATATTCTGGCGCACGTGCGGCCTCGGATGGACGGAGAAGTTTATCAAATAGATTAAGGGAGATTAACGGGGGTACTAATATTTCATATCATGCAGGATTTTCCTGCAATAGTTCCCAATCATTTCACAGCGTGGAGGCTAAGAGACCTCCTCAATAGCTCTATCTCATCGGGCCGCACTTGCCTTTCGTTCCTTGGCAAAGTCTGGCCTAATGTTTAATTAAGGCCTGCGTAAATAAGTCCAGCATTTATTAATAAATGCATCATCCTACTTCGGATTATGAGAGCCATGTCAGTATGGCACGTGCCCCATCAGATTGACTAAGAAGAGGATAGTCCTTTGTCCAGGAGAACAATGGCCAGAGTTTGTTCTAAAGGACTGTTTGCACTAACCAAGGGCGGCAAGCCTAGTTTACTATTTTACTTACCTTGGTTAGCTGCCAATCTCCATTGTGCATGTAAGCATTAATTCATAACTCCCATCTTCTAGTGCGTTTCAAGGCATCTTACTAACATGCTCTGTAATGTTTGAGCAAATAGCGTACTAAGAAGTCTTAGCTATTCATAGCAGATCAGGAACTAGTGCTGTGAATAGTATACCTGAACATTCATACTTAAGGTGGGAAATATATAACATGGTGCATGACTTGTGCAGTTACTTCCAAAGCTCCCAGATTAACACCGTAGGATCACTCTACAAGCTCACATTCAGACTCCAAAATGTTACTTATAATTGAACAGATGGAGTATTGCAAAAGTATACTCCATATCAAAACATTCTCCACTGTACTCCATAGACTAAAACAATTGAGATCCCTCAACGCCTTGAGCTCCACCCCAGCGTCCATGCTCCACATGGATCAGATCCATCAAGGTACCAGGCAACTCAGATATGATCTGAAGACTTCGACATCTTACAGGGTATAACTATAAGACCCAATGTCGAATGTTGTCCAAAGTCAAGTGGTCACTGCGTTCCCAAGCACCCCAGATCTCTATCACTAGACCATGAGAGCCTACAGAATGCTAATGACTAGCTAATGGTGATAACACAACTGCACTCGACACATTTGTATTTCAAGAGATACCTCTCTAATAGCTATACCTCTCTACGTCTTACTTACCAGCCTGCAGTACTACCGAGGTCCTGACTTATCATTGGCCCAGATATGGTATAAGCACAATCTGATTGGCCAGATCGTAATCTCCAGCCACTCACAACACTTTATCAGCCCCATAGGATCAACTGCCATGACGCAATTGGCTGGTCGGTACCGAAGGGGAGACGAGCCCCAGAAATTGTTGATAACCAACTCCAGATCCCCGTTTTTTATCCCCATTCTCATCTCCACTTTTCCTCTCTCCGTTTCCCTCTGGCATGGCTTCATGCCGACCTTCAATACCACCTCGACAGATCTAGGGCTCGACCACCACCTCTCCTCCCCGATCGTCGAGCATTATGTCTACCCAACCTTCATCGCCGTCGCCTGGTGCAACGCCCTCGACCTGATCGTCCTCTGCCTCAACACCTTCAAGCGCTACTCCGGCCCCTACTTCTGGTCCCTTCTCGTGGCCTCCTTCTGCATCATCCCCTTCGGCCTCGGCTACGTCCTCAAGATCTACAGCATCACCTTCACAAACTACTTTCTCGAAATCGCCATCCTCGATGTCGGCTGGTCGGGAATGGTCACGGGGCAGTCGCTCGTCCTCTGGTCGCGGCTGAATCTGGTGCTTGATAACCGACGCGTCTTGAAAGCCTTGCTATACCTTATCATCGTGGACGGGGCCGTGCTGCACATCTCCTGCGGGGCGCTGGAGTTTGCGACGAACGCCCTGCCCGGGTCCAATGGCGTGGCCACCGCGTTCGATGTCATGGAGCGCGTGCAGCTTGTTGGCTTCTGTTTGCAGGAATTGCTACTCTCGGGGCTGTATATCTACAAGGCGGTGCCGCTGCTGAAGATGGATGCGGATCGTCGCTCGCGGGTCGTCCTTGTCCAGTTGATCGTCATCAATGTGGTTATTATGGCGTTGGATGTCTCGGTCGTGGTTGTGCAGTATCTCGGCTTCTTTACCTTTCAGGTTACCCTTAAGGTGTTTGTGTATAGCATCAAGCTGAAGCTGGAGTATGTCATTCTCGGCAGGTTGGTGGATGTTGCGCGGGTGCGCACGCCGGCGGCTGCGCGGATGAGGTTATAGTTGTATTATCACCTCTTGTCTATATTTATAGATTTCATCTTGTCTATATGATCTTTTGTCTATATACATTGTCTAGAAGGTTGTCTACTCCGACCGCGCACTCTTGGTCTTCTTGCTCCGCAACTTCATCATCAGGAACACCATCGCATAGCTCGAAATGCAAAACAGCGCCGTAATCCCGGTCTGCGTCGTCAGTATCTTCTCTTGTCATCCGGAACAGGGGAAGGGAAAGACTTACATCTCTCCAAGAGTAGTACCGCTCCTTCAAATTAAACGTCCTTGCATAGTCCGCCCCAGTCGAATACTGGCAGAACTCACAAGCCGTCGCATTCCCATCAACCAGATACCCCGGCTTCTCAGCCAGAAACGCAGCCATGTACTCCCCACACGTCTGGCCCACCGGCGCACTAAACCGCACCAGCTCAGACGGGTCACAGCGCACCTGCACATCCCAGAGGACCTCACCCAGCAGCCCGCCAACCAGATACGTGAACGGATCGAGATAGTACAGCCAGTCCCGCCAGAACGGCTGCATCTGCGAGTACGGCACCACGACGCCGCAGAAGCTGACCAGCCCCGCGCCAATCAGCACGGGGTTCATCACCGCCGCGAAGTACTCGTTGGGCGCGTACGCCGCGATCCCCTGTCCGATCGACGTGTACAGGAACTCGTAGAAGATCATCTGCAGGTACATGTGTCCTGAGATGCTGGCCGTGGTGGGGAATCCTGCGGTGAAGTACCAGCAGGCGAAATAGAGGGTGGCGCAGAGGATTAGATAGGGGATTTCGGAGACAGTCTGCGCGCCGATGAAGGCGAGCCAGTGGTAGATTTTGGACTGTTAGTACTTTAGCACTGTTGACAAATAGGGGTCAAGGAGTAGGGATGCGACGGGTACCTTCTTTTCTCTCGCCTCGAAAATATCCCGGTTATGCAGGAAGAACGGCTGCATCTGGTTGATGCACCCCGGCGCGACGAAAATGAAGTTGAATATGGCAAACAGCCGCAGCTGCAGGTCAAACGTGCCGTCGCCGATCTTCCAGAAGGTGAACCCGCTGAACAACGCCGCGAACACATGCAAGATAATCTTGTTCCACACGTAGTCTGGCGACCGCCACAGTTGCACCATCAGCCGCTTCGTCACCATCGTGAACTGGAACCATTTCGACGTTGCGTAGTCGGCCGTGTCCTCGACGTAGCCGGTGTCTGACTTGCCGCGGGCGTTGAGCTCTTGCAGCTGGGCCAGCGCACGCTGCTTCTCCCCTGACTCGTTCCACACCTGCACCCAGTCGATGGGCTTGTCCGTGTTGCCTTGGATCACCTCGACAATGTGCTCAGCTGGATTCTCATCAGGAGGACACGGGGCTCCATGTCGGGCGAAGTAGTCCAGGACGATCTGCGAGTCTTTGCCTGTTTCGCCAAAGTACGCCATCTTTCCGCCGCGAGCGAGCAGCAGGAGCGAGTCGAAGGCCTCGAACAGCACTGCGGAGGGCTGATGGATTGTGCACAGCACTGCCTGGCCGCCGTCGACTAGTTTCCTTAGGAATCGGATGATATTGTACGCGGACTGCCCGTCCAAACCGCTGGTAGGTTCATCCAGGAAGCTAATGCGCACGCAAACGCTGCTGTCAGCAATTTTACCTGAGGCCACAACTTTAGATTGCTCTTTTCACATGACTATCACACTCACAGAAGGCTAGGTTTCGCAACGAGTTCCACCCCGAGGGTTACTCTCTTCCGCTGTTCAATGCTCAACCCGGCGCCGGGGACTGTCTCAGCGTCAGCATGCGTCGACAGTATTGGCAGGGTACCTACCTCCAATCAACGCGTCACCGATATCGCGCAGCTCCAACAGATCAATGATGTGATCTACGTAGGCCAGTTTCTCCTCCCGCGGAACATGAGCCGGCTGGCGCAGCAGCGCCGAAAAGACCAAAGCTTCCCGGACCGTGGCCGTTGCCTCGTGCACGTCCATCTGCTCGCAGTATCCCGTTGTACGCTGGAAACTGATTCCCTGCGGCCGGCCGTCAATCAGAATCGATCCGTAGATCTCGCCGCTGTCCTTGCGTTGGGCCAGAACATCAAGAAGCCTGTCTCGTTAACTACGCTGACTCCATGCAGTGAGAACAATTACTTACGTCGTCTTTCCCGCACCGGAACACCCCATCAACGCAACCAGGTTCCCGGGCTTCACGAACCCAAACACCTTATCCAGGAGCTTCTTCTTCTGTCCTTGGTAGGGGACGTGGTAGTCGAGGTCATGCCAGGTAAAGGTCGACTGGTTGACATGCGACGCCAGCGCGGCCTCCTGCACCGGGGTCGGAGTGTCTTCCGACTTTGTCTTCTGGCTTCCCCGCCTGTACAGCAACACGGACGATCCGCCCTGGCTATTAAGCAACTCAAGCCCCAGCGCTGTCAAAACGATGAAGAACATCCAGAAGCCGACGATGACCCCGAAGCTCCGCCAGATATGATGCCACGAGTAACTATACTGCGCGTGGATATACTCCGCTCCGAGTATCGTGTCGCCCTCGCTGCCCGGGATCGAGCACCCCCGGTACGGCGATTCCGAGCCGGGATATCCATCCCCATAGGGGATATAGTCCGGCTGCACGCACTGCAGCGATTTACCAACGAACTCGTTAGCCATGAGGGCCTCGAAGGCGTAAGCGCCAGGGTTGAGATAGAAGATCCAGCGGAACCAGACGTGCATTTTCTCGTATGGGATGAGGTAGCCTACACCGTTAGTGACATTCTTAAAAACAAAAAAAGGGAAGTGAGCTTACCTCCGTAGACGAAGAAAATGGTCGACAGCAGCCCGGTGATTTTGGATGCGTTTCCAAATCGTTTGCAGAGCGCGCCGACGGCGCGGAACATCTGCATGAAGCACAGTGTGTTGGCGATGACGATGATCCAATAGGTGAAGAACCGAGCGGCGTCCATCTGTAGCGCGGCCATGAAGTATAGGATGATGCAGAAACAGGAGACCTGCACCAGCACTACTGGGATGTCGGTGATGGCGTTGGCGATGCAGAAGGCCGTCGGCCGGTAGAACCCGAACCGCTTCTGGCGGGAGAGGATGGGCCGGCCCATGAACGAGGCGGTCGTCTCGGACATGGACTCGAGAAGGAAGTAGAGAACTGGGAAGAACAGCGCGCCGGGCGCAGGAAGATGGAAGAGCTGTCGTCTTTGAGGTTGTAGAATAGACTTCCGCATACCAGGGCCTGCAGGATGGCTGATACCACCTTAATGATGAGGGACAGTCTGTCTCCTGCCATAATCTGGAACTGACGGATGGTGCACGCCTGTATCTGCTCCCACAGACTCGTGGTATAGACACTTGGGCTCCGAGGGAGGTGCCGCTTGCGTTTCTCGCTGGCCACGGCGGCCGTCAGCTCATCCACTTCGTGCGTGAGTTTCTCCGGCGGGTCAAATCCTTCCATTGCTTTCTGATAGATATCGCTCTGGCGGTAGCGGGCCTCGAATTCCTCCGCGGTGTTGGGAACCTTGTCCTCCATCCCGGGCCGGACAATGCGCTCAGTGAGCACCGTTACGGAGGTCAGAAAATCAGCGATATTGGCTCCCTTCGGACAGACGAAGCCCATATCCTCAAAGTAGCTCCTTGCCAGGGCGCGTGGTCCGTAGTAGGCCACCCGTCCATCGGCCAGAACCAAAACCTGGTCGAACTCGTTGTAGATCCCGTTGCCAGCCTGGTACATGGTAGCCACCATCGTCTTCTGGTTAACGTCCGCCTCGAAGCGCAGCAGCCGGGCGAACTCAACAGCCGTCTTGGAGTCGAGGCCCCGGGTCGGGTTATCCCAGAATTGTATCGGGCTCCGTCCGGCAATCACCTCGGCGAGCGACACCCGCTTTCGTTCACCACCAGAGACACCGCGGATAAACTCGTTTCCCACCAGCGTCTTCGTCGTGTGCGGGATGCCCAGCGCAGTGAGGATACTGTCCCGCTGCTCCTGCACAAACTCCTTCGATCCTTGGCCCTCCGGCCTTTCCCGCGGCACCTTGTTCCGCAGCGCGAACTTCATTGTGCGGTTAACCGTCAGCGTGGGGAAATGCACGTCGTCCTCATTGTTGAACATGATCTGCTGCCGGAAGCGTCTCGCAGCGATGTGGTCCATACTTCCATATCGGGTTTCGCCGACGACTTCGTCAAAGGATTCGCGGTCGTTGGAAAGGACACGCAGAAGCGAGGTACATCCTGATCCGGGACGACCGAGGACCAGCAACTGACGGTGGGAGTCAGCTGCATTCGCACCACATTTGGGGTCAACTTACCATCTCGCCTGGTTTGACCTGCCCACTGACTTCTTTCAGGATAGTCTATTCCGTTAGCATTTGCCTTGGAACAACAGTCTCTACATACCCTCTTTGGCCGACTCCCTTTCAGAAAACCAAGGTACTGCCGCGGATCAGCCACGGAGAGAAGCGTATCACCCAGGGCGGCATCCGGCGCCCTGACATGGACACTGACATTCCGAAACGTGAGGGTTAGTCGCTTCCGTAGCCCTCGGTCACCGTGTTCGAGGTCAATCGTGCCGGATGAAGGCGTCTCCATTCTGCACGATCTGCTTAACCTTTCAAAGAAAACAACTCGACCACGGATACAGCTCTCCAGAGCTAATTCGTTCCATTCCAACTATTTATACAATGTCTGTTTCATGCGTATCAGATTAAACCCGTAAATCCATAGACCCGAGTCATATCCGCAAATCCGGGTCCCATTGTCAGAGATCTCCGCCAATCACAAATTTCCCCTCTCCTCGGCATGCCGAAGCGTCGGATATATTTCTCATCAAGCCCTGAGACTAACGAGGATCTCCACCACAGGGAAGGATTCTCAACCGTATTAAAGCTCTAGAGCTTGAAGCTACAAGCTTGATCAAGCTGGCCCACTTTGCTGGCCTTGTCTTCCTTGAATTCCGTGGCTAATGCCGGAAAACGGCTGTCTGTACGGAGTAGTCGGCAACGGATTCGGGTGTTGTCTTAAGTGTAGCTGTCAAGTGAGAGACCTGGTGGGATTGGGTTAGTCTGGCTTGTCCATATTTAGTACCTGATCCATGAGAGAATTCTGGGTCGTTCCATAATGCCGACGGCCACAAGCTTAACATGTCATCCCCGGATAGAGGGTCATCGGAGTAGTGGCCTGCCACCCAGCACAGCAGTCAATAGCGAATCGCTCATGACAGATAGAATACTGCTGAGGGAAATCAAGCCTATAGGCACAATAGGATACATACTAGCCTAGGTACGTGAGGCTTGCCGGATTCACGCTCGCGACCAGGATTGACTTGGTCGTTCAAGGTCATACTTCGCGTTGACTTCACCCTGCTGTCCTACCGCTTCTGAGGTACATAGTATGAGACTCTCCAGGCTATATCTCATCTGAAGGATGTAATTATTGGCTCGGCCAAACGCGTTGACATCGTATCGGTATACGGGACATCTGGCACCCCACCGGAGAGCAAACGACCATCACGTATCCAGTATCCCATAGCGCCAAATACCTCGTGGGATCATATCTCTTCACAGACTGGATTGCTTCACTGATTTGTCAGCCCACATATTACGCTGATTTATAATAATTCATACCCTTGAGCGAGAGTGACTCACAAAACTCCAGTATGCCAAGTAGCCAAGGAGGAATACGAGCGCCATCTTATATCATGAAGACAGTCAATATCTACGATCGATGCTTAGAAATACAGAATTGGTCAGCAAGTTGTACTGTTCACAGTCGAATGGCAAGAGAAGAAGCATATATAGTTCCAAACGGTGCTCGAAGAGTCCAACTCACTCAACCTCAGCCCAACAACCACACAGTGCATGTCTGCAATGTCCTACGCAAACAAAACAGCCCTCATCATCGGCGGCAGCCACGGTATCGGCCTCGCAACCGCCCAGCTCCTCCACTCCCAGGGCGCCAAAGTCCTCGTCACCGGCCGCAGCCCAGACCCCATCCGCTCCGCGCAAGCCCAGCTCGGCCCAGCCGCCAAAGTCATCTCCTGCGACATTACCTCTTTAGCATCTATCGACACTCTCGTCGAGACAGCCTCGTCCTTCTTCGGGAATGGCCGCACAATCGACCTCCTCTTCGTTAATGCCGGGTACGCCGCGCTTGAGCCTTTCGCAGACGTCTCGGAGTCCTCCTTCCGCCGGACCTTCGACACAAACGTCTTTGGCGCGTTCTTCGCCGCGCAGAAACTCGCGCCGATGGTTAGACCCGGCGGCGCGATTGTGTTTACCACCTCTGTCGCTAATCAGATGGGGTTCCCCGGTATGAGCGTGTACGCTGCGTCCAAGGCGGCGGTGCACTCGCTTGTGCAGACGCTGGCGGCGGAGTTGGTGGGAGAGCAGGTGCGCGTGAATGCGGTGTCGCCTGGTTTCGTGAGGACGCCCACGATGGGGGTTGTGGGCGCGTCGAAGGAAGAGTTGGTGGAGTTTGAGGGGCAGGGGGTGAAGAGTACGCCGATGGGCAGGATTGCGGAGCCGGAGGAAGTGGCTAAGGCTGTGGTGTTCTTGGGGTTTGAGGCGAGCTTCACCACGGGGGAGCAGGTTGTTGTTGATGGGGGGTTGGCTACGTTGCGATTGCATTAATCCGTGTCTTGGTAATAGACTGTCTCGAGAGAGATGGAACCCCTATGCAGAATAGATCCTTTCAGCGTGAACGGTCATACCACAGAAAATATTGCAATGAAAGCATTCTCCCCAAACCATATTCTCGACTCTAGAGAGGTACATCATACTCAGACGGATCAACATTCCACATATCGGTTCTGTAGCTCGCACAAGATCCAGATCAATCTGAAGCCCAGTACGTACGTATGAACGCACAATCCACATGCCACGCGCCGTCATCCATGCCAGCCACCCCGACCACATTCCAATCATTTCCAGTCCAGATAAATACCTCAAAATAGGAGGTCCGACTTACAACAAACACTTAGAGATGTACATGAATCCCCCTTCCCCTTCTCACTCTCAGACAAACACCCACAATCCAATATGAATACAATCCTCTTCCTCCTCGCGCTCGCCGGCGCGGCCCTAGGCGCAAAAACCTGCACGCCTAGTTTCGATTACTGCGCTAATAAGCTCATTGCTGATAAGGGTATTCTTTCCTGTCTTTCACGCTTCCATATGGGATGGCAGGGCTAATAGATGCAGGCTTTACCGAGGCGGACCTCAAGGCTGTTCTCAAGGCGGAGGGCCTGGAGACTGCGGATGTGAAGAATGTGCTTTTCCACTGCAAGAATCCGGGCGATGTGGGACATGCGAAGGTGTGTCCCAATGGGTGTGCGGACCCGGCGACGGAAGGGAGTCACGGTTGTTAGCTATCTTGAGTATTAATATACTATTGGAGTATTGGTGTATTGGCGAATGATGTGGAAGACTTTTGTATTGAAGCTGTGATATATAACTTGCACAATTTGCTGGCAAAGTCATCATGCAATATTCATCACTCGTTTCAAATCACGCAGTGAAAGAGGTTTCACAAGATAATCATCGATCCCCGCGGCAAATGCCTGTTGCTGCATTGTCGCCGACGCGACTCCGGTCACGGCCATGATGGCAGCCCGAGGAAGGGAATTCTCCTCCTCGTACTCTCGAATCTTGCTTGTGGAGATTATCCCGTCCATAACTGGCATTGAAATATCTATAGCTGTTAGCTGGATCATAACTCTCAAAGGACGCAACCTACCCATCAGGACATAGTTGAACTGGCGCTGGGCCTGCTGGGCCTGCTGGTACTTCTCCAGCGCCACGAGTCCGTTATTCGCTGTCTCATAGCTGCAGCCGATGCGGCGCATAAAAGTAGCCAATATTTTGATATTGATGTCATTATCGTCCACAATCAGGACATGACGATCGATCGTTTTTGAGGCCTTGGGTGTCGAGCCACGGAACTCGTCTACGGATTCCTCCACCACCGGTGGTGACTCGGTCTGTTTTGCCAGGGCAAAAGCTTCCGATAAGCTGCGCTGACGATGTGGCATACTATCGGCACTACCGATCTGTTCCGATGCTTCCGGCAAGCTGGAAAGTGTATGCAGTGCGCCAATAATCTTTCGAGGCGTGAGTCTATCCTGTTAGTTTCACTCTTCCTCAGACTTTGGTGCGACTTACGGTTGAGGAACGTAGACCACATCCAGGTCTTTCGTAGCAGGATCGACTGATAGGCTACTACCATACTGTCCTAGTATGACCAGTGCCTTCAGGTCCGTAGTGATTTGCTCTAGTTCTGCCATCTCAGCCAGACTGCTCTCCTCGATAATACCAATATCGCCCTTCGCTTGAGACAAGGTGTCGGCAAAGGAGACTGTCCAGCCAGGCTGGCTGAGGATTGCATTACTCAGTGCACTGCGAACTGACAGCCTCCTCTTCGCGTCAACACTCAGCCTTCGGCTTGACTTCTGCATATTGGAAAATACGTTCAGTCCGATCAGACTAACTCGAGAGACCGACACGCTCTGTGGCTGCTCTTGCTCGGAAGCACCTTCCTCCAGCGTATCAACGAATTCAACTGGAAGGTACACGTCAAATTGAGTTCCAGCACCGACGGTACTCTTCACGTCAATCTGGCCACCCGCATTTGTCACTATTCGGTCGACAATACTTAGTCCCAGGCCAACCCCTTCCGTCAGGATGTTCTCTTGGGTAAATGGATGGAATAATCTGTGCTCCAGGTACTCCGGAGAGATGCCACAGCCGGTATCTGTGATTGTGAAATGAGCATACACTCTCTTCGTGCCGCCAGTTCTCTCGATCTTCCTGGCGAGGGTGACCTCAATGAAGCCAGACTTGGTGAACTTGAATGCATTGCCGAGCAGGTTCATGACAATTCGTCTCCATCCGCCAGGAATGGATCGCACTTTCCAGTCTCCTGGCTCAACCCGCACAATCACTGATAAGTCGTTCGATTCTGTGGCATTCTCGGTGCCCTTGGCAGATCTAATTCCCAACGTTGGCCCGCTAGGCAGGTACCGACCGGCGACTTGGGAAGCATTAATCAAGGACCGATGACCTGCATACAGGGTGTCCGCCACATCCTCTACCAGTGTGTCTAAATCGAATTCGCATGTTAGATCGGCGAGAGAGGTCTCAGTATCCCCGTCATTTTTTGCGTCCGCACTGGTCAAATTATTGATTTTCGTAAAATCCAACCTGCACGGATGTTAGTGAGATCCTGCAGCAGGGCTGCCAACTTACAAATAATTCAGCGTATCCATCAGTGTCAGGCCACAGGTTTCAATCATCGTGAGCATATCCTGCTGAGCCGGTTGAAGATCTGTGGTATGCAACAGCTCTACACTGGCAAGCATGCCATGGAGTGGTGATCTTAGCTCATGGCTGACGGACGATAATAAATCTGATTTGGACTTTTCCGTCGCCTGCCAGTCCATTTGAGCCGCTTCTGAGACAATGGCGTCACCGTAGGCCTTGACATAGAACAGATCGGTTTGTTCAAAAGGTCGTTGACTGTCACATGTCCACAAGAGGGCGCCAGCCAGCCAGCGCGACGTATTCCAGTTCCACATTGGGAGAAAAAGGAGTGAA